GTTTCCTTTTCCTTTTCCTTTTTTTTTTTTTTTTTTTTCTTCCTTCTTAAGAAATGTCCCCTGGGCTGGACTCTTGAGATCCCTATACCACTAACAGCGTCCATTAGCAAGTACTCCGAAAAACTCGAAACAACCCTCACGCTATCACAGTTCACGTGCCCAAACAAGGTCAACGCCTGGGGTCCTCCCCAGTCAAGCCGCCGTTGTGAGGCGGGGTTTCGATGATAGAGGAAGGCCGTCGTTGAAAGTCGATGGCTAGATCGATCCAATTCGGTGGTTGTTTAGCGAGTGCGAGGCTTGGCGGAAGGATTTCCCTGATGTTGCCCGTGTGGTGCGAGGTTATCACGACATCTCGCATTCGTTCTCATTCTCATGTTCACATTCACGTCCTGTTTCTCGTTCTCTCTTTCGTCTCTGAATTCCGTGACGTATCCCTACTTCCAATTTCGAGCCCCAGAAAGAAGGCGCATGCCTCTGTTTCAGGGTGCGACGGAATTAAAAGAAAGAAAAAAAAGACGTAACTACACATCGCCCGACTGGCATCTTCCGGAATGTCGACCGAGATGATACCTCGTACAGGCATCGCGCGGCAGCTCGAGGAGAAGCCTTACCGCCCCAAACGACCGCACACAATTGGGGGGGGACCCAATTCTGACCCCCAGCATCACTGCCGGAGCTGCAATGGTACGAATTTACGGATGGTCAGAGCATGGCTGCAGGAGGAGAGTCGGCGAGCTGGTTTGAGGGGTTTCTTTCGACCAACATATGTATCGAGGTGGTGGTAGATCCGCCGTTGTACACCGATGTTCGATGTAAAGTCACGTGACAGTATGGTTTGGGGAGATCCCACGGCCAAGGAACACATGGTCATTGGAGACATCGAGGTTCCAATCACCACAAGCCTTCACGGCGCGCTCAACGCTTTGCACAGACATTCCGACGCGCCCGTCACCGCGTGGGCGGATGCCATATGCATAAACCAACAAAACCACGAGGAGAGATCCTGCCAAGTCGGGGAGATGAGCCGCATCTACAAGCAGGCCACCTCGGTAGCTGTATGGCTCGGCCCGGAAGCGGACGAAAGCTCCCGCGCCATGAGCTTCCTCAAGACTGCGGCCAAGGTTTTCGACAAGCCGAGGCGTATGCAGAATCTCATCAGCAATCCACAATACTGGGATGATGTTCTCGCCCTGGTTTCTGTATTTGAGAGGCCCTATTGGGAGAGACTTTGGCCGCGGCTACTTCTGCAGCTCAGTGGCGGTGCCGTGTGGCGGTGCATCCCCACGTGATTACCCTTCATCCTCTCTCTTTTGGAATTGGCATTGTGGGGGCGTCGGCGCGTCGAACTATCCTGAATACAGTCTCTCAAGAAGAAATGGGTAGAACAGAAGGAAACTCCTTGTCTGGTAATGGTCATCCCTTTTATGCACTTTACCTTCGGAAGCAGTGAGCAGGCTCGCAGGCCGTCGCACAGCAGGCTCGGCGAAGGGATGTGCATGCTTACACAACGCCTAGGCCTTTATAATAATGCTAAGCTACTGCAACCCTTATTAGAGAACTTTACTATATATAGCCTGCTCTAGATAGATAAATATTATATTAAAAAGTAGTTTAGTAGGGTATAGGTGGATAATAAGGATAAGTATTTTAAGGTAAATAGGGGAAAGAGGGAAGAGAATAAGGAAAAGAGGGAGAAGAATGGATCAAACACCTAGAGTGCGGAGAGGGCTTTATATACTTGCAGTCCTGCCCCCTGCATTTCGGCCCCCTCCCCCACCGTCGCCGTTGATCGAGTTATATTAATATAGAGATAGACCCTTTCTTAGGACTCCAACTCAAACAAGCAAATTAAGATAACACATTCGACCACGCCATCCGCTGCGCTGTGTAGTGTCTACATCAAAGTGCTACAAGGATCTGTGGGCTGCATTGAATTCACACCCCCACCATGGCGATCTCGGGTCTCCGGGATAGACACTGCCGTCGGAAACGGACGGACAATAATCCGCTGCCAGTCACTCCAACCCCTCATCCACACTCTCCAAAATAACACATTCTAGGATATACCCTTGCAGCAGCGACAGCCTTCCTGCTCTCGACAGCATAGTCAGTCTTCAATCATATAAGCTTAGGACCACCCAAGCTATGTCTGTGGTATGTTTCTCTACAACCTCGTTCAAGTCGCATATCTAACTCGATCAAGGGGGATACCTCCCTGAGCGGGAAGTAGGAGCTCATACTGTATGGGAATTTTAAAATTCCGCAAGACGGTTTTCTCGAATAGAGGGGATATAGCCGATTTACGGACCACAAAGTAGTTATCGATGGTGTCGAGGTCGACCTGACAGCTAGGCAGAAAATGGAAGTAATAGAAGGGTAAGAAATCAGTGTGGTAAATATGGAAGTCAGGTATGTGCCGAAGGGTTCAGCTTAGGAATTGTGCAGATGCCCATGACATCGGTATCGAGATGGCTTTTCTTCATGCGCACGCACACACGCACGATTTTGCAATTGAGGGTTTTTTGGCGCTCGATTCACCATCTGCATCAACCGGTCAAGTTGACTTTCCACTGTTCCTAGTCTCGCCAGCGGTTCTACGTTCGTCTGGTCAGGGCTGTTCCAGAGGGCATGGATCCCAGAAGCATCTACATCAGAAGAATGACTTACTGCTTTGACTCAGGGTCCCTCCTGCAAAGCTTTTTCTCGTCACACCTAGCTTTCACACACCTATAATTCAGCTGTGTAAGCTCTGATGGGTGCTATGGATGGCTAGTGGTGCCTGGTAGTGGTTTTGTCTCTTGATCTGAACGTCGTATCTGTCTATACCGACCCAGACCTAGTTGCCATCCTGAGTTTATCGCCTTCCAGGGGGCAGGTCCACGCATAAATTAGAAGGATGCTTTTCACGAAATAGAACTACTTTGCCCATCCTCCTTCCACTTCTCAAGAACACGACTGTCTGTCCAACTCACCACCGAGGCCTCGGGCAGCCCAGAGATTCCTGGATAGTATCCACGGCCTGAATGGGGCGGCGTTCCATATCCCCAAGACCCTACTGGCCATGGTGGGCGCTATCGCAATAGGGGACCCCGAATACTCTCACAACAAGGCATACTACGACACGCTCAAGTAACAGGGTTCACTTTACGCTAGCTTGCTGAGGGATGGGCCCGGCCGCAGGATAAGCTTGCACTTCATGACATGGTTTACCTTCGTCCCGGACCAGTTTATCGAGCTTGGGAGGCAGTACCGCCCCGGCGCCCTGGTCGTTTTGGCGTACTATTCAATGTTTCTGAAGACTGTGCAAGATATCTGGTGGATTCAGGGTATCGGTGACCGCGCAATTCGCGATATATTGAAATACCTTACTGCCCGATAGGGCGACTACTAAAGAGCCTGGAAGAACAAACTAGATATATGGGGCTATTCACAGTTTATATAGATGGACCTTCCTTTCTTCCGGCTCTTCCCGGGACCAATGGGTACCTGTCCCGTATTTCCTTGCATATGGGTTCGAGGAGCTTCGCGTAAAACGAGGCCATCCCCACGCAGACTGCAATCTTTATTGTGCCTCCCGAATGTTGCTCTCGTCAGCCCTCGTTGGCCACACGCCCCTTGTCAGTTTTTCTCAGGCGATAGCCGGGGCACCACTGGGGAAGTGACTAAAATCACCTATGCAAGAGAGAATGGGCACTCCGATCTCAGAGACCTCAGAAAAATGTAATTGGGGACTTCGTCACGAGAGAAACTGCAGCTGGGCCTAAGCTAGGACTACTGAGGAATATGCAAATATGTGCCATGGTTACCCGTCCGAAAAGAAGAATCGAGATCGAGAGTTACCCCAAGATATTTTCATATGAATCAACATGGATAGACTCTTCGCTGCCACAGTCGTCTCCACTATATTATACCATTAGAAAGCTTGCGAAACAGGCCATCTCCACCGAGTTTCCAAATTCAATTCATTCTATTACCAGCCAGATTAACTACTGACTGCGTTAATATCTCAGGACGATGTCTTTTTCATTCAGAAATCATTAGAGTCTTATTGCAGGCCATGCATTACGTGGTGACTTACCGCGATTCCATAAACAGAGTCTGGTTTTCTTTTATCATCTTCCACTTGATTGCAGTAGTGTTCTTGGCAAAATCTTCAATGTATTTTTTCTCTGGTCTTGACAGGTGGTGGTTCTGGTGAGACTTCGGTGGCGACTTGGCGGTCTTGGGAAAAGAAAATCCGGGCTCTCGTTTTTCCCGACACCCCGGGATGAAGTGCGTGACAACTCGGAACCGGGTTTTTAGCCAGTCCACCACGGAACGACTTTCTACCAGTCCCTGAGTCATTAATTAGCCCCTGCCTATTTTAGGTTCGGCTGTAAGGACCATGTAAAATCAGCGTTTAGCACTACGCAACTCTCTGCAGCACCAGAGACAGTTGACGTGGACTAGTCGGAAAACCGTTTCGAGGGTTGCGCGGGCTTTCCGAAAGATCACGGTGTCAATCTACGCCATCTTGCCTCACTCTTCGGGTCGTACTTATTTCCCGACGCGCCATACCCTGCATAGACTAGACAATGATACTAGTACAGCATGGGGCGTGCTTCCTCCTGGGAAATCGTTCCCGTATTCGGATTCCGGTCCCTTAGCAAGTTCCCGCATAGGGTCCAATGCCAGCCCAGAGATCCGGTACTAATGGCGATCAAGTACCCCGGTCCTTAAGACTAATCTGTCGCAAACCTGCCGGGGAAGTAGTATAACCCGTCGGGGTCCAGGGTCTCCCAAGACCCCTTATTGCTCTAGGAGTCGATGTTTTCCTCGGATACCCCGGAGCTCTATATATTCCGTCAGAATAGAATAAAATATCGATGGTAAGTCGTACACGTGCCTTTTGACTCGTGCTGAAGAAAACTACGATACGACATTTTCTTTTCAGAATTCCCCTCGCAAAGCCCTGGACGCTAGAACTGCAGCGAGAGAACTAAACCGGCGTCAACAGAGCCATGGCGAGTGTCCGCCAACATTCCCGCGACGGGAGCGAAGACACGCGGGTCGACAGCGCCGCTGGTCTTCGTCCCTCCGAAGCTGTCGGTAGAGATGAACCTTGCGACGCCTCGACGAGCGATGCCGACGGTGATGGTGACGACAGCGAGATGGAGCGCCGTCACTCCGTCGTACGGGATCTCGCTCGACGATACACGACTGAACGCTCGGCGGCCGACCAACAATACGAGCTCCAAGACGTCATGGTGGGCCAGGCCGCAGATTCGGAACTCAACCCTTCCAGCGGCAATTTCAGCGCCCGCGCCTGGGCCAGAAGCATCGCGAGCCTAACCACGCACCAGGGCTCAGGATATCGCCGAAGTGGATTCTCCTTCAAGAACATGAACGTCTTCGGTTTCGGATCGGCCACTGACTATCAGAAGGATGTTGGCAACATCTGGAACGAGGTCCCTAATGTCGCCCGCTCGGTGTTGACAAAGTCGGGTGGCAAGCGACGCATCGACATCCTGCGGGGCCTTGACGGCGTCGTCAAGCCCGGCGAGATGCTCGTGGTTCTGGGCCCTCCCGGTGCTGGCTGCACGACATTCCTCAAATCCGTTGCCGGCGAGACGAACGGCATCTACCTCGACGGGTCCACCTCCTTCAACTATCACGGAATCGACGCGAAAGAGTTCCACTCTCACCATAGCGGTGAGGCCATATACACTGCCGAGGTTGATGTGCACTTCCCCATGCTCACCGTCGGGGAGACCTTGACCTTCGCCGCACGTGCTCGGTGTCCCCGGGTCCTGCCTCCCGGCGTCACATCCGAGCAGTTCTCCGACCATTTCCGCGACGTCGTCATGGCCATGTATGGCATCAGCCACACAGTGAATACCCGCGTCGGCGATAATTATATTCGGGGTGTATCGGGTGGCGAGAGAAAGCGTGTGACTATTGCTGAGGCAACCCTTTCCAACGCGCCCTTGCAGTGTTGGGATAATTCCACCCGTGGACTAGACTCGGCAAACGCGATCGAATTCTGCAAGACTCTCAGGCTGCAGGCTGACCTCTTCGGCCAAACCTCTGCCGTCTCTATTTATCAAGCTCCCCAAAGTGCATACGACCTGTTCGACAAGGCTCTCGTCCTATATGAAGGAAGGCAGATTTTCTTTGGCCCTGCAGAAAGTGCTAGGGAATATTTTATCAGCCTTGGTTTTGACTGCCCTGCCCGCCAAACGACGCCGGATTTTCTGACCTCGATGACTGCACCGTCAGAGCGTGTTGTCCGTTCTGGATGGGAAAACCGCGTCCCTCGTACGCCAGACGAATTCGCTGCCCGATGGAGAGAAAGCAGCCAGTTCCAGATCTTGCAAGCCGAGATTGAGGAATACAACAGCAGTCACCCAATAGGCGGACCAGACGCTGACGCCTTCCGTGCCCAGAAGCAGCTAACCCAAGCTAAGGGCCAGCGGGTCGGCTCCCCTTTTACACTCTCTTATGCCCAGCAAATCAAAATATGTCTATGGCGAGGTTGGAGGCGACTTATTGGTGCGCCAGGTTTGACCATATTTGCCCTCATCGCCAACTCTGCCAGCATGCTCATCATATCGTCGCTCTTCTACGACATGGACAATACTACTGGGAGCTTCTTCCAGCGCGGAGCAGTGTTGTTTGTCGCCATTCTCACCAACGCTTTCTCCAGTGCACTCGAAATCTTGACGCAGTACTCCCAGCGGCCCATTGTTGAAAAGCATCATCGCTACGGTTTCTATCACCCTTCTGCTGAGGCGTTCTCGTCTGTTCTCGTAGACATGCCGTACAAGATAGCCAACAGCATCTCTACGAACCTGATTTTATACTTCATGACGCATCTCAGGCGGGAGCCGGGGCCCTTTTTCTTTTATTTATTAGTCTCTTTTATCATGGTACTTTCCATGTCAGGTATTTTCAGATCAATGTGAGTACCGGGTGACCCAAATGTTGAGGAAGGAGAGGAACCTGGCTAACATGTATGTCCCTCGCAGCGCTTCGTTGTCCCGGACCTTATCCCAGGCCATGGTGCCCGCCTCCGTCCTGATCCTCGCTCTCGTCATCTTCACGGGTTTCGTCATTCCCGTCGACTACATGCTCGATTGGTGTCGATGGATTAACTACCTCGACCCAGTCGCGTATGGATTCGAAGCACTGATGATAAACGAGTTCACCGGCCGCCAATTCGAGTGCAATGTCTTTGTGCCAAGCCCGCTCGCCGCTGGTTATGAGAACGTATCGCCCGAAAACCGCGTCTGTACGACAGCAGGCTCCGTTGCTGGCCAGTCCTTCGTGGATGGTGATGTGTACATAAAAACCTTGTACAGCTACGAGCGCAGCCATAAATGGCGGAACGTGGGCATCATTATCGCCTTCGCCGTTTTCAATCACTTGGTCTACTTTATCGCCACCGAATACATTTCAGCTAAGAAATCGAAGGGCGAGGTTCTCGTTTTCCGACGCAACCATATGCCATCGGTTCCGACTGAAAAGGGGGATATCGAAATGTCATCTTCCGGACCGAGCGTTGTTGCCGAGAAGAAGTCGGGAAATCAAAGCGGCAGCGAAGACGGCTTCATCCAAGCATCTACCAGCGTGTTCCATTGGAGCAACGTTTGTTACGACATTAAGATTAAGGGAGAGCCTAGGCGGATCCTGGATAATGTTGACGGCTGGGTAAAACCTGGAACGCTAACGGCTCTGATGGGCGTATCTGGCGCTGGCAAAACGACTCTTCTTGATTGCCTAGCTGACCGTATTTCGATGGGTGTTATTACGGGTGAGATGCTGGTGGATGGAAAGATTCGAGATGCGTCTTTCCAACGCAAGACAGGCTACGTTCAACAGCAAGACCTCCACCTTGAAACCTCAACTGTACGCGAGGCCCTGGAGTTCAGCGCCCTACTTCGGCAACCTGCTAGTACGCCCATGGCCGAAAAGCTGGCGTACGTAGATGAAGTGATTAAACTTCTTGATATGCAGGAGTATTCCGAGGCTGTGGTAGGAGTTTTGGGCGAAGGTTTAAATGTTGAGCAGCGAAAGAGGCTCACAATCGGAGTTGAGCTCGCAGCAAAGCCTCCGCTCCTCTTGTTTGTCGATGAGCCTACTTCCGGTCTCGACTCGCAAACCTCTTGGGCTATTCTTGATCTTCTGGAGAAGTTGGCTAAAGCTGGCCAATCCATCTTGTGTACCATCCACCAGCCGTCTGCTATGCTTTTCCAACGTTTCGATCGACTCCTGTTCCTAGCCAAGGGTGGAAAAACTGTTTACTTTGGCGACATTGGCGAAAACTCTCATATCCTCAATTCTTACTTCGAGCGACACGGAGCGCATGCGTGCCAACCAGGTGAGAATCCTGCTGAGTGGATGCTGGAAGTTATTGGCGCCGCTCCAGGCAGCTCCACCGAGATCGATTGGCATCAAGCATGGCGCGAAAGCTCCGAGTACCAGGCAGTTCAAGCCGAGCTTCAAAGGCTCCGCGATGGCGCGTCGGGCCCTACCAGCCCAGAAGAGCGGGATCTCAGTTCTTACCGCGAGTTTGCTGCCCCCCTTTGGACCCAGCTCCTGGTTGTTACCCGTCGCGTGTTCCAGCAGATGTGGAGAACCCCGTCATACATCTATTCCAAGTTCACTTTGGGAATATCTGTGTCGCTCTTCATCGGTCTCGTCTTCCTTAATGCGCCCCTAAGCATCCAGGGACTTCAGAATCAGATGTTTGCCATCTTCCAGATTCTCAGCGTCTTTGGTCAACTTGTCCAGCAGCAGATGCCGCACTTTGTCACCCAGCGGTCCCTTTATGAAGTGCGCGAAAGGCCCTCGAAGACTTACAGCTGGAAGGTCTTTATGCTGTCTCAGATCATTGCCGAGTTCCCATGGAACACACTGCTTTCCGTGGTCATGTTCGTTTGCCTGTACTACCCTGTTGGGTTCCAGAAAAATGCGGCTGTGACCGGTGCCGAGGCCGAGCGTGGTGGCCTAACTTGGCTTCTCTTCTGGCAGTTCCTCATCTTTACATCCACCTTTGCCCACGCTTGCATCTCCTTCACGGACACGGCTGAAGCAGGAGGAAATCTTGCCAACGTTCTCTTCATGATGTGTTTGCTGTTTTGTGGTGTGTTGGCGGGCCCGTCTACCCTTCCTGGTTTCTGGATCTTCATGTACCGCGTGTCTCCGTTCACCTACTGGATATCGGCTGTCATGTCGACGGGCTTGGCGAATGCAGACGTCACTTGCGCGCCAAACGAAATCGTCACAGTTAACCCGCCGGATAACCAGACCTGTGGCCAGTTCCTATCGTCCTACGCCACGGCATTCGACGGTCAGGTCTTGAACGCGGACGCCACTTCGGACTGCAAGTACTGCCCCCTTGCCCACACAAACACATTCTTAGCAGGAATCAGCTCCAACTTCGAGAATCGGTGGAGGGACTTTGGAATCGGCATGGTCTACATTGTGGTCAATATCGCTGCTGCGTTGGCCCTATATTGGTCGGTTCGCATGCCTCATAAAAAGCGGAAGAGTTGAACTTTCATTTCCAACATGTATAGAAGTATAGAGGGAAGGTTCTCATTAATCTAAGAAGGTAAGGGAGCATAAATTATAGAGGAAAGGGGAAACCAGTAAGTCAAATAGATTGAATTTAAGGCTAGTATGATACTAAAGCCTTCTGGGCTTTGGGGAGGGGGAGAGCGACGGGCTTCTTTGACAGAACATGCCCGGAGACCCCGAACAGCAGCCAAGCGGGAGGGGAAGAAGGGGATGGGGAAGCTGGACACTCATTTCACTTGGGGGATTTCTTTTGTACATTTAGACAGCACAGTGGCGCAACGCCAGGACCCATGTATATAATTAGTAGATACGGTGCCACTTGGTACTGTACGCTACGTCCATAGATACATGGGACCACAGTTCTGCCCACCGCCTCATGTCCCCATAGAGATCACGGACCAGCTGCGCCGGTGAGCCTCACATGGCGTAAAATCACCTCACACACGCACACACACACGCTAGTATGATACTTGGGCCTTTCCGTCACTGCCACAAAATGTATGTTCATCCCATACAGCTCTGGGCGATTGGCTGACCTCACTTGAAGCCTACTCTCGGCGCCTATGCGCGAATTCTGACCTGTCCGTCGTTTTCTGCGGGGCAACGTCACGTCCAACATCACCCCAAGGAATCCCAATACCAACGCTCACCATGGAGTTGGATGATACGCGTAAGGTGGAACATGTTCCCCCCAACTCATATTTGTATCAACCACTCCCACGCGACGGCTCCATCCGATATATTGTCCTGGAACCGGGGCAGGGGGACTCGGCTATAAAATGCAGTCTGCATGTATCTCCCTTAGCGAAGATGCCGTTCTTTGCAGCGATATCTTATGTCTGGGGTAGCCCCGAAAAGCGCCACATGATTTCCTGCAACGAAATGGGAATGGCCATCACCGAAAATCTCCGCGTAGCACTCCTTCAGGTGCGGCATTCGACAGAACCCCTCACGCTATGGGCAGATGGCATCTGCATAAACCAGGACGATAATGTTGAGAAGGGCCATCAAGTCGCATTAATGGGTGCGCTCTATGCACGCGCCGACCGTGTGCTAGTCTGCTTAGGATCTGATCCGGATTACGAAGAGGAAGCCGAAGCGGTGTCTGGGTTGGTATCCGACGTTAGCGCCATGGTGTTACGGACCCTTGAGAATATCGAAATTACTTGGGATACCTTCCCGTTCCCGGACCCAGACGACCCTTTATTGACCGATGAAAGATGGCACGCAATGCGCGTCTTGTTTGACCAGCCATGGTTTGAGCGTGGTTGGGTCGTCCAAGAGGTCTGGCTTGGTCGCTCCCCCAGGCTGCTCTGGAGCGGGCGTGATATTGGGTGGTTGGAGATAGTGAGGTCGTATCTATGGATGAACACGAGGGCGGCGGAGATTTATGCTAGACACGCCCTCACGCTGTTGACGATGCATAGGACGCAGTACGGTCTTCGGTATCCCAAGGAAGCCATGCCTTTACTTCCAGAGAAGCCCAGCGAATGGTTCCCTGGCGTGATGGATGTTGCACGGCCACTCAAGCTTACGGATCAGCGGGACAGGATTTATGCGTTTATGTCACTGGCTGCTCCAGGACATATGCCGTCCACCCTACAACCGGACTACACGAAGGCGTATCTGGATGTTTACTGTGATTTTGCTACCGAATATATCAACTCCCGAAAGGACCTAGGCATTTTGTACTTGGTTGACCACGACGAGACGACATTCTCAAATGACTATCCCACCTGGGTCCCGAGATGGGACAGGCGGGTGGCACTGGAGAACTTGCCACCATTTTCGCATCAGATCCCCGGGCCTGTCCTCGCACGTGCTCACGGGGGTGTCCTCCGCGTTCGCGGCATCGTCGTTGGATCCATCAAGTTTGTCTCCAGTGAAATTGATTGGGTAAAGACGGGGCTCAGCAATATCGTCGCAATCATGCGTGATCTGGCAAACACGGGCATCAGGCCTCCTTACCTAGACGAAGTCATGCCAGCTGTCCTGGCGTTTGCGTGCGCCCTCGTGGGGGGGCTCCAACCAGCCAGCAGAAAAGTATGGGAAGCGGACAGGGCGGCATACATACTCCGTCTTATTGAAGCGGACACTCCTCGGAAGAGTTCGGTAGAAAATCGCTTCAAGAACGAGGCCGAAGAGGGTGACACACCGATGTTCCACTCCTGGGTTCGTGCGTACGGCCATACACGGAGAGTGATTCAGACCGACCGAGGCCACTTCGGTATTGCTCCTGGTATTGTTGAAGAAGGGGATCTATGTTGTGCTATTGCTGGAGCTTGGACGTTGCTTGTTATACGCAAGTCTCAAGATGGGCGATGGAAACTAGTCGGACCGGCATATATCGCCAGCGACAAGGGTACTATTCAAAGTGAGCCGATCGGGTGCGGTGACAAGAGGAATCTGGATTGGCAAGAACGGGGACCGGTTCAGGAAATTTCGATTTGCTAGAGGCGGGCTTTGCGTGCAAGACCTACGTACTGGGATAAGTTCCATTCTATGCCCACCATCTTATCATTCCCGGACAAGAGCAAGAGCGGGAGCTCACGGAATAAGGGCTCACTAGGGGGGCTGGAGGAGGGATCTCATCTTATTATTGAAGACGGCCCGGAGACAATGTTAAAACATAGTGAGACGGAGCAGTGCAGCCTGCCCGCACACCACAAGAACAAAACAAGAAACACGGAATAAGTGGTCAAATGGTCAAGAATGGTTGCTGCAAGAAGTGCTGCAGTTCAGCCTGCAGGAATGGAAATGGACGTCGGAATGGTTGATCAACGGGAATAGGGCCGTATCACAACCAAAGGAGGCTTCCAAATAGGGGGAAGCCAAAGGATCATGTAAATGTCAAATAGGGGACACTTAGACACACAAAACAATAGAAGAACTGTCTGGAGTCACCACACAAGACGATCCATGAAAGTAATAATAAAGAAGTCAATTGAAAGAAGGACTGATGACTGGAATACTTGAAGAACTTAAGAAACTTGTTGAAGAACTTGTTCTTCCTCCTCAGGAGGAAGGGAAAGAAAAGAAATGACCATGGTCATGGCCCATGGTAAGGAATAATGTTTTTCCGCCCCATTCTTGCGGGCCCATGAGAACGTCACCACTTCCACCGCCGTCACCTTTTTCCCCGTCACAATATTATATTTAATTACTATAAAATATTTAAAATAAAGTTAATTTATTATAAAATATAAAAAAAAACCTTATATTATTAAACTTTAAGAAGGTAAAAACTTTATATTATAATCTAAAGATAAAAGAATAGATATTATATAATATTATTTAAAAATAGTAAAAATAGTAAAAGTAGAACTATAGAGAAGAGAATATAGGTACAATAAAAGAGCCCGGCCAAGGTCGCGAGGAGTTTAAGATGATGACCTTACCCCGCAATTGCTATAGTATTTAAGAACTGGCTACACCGGAGCTTAAGAGAAGAGAAGCAATCCCAGCTGCTAGCACAAGGGAAACCCCTTGGCTAACAGTTCTACCGGCACCGGCAGTCACGAGATCAGTGGGGCTCGGGCTATCTGTGCCATCAGCGGGAGGAGGGTTGGAACCTGAGCCACTGCCTGAACCGCTGCCCGGAGGGGGCTCAACTGGCTGCGGTACATCGGAGGGGTTAGGGCCACCAGGTCCCGTTGGCAACGGGGTAGGCACTGGTTCACAATCGTCACAAGGAGAGTTGGTTGGTTCCGGCTCACAGTCGTCGGTCGTCCCCGGGTCATCACTGCCGGTAGTTGTAGGCAACGGGTCACAGTGCCCTTGAAAACTCGTTAGAATAAATATTCTTTTGAAATAGGCTTTCTATTTTTTTCAGAAACTCACAATGATCGTTGTGCGGAGTACAGATTGAATTTGTTGGCGACGGGGGTAGCACCGGATCGGTGGTAGTGGTAGTAGTAGGCCATGGCTCGCAATGCCCTTTTCACTCTGTCAGTACGTGCTCGAAGTCAAACTCTTACGCTGCTGGGTCTTACAGTGATCGTCGTGTGGACTGCAGTTCGCTGTAGTCGGCGACGGCGGTAGCGTCGGCGAAGTAGTCGTTGCGGAATCGGTGGTGGTGGGCCATGGCTCGCAGTGCCCTTGCATCCTGTTAGTACGTGCTCCTGTTCGAAGTCCAGCCTGTATCATGATGGGTCTTACAGTGATCAATGTGAGGGCTGCAATTTGCGGTGGTAGGCGACGGCGGGAGCGTCGGCGAAGTACTAGTCGTGGTGGTGGTAATAGGGCAAGAAGTAGTGGGGACGACTTCGGTGAGGATGTTATAACCCTCGGACGTGATCGCGTTCGAGTCGTACCATTGCGTGATGATAGACGTCCGGGTCCCGATAATCAGAACAGTCGAGAAATATGCAACCGAATATCCGGACCAGACGACGCCAGGGGTGGAGTATTTAGCGTTCATGGAACTCCTCCAAGGTGTATAAGGCGTGATTGACGCGTCAATCCTGTAGATGGTCGTGCTGGTCGGGCTGCATTGTTTATTTTACACCATGTCAGCTAGGTCTCTAGTCACCTCGGGAGGATGGGAGATAAAGCGTAAGGTGACGATGAACCACTTACACGCATCCTGCAGTAGTGCCTACTTCGCCCTGAGGCAAGGCGGAGGCCAGGTATTGGAAAATGCCCACAAAGGCAACCAGAGACGAGAGAGGTAACATCTTCACCACGTGTGAGCTTGCAGGCGGGAGATCTGGGATGAGGTGGTGAGCAAGATGATTGGAACCTGCACTTTTTAAAGTGGGATGGTGTCGAGCTGCATCCAACGCTATATATGGCTTTTCACAAGCGTAACTAGCATGCGTTTTCCATGCCAAGAGGATCTCATTTCTCACTTGAGCTTAATGCACTCAAGCGCAGCGACCTTGATGGCCGACTCCCAGGGGTCAATCCCACGTTGTACGAGCAACCTTATTGGTGGTTCTGCAAGTTCACGCCTGAAATTGGCCAAACTATTGAAAACCATTGATAACTCCTTGGAACGTCACATCTTGGCATGGGGGAAGAAGGCAAAGTGTAACGCAATCTTGTGCAATGTGCGGACGATGTTCATTTACTTTCCAGACCAGGCCATCTTGGCATGGGGTCCAGACGCTTCTCGACATACGGAGCGGAACTGCTGCTCGTATCTCGTTCCGCCCCAGGGCGAACCCCACGCGCGCACATGCAGTCACAGGCGTGGGCGAGCGGTTACGTCTTGGCAGTCATTGGGACATCACCAGGAGATCAGACTCTCAGAGGGATTATCTGCTCTTGTCCCCTGATCAACTGCCCAGATTCCCGTCGTCTTTCGTCCCATCCTCGCGGATCCTCCCGAGAATTCCCCCTTTCCCCCTTCCCGCCATGGTTTTGGACGGCCTTTCATTATGTCATGTAGGATACCCGTACCCCAGATCTTCATCTTCCATTTCGTCTCAAACAAGCGACCATAGGTCTTCAGGTGTTGAATCTGCTTATACATGCTGAACACTACCTTCAAGCCAACGCTAGGATTCTCTGCGAACCATCAGGGTTCCGGACATGTCTTCGGCATTGTCCACTAGCCATTATCCCGCATCTGATTAGTTTGTCGAAATTCTTCATGGTGGCCCGGGTGCATGCATGAGAGGCCCGGCCTTGGCACTGCATGTGGACGTGGACGTCTTCAACCTCCAGTAAAACATCGCGAGAAATCCAGAATGGCGCGCTTTTTTGGCTTTTCATGGCTAGGAGACCAGATGAATATGATCATTCCCGTTACGTTAAAGACTCATGTGCGGAGCCTGTGCTCCTTCGGAAGAATACTGCAGTAGACGACGACGGCGTGGGATGCGCTAGAGAGGCGAGTCTGATATCGGCGAATAGGCGAATCCGATCTATCTAGGGGAGAAGTTCTCAAGAGTCCGAGTATAAAGTCAAGCAAATATCCTGCTTTGTTTTGTCCTGTCTTGTGTGTCCTCAAGCGCTCACCATCAGCAGTCTCGCACAGATCTTCCTGAATCTCCCAACTCCCATTCTCCTCTGTTAAGCCATCTGAAAATGCTTTTCTCCGCCTTCACTCTCGGTGTCACCGCCCTCCTGGCCGGTCAGGTAACAGCAGCCAGGGATATCGTTGCCGATGTCACAGAATGCAACGCCATCTTCGCCTCGCTGGAAACCGCCCACCCTGGTGCTTGCACTCAAAATGCGACCGACCCCTGCTGGATCTGCTGCGACGCTGATGACGAGGGCGTCGATGACTTCTTTGACCTTGTGGCAGACGAATGCCATCTTCATGCCAGTGGTGACGCAAAGTGCCCTGGTAGCCCGGGGACCATCGATGCCTACCACTGCGATGATCACCACAATCTTCGCCGCATCAGGGCCTAGTGATATGTTCAACCATATCAGAGGGAGAGGAGGGGAGAATGGGAATCTATGTCAGTAAGTCTGGATCTGTCATGAAAGGGATTCACTCACTAAATGTAGCTTTGCAGTGTCGCCATTCGTCAATAAGCCCCCCTTCCTTCCGACGCCTGTTCGTCTTTCTCTCGACGCGTCGCTATAGCGTCCGTCTTAGTGTTCCACGCACTGCCGCAGTTAGGGAACGTCGGGTCCTAGCCGAGGAGACATGCTGCACGATTGTTGATGGAAGCTCTTTGTCTTCGTACCTTCACTTAACCTTACTTAGTCGATGAACCCCTGGCCAGGGTATTCAATACCAACCAATGTTGCGCAATAAAGTTATGAGGATGTGTGTTTCTGGTGATCGGACTAATATCTTCCTGTAGATGTGCTCAATCGCGCACGTGTTCCAAATGCTGGTCCATAATAGTGGCCCTGTGTCTAGTTTGTCTTATCTAAAAGTAAGTAAGGGTGAGGTATATAACAGATACGGTAGAAGGATTGTCGTCAAATTATACATAGGAGAATGATGCTAGTGCTCCGTAGGTGGAGACCGTACAGTACCAAGCAGTCGTGTACGAGTCGTCGAGGATCAGCTGACCCTTGATCAGCTGCATCTTCCCTTCCTCATTGGCAGGTCACCTGACCCCCCACACAACAGACCCTTTCTGCCACTTATCAATCAATTTTTGGAATGCGATTACTAATACTTTTGGCTGAGAGTCGGCGTTTTCTGCCAGACTGCCACCACACATACAAAGTTAATTCCGGGAGTGAATTTGGGGTCTATCTCCGGGCGTTAAGCGCGCTGCCCTGTCAATATCTTCTTGCAAGACCATAGTACTCTCAACCCTTCGCTATAAACTCCGTGGCCAGGAAGCAGAACCATTAAAACACAAAAATGGAACACGAGGCAGGAAAAAGCAAAAAAAAAATCTACACTGAGAGTGGGAAACCGTGACAGCAATCTTCATGGGGGTAGTCCTTGCTGTAATGTTTGGCTCTACTCGTAGAGAACTGAAAAAATTTCGGCTTGCGGTGCAATTTTTCCCTCCAGTCAACGTCAAATTGACTCTGGTCGGGAACACGACAAGCGCTTGAAGCAAGCTCTCGAAAGGGGCGGCCGCGCGTGCCTCTAGGAGATCTCATGGCGCAAAACGAGTCCAAACCGATTCTCTATTCCCGCCCGTTCTTTGATGCTGGAATGAGCTTCGTCGTTTGTGTCGTGATTGGCGGGCTCGCCGGAACGCCTAGCGCAATCTGGCGGAGACGGGGCCGAGGTGCGGTTGACGCATACGCGAGCTTCTTCGCGTTATAACAGGGGAGATGAATTGATAGATTAGATTGTTGTCGTTGAACGCGGGTACCACGGGCACGCGACGATTTCATGACACATGCAGGCCCGTTGCGCAAAGGGGCAACTTCATGGTCGATTCCTGATTCGCAACTCTTCACCCGCAGGAATGCCTTGAAGGATCAGTTTCGGGGTCCAGTTCGAATTTCACCACAAGGGACTTCTTCATGGAATCCTATTCACTCGTCGTTTTACTTTCTCCATTTTGCATGTTACGCGAATGGCTAGGCGCTTGACCGCTAGACCAAAAGGTGTGCCTGCAGAGGAGTTAACCAATGTAGGATTATCAAGCCCTATAAAGCCAGAACGCGTGACAGTAGTTGACAATGGGAGCATCTGTGGGGTTTGCACTGCGGAGAGTAATAGTATCTTGCGACTTGGGTGTGAATAGCTCAGCAATGATATTAAAAGCGTGCTGGCTGTCACCGGGGAACTTGTCGAACTGCTTCGGCCCGCTATAGTACTCGGTGGAGAAGAACTCAATGTTGGGCTGCTTCGGGGTCAAGCCCATGGGGTCACATTGGTCTGCCATCTTGTTTGAGGGTATTACAGAACCAACCACTTCCACGATCTCGTTGACGGCTCCCTTGACAGCTCTCTCGATTATGCCATGTTTTTAACCAGGTACCTGCTCAACTACCATGAGGTAGGACGACGTGTGAAACGATTCCAGGTCCGGCCTTTTTGAAGCCACCGCGGACGTGATCTTGGCGAAGGCATCGTCTCTATCGGCGGGCCGGAATATGTGTTGTGTCAGAGCGGAGGCAATGATGAACTGCACCTAGCAGATTCTTGCTAAAGCTTTTTCTTGTCCTCGTTGGCGACCCGCTCACTCTCCTTTAGAGCTCTTTTGGTTTCAGCAAGCTCATTCAGGAGGTGATCTATGTCCGCTTGGAGCTTCTGCTTCTGAACAGCGAGGTCCTTGTTCTGCTGGGTTAGGGTATGGTTGTCCTCGGTGAAGCGCTCGATTATGGCGACGCTATCGCGGTCCCGTTTTCTCAGGGTTTTCAAATCATTGGCGACGTTTTCCGCCACTTCTTTGACGTGGAACAGATGTTCCGCGGCTTCCATCATCTGGAGAAATATCTCCGTATCTTCCGCGTTTTCGTGAATGAACGTTCATGGGTGCTGGTGGGGGTACGTAGAGAATTGTGTTTGCGTTAGAGAATGACGTGAATTGGGGAAGAGTATCGGATGGATGAGTTTCTAGTACGTCAGGTCTGAGAGATCTGAGGTGGCACCTGGTTTATATGCTCAACTACCAATCTCGCAGTCCAGCTTTTCCTACTTTCAGCGCGCGGACGCTTTCGTGTTAGTCTCCTCGCAGGCCGTCGGTGTGTCGCACTGAAAACAGCGGGAGGCTGAGGAGATAGAAAGCTATCGTCTAATCTTAGGTATCTTTACGCACTAGCAACTAATGAGTGTCGCTGTTTATCATTGCCAACCACCCACACCTGCATACACACAAGTGGAACAATATCGACTGTCTGAGACCACGTAGCCCAAAAAATGCTACTGTGGCTCGCGCATCGTAGATCGCGAGCGAAACAATGAGGCGAGATTCATGTACAAGCATCTAATCTACTGATGGTCATCAAGATGCTGTTGGGACCGCCTCGAGCTGTAGGCATCCGGGACGCCTTACATCATGGCTTAACCAGCTGGCATCCATCCATTGTCTCGCGCAGACCGCTCATTTTTTTCTGCCGCCTACCGAGTTATTGGCGGGTTAATACTCTCGGTGATTCGCGCGACGAGAGCCTTCGCTTCCACACTGCTTGGCTCGGAGCGGGGTAACCAGTGACAGGCCAACCAAGCCTCAATTTTGTTGTGGGCATCTCCGTGTGGCATCCGCCCTGTTGGAAGGAGGCGGGCCGGATTTGGAGCGGGTGACGGCACGTCTCGACAATAGACTCCTGGCTGTTAGCCGAGTCTTCGGCCCGCCCATTGTTGAATACGAGATGCTTGATGACACCTACGGAGCCAGAGGCCTGTGTTTTAGGTCTAAGTGTACACATGATAGAGTACTTAGGTTGAAAGCTGGGTCTAAGGAACGGCTGTTAGGTCTTTCCTTCGTCCAATAGTCTAGTTCATAGTAGAGAGCGCCTAGTTTCCCGGCCCTCCGTGCACGATCAAGGCATATATTGTCACCATTCAGGGGTAGTCAGGCTCTGCATAATACGTAACTATAACGAGGAAAATTCATGCGTGCTGCTCAATGCAACGCATGCAAATGCACATTGGTAAGCGCAGCTGTTCAAACTTATTGCGCGTTTTCACCGTTGATGTCGGAAAAGATAGAATGGGCAGCCACGCTCTCCCACTTCGCATAGAGAATCCTTCACGGCACTCTACCCAGGGCATTACTTTTGTACGGTTTGTGTATAAGTAAGTGTGGAGTGGGTGGTATTATACAATATTCGAGAGGCCTGACCCTGATTTTATTTAATATATGCTTCGAGAACGATGTGTTGGCTTCGGATCCGTCACTGGAGGAAGTGGAGAACCAGCCTTTTGTATCCAGAGATGCTGTCAATCAACTCCGAGACGCGGATGTACTCATCTGGCCCATGTGCTACCAGAATTGACCCCGGTCCGTACAAGACCCTCTTGTTACAATACTCATCCTTGAGTCGAGGAATGTCCGTTCCAAAAGCCACCGGAGCTGCATCAAAGCCATCGATCTCCCATTCCAAGAGGGCCTCGGGGTACTCAAAGACAAATTTCAGCTCCACATCGGGGTGTTTCGAGACTATTTCCGCAATTTTTGATTTGATACCTGGGAGGTCAGTGACCATGCGCACTTCGCAGAGTGCTTTGGCTGATGGAGCGACGATGTTATGTTTCTCTCCGCCCTCGAGAGTTCCGATATTGAATGTCGAAGGGCCTAGGAGATCTGATTCCGGCCAGCTTGCTGCGGAGAGGTCGTTGAGGACGGCGAGAAGCGTAGAGGTCGCACTTTTGCCAAGATGAGGGTATCCCGAATGACTAGTCGGTGGGGAATCCGCCATTAACCCCGTTGTTCATGACATGAATAATTTGCATCGAGGGTTGACTCACCAGGCAATGCCTTCGGCGATGACTTCGAACGCCACCTGTCCCTTATGCCCCTTCGCAAGCTTGCTCTCGGTTGGTTCGGCAAAGATGCCGGATTCCCAGGTCAGTCCCATATCATTGGCAGCGACCATGCCATGCCCGCCATTCTCCTCACCAACGACAAACAGTAATCCAATATCTCCCTCATCCCGGACCTTTCCCTCCCTTCTCAGCTCCTCCGCAGCCACGATTTGCGCCGCCAACGGGCCCAGATCATCAGAAGAACCCCTCCCACGGATGACACCGCCGTCAACCGTCAGCGGGATACGCGGCGGCACCGTGTCCATGTGAGCCGTGAGAAGCACGCGTGTCTTGCGGGAGGAGCCGAGGTATGCGTAGACATTGTGACGAGTGGAACTTGGTGCGATGGGGATTCGTTCGACGGTGTAGCCTAGGGATTGGAGATGTTGTTCCAGAAAGACGCCGATGTCGTGCTCGAGCTCGCTAGTGCTCACAATGGACATGAGCGACTTCAAGAGGTGGACTACCGGGTGTTCCATGATTGCAGCCGCCGTGGTGAAGGAGTTTTGATTTGAAATACAAATCCAAGAGTCGAGCTATTCCTGCCCCTCCTTTTCTAGCTGTGGTTAGGTCAAAGGAGGTGTGCGGGGTTACATTCACCAAGTAATAGTGCGAAATGTATCATCATCTGCCGGCGTAGGCTTCTGAGTCATGATGAAGTGTTTTCGACTCAGAGAGTACTTACTCTTAACTGAACAGTTTCAATAAACGACGTGCGAGCCATGTGTATTTCTTTACTTGACTGACGCTGACACTCATCTATTAATGCGGTCAATCTATTCCAGCGTTAGGATTTTGCGAATGTAAAACGAGTGGTCAATGAATACCTACCAAACTCTTCCCACACCCTGCCACTGTCGTCTGTTGCCGTCTCGCCTGTCCTGTGATCGACGGTTAAACTCTGGCGCCGCCAGCAGTTTGCCGTCAGAGGAATCTTCACTCTTCCTTCCAATGTGAGCTCGGCCACGATGTTGGCCCGGAATTTCGTGACGTCCATCCCTCATAATTAATTAGATTTTAATTTAAATAATAAGCATTCGTGTCGGTATCGTCGAGCGGACAGAGAGAGAGAGCAGAGAGACTCTTCAAAGGAGGCTGCCCGTGTCAAAATAAGTCATCTCAAGGGATATCTACAAGAGGTGTGTCTTGTGCTACTCCAGACTCTCTCCCATTTTCACTCAGCCTTTTTCTTCAACTGTCTTTCGCTGGAAATAAATAATTCGGGCCGCGAGCGTGCAGCCTATTACGTTGTTCTCCCAGGGGCGAGGTATCCTCTGTTTATCAGGGGCCACTCTGCCTTGTTCTTATTGCCTTGGCGAGTCTCACGGGCATTGCATCGACGGTCACGCCTACTCTATTCTAGAATATTACTCCGGCGAGGATTCTCATGCACCCCCCCTAGGAGACTCCACCGATCCACTTTTCATGATCTTCCTGACTTCCAAAATAATAAGACAGAGGTAGCGGGCTAATTGTTGAAAGGGGTCTTTGGCTATTTGTTACGGGAACCAGGGTGCCATATGCCAGCACCCACTGCCACGGGGCACAACCAACATAAAAGGAATGCCGCCTGCCACCGCCAAGTCAAATAGAACTTAGACTTAACAAGAAGAACATCATCACATTATCACATCTTAGTATCCAGCCTTCGCCCGTCGCGCCTTCCGCCACGTAACGCTAATGAAATAAGGGAATGTTAGTGCCTTATCAGAATTTTTACATTGGTAGGCCCTAATAAGTTAATTCTATTTCCTATTCGAAACGTCTAGAACGAGGCAGTTAGTTCTTGATTCTGACAAATACGATTAAAGCAGCAAGGAAAGCGGCAAGGAAAGCAGCAAGAAATACTAGTATCAGTGACGACTTGTAACTTACTGAATTGAAAGTGGATAATGTCTCCATCTTGGACAACCTAGGAGAGTATAAAGTTAGGTGCTGTAGTATTGGGAAGAATCTGAAAACCTACATAATTCTTTCCTTCTTGTCGGTACTTCCCGGCAGCCTTGATTGGGGCCATGGACTTGCTGCCTTCGCAAAGGTCATGGAAGTCTTGGTACGCGACTACTTCAGCTTTGATGAATCCCCTCTCAAAATCGCTGTGGATAGCTCCAGCAGCCTGTGGCGCTAGACAACCCCTTGGGATAGTCCAGCACCTTACTTCCTTCTCACCAGCTACGTACAAAGTTAGCGCGAAATTAATCCAGAGGTGGCAGATTATGAACGAACCGGTGAAGTAGTATTGCAAGCCAAGCTTATTGAACCCTTCGGTAGTGATTTTGTCTAGTTTTGACTTGACTTTGCTCTCCTTGAGGAACTCGGCTTGTGCAGCTGGGTCATCCTTCATGCTGTGAAGTTTCTGTTCAAACTCAATAGAGAAGGGAACAATGTCTCGGGGAACACCTCCGTGCTCAATGACCCACTTGGCTATGAGCGGCAGGTACTTGCTCTTCTGCCTGAGGTAATCCTTCATTGTCAAGTTGACAAGGTAGATGGTGGGCTTTGTCGTGATTAGCTGTATCTTCTCGTTGATGAGTGTAATCTCGGCCGGTGTCCAGGTTCCATCTCTGACTGGCTGATCCTTTTCCAACAGCTATTTCACGATTGTAAGCACGTTTAAACGGTTAGATCTGTAAGACCGGGAAATGTGGCCTCACAGCTCGGATCTTCGTCGTTGTCTCTGTGAAGAGAGGTAGCATCTTGTATTTGCCACCTGCCTTCCTAACGAGTGCTTCCTCGGCAATTATTGTCTTCTCCAGAATATCTAAACGGGGATTAGCTGGCATCAAGCCGATTTAGTAGGCAAAAAAACAAACCGAGGTCTTTCTTGCAAAGCTCGCTTTGGATGGTGTCTAGGAGATACATTGATTAGTTTCGTAATATTAGCGGGCTTAGATTAACTTACTCAAGTCTCGGACAGGATCGATCGAGTCATCAACATGTAACACCTCGTCGTTATCAAATGCTCTGTCATAAGATCGGAGTCAGTGTGAAGGTGCAGCGGCTCTGTGACAGATGCCGTACCTGACGATGTGGAACATGCCATCAACGGCCTGGATATGAGATAGGAATGCATTTCCAAGCCCCTCTCCTTGGGAAGCACCCTTGATCAAGCCAGCAATGTCGGTGACCTGCAGATACGGTGGGTACGTTGAGGGTGGCTTCCAAAGGTCACAGAGGAAGTCCTATAGATATTACTTACTTCAGCCATCCGTTAAATATCTTGCTGTACGAAGTAGAGTACTTAAACTTACATATCGAGCGTCGGGAACAGCACACCTCGCCTCATTGGGCTCAATCGTACAAAAGGGGTAGTTCTCTGCGGCGGCGCTCTGCTCTGTCAAGAGATTGAACAAGCTCGACTTTCCCACATTAGGCAAACCAACGCATCCCATCTTTAGGTTCTTACGAACCCTCCCGAAAGCAACGACATTGTCCTTGACAGCTTCAACCTTCTTAGGGGGCATGGTGACTTTACTGGCTGGCGACAAATGAATGATTTTGTTTAATGGATCGGTTGACCTTGGAGGGGCAAAAGAGCAAGAATTTGTGCCCGCCGCCCCGCACCTCTTGGCACACAACAATTGAATGGTTTGAGTTTTGAGGGTTATTACCTGCCTGTAGGATGACTAAGCACCTGTCCTGCAGGTTCTTCGGGCTCAGTTGCAATTGTGGGTGATATACATATTGTTGGCAGGTTGGCAGCTTGGGCCAACTGTTGCTAGATGCTAAAATGACCTCTTGTAGTTCTTAGTTTCTATGGGAAGAATTTCCCCTTTGGGGAATTTCTTCTGAAGAACAATAATATCGATTTCACCTACATATATTAATTAAAAGTGGGCCTGTTTTGCGTCGCTTATCTCCCTATTAGCTGGGCTCAGCTTTCACCAGCCCTTACTCAGCCTGAATAATGCTAGAACTCAAAAATGGATTTTAGTCTATGCACTTTTCGTCTTCGATTCTGTTAGTATCCTTCGCCCTGAATCCCCACGCCAAAATTGCGGCCACGGAATTCGGGTAAAGTCGAGCATAGGTATAGAAGTTATCAGGGTCAGTTAAAAGGCGATTCATGAACAGGACAGCCCTATTGGGGTTGTCTGTTAGTGCGGCTCGATGTTTCATGGCTAGAATAACCGAATTAGAACTTACTCCGCCTCTCGGACGCGAAAATGCCTCTGATCCAAGCTCTTAGGATTCAAGTTCCTCGTCACAACGGGGCGCTTCGCCCTCCAAGATGGACCCCGGCACTCCATGGTCATATGATTTCCGCGGGTAATGAACAGAGGTACGATGTTTGGCGGGCGATCGGAGTATATGCTACCGTTTCGATCGATGAGCTCATAGACCGCCTTCCTGTCGCAGATGACGATCATGTTCCCAGGCCCTATTTTGAGCGAGAAAATCTTGCCATATTGCTGAGACCATTCGTGAAATCTGGGGCCACCGATAATTAGCATACCACACGTCTTTTCATCGGGACGTGAGAATGGCAGCCGAACCCACTCGCTTTTTTCCAAGACCCGTAGTGGGAATATCAAGGATGTTACCGAGGACGGCAGTGGTCGGAGGGCCCGGTGGCATGCGAGAATCCCTTTTCCCGACTTGAGACAGCTTGTAAATTCCATAAACCACAATGCTGACGACAGCCATGGAGACGATACCGTGGTGATTCTCGCCAAGCAGTCTCATATTCACCAACTTCCCCAAGTCTTCCACTGTAGGTAGGCTCATGATTGCTGCGATATGGTTCTGGGCTGCCTAGAAGAACTGGCTTAGAGATTCTGGATCCAAGACACTCCTAGATGAGAGGTTCTTCATTGATAGTAGACGAAGAACCCTACTAATTGAATGGCGGAATTTTCGCAAATGTCTCGCCAGCCCAAGTCTTGGAGCTCCCTTCCACTTACTTGTATTTTGGATCTCGTCCACAGCTAGTGATAGTCAATGCTAGTTCCTCCCCCATAATCGCTTTATTCTGTCATCGAAATTGGATGCGCGGGATTGGTCCTGACCGAAGTTCGCCCATCCGAAACGAGGGGAAGACCTATTAGTTCACAACAAAAGACAATTGGTGATAAAACCGGGTTAGATTCGCCGTGCCAATACCGCTGGCCCGTATGAATAGACCGAATTTGCATTAACAGGCCAATTTGCCGACGCCGGGATTGAGCTTTCTCATCCCCCCTGTTCGGCCTCGGGTTCGGTGATCAGAACGCAAAGCACATTTCATAGCTCAAAAAAAGACCTTCGACAAAGCCGCAGCGCTAATACCATTCATAGGCATTCGTAAAATTACACCAACCATCTTTCGATAATCCCTTAAGCTCCCTCGTGCCATTCACGGTGATCATACGCAGATACGTTTCGCCCACCACCGGCGTGGATCCCGAAGACCAGCCGATCCCGAGACCGATCCCGAGACCGAAACCACTTGCGGGGCCGAGGTACGCTCTCGGTCTAGCGACAGACCTACCCCGCGCTGCACCCCGGCTCTCGACCCTTGGCCTATGGGGTAGGTCGGCACGTGTCGACGTTTACGGAGTCTGCTCGGTCAATAAGTACTGTAAAAAGATAGATCACATTCGCATCATTGATCTTTTACTTTCAGACATTCACATCCTCAGGTCTAGCTGAATATCAGTGTCCTATTTTGTCTGCTTTTTATAGCTACGCCTAGAATGGCATTCCCCAGCGAAGGGTATGTAACCCCCCCATGACTGGAAAAGAGGGAATCTAAGTATTTGCAGCGTTGCTTTTGTGACTGGCGCCGGAGGTACTGTCGGCCGCGCTACCGCCCTCCAGTTTGCCAGGGACGGCGTCCGCAAAATCGCCGGGCTCGACATCTCCGCACCAGTGCTTGGCGAAACAAAGCAAATTATAACCGAGAAATTTCCTGATGTAGACTTCTTGCCGCTCATTGCAGATCTCAACGATGAAGCGCAAGTTACCGCTGCCTTTGCGCAAGTTGTTGAAAAGTTCGGTCGGGTGGACTATGCCGTCAACAATGCGGGCATTGGCCATCCTCTCAAGGTCACTCCCGATCTTCCATTCGAGAACTTTGACCGTGTTATGGGCGTGAATTTGAAGGGCGTGTGGACGTGCGCGAGGTTAGAGCTGGCCCAGATGGAGAAGCAGGAGCCTCTCCCATCGGTCTCCAAGTTGTAAGTTACGGAGGGCGCTAGTTTGGTCTCTATGCTCACTCGAGGCAGCTCGGAACGCGTTCCTTCCAGGGGAGCCATCGTCAACGTGAGCTCTATCCTTGGTAACATAGCGATGCCGATGCTAGGGATTTACACAATGTCTAAGCATGGTAAGGAGACGAGTCCGTCTGTGTTTTGGTAATAGAGCTAAATCTTCATCGCAGGCGTCATTGGCCTGACAAGAACTGATGCTCTGGATTTCGCGAAGAAGGGCGTGCGCGTTAATTGTGTTTGCCCAGGGTAAGTGGAATCTCGATGTTCATTTGTGTCTCCATTGTCCCCTGTGATGCTAATTTATTACCAGATTTATCGATACGCCACTGTTGTCAGAATCAACACGCAAGACAGTACGCGAATCGCTTTCCTAGATAAACTGAAACCTCGAGTATACACTGACCCCGTCACAGCTTGCCCCATCCATTGAGAAAACCCCCATGGGCCGCCTCGCGAACCCTCAGGAGGTGGCAGATGCTATCATCTTTCTATCTAGCGAGAGATCAAGCTACATGACCGGCTCCGTGTTGACGGTAAGTTCCACATGCACTTCTGGGAGCTCATGGCTAACAACACTTGCCCTATAGGTTGATGGTGGATATACGGTTCATTAATCTTGTGCATATTGTTCCTATGGGTGTCCGGATATGCTGTAAATTCTCCAAGATTTTTCTTCGCCTCGAGCTCCCCAGAGAAGCCGTCAAGTGCATTGGAATGAAAGAAAGTAAGCAAGTCAAATTTCATTAATTAGAAACTATCTTGGAAGAAGACTGCCTGTCTCTCGCTGTAAGGATGGTCGTGGCACAGAATGAATGGGTACAGTCGGACTCGTAGAGGTCAAGTGTAGGTCTTGTATTAGAGTAGCACCAATAGCTGCTTCCTCTCCTTCTCTCTTCTAGACTTGGCAGGCCGCGCTGGCTCGTTTTCCGGGGTAGAAGGTTATTCCTCTCGCCGCTGGTCTTTTGCTGGGGCGTCCTTTGGGTTCGTCGTCCCTGGGTACCGCGCCAGTGGTAGGATCAAATTTGAGGTTCCCAGCGTAGGCAAACGTCGTCGCGATCTCGGACGAGGTGACGAATGAGTACGCCTGAGGATCTCCATCGTGGAGCCTGGCGAAGTTATGTTTGAAGCTTGAAATTCCACAGTCCTTCTCCTTGGCCTTGATATCGACGCCCTTGCGATCCAACTGCCCGACATAGGGGCCGCACAAGTTACTCAAAATGGTGGCGCCAGCGTTATGGAGATTGACTGATGGGATTCAATGGTAGGCGATAAAATATACCCATTTGATTCGCCTCATCTAGTTTAAGCTACTTGCCATACAAAGCTAACTATCAACTTCACTTGATGATTGAAGCCCTTCCTTCAACCACCTTTTGATCTCTTGTCCCTGCTTAGTCTCGTCATTGCGACCAAACAGTGGCCATATAAACGGTGCTATGTGGCACTCGTCGTCCGCGACGATAAACTGGACGTGCTCGTTCTCGGTCTTAAGATGTATTAGCCCTATTTTAAGTCAAAGCACTGCAACTCTTACCTGAAACTTGTCCGTCCAGACAGTGATAGGATCCAGGAAGACCTCGTCAGCACCAGCAACGAAAAGCGTCCTCTCCACGGGGGCGTTTGACCACCACTCTCGTGTGGCAAGAATTGCCTCAACATAGTTGTCGCTCGCTCTGCCACCTAGGTAATCTATAGCCCATTGACGTAGGGTTTCGATGGAGTCAATATCTTTGTGAACATTCCGCGTCATGCTCTCCCATGACGTCTTGAAGGACAGCCACGGTGAGATAAGAATCATTCCCTTCAATGGCGATCGCACCTCCAATTTCGGGAGGCCTTCTTCTGGATGCATCAGATGCGACAAGATTGCCAGACACAAATTCCCACCTGCTGAGTCGCCAGCGAGTATGATGTCTTGCGGTTCCCGTCCCGGGTCTTCTAGGACATACCTCAGCGCTTCAATTGCTTGGTTGAGTTGTGTAGGGTACGACGCATGCGGTGTCAAGGAATATGTGGGATAAAACCACGCAGCATCGATTCCAGCGCTTAAGAGCTCCTGCTGAGCACCAGCCCAAAAGTCGATGTGCTGCGCCATGCCATCCATAACAAAGCCACCACCTTATAAAAATCTGTTAGAAGTAATAATCAAACGAGACAACATCATGATCGCGGTGGGCGGAGGGGGGCTCAACAATACCATGGAAGTTGATGATAATGTTCTTGGCCGACTCCTGTCCAACCCAGAATCCGGTAAGTCCGGAATCTCTAGTAACGAAGTTCGGTTTGACATTTCTATTCTTACAGAACCTCAGATACGCCTGGTCAAAAGGTTCAAGAAGATACCTATATATTTATTTCCCATTAGCATCAGCGGGCAACGTCTAGACTTATAAACTTACTGCAACTGCAGTGAGCTGAACCTTGAAGTCAACTAGATCAAACGTGAATCACAGTTTAAAGCTGCTTTGATGCCGATGGCCGACTGATAGATCTCACTACCGAGCCAACGACATGTTGGTGATAACTCGGCGCACCGGACTGCCCACGAAAGAGGCCATTGGCGAGGCCTTTTAGAATATCACCCACTTCTGAGGATTAATATGTGCTCTAAGAGAGTTTCAAGGACAGGTCTCACTTACAAAAGAGAATAATTGCAGGTATCAAACCGAACTTTTGACGAATTGTCAGGGTACTAACTGTTTGGGGGTTGTCGTATGCCATTCTAAATTGCGAGATCACTTATTCGTTCTGGTTCTGAGTGGGTAAACTTGGAGGAGATGTTGGCGATACTGGGAATGCGGTGCTTCGACACATTATTAGTCCAACCGCTTGTCATCGATGTAGCCCTACCATTAACTACATCAAGATTAGTCGTCGGCTCCGTATTCGCCTCGGCAAACCTTAAGTTAGCTCCGTTCTCGTGTGAGACAGAAAAATAACCGAGAGGATGCCATACAATACAAAATATATCTGATCACTGATCACTATTAATTACTGCAACTTGAGTCTACTACCAGTGAGTCTTCCGAGGTTTATAGACTCACACCCGCGCTGACAGCGGAGAATATTTAAATTTCTTAATATGTCAGACGAATTTCATATTAGAAGTATTCCATATCTCCTCGCTTTCTCCTTTATGACCAGTTACATGACACACAATCCGCAATATATGCTCACGAACGCGCACGAACACACACGAACACACCGCATAACATTGCTTTAACTACACCAAAAGTTCTTCAATACCTTCATAAAATGGCGCAGACCCAGTTCTACCAAACCGTTATCACTACCGACGAGGACAAGGCTCAGGCGGCAAAGCGGCGGGCAGTATGTATTCGACCATTTTTCCTCTTCTGGCTCAACTCCTTCATCTTTGAGGTGACGATGCTGCTGGTCAGCGTCGTTGTCTTTTCTGGTTTCCGGGACATGTTCCAGAAATGTATGTGGACCATCTTCTTCTGTCCACTTGGAATGGGTGGCGCAATGGGCGGTCCTCGTCAACGCGTTTATTGTCGACAAGCACTACGGATCGAAAGCTGTCCAATTCTGCGCCATTATGAGTCTCTTGGTCTTAGGCACCTGCAACTTCCTTTGCTACAATCTGGACCTTGTCTTTGGTTGGTTTGGCGCTCATGATCATTTTTGGTGGTGGAATGGGCGATACCCCCTGATTTACGTCGTGGGATATTTTACTGGAAAGCTCCTATTTACCGACAAGGGTCAGGAGACCCTTGCTGGCTGGGGTGTATAAGAATCGTCCGGAGACATGGGTGATCTATCAAAACGAAGCGAGGGCATCGAGTGGTTTAGTGTAGTTGATTCCTGCTAAATAAGTGCTTGGTCCTCACTTGATCTGTTATATTTCGAGGTCCTAGGAGAAGGGAAGAGGAATGGATAAGCTGGGATATATATTTATGTATGTATTATCTAGCACTACCCCCTGATACTCTGAGTAAATAGAAGGAGTGATTTTAGTAGGAACATGAAATAATAGAAGGTAGAGCAAATATAAGTTTCTAGCTCTGAAGTATCAAGGACAGACAGGAGGATCCTATCTATTCGGTCATTCCCGGCAGCGGGTACTAAGACTGTCACGTCTCCTCATTCTTTGCTTGTCCATTTGTCGCCCTTGATATTGCGTTAGCGATGCGTCCTCTTAGTGGGAATAATCTAACTCACCAGACCCAGGACTTCCTGCCCGCGTAAGAACTCGACCGCGTTCTGCTCCCCCATCCACTGAGGCAGCGTGCGGTTAATTCCTTCCTCAGTATCAAAGCCACGCCCGCCTGAGACAAACACCGCAGCTCCATTCAACACCTTATCGGCAGCGCACTGGACAATAAAGCGAGCCACATCCTCGGGGGTGTTCAGCGGCATCTTCTCCTGAACCCACTTCTCCTTGACAGCGCCAAGGATCTGCGTGTCCGTTGCCCAAGGGCAGATTGCGTTTGCACGAATGTTGTACTTGACGGGTGCCCAGGGGCGGAGGGAGCGCATGAGGCCGATGACGCCGTGTTTCGCTGGGGAGTAGGCGAAGAGCCCGGGTGCTTCCGTGATGCCGGCGATGGAGGATACGAGGACGATTGATTTTGAGAAGTCTCCATTTGGCGATGCGTCGGGCTTGTTCGACTTCATGTAGGCGAGGGCGATCCTGCAGAAGGTGATGACACTGGTCAGGTTGATGTCGATGTGGTTCTTTACGGGAATTGGCTCCTGTTGATCCGTACAGTCAGTTACTGTTCCAGCAGCAGAGCTAGGGAATGCGGCGACATGAACTGGCCCGATATAGTGGACCTACTTTTCGGACAGTCTCGAGGTTTAGATCCTCCGGCTCAAACCAACCGTCCGGTTCCCCGACTGCGGCACACGAAACGGCGACATCGACCTTGCCGTGCTTGTTGTATGCGGCATCGAACAGAGAGAGCTGTGAATTATAGTCTCGGACATCTAGCTTCTGGAAATACACCGATCCGCCACTGGATGCTCCGCTGTTGAGGTCCTGCTCCAGTTTCCGGCCTTTGGAGTCATCCCAATCGCCGAAGAAGACGTGTGCTCCCAGCGAATTGAGAAGTGCTACCGTTGCTCCGCCGATGCCTTGGGCGCCGCCTGGGAAATGAAGTTGGCTATTATTCCAAACAAATTCATAGAGATCATGATGTCTTACCTGTCAACACAACTACCTTGCCCCTCAATCCTTGAACAAGGCTCTCCGAGTACTGTATTTCCGCCATAGCAGCTGATTTAAATGATGGATTTGCCTGCAGGTGGGAATAAGCCGACGATGGGATGACCAAAAGTGATGGAATGCCATGTTTCTTTTGAGAGAATCCAGACGAGCCAGCTTCGGCGAACAGGTGGAGGCAAGCCCGCCTCCACTGACCTATCCATTCCCCACAATCTGGAGCCAGAGAGCGGAGCTGCAACTCACTAGCGATCCGCCAGACCGTATTTGCCCAATCGGGTTGGGAGAAGTTGTTTGCTTCTTTGCTCCCTTTGGGGCTTTGCGGGGTTTGTGTGGGCTTCCCGCTTTGGGGAAGATGGGCGGGAATTGTCCCACCCCGTGAGGGACCCGGGAGGGTCGGCAGATACTTGTCGACGATCGGCATTTATACCTTTACATCGCCAGCCTAAGCCGCTTAATACAGATGATGTGCGTCCACATCTGCTAGACGAGATATCTCGAAAAATTTTATTATTCGGTTTCCTTGGTAAATTGAGAAAGAACGAAAATGACATCCTCGCAAGTCCAGAAGTCGGTCATCGTTACCGGAGGCGCGAGTGGCATCGGCCTCGCGATGACCCGGTATTTCGCATCTCAAGGTCATAGAGTTTCCGTTTTCGACATCAACGACAAAACAGGGCCCGGCATCGTCGCCGAAGTCGCCGCCGAACACCCCAAGGCCGCATTGTCCTTCAAGAGGTGTGACGTCTCATCCTGGGATGAGCAGGCCGCCGTCTTCAAGCAGGTGTACCAAGAACACGGTCGGATTGATGTTGTCATGGCCAACGCCGGCATCTCGGAGCAAGGCCAGAGCAGCATCGCGAAAGTAGAGGACGATGAGCCCGTTAAGCCGGCCACAAAGTCCATTGAAGTGAACTTCCTCGGCGTCATCTACTGTGGGTTTTTTTTTTCCTATCTCCAGCGTATGCCATTGGAAATTTTGCCTATAACTAACTATTTTGTCCAGCTGTAAAACTGGCCCTCCACTACATGCACAAGAACAAGGACGACGGTTCGCCTTCCAGAGGGTTGGTGATCGCGACTGCATCGAATGCGGGCGTGTACCCCTTCCCGATTGCCCCGCTGTATGCTGCCTCCAAGGCGGGCGTCATCAACCTTGTTCGGTCGCTGGGACCTGTTTTGGAAAAGTCAAAGATTCAAATAAATGCTCTCGCGCCAGCTGTGCTTGGTATGTCGATGGTCCAAGGATATTATACTCTGTTTTTTCAATGTCTCCTGCTAAGACTCGACCTAGAAACAAACATTGCGCCGAGCCCTGATTTATTCAAACCCATGATCATTACACCAATGTCGACTCTAACTAAGGGTGTTGCCCAGTTTGTCGAGGATCCTTCCCGAACTGGGCAAGTCGTCGAGATTCATGGGGAGAGTGTAACGCTCAGACAGCCTCCGGAGTTTGTTGATGAAGATAGCCGGAAGAACCTTGAAACATTTTGGAATCTGGGGTATGCATAGCCGACTCCGACAGGTATAACTTGGGGTAGCAGGGGATAGGGAAGAGAGACTAATTTGCATACGTACTCAGACGCAAGGGATGAATGTACAATGTACACGGGCTCTTGATAATCAATGTGTCATCTGTGAGGGATAACCGAATTCGATCATGCATCGGGTAGTGTGTCTTGTCTTGGGTGACGGGCTGATTTCCGTGAAATCTGCAGCCAAACATGAGGAAGTATATAGAAAATGAGAACTGCCGGTGGGGTTCTCGGCTCCAGGCGTCACTGCCCACCTAGAATTCCGACGCTTTTCTATATCCGGTCTGTTGCATTGACAGGAAACCGATGAAATAGGAGACAGATGACCAACTCACCACTACTTCGCATATTTCTTTTGACCCCGAAGATTTAGTGCCCATTTCCCCGGACGCACCCCGGACCCATCACGACTCTGCCGATTTTAGGGCAACAATCTTATTGCTATGCGAGGACTGCGCGAATAAGACGATAAACGCAACTAAGAGTGACCTAGCGTCTCTCAAACCAGCGAGCTATACCGGACCAGGTTTCCCCGCAAATTCGTACACGTGCTTTCTCAGATTGAGCCTCGTGTCCGGGGTACATGAAGCACCGCAAAAGTGCGGAGACAGATTTTGGTTCCGATCGGGTCATTAAATCCTAGCGTCGACCCATCTGGACAACGGGATCCACATGGCCCAGGACCGGGGTTCGGGGCCCAAATGAGCTTCTCTGTCTCGAAGGAAATATCAAGACCCAGATACATGGTCAGGAATTCTCGAGAATAGGTATAAGAACCATCCCGATTGGCCTTTTGAGGTGCAGAGACTCTAGGTATCGGACACTGTAACCCATCAGCGTCGTCATTTGATCACCAACAATGCCTCTTGGTATCCTCGAAGACCACAAGCTCGAACATGTGCCGGGCACATCACCCCTGAACGAGCTCGGAAGGCAGGATTTGGAAACCGTGGATGGGATTGATCCCGGGCTGCTCAAGCATGATCCAACCGGCCAGATAGTGCTTGTCCCGCAGCCGTCGGACTCGCCGAATGACCCGTATAATTGGCCGCGGTGGAAGAAGGAGATGTTCACTGTTGCCATTGCGTATGGCTGCGGCTGCGTCGGCGGTAGGCTTAACTCCTCCTGGTTTGCTTTTTTCTCAGAACGATACTAACGACACATTTTTCGACAGCCGTCGGACCTCTCCTGACATCCGCCATCGTCCCGCTCGCCGAAGACTTCAATATTCCCCTGCAGCGGTTCACTCTCGGCCTACAAGGCTCGTGTATTGTCGCTATCGCAGTTGGTAGTTTGCTACTGAATACCTCGGCGGTTAAGATCGGGAAGCGTCCGATTTACATTGTCACGTCGCTTGGGTTGATGGCCACATGCTTCTGGGCGGCCGAGGCCAAGAGCTTCGCCTCTCTCGCCGCCGCAAGAGCAGTTCAGGGATTCTGTATGGCGCCAATGGAAGCACTAGTCCCCGCGTCGATTGCGGACATCTGGTTTGTGCACGAGAGAGGGTACCGGAATGCTATATTTAATTTGGGTGTACTTGGGGGCATCAATTTGGCCTCGCCAATTGGTAAGTGGGGGCTGAACAAAAACCGGAGTTCCTTTGAATACTGATGCTAATTCTTCCTCTGTCAACCAGCCGGTGCTATTATCCAATACGGCTCCTATCGCATTTGTCTTCATGCCATGGGCGGCGCTTTCGCTCTCCAGACCATCCTGACCATTCTGTTCATGCCCGAATCTGCCTACCGACGCAGTGGCGCTCTCAATATTGATACGGGTGATAAGGCCGTCGTGGTGGATGCAATGACTGAAAAGGCTAAGCTCGAGGTCGATCACAACGAAGGATCACCGCGGCAAGAGCTAGGCCCATCGGAAATGGAGCCCGTAAAATCATTTACGCGCGAGCTCCTGCCCTACGATGGATACTGGGACGACGTGTCATTCTGGAGGACACTTGTCCAGCCTTTCTTCATGCTTGCGTCCCCCATTGTATTGTGGGGCACGTTGTTATTTACGACATGCATTTCGTGGCTGGTGCTTATCTCCATCACGCTCTCTCAGATCTTCTCGGCGCCGCCGTATAACTTCTCAGTGGCTGCCGTGGGCGCCTCTAATGTTTCTTCTTTCGTGGCGACTTTAATTGCAACCGCCGTTGCCGGTCCATTGATTGACGGCGTTGCCAAGTACATGTCCAAGCTGAATAAGGGCACATTCGGTATGTGAATGGTCCCCATTCTCCTGCTGTCAAAGAAAATCTTATCGAGCTAACGCAAGCCGCTTCGTGAAGAGCCGGAATTCCGCCTCCCCGTCATGATCAGCTTCCTAGTCTTTACGGCCTCCGGCTTTTTTGCCTGGGGCCAAAGTCTCCACAGTCAAGACCCGTGGCCCGTGCCAGTCATTGTGTGCATGGGACTGATCAACATCGGCGTCCAGCTCGGGACGACCGGCTTGGTCGTCTACGTCAGCGACTGCCACCGTCTGGAATCGTCTCAAGCGTTCTCCATTCTCAATTTCATTAAGAACATGTTTGCCTTCTCGTTGACGTTCTACTGTAATGATTGGATCGCCGTTCAGGGAGTGAGGGATTGTTTTTTCGTTATTGGGGGCATTACCGTGGCGGTTTCGTTGACGACCATTCCCATGTACATCTACGGGAAGAGGGCGAGGAGCTTTACGTTTAGGCATAGAGTAGTCAGCCGAGTTACTGCACGTGGGTAGCTATTCCGCATTCGTTTATTGAAAGGATGGGTAGTCGGTGAGGGCAGCGAGTGGGATCACGAAGCCAATCCTCCGGCGACGCATATTTGATCGATATCGGGTGACTCCGGTGAGGACTTCGTATTCATCCGAGGTGCTGCCGGCTCACACAATGCCAATCGTCAATTCAATCGTCAAATTAGGCTATCAAATTCAGTTCTCAATTTAATCATGAATTCGATATGATGTTAATTATTAGGGTTGGGCACGTTGGGCTTCTGGCGGACGCCGCCCCAGGCAACTGGCCGGGCAACTGGCTGGGGGCTGCCGGCATCTGGGGCGCGGAAGCCTTTTGCAGCCCTTCGGACCATCCGGCGTGCAGTTAACAACCAACTTAGAACTATTTAATTCCTCAGTTGGTTCCTGTTGTATATATGATACTTCTAGAATATGTATTAGTCCTCCTAAGAGGCAGCACGCAGTCCTTCGAGCAAGACCCGTAATATGTGTGATTGGATGGTTATACTCATCACTGATCAAACGGTGCTCAAGAGTCAACAATCCGTCAAGTCGACTCAGTTGCCAATTCGTACTATCGGGGCTGTCCTGGACTTCGTGTAGGTAGAAGCGAAAGCCAACATCGTTGCGGAACTAGATAGAGTCTAGACGGGCGGGACAGAAGGAAACTAGAATTTAAACGTAGGTCAGGATGCCTCCTCTTCTATCCGTCTATTTCTTCTTTCTATATTTTTTGAAAATGAAAACGGCAGCACGGTTCTACGCTCGTGATGGTCCAAAGACTGCCCCAGTAACAACCTGGCGTAGTCGCCTACCTAAATCCTGAGCACTTGGTTCCGCTATCAACCTGGTTTCGTTGCTGCCTGGGGTGAAGAACTCCAGCGAATGCAAAAGACAGCTAGGTGTGCCACGTTACTTTACTACATAAGCCACGGTTGATCGCGCTGATATTGGTTTTGCAGACACGTCGGACAACATCGACTACCAACCCTCGTCTCGGGCGGAGAGTATGACGAGGCGATGAAGTCAGGTGGATGGAGAATTCATCTGCGTCATTGCGGAACTTGCCATGGAAGGAGAAACCTACATCGTGCGCGCAAAGCGCGCCCTTTCAGATACGGAAGGAGCAATTTATATCCTGCGCCTGCAAAAACCCTCTTTTCCGACATAGAAGGAGCATTCATTCCCAATCAAGAACACACATCAAATTGCCTACTCCTTTTGGACTCTTACTGTATGAATCATCACCATAGCCACTCGATGACATGATGTTTCTGCGGAATGCCTAAGCAAGTAACGGACGTCTGTAATTGCGAGAAGAATTAAGAACAACAAGGGAACCCCGTTGAAGCCGGAACTCCTCGAATATTGGCTATCCTTAGACAAGAAGCCTTTTCCAAAGGCGATTCTTAACTATCTTGTCAAACGGGAAAGACTAGGCCGCCTCTCCTGGTCAGAAGAGCGTCCAGATCTCCCAGATGATTCGACCGACATAACCAACTAGGTCAAACGATGCGAAAGACTTCTCTAGTCGTCGGAGGAGCCGGTCAAAGCAATGTCCAAAAAGCGAAGGCTTTCCGGAACGGTATCCTGAGGCTTGCCGTTTCGTCGGCCAACCAACACAACATTGTTTGGGAGGTGCCAACATCCCTTAAGAACCTGGCTGAAGGTATGGACGGGCGAAACATCGTGGAGGGAACGAAGCGAAGGAAACCTCCAGCTCTACCACCAATCAGCCCCCAAACTTCCATTCCTCGGTTGTAACAGTCGCCGAGTCTCCTTTCCATGACGGACAAATCGACTACTGATGGCTTCGCAACCGACGGCCGGGAAGACAGCCCTTCCAACCCTGAACTTCCCAACCGGCCTGCAGAGATTATTGTTGTTGCCCTCCACGATCGGAAGGACATGGCACCCGACAAGAAATTTACCACCATCGAGCGCATCGGCGAGCTCGCTGTTTAATGCTACTAGTACAATTTCTAGAGTTCATTCAGCCATGGATCGCCGGTTGGCTCAGTCATAAAAGCTGACAGCAACTGAACACAGCTAATAGCGACAGGTTCCATCGATTTTATATAGAGGTCTATATATAAATGGGAGATATCCGACGAGTAATGTACAAAGAATTGGTATTTGCACAAGACAAGCTCGGGGATGAACAATTCCGTCAAGAGTGCGATGAACCTCGCGAGACGAACCCCTCAGGCACCGGCAGAAGGCAATGCAAAAGCCAGGCGTTTTATGCAAGGTGGTGGCCCCAGGACCCCCGACTGGCCGAGTATTTGTCGTTGGTGTCTCTCACGAGGATTTGCGGTCGAGGATACGCAACGACGAAGATTGCATTAGGGTCCTCTCATGTGTGTGTAGCCGGAACGGTTTGCCCACTCCACGTGGAACTGCGCGTAGTGGAGGAGAATGTTGCTCGAAAGCTCTGTTCGAAGATCTGGAACGAAGATGTGGAGGTTATGGGCACGAGATACCTTTAAATGAGAAGGGGTTTTTGTACGTAGAAGCCACGCTCCTCTATTGGAAAAAGGCATGCCTGCCTGCACCATAACGTTTACGATAATAGATTGTTCGTTTTCTCCTCGTTCTTCTGAAGCTAACGGTTATCAAACGTGGAACAGTGATATTTTCATGTAAAATCCGAGAGGAACTGAGACCGAGCGGCCCGATACCAGCTACGAGATTAGCGTAAATCCCCCCCTCTCGCTATTTTGTTACTCTGTATAAGTTAGATATTTAAATCTCTGGCCTACCCTATTGGGTAGTCTTGCCATGGGGCCTGTCTCCTTCATATTTCTGTTGGCCTGGGGAGAGAGGACAAAGATTGACGCTATTAAGGAGGCCGAACTGAGATAGCCAGGTACCGCCACAGCGGCTGAACGAGCGAACCGAAGACAGGCTGTAAGCGTCGAAAGAGAGGAAGAATGGGCAAGAAGAAAGGCTCAGATAAGATCTTTCCACGTCCTCGTTTCTCCCTCTTCACCTGGCCCGATGTTCTTCCCGAGTACTGCCCTCCTACAGAGACGTAGCAAGGATATTCCCTGTTGTCATTTTCCTACTCCATACAGGTCCTGGCTGCTGGTTCTGGTGTGGTTTCTTCCATTCGCCGGATCCTATCCATCCATGTACATAGGATACGTGTGAATAATTTCAGCTGGCGCATATTGATTAACACTCCGCGGGTCCAAATATAAATGGGACTCTTTTCAGGATGCCAATCGAAGGTGATGTGAAGTATGTAGGTTGCTTTGATTGACTCTACCAACAGAAGGAAACGTCAGGATCAACAGCGGACGGGCCGTACGGGGATTTACATAACAGTCCAACCCCTGAATGTTGGTGTATACCAATGACACATCGGTTAAGTACGATTCGCCGGGCCTTTGTGATGATTCGCTCTTATGACTCGATGCTTATCCTCGGTCGGCGTTATCAATCCCGTCCCTGGCAAGTAAAAGACAACCTGATTGGGGTGGGAACTGTCAATGGAACATTGAGTTGTATCCCCTGTGGATCCCGTTGAGATCAGAATGCGTTCGCGCTATTATAAGAGAGGACGACTCGCAGGTTCCAACATGGAGTTTGAAGGTTCGATTCCTTCGAAAAACTTGGGCGATCCGCAGTCCAACTTTGAGATGAAGAAACTCGCCCCTGAAAGCCAAGACCGATCTAATAGCAAAATTCTCCAATAATACAAATGAGGCTTCAATTCATCCTAGCCGCGACCGCGGCCTTCCTCCCTCGAACACTGGGAATGAACCCAGAAGACGTCGTCGGCATCCTCAGCGACACAATCGTGCCCAACCCCGAACTCTGCCAGTCACTCTGCCGAAAGGACACGAAATGCTTCTACTCACTCTACCACTTCGAGTGCGACGAGTGCTGGCAGATGGATTGCAGCGGTGGCATGTACGTGTTCGGCGGCACGACGGATTACACGAAGTTGACGACCGAGACCATCTTTTACTGCGATAAGACGATGTTGCCTACTATGCCTAAGAATTGTAGTAACCTTACGGCTACTGCTACGGTTACTAGCCTTGATCAACCGACAGAGACGAGCGGAGGTGGGAGTGATAGCGGTAACGGAAGCGGGAGCGGCAGTGGTGAGGGCGGTGCTGGTGTGAGGCAGGTTAGCTGGGCCATCCTGGGGGCGGCGGTTGGAATGGCCCTCGCATTTTAGGGGATGGTTTTGTTACGGTTGAAGTCTAGAACCTCTGCTGGAAGTTAAATCAAATTCTCAGACGAAATACGGTGGTTGGAGGATGAGACACTCATTCTGGCTAAGAGGAGGCGATAGGTCGCGGGAAAATAATACTATGTTCTCATTTGACTGTTGAAAAAGCCAGTCCATACAAATCCGGGCACTCAGCCTACACTTACTCCCCACTCGATGCAAATCGAGTTGTAACCGGACTTAAAGCTAGAGCTTCGTGCTCATCTACATGAACCAAACACATAAAGCAGGCAGATGAACGATGTAAGCTTGGACAAATATTTACTCACGAGAAAGATAAAAAAATGACGTTGTCTCACAACTCCCAGCCCCCAAACATGTATCACGGTCATCATTCATTTCGTAGACCTCCGCCGAAATCTCCATTCGTCGTACTTTCAGCTGCATTTTTAATCCGTCATTTGCCAACATCCAGATGTCCCCTATCTATTTCCAGTTACTACAATAATAATATAGCTATGAGCAGCTGTACACGAACCTATAAGAGGCCATGGGGTTGGTTACTACGCGAGCACTTCGATCAGGCTTAATTAGTGATTGAAGCGGTTCAGCTTCGATTAGCTAGAGAGAGCTGGAAGAAGAACGTCTATATAAACTGCTAATTTACCTTATATCTAACTCTTATGTTAGGCAGATCTCCAGTAGTCAACCGAACTAACACTACACACCTACACTTACATACACGCTACACCACTCGCCCATATCTCGTGATACACTACTTGACTATTACCTTATTTACTTCATAACGGGACCCTTCGACCCTAACGCCAGCTGTGCGCGCCTGATATCCTTTGAATTAGTGCCAAGGTCGTAGTATCCCCTTCCTCTTCCTTTTGCTCACGAGTTCTTAATTCGACGCCCTTCTCACAGCTCATCCCGCGACAATTCACTTTACCTTTTCCTCTGGTCCCCTAGTCCTACTTTCCGTAAACAAAGTCTTCCAGCTAGTCTGCCGTTTCACACCCGAAATTCTCCAGCTCGTACGAGCGATCTCTACCAGCCCCCGCATCGGCCCTGGGCATTCTCCGCTGTTCGGGTCTGTTGGATACATCGAGTCGAGACCAATGAGCTCATAGTGCATCGCCACTCATGCACGCGCACGCCTGGGTTGTGATATGCTGCATATGTTCATTTCTCCTCCCTGCGCGGTGATCTAGAGCAACTATCAGTGTGAAGAATTCGGCGACTACATTGCAGACCGCCTTCTTCCAGCTCGCCACAATATCTGTCGTATCAATTCACTGTCTACCACTTGACTAGTCCCTACACGCATCTCAGAGCATAGGATCCTCGGCTCGTCATGTCATTGTGCTTTATGATCCCTCTTTCAGCTATGATGCCCTGCGCGCCTGAGGAGATGCACTTATGCGCCTCTGTGGAGTAGCAGATATTTTGGCCGCCTACCCCATAACCTCAGAGAAGAAAAGAACATATTTTGGAAAAGAGATGATTAGAAAAGGCAAAGCTGGAGACACTTTTGGATTGGTACACGAGAAGTTCATCCAACCCTTGTACCGCAGCTGTCCGTCAATTTCAGTCTGTCAGTCTAGGAAAACAATCACCGACAACTCCTCCCTCCGGCGAAGGAAGTTCTGGAGCAAAAAAGCATGAATATGGATAACTTACAGTCACTCGAAATCGGAGCCCGTCCGCAGAAGTATTAACATATGAACATCCAGGTCACATCTCCGCGTCGGCGAGCCGTTTCCGGCGACCCTTCGAAGTGTATAAGCCGACTTCGTCACCTCTTATTTCAGCCAGCCACTTTTGACGAGCCGCCAGAATTTGTGTTAGTGCCTCCCGGCTCAGCGTCGGCGCAGCAAAAACAGCCCAAACAGGCACTGGAAGTGCGTGCTGCGTGGGGCAAAAAGCAAAGAAAAGAAGGCGACATCTCGGCGGACGACACGGAAGTATGCCAGCCGTCAGCCGCGATGTTCGTTCTGATCCGCCATTACGAGGACGGGTCGGGCGGCAAGACAAGTCGGACCTCGCTGGTGCCATCTCTCATCGCTTCTTCGTCTCGAAGTTGGTCACGCAACCTGTCGAACGGAAATCTGGGCCATTCAATGCCATCGATGATGCCATTGCTTGAGGAAAAACGGAAGACGATGCAAGATGAGATGATGTCGATGCTTGGTCCAGAGAATATATACAGAGAGAGAAATCCCCGCACTCTCCTCGAGGTAAAGACCAGAGTCCAATTCTCATTCAAGCGTTCTCTTATCTGCGGGTCTTTTTCCTCCCAAACAGCCCAATCTAGCTCTCTCACACGATATCTTCTCTTCCCAACCATTCTAGCACCATGGCTTCCGCGGAAACAATCATTGGTATGGTTTCTCACCTGGGGAATTGTCGTGAAAAAGAAAAACAAAATCACGCTAACACCAATGCAAGGTGCTCTCGTTATTCTCCAGCCTTCTGATGAAGATTTCAACCACTGGACTGCCAAGCAAGAGAAAAATGATGCTACTCCCAACGTAAGCAGCAGAAGCAAAGAATTCTTCGATTGGACTTTCGGACCCACCAAAGTACGCCTTCAAACCGCAAGTCGAGGTGGTACCAGTCAGTTACTAATAAGCTTACGTCTTTTAAGCTCCAAGGGAACGTTGATGTGAACACCCTGGACGTTGCCGTTAGTGCCACTATCGCCGGTGTCAACACTGGAAATATCAGGGGGAGTCTGCAGGACGGAGTCACCCTCGATTTCGATTTATCCGTCGCTAAGGGGAACCTTGGTTTGTATCTCAAGAACGGAAATGAGCTCTGGGTTCGTCAGCATGTCCCGATCACGTTCGATGGTACGTTCGACGGGGACTATAAGATTTTAAACTTCTAGATATTGGATCCTGTTAGGTTCTCCATATAAACAATATAGTGCGACTCTCAGCTAGTCCACCCTACAATATAAAGGTCACTGACCGTCAGTCCGGTGCTCACAGCCATCGATCCTAGCGGAACATCGAGCATCAGCCATGGCTCTCCTTGATATGTGCCTGGATGAATACGTCACCTTTGAACATCCCGTTGCTCGCTTTGGGTGAAGACTTTAGCTAAAGATGGGACTTTTTAATTAAGAATAGAGACTTAACAAAGTTTAAGATATCCCGTATTGTCCATCTTGAGGGGCTTACTAGAAGAGAGCGCTACAAGACAAGGATATATTCCATAGACATAAGTTACGCGTACACTATTAATCGAATGAAAGTACACCTTTAACTGCCCACCCATCTAATAGTAATGCTCATCCAGGGTACCACATGCGACCGTAGCTCGTAGAAAATTGGGGTCCGGTACTACACAGGCTGCGGAGCGCCAGACAAGTAGCAGGGTCGGTGACGATCGATACGAAGAGCATTCGATAGAGACATAGAGACAGGTAGGGAGCTTCAAGAGGCACATGTACCACGCCTGAAATGTATTTATTAGGGGTAGAAATGGATTGCCCTGACTACCAAAAAGAGGAAGCCAGAACAGCGACGCATGAACTAAACCTGGAACTCCATACCAACCCCCATCGATACAACAAATCAATGAGACTCATAGAAGTGTGGAAAAAGATGCACTGGTGAGAATGGTAATAGAAATGTCGCCTTGCAACTCTCAACCCTCAAGTATGTATCGTCGTTGTCATTCGCTTCGTCGGCCTCCCCCAACATCTCTATTCATCTTCCTTTCTGCACCATTTCTCTCGTGCGCCATTTAACACCATCCGAATTTCCGTGGCTATTTCCAGTTGTTACTCACGGTAGCAGTAGCAGAGCACGACTTCGGAACCGTGTACGACCGGTTGGGATCACTCTCCCAAGTGACACCTCCAGAAGAACCGACGTTGACAAACTTGTACTCGAATGAAGTTCCCGCTGCAAGGTTCAGAGTGATGGTCCACAGGTTGTTGGAGGTCGTGTACTTGGAGGCGTCAAGTGCAGGCGCGTTGGATGGGTTCCAGCTACCCAGCTCGGGAATGGATCCCACGAGCTTGATTGTTTGGCCGTACTGCGTTGTGACGACCTCGTTGAAAGTCACAGCTACTGTGCTCGCTGCAGTGCAAGTGCCATCGGTCGAGGTGGGTGTCGCACTCTTTGTGGTGGTCGTGGGCGGGTTCCCTCCCGTGCCGTCGGAGATGGCAATATCGGCACAGGACAGGTAGATCTGACCCGTCTCGTACGAGTTCCACTTGAAGGATAGGAGGGTGTGGTTTGAGACATATTCGGGAATCTTGATCTTCTTCGTGACGGTGTACCCACCGGCAATGGTCGTGAAGCATGACCCCTTGGCCGCATTGTCGACACCCTTGCACCTCGCCCTATCCGAGGCCTGGAATCCGTTACAAGTAAACCAATCATTCCTCCAGCAGGCTTGACCTTGCGAACAGTCCGGGCTGTAGTTGCAGGCTTGGCCAGAAACGTCCGTGCAGCTCAGGGTACCCGCTTCGAAACAGTCCTCGGCGGCTTGCTTCTCCACATTCGTCGGGAGATACCCGGGCGTCAAGAGCTTGTCGACGAGGGCCTGATCCTGACAGATGCGATAGCTGAACATACCACCATGGTCGCCGTTGTGGTCGACGCACCACTGTACGTCGACAACTTGACCGGGAGCGTAGACGGCGACGGGAGTTGTTCCCCAGTTGCTGGTGGGCTGGTTATAGTCGATGGAGACGCGGGCATTGTAGCCGCATGGTCCACTACGGCCCACTGGTGCGACGTTGAGATCCGGCCAGGAGGAGACGGGTTCAAGGATACTGCATTCTGGGCAGCTGTCCAACCCGGCCTGACAAAGGCAGAGGTTAGTTGCCTACGTTTCTTAGGCGCCTTAGAACCTTGTTCAGACTCACCTCGGCCCCTAGTCTAGTTCGACTGCTCGGAATGGTAAGATACCCATGTCCATATACGGAGGGGATAAAAACTGTGAGAACCAACGGGGCGAATGACTTCATAGCGAAACTGGTGGTTGTTGGTGACGGATTTACGAACTTGAAGAGTTGATTGTTTAATCCGTAGTAGTCTTGATCCAGGAAAAAGGATTGATCTTATACATGAACTCACGGGTCTTCATATCCATCACTTGACTCGCAGTCTTTAGAAACGCACTAATTTACGTTAAACCTCCTCTAGTATTCCCCTCGAGGCGTAGTCCTCTACTGCCGCAATCCCCCTTAGCATCGCCAACGTAGTGTCGCCGAGTCAATATGACCGAGAAAACTATAGCCGAGGAAATGGCGCCGGGGTATTTCCATCTGCACTTCCATCTCCTCCGATTCCCCCTCTTGCCAATGCTTGAGATTCCGCTGTCCCTGACACGACGCTAGAGGCGGGGATGCGATGATAATATTCTCCAGCTCCAATTCTTTCCCCACGATCGTGGCGTTTTATGCAGAAGCTCGGTACCGAGGAAGAATTCCGCAGTAGTTTTTTTTCCCGCATTGACATAGCGGATTTTTAAAAACGGACCGAATCGTGAGTTGGTAGGAAGCGAGGTCCGACCAATACGACTCTGGCACTCGGGGAGGTAAGAAGTCCGCCGGGGGTTACATCGCTACGCCACTTACGGCTTTGGGGAAGCCCACGCACGACTTGGCTTCGGCAGACGGACTCTTTCGCTTGTTAGGTAGAGTGATGGCCGGGTGGAAGTGGAGCATGGGGCGGATTCGGGAATTGTCTGTTATAGTTTAGGGTCCGGTTGACAACGGACTGGTTGTGATGATCTGGAAACTGAGCCGAACCTGGGTTTCAACGTAGAATCGGCTTTTTTGTATGGTCATTGTGGAGACTAACCCGCTGAACTGGCTGGTTACTTTTTGGCTTACTATACATGTCGAGGTTATTTTGCGATTGTGCGTAAATATCATTTAGTAGGATGCCAACAAGTATACATATGGGGACAATATCTCGAAGCCTCCAGGTGTTTAGGAGGCCTACTATTAGAGTCTTACCTCTTTCGCCTTCGTTGCGCATGCTAAGTAGTTTCTTTTGATTGATTCAAGGTTTCTCGCCACGTCCCCTCTGTATCTAGCGGAATTGACAGCCCGATCTCGGCATGATATTCGGACCAACTACCCTATGCTCAACATGACTTCGCGTTAGGCCGAGTCGCGGAGACACCAGTCACAGCGCGTTAACTAGACCTTCGATGCTATCTCATATCCAAAGAATCGGCGCCACACTATGCTCTTCCGCGGTCTGTGCCTCGCGGAAATTAGTTTGGGGAGTGTTGCGCTGCTCTAGGAAGAAGACTCAATGTCGCGAGGAGAGAAATTTAGAAATACCTCGAATGCTTGGCCTTAGCTCCAACTCACAGAGCTTGGCTACCGACAGACCAGTCCTTTCAGACCCAAGATAACTTTGCCCTCAGCATGCAGGCTGCAAGTAGTCGTGCGAATCAAGACTCAGGATACCCCAGACTCATCAACAAATTAGGCAGTTCATCTTCTAGTAGGCTTGGAACCTACCACTAACTTCGGGAAACTAGGCGAGATGTGAACTTCCTCGTCTGGTAACCAATTATCGATCCCTTAGCCTCATCGGTAGAAAGATGAGTTCGCGCACAATAACGTGGTGCCAGTTGGACAAACGACTTTCAAACGACACCCGAATAACCATAAAGTCAGTCCCAAATCACACGGCTTGCTAGAAGTGCGCGACGTACTTCGTCGAATCTTCGATGTTAAAAAATCTTTGGCATTAGGTAATTCGTCTTCCGGGGAAAGTATTGTGCTACACGCGAGAGCGGAAGTGAGAGGTCGCGAGGCTCTTCGACGTCATGCCAAAATTCTAATTGTGTTGCCAATGCCAATCAATTAATCAGTGCTTGGGCGGGACGACCAACCCGAGAGTGATTAGAGCGGAGAGACAGGGGTTGGGGAGATCGATGTTGCCGCCAAGAACTGAGCCACCCCCTTCACGGCGGAAAGCAGGGGTTGTGTGACTTGAACCAACAGCACATTGCAGACCTCTCCAACAGGCCAGAAAGCGGACTTGAGATGTGGAAATCGTCTTAACCGCCCATGCATCACGCACCCCGCCCCCATCTTTGATCCTGATCCTTCTCTGCCTCGTTATTTGGAATTAAGAATCCTGCCCCCATCCCATATGCGAAGTACCGCGGTGGAGACACCTTCTCCGGACGATCCGAACATGCCGCGTGGCTCAAGGAATTCGTCGTTGTCAGGCACAATATCGACGCCATCAAGCTACGACTTCTGTAGTGAAAAGGAAGTAGTGCCTGGCACAGCACCGGAGGTCGTCCCCGGTGTAGGCCTGGAGCTAGCGCGCCACGATGGCTTGGAAGTCCTGGTCCCCCCGCCTTCCCCGCCGCCGCGGACGATACTGTTTCCCACGCGACTCGGGACGCCGAGAAGGCGAATTGTTGTTATTGCCAGCGCCGTGGCGGTTCTGCTTGCCATAATCGCGGGAATTACTGCTGGGGTGGTTGTTGCGACGAGGAAAAAGAACGACGATAGCAATGACGACGATATACCCCTTGATATGGCAGGTAGCAAGAGTATTTCGACGATCAGCTGGGTCGACGGACGCAATGAGACGCAAATACGTCTCTATTACATTAGTGCCGAGAACGAATTGATGGAGGCTGTGGGCGGCCCGAACGGGACTTGGGAGCACACGCCGTTGGGCTTCACGGCCATAGGAGGCTCTGATGTTGCGGCAGCTGTCAATCGGCCAAATGAACGTCCGGACTTGTGGGGATATCCTGATATGTACGACGTGCTGGGTGTGGAGAGGGTGATGGTGGACGGACCTTTGAATGACGACCCTCTAGTTAGTTGCGGACAAAAAATCGAGACCCGAGTTTGGATAGAAGAATGAGATACACTAACATCTGCAGAGCATACATGTGTACTACGTCGACACCAACTCTTTTATCCACGATATCATTTTTGAAGATGGCCGTTGGCACGATGGGGATCTCGCGAGGAGTCAATACGTTTCTTGCTGGAACTGCACTCTCAGCGCGTTTACAAGGCAATGTTACGGCGGATGTTCGGAAGCCTCCGCCATGGTGGCCTATCGCGACGAAAAAGGGGCTGTTACGGTTGCCAACCAGACTTTACTCGGCTGGACGAGGGAAACGCTCGATTTGGATATTAGCCTAGAGAGTCGACTGGTTCTGCAGCAGCGGTACGACAATTTCACTACGGACACGATTGACCTGTACTATCAGCACAGGAATGTGTCTCTGGTCAGAGCAAGCTGGAGCCCGAGGCAACCGGGAGCTCAAGGTAAGTTTGGTCGGCCTTCGCCGGGAGGTTTTTTTTGATTTCTGAACACAGACGATCCGCGGAGATCTGCCAAGCTCATGCTAACTCTACATGACATACAGAATACACCTGGTCACTCATAGACTGGGTCTTTGATGCTATCCCTGTGAAAGTCCCGATAACGGTCTATTCGACATATACCTACTTGTCGTTTGATTCCGGGGCTAGAGAATGGAAGGAGCTGGCATATCTATATTGGGTGACAGACGAGGGGATAAGAGCTACATGCTGGGCTCGAAGTAGGCGGATTTCATCTGAGGGAGAGCTGCGTGTTCCCACGTGGGACACGACGGACCTGGGAATCCTCCCTGTTACCAAGCCGGACCTTGTCCCCCCCGAGTCCTTTTGGCTTTCTTCCACCGGCGGTCAGCTCTTTATCTCTGAGAGACTCAGAGATCAGGCATCTCATATTTTACAGCTGCGGTATACCAACGGTACGCTACCGGAGAAAGCCGCCGAGGGTTGGGTTGTGACTGGGCCGCTTGAGGGGATTGAAAGCAATTGGGGATACTAAACTTGGCGTGCGTGGCGCTGGTCCTTGGAGGATGAATGCGATCAGGATACTCCCTAGGGCAAGGCAATGCGTGGTACGACCTGCCTCGGGGATGGTGCGGGATGAGATTGTATCAAAATTGGCTGATATGATTAGTATGTATAACTAGGACTGAGGAAACCTGGGAAGCATCTAAAGTGATGCTTATGCCGAATTGGTCAAGTACATCGCTAATAAGAGGCTGACTGAACGCGAAAGGCCTGTGACGGGTTTATTTCGTTAGAGACAACTACCGCGCCCGTAACGTGCTGTACCTGGATGATTGGCTATCGGCGACTAGAGCTAGGATGGCAACTTGCTTCTAGAAGGACTCAAGGCGGAGATGGACGCAGATGAGGGACTGGGTCGGGATAGATGTTTCTATGCCCATTCTATGATGGAATTAATATTAAATGTACAATCTAGCGTCTGTCCCAAGAAATAAAATAGATTAATACTCCAACGCCATTCTTCTTCCGAATATCCTGACCATCCTGACCATCCTCACCGAGGCAAAGTTTTAATAGTTGGCTCCGCGCTCTGCTTGAAAATCCGCCCCGAAACTACCCCATCGCCAAGATCACGCCTCCTCCCATTAGCTCTTCTTCCACGGAGTCGGGGCGACCGGACGCGCTGCAGCAACGATGCCAGGTATCCCTCCTTCTTTGCCTGCCCCAGATTGATTGGTTTTTTAAGCGTATACTTGCGGAACGCTTCGAAATCGTCCCACACCTTGACCGGCTTCTTCGTCCGTCGCGTGTCGATCAAATCGACAATGTTGACCCACGTGTTCTTCAAATCCTTCTGGCATTGTTCGATGGAGTCACTGGGATATATGCGAACCTCCCGGCAAAGGCTCTGGAATCCCCGGAGTTTCCTTTCTTCGTTGCTAATCTCTTCCTCGATGGTGTCTAGCGGCTCGTCGAAGTAGTGGAACTTGATTTCCTCGCGCATGGCGATGGTGCGCTCGCGTATATATTCTTGGGATCCGGGGACCCAGTCCTGCGACGACGCGAGGCGGGCGAATTCATCTTCAAATGGTGCGTCGTTGTCCGGTGTGAAGTTTTCGAATTTGGTAAAGTGAGATTGAGATGATGGAGGAGGTGCGTTTGTGTCTTCGTTGCCGGACCAGTTGTTTGACATTTTGGCGAGTATCTTCTTTTCTCTCTGTCGCGCACCAATTATTTTGATGGTTCTCTCAGCTGAGGCTGTTGAATTAAGGGGCGAGGATGATGCGCCAACGACGAGATAATCGTGCGCGACTCGACGCGACGAGAGCAGGGATGCGCCAAAGTTGCCTGACCAAGCACGTGAGAACAGAACAGGGGGCCAGCCCTGAATGCCTCTTCCTTTCTGGAGAGGAGAACGGTTGGATACTAATTCAGATCTGGGATATACGCAGATCTACCCCTGTGAGGCGATAGGGAAGCTTTCGCCGGTGATCGTTCGGTCAGTCGGTCGGGCTTCCGGACGCCTCGCGTTCTGAGTTAGTGGTGATGTGTATTGGCACGTCATGGCCAGATGGCATCGCTGTTCAGCGAGCTGCTTCAGAATTGTTTCCACTCACAGGCAGCCAGCAATATCGACACAGGATCAAAATTGGAGAGGCCAGGCCCTGGCTACGGAGTAGCGACTACGATGTTTGCGAGATTGTTTATGAGATATATACTCGTGTCCCAGGCAGCTGGCTTTCGGAGGCGACGATAGTGATTTACAATAGCATCTGGTGAAATCTTGTGGACGCCTCCAGTCCTCGGGGGCTCTATTTGCCTTCTCAAACTCTGTCATACAAATTAAGCAGTAAGTTTGGGAATACACGTTGAGGACGTCCTTGTTCGTGCTGCACTTTCTATTGCCATATTTCTGGCTAACGTGCGTATATGACTGTATAGTCAAACCCGAGGCTGTTTCACCCCCAAGCTAAATTCACGACGGACGACCTTACCTCCTGTGTCTTTCTCTGAATAACTGCGTGGTTTCGATGTTGCTCGTACATCCCACGTGTATGGGTGAACCGCGTCGGTCAAGCAAAACTAACAACGTGAAGTGGTCTTTGGTGGTAGAGTCCCTTACAATTTACGCAGTGAATTAGTGACGTGATTGAGCATTCTTCCTCCCACGAGCCCTACATAGTGGAATGACCCGCAGCTGAGAATATCCCCTCATAAGCCCACATTTCTTGCACTAGTCCAAGGTGCCCTCTCCTTCAGTTTCAACCCCTTGTCTTTTCTCAAGTCGAGCCACTTGGTGGCCCCTGCCCGCCACTACCGGTGGAGGCTCCATCTGATCTTCGTCCCTCCGTCTCTCCGCGAACTAGTTCCACATCCACTCTATCCATATCCCGTTACTTCAAACAAGGTAGACATGTAACGTCATCAAGAGGTCTGCGTGGACGTGAGAGTCTTGCGATTGAGCGCAACGCTCCAGCGAGAATAACTTGAACTCCTTGGGAATCAGATTAGATGTCGGGCCCTAAACTCGGCCCGCAAGCAAATATGTTATCTCAACTGGTGAAGCTCGTCCCCCACATAAAATGAACCCGTTAAGCAACGTTACAGCTCCGAGGGGACCGTTAAGAATGTCTTGTGCGCTATCACAAGGGACGGTCGGGGTGTTGAATGCGACCGTGGGGGTTTCGTCCGATCCACTAGCGCTGGACGCCAGGGCAGAAATGTTACCCATTTTGATCAGCGCCCACGGGCAAGTGATGCCCTGGACATGCGCGTCAGCAAATTTTGTCAATTACCGAAGGCGTCCGGTCCTTACAGCCGTGTGGATGGGGGATGGAAAAGGAAAGTGGCAGCCATGCATGAGATTCTTCAACAACGGGACGGTATTTCTGATATCTGCCAACATGCATGCTTCAACGTTTCCATTTCTGAATCAGGGGGGACCAGCTACCCACACCAAGACCTGCAATGCGGAGACATCGACCACAGATGACCCCACTCGTCGTCTATCCATGTTTTCATCTCACCTCTGAGAGGGGATTAGAGGGCGCTGAGTCTGCCAGTATGAGGCATCCAATTAAAGAAAGGGGGCCAAGGGGTCTAAAGGGGGCGAAAGGGGTAGTGGTCCGGGCAGAGTCCACGTGAAATCGAGGTGAAATCGGATGGCAGCTCACGACTTCGGTGTCTCATTCGTTCACAAATCATTCGGTCCGTCTCCCCCGCAAAGTTGCATCGAGTGTCTTGCTTCGTCCGAATGACAGAATCTGCCTTATCGATAGTCGTTAGGACATTTTGCCACGCTCGAAACGAAACGTCCTAAAAAAGGAGTCGAGGGTGGGTTCGCATCATGGTGAAAATGATAGGACAGGAGGATTACCTCCATGGCTCTCGATTTGTCTCGGCGGCACGTTGATAGGCACGATAGTCTTGCCGTTCCTGTGAAGAATCGGATGTGACTGGCACTCTTCATCGATTGAAAAATTTCCGTGAGTGTTTGATCCGATCTCCTTCAAGGTTGCCATCTCCCTAATACTACCTACCCCATTTAGGTGAGTGCCCCGTCCGCAGGCTACAAGGCAATGCGTCCCGGTCAGAGTGAACTATCGCCATGTCTCAATCGTACCTTAGTGGCAACGTTGCGGATGCAGGAGCTACTCACTACCGGACACCGGTGTCCCTTACTCTACTTCTGAGAGCAAAAAAGGAAAAAGCCAAAAAAATTTATATAGAGCCCTTGAAACGCCCCCGGGACTTCGATGTTTTTTTCCATACCAACGGCGCTGGTGCCAGTTACAGCTCTACCATTCATTCCTTTACCCCTGACCCGCAGTCATTCCTTTTTCTGCCCCTTCTTATTCTCTCTCTTCTTTTACGATGGTGTCTTTCAAGATCCTCCACATAGTCTGGGCCTTGTGCCTCTTTTGGATCACCCAGTCCCATGCCGCACCCGTTAACGTGACCGAGGAAGCTGCCGTCTCCATCAGCGGCAGCGGATATAACAATGTGGTCTATTTTACGAACTGGTAGGCCACACACCCCTGCCCCTTGCTCGCTCTAACTAGAAGCGGACTTGCCTTGTACTAACCCTCCATAGGGCTATCTATGGTCGGAACTACCAGCCCCAAGATCTTCCCGCATCTCAGATTACCCATGTCTTGTACTCGTTCCTGAACCTCCGACCTTCGGGAGAGGTGTTAGTTGAAGTCTATCCACGTGCCGTCCCTGGAAGCATCGAGACTAACACGAGATTGCAGATACGCTTCCGATACCTATTCTGATTTGGACAAGCACTACCCAACCGATTGTAAGTCGTCTCGCGAGCCGCCACGGTTTCTCGGCCGTACGCTCTAACTTCTCCCCAGCCTGGAACGATGTCGGACACAACGCCTACGGCTGCGTCAAGCAGCTCTACCTCCTCAAGAAGGCCAACCGCAAGATGAAGACCCTTCTCAGCATCGGCGGCTGGACCTGGTCCACCAACTTCCCCGCCGCCGCTAGCACTGCTGCCTCCCGATCCCTATTCGCGAAGAGCGCCGTCACCATCATGAAGGACTGGGGATTCGACGGCCTCGACATTGATTGGGAATACCCCGCCGACGCGACCCAGTCTCAGAACTTCATCTTGCTTCTCAAGGCCGTGCGCCAGGAGTTGGATTCCTACGCTGCTCAGCATGCCCCTGGCTATCACTTCCTCCTGACCATTGCCTCGCCTGCTGGACCCGACCACTATAACGTGATGGATCTCAAGGGTGTTTCTGACGTTATCGATTCGTTCAACCTCATGGGATACGACTTTGCCGGTTCTTGGAGCTCCTTCTCCGGCCACTTGGCAAATCTCTATGCCGATCCCGGAAACCCCAACGCCACTCCATTTTCGGTTGACAAGGCTGTCCAGGACTACATTGCGGCCGGCGTCCCGAGGAGCAAGATCGTTCTCGGCATGCCCATCTACGGACGCTCCTTCCAGCAAACCAGCGGTATCGGAGCATCTTACTCGGGTGTCGGCTCCGGCTCCTGGGAGAACGGCGTCTGGGATTACAAGGCCCTCCCCAAGTCCGGAGCTACAGTCATGTTCGATTCGACGGCCCGCGGCGCCTACAGCTACGACAGCGCCTCGAAGGAACTCATCTCCTACGACACACCCGCCATGGTGAGGGAGAAGGTCGACTATCTTAAGCAGCTCGGCCTTGGCGGGTCGATGTTCTGGGAGGCCAGCGGCGACAAGACCGGTCAGGATAGTCTAATCTGGAACAGCTATGATGGCCTTGGTGGTGCGGGCGGTGTTGATTCGTCTTCGAATCTGCTGAGCTACCCCGATAGCCAGTATGACAACATCAGGGCTGGAATGCCGTGATGTTCTGGGTGTGGTTGACTTGGGGGTAGCGCCGGAGGCTACGTGGACCTGAGGGGTTATTTTTTTCTCTTCTTCTTTTTCTCCTTCTCTTCTTGTGTCCTCTCGATTCGTATCGGGAACATCAGACACAACGCGAGGCTCATCTCCTGGAAATTGGCAGTCTATGACTGCCAAGCGACGGGCTGGCTACATAATTCCGGTGATGCCTCGCATCTTTTTCACATACTTATTTTTACTTTCCGCTGACCACGAAAACGGCATGTCAGAGGTTGTTACATATGAGCTGTATATCTGATTCACTTCTTGTACTTACGATCATTATACCGAGCTGTCTTCTGACCCAAGTCTCTTTGCTCCTCCACTGTGTCGCTGTGATCAACTTTCCAACTTATTCTTCAATGGATGTACTCACTGCGCTCTAGCTTCTCGTCCCTAGGCTCTTCCCCCCGAGATAGGAATGCAGTAGGGCGGTCTACATCTATGTATTCTACGACAAACAGTCGCCAAGTTTGACAGATATCACATTCTTCATTCCTCAAATTTTTAAGTTTACCTCCCTCGACTGTAACCCCACAAGTTTTTGAACCTCAACTCCACGCAACTGGGTTTCTCCGTCCTCGAATAATGAGAAAGAGGACTTCACCATCTCATAGACTCATAGCCCTGGTCCTGAATTCACCTTCCCTCTTCTCAAACCTCACCCTCGTAAGCGCGGCCTCCATCCTCGCCATGGATTCGGGGTCCGATCCGACAGCCTTAAAAATGGCGTCCACATCGTCTCCCATGCCAATCTTCTTCGCCGTCTCGAGACACCGTGTGGCGAGGAATGGCGCGACTTTTGGGAAATAGCCCTGGATGTATCCCAAGCAGATTTCTACTCCAAGTGGGCCCAGCCCCTTAATTTCGCGGAGCTCGATGGCGAGTTTGGCGCGGGCTACGTCACTTTCCTCGTCACCCGGAAGGATCCTGGAGGCATCGTCCTCTGAAATGCCTTTTAGCAGAAAGTCCTGAAGAAATATGAAAGAGAAAAAAGAAAAACGGAATGAAAATGAACAGAAACGGAAGAAGTACCGTATTTATGCTTCATCAACTTCGTCAAGTCTCCAAGGTAAGTAGCCATCTTCTCATTGTACCGCACGTACCCTGCCTCCGACAAAAAGTCTGCCCTTTGACGCCAAGTCGTCTTGTGAAGGACTTCGAGGTCGTTATACTTAGCATCGAGAAGATACTTGAGAGCCCTTTTCGCAATGTCGTGGGAGATGCGAGCCGACGAGAGCATCGCATTGAGAATGTGCGTCATGACAATTTGGCTTGCCGGCCATTTTTCGTCTACGAGATCCTGCAGAGGAGGCTCGCCGTACTTTTCGAGGACCCTTTTTGCAATTTCTTCAATGTTGCCGGTGACGGGTGGCTCCCTTTTGGCCCCCTTGATATCTTCATGGTGGCTATGCCGTCTTCGCTTGGGAGATACGCGACCGCCTTCATCCTTGGCCTCCGGTTCCTTGGCTTGCCGCTTCTGCGGCGGGTGGCCTTGGGCTTTATTCTCCTCTAGCTTCGCTGACGAACCCCGGGGCTTTACAAGCTGGGGCTCTCGGGTCTGGCTTCGAGTTTGAACCATTTTGTATCGTAGTTGCTTGGGGGAAAGAGGCTAGGTTGACAGCGTGGAGGGTGTCTTGTCTATGAACATGACATTGCGTCTGCGCTGACGACATCATGATGTTAGTGACTACGCCACATTTCCTTCCCTCGTTTGACTATTGCAATTTTGATGTTCGATAGTGTCAATCCGTAGAGTTGCACAGTGGATTTGAATGGATTTGGATCGTGGCAGACCTGAGAATGAGCGAGGTCTTCCCTTTTCTGACCTGAGAATAAGAAGAGATTATCCCGTCTCGTCCGGGAATCGGAATCCTATTTCGACAACAACTAATCCATCGCTCGCATGACTTCCCAGTTACCATCGCTCCAACCTAAGACGACTTCCTGCCGCGTAATTCTCCACGGGTTCTCCCCTTTTGCCTCCAGCTCTGGCAGCCGAACCACATCAAAGATGGCTCTCCCCTAAGATCAAATTAGTGTCAGGGGGCCTCGACATATTGATGTGCAACAGGATTAGGCGGCTTTTTTTCCAACTTACCCCGTCCTGCAACAGAGGGGCTCCATTTACGCTCTTCTTCACCATCGTTCCTGTGCACTGGGCAAGCGCAGTCGCCCGATCAGGCCGGGGGGCAGTTCCGGGTTGTGGGAGTCGGATAATCGTGTGGCTGGAGGGTTTTGTCAGGATTCGTTCTTCTTTTATTTTTAACATGTTTTCGATTTTGTTCTCTTTTTCTTTTGGGGTAGTTGGGTAGATGCGAAGTCCATCAAACTCACCCATACTTGTGTTGGCACGCATCAAAGGATTCAACAAGCCCGATGGCCTGCGCCGCCCATTCAGGTCCCGTCACCGTCCATGGATCCTTCCCAGTCAGCGACTGGTAGTCGATTACCACATTGGGCGCGTAGACTTCGTCTCGCAGCCCCTCCTCCGACTTGGTGTCATAGTACCACCCCTGCATGTCGTTAATATAATACCCAACTCAAGTTTGCCCTCTGAGTGAATTCCTCTCACCAGCTTCTTGACTGTTTCGTCAATGTTAGTCTTATCAAGCAAAAATTCTAACACGGAATAGGTAGCCATTTTGGGCAACGTGTCGCCTTTCTCTGGTCCTCGTTGTCTCCCAGATCTCTTTACAGGGGAGCATCTAGGTCCTTATATATTATCAGATGATCCCAGTTCATTACTTCAGAAATGCATCTTCTCTCGGAGTTAATAATAATAATGAAAACGCCGGTGGGATTGGAGGCGCATGGAATCCTCCAGCACCAGGCTGATGCTTAACTCCTGTTAACTCCAGCCATTGTCCGACCCAACATTCTGAGACGCAGCCAGAGCCCTCACGTCCGCCACCTGTACTGGCATTCATCCCGAGCATACAAGGCCGTAACGCTCCCGACCTATTCAGGCGCTTGATTCTCGGCTCATACTCTCCGGGGAGTAAAACGCCGAACTAGATGATATCGTCCGCGGGCAAAGAATAGAAGTGAGCCGAGCATCGACCGTTGTCTAACTAATCGTAAAGGACTGGCGTTCGTATTCGCGTTCATTAATGTCAGATAGCCGCCACCTCATTGTCTGATAGAATGTGACACTTTCCCTCAATGTTGTCGCATTGACTATCAAGTGGACCCGGTGAAAGCGTTGAAAGAAGGCGACCTGCGGACAGTCGTTTAAAATCCTAAGCACCTTTTCCTGGAACGGATATTGTTGAACCAGAGGGAGCAGCATATCTCGCGCTGGTAGCTGCCCTTCATTCATGCGGCCGGCAAGTCTACATGCAGTTCTATCTGCAGAGTATAGTCCCATTCCTTTATGATACGCACTCCAGTCAAAGACCCTTTGGGCCAACAGGTATATGGGATGGGACAGCGCTGACAGCGTGGCTGCGGGAAGGGCATAGTTAGAATCGAGGATCTCTCCGAATAATAAGAAACTCAAGGTGTCTCGGATAACCTGGCCATCGTCTTTCTCGTAGCAAGGATAGAACTTTTCTGAGTCGTTGGCATCCTCAGATATGCCGAGTAAGGCATAGATTTTATCTCGCGCAGGAGTGGCTTGGGTTTTGCGGAATTTCACGAGAAGAGAATGGAGAGTCCTCTGTGAAGACCACCAGGTGTTTTTCCGAATCTGAGGCATAATATCCAGCACCGCTTGAGTATGCTCAGGGGCTTCCAGCCCCATCAGCGAGGGCATCAGGGCAAATGTTCGCGCAGGGCAAGAGCCTGAGCCACACATGATCGTGGCCTTTCTGGCCTTGGCGAATTCCTGAAGAATCCATACCCGATTGAACCATGGTCTCTCGAGAAGCGTCTGAAGCGCTTCACGTTGTGTTGGAAGGGTGTCGACGTTGGGATCCTGGAACCGCCGCTCCATCAGCCGACCGCAGAGACTAACCCAGTCCTCTTCTCCCCCAAGCGCGTGGGTATCCTTTGCCTCGCTGTCAACCCAAGTGATCAGTTCCATAAGAGACGTGGTCCCATCGCTTTTGGGACCCAACCAGATGAGTACCTCTTCCGCGCCTTCGTAGATGTCCCCCATTTGCTTGACTTGGTGACCTTTCTCTTGTTTGTCGTTTTGATTGATGCAAATGGAGTCAACCCATAGCCTCACGTCTTCATACGCAGATCTAATTTCGAGCAGGGCTGAATATAAGTTCTCCGTTACCGTGAACTGATTCCCAGACACGTCTATGGTGTGAGTTTGGATCGTCCATCCAATCACTGTCGTAACCCATGGATATGACAAGGCCTTGTACGAGACTCCCTTTTCCTCGTCAGGATAAGAATCAAAGAGCCAGCATTTAATAGGCCGGTATCGCTCCCCCCTCTCGACTAGAAGGAGCCGAATTTTCTTTTCAGTTGGTTCAAGGGTCGAGTATTGGTATTGAGCCATGGTGGATCGTGATAGGTGAGGACGTGGCGAGGAGTGATTCAAGAATTCCTGGCGGGGATAGACGTCTATTCTTGTCGCATAGGTGGCTGCACTGAGGGTAATTGTCAACGTGGATTCAGGTCATAAAACGCGAATGTAAGTCGAAGTTGGTGCCTAAAGTGCTCAAATCCGAGGGTACAGATTCTGGAGGCAAGACTCACTGGCAGCTATTAAAAATAAAACCACAGGTCAGATCGTGGGGTTCGACGCCTTGGACTTGTGACGCAGGAGCTGCGCCTATCAGAGGACAGAGCCAAGACACTACGCCTTCTCCGAACTAGCATTGCCACTTGATACTGCAACATTGTTCGCTCGACCGTCAGCCAACATACTTCATTGTCTCCCCGAGCTTACTACAACTGTCGCAACCTGGCCCCGACTTGGGCCGCAAGGAGCGGTATGACAGAGCAGGACCAAGGAAAGGTCACGAGGTCGCTCAAGGCCAGAAGCGAGCGATCGAAAGCCCTCAAGGATGGATGCCGGTTCTATTCCATCTTCACCAGGCATTTATAGTTTACCAACGGATTCACAGAATCCTGGGGAAACAAAGTTATGTAAATATCTTGGGGTGTGTTTGCTCTTTACCTAATACATCAAGGCCCTTTGGCAACTATTCTTATGGAAGTCGTACTAGTGGCCCAAAATGAGGATCTGAACTTGACTACCTTCAAAACTGCTGTCTCGGCTTCCGTGCCAACGTTCGGCTGCGGTGATAGGCGGGCGGCGCCAGCGGTCTGGTCGTACCCTTCCAGGATATTTTACTTATATTGAAACTTTTTTTGCGAAGATAAATATTCTCGGACTCTTAGCTAAAGACTAGTTATTTAGCAATACCTAGTGCCTTGGCCTCCTGAGCAACAACGGTAGCGATGGTCTCATAAACAGGTTGCTGCTGTGGCGTCCAGTTGAGGACGTTCCTGGCTCGGATAGCCTTGCATCGGGAGTTTGTACCCCAGAAGAAAGACGCATAGGGCCAGACCTCATCCGCTTCTCCCGCGCTTAAAGACTGCAGCTCCGTAGTTTTGACGAAGCCTTGCTTATACGCCTCTTCCGCAATCCTTTGGGCGATGTCTCCCCAGACAAGTTCGCCATTCTCCACGAAGTAAAAGCCTTTGTCTCCCCAGTGAGCCACACCTCCGCACTTGACAGCCTCTTCCACAAGCTTTAGGAAAAGATTCGACAAGTCCTGGACGTGCACCGTGCTCCAGATATTCCGACCACCCTGAACCGTGAGGCCGGCACCTCTCTTCATCGTATACGCAGCCAGCTCGGGCACCTGGATGCTCCTCTTGTTTCCTGGACCTCGACCGGGTCCATAAATGGTCGGCGGGCACACGATGGCAGTCTTTGCCTTCAAGGGGTCAACGCCTAGAACCGTCAAGTCAACATCTCGGTGAGCCGCAGTCTCCTTGACAGAGAGGATTTCGCCGAGACCGTCCCAGTCGTCGAACATCTTGTCCTTCTGAACTCCGTAGTCCTCGGCATCCACGTCAGGGAAACAGATGATGTCCGACCCCGATAAATGAATCCAGAAGCCTTGCTTGGCAGCTGATTTCCTGCTCAATCCAGCCGCAATGGCTTGGGCAGAGGCAAGGTGTTCACAAGACGCCCAATGGCAAACGATGTCTGCGTTGAACGCCTCATCTGCGAGCAAATCGAAATCATCGAGGTCTCCATAGACGAGGCGCGCTGAGGGTACCTCCTTGGTAACAATGGCTCCCTTTTCGGCGCTTCGCACTAAACAAGAGAATTTATAATCCGGATGTGCCTTGGCCATGGTATGCAAGGCGTCCCCTCCGATATAACCAGTCGCGCCCGTACTACATACCATGTTAGATTGCTTCAGACAACAGGATAACAAACCGCCGCCTCGTTACCCAATGGTAACCCACTAGGGGAGATCGACCCTTTGGAAGACCCTGGCTGGGCGGCGAGCTTGATATCTACGATTCCCATTCGGTCTGCGCTGAAGTGACAGAAAGGCTACTTCAAAGAGGAGTAAGACTTACACAAAGATTTTAACCATGTCGAAGAAGCTCGCCTGGTCCGTCGTTGGCCACGTAACCCGAGATATTTCTGGAAAAGGGGAATAAGAATGGAATTCTGCAATCCACTGACAATTGACTCGCTGCTAGATGCTTAGCGGAGGGTTCTCATTGCAGTTCATTCCCACAATGAGAACTAAAATAAATCGATCATGATGCTGATAAATCATCTCACAGGAAAGCGGGGACAGTCAAGCTTATCATCTACGGCCCCACCATTTGCCACCAAAACGAATCGAAGATTGTCGTCGACAGGATACCGAGGTAATGCTGTTGATTTTGACTCCAAAGCGGAGAGGGAGATACCTCAAGCTCTCCATTTGCACCTCCCCACGATAGGAATTATTATTATAAGCCCGGCGAATTACCGAAAAAATGCACGCATATCCTGGCATTGATGACTCCTACCAGTATCCTATTCTCGATATGGCGGTATAAATTGTACGACACTATGACTCTGGGAGCATCACCTTGCACTTGGTTACAGCATAAACACGGATCGTTGGTTAATGTGATGCAGCAGCCCCGAACGCGGCGCTGGATCTGTGTTAGAGCTGCCGGTATGCGAGGTGCACTGAGTTGAAGTCGGACACATCGAGTTGGCTAAGTATTAGGTCAAGCAAAAAGAATTCGGTCAACATTCGCATGAGCATCGTCTGATTTGTACTGAATTTTAGAATGGGTCTCTGAAGGTGAGTGCTTGCCGGTAGTTCTCTGTTTCCAGGATATGGCGAGCCGTGAGGACGTTGATTATCGTCAGTTACTATTCTCTATCCCATCAGACAGGTCTCACCGAAGAGAGGCAGCTGACGAAGGAACGAGGATGAGCTAGTTGAAAGAGAAAAAATTATCCTCCACTCGAGCTCGAGGCCGCGATAACATGAGAGACCATCCATGGCGCAGTGAACAGTGAAGAAAGCAGATTATACCCCTGCCGTCTCCTTTGACGGACTCGTTTGGATCTATTGCAGCGAGCGCTCGGGTTCTTCCCCTTCCCCGCAGCCGGCTATCGAGCCGTGACTAAACGTACAACCGTAACGCCAGGGATCCATGTTGGGGTAGCTGTCGAGTCCCAACCGGTGTTCTTGGAACAGCTCTCCGCATCTGGGGTTACCCGGATAGTGTGGGACGGAGAGCCATGCTACTTTAGCAAACACCGTAGAGAATCCACAGTGGATTGGCTAGCTTGTAACTTTATTCTTACGACTGGAGAGACGGATCTGTTGTTTCACCTTAACCTCACCCCTGGAGCGGGCATCTTTAGTTTCGCCGTCGAAGCTGGAGTTCAGCCGACGCTGAACTAGAGCCGGTGGTTTTGTCACACCGGCATCAAATAGGCAATCGGCAATCACACTTCAATAGATCTAGGTACGGCCATCAAAACGCCGGAATTCCCCCCCCCCCCTTCTTGGGCGCTCTGGTACGATCGGGGTCAACGGTTCTCCGGCCGTAATCCCGGAGAGTGAAACGGTCGAGCCCAGCGACATTCTATGGTAAGGATGGCTGAATTTCAAAAAAGTTAGAATCCTTCTAGAACATATCCCGGATTCTCCGACTTAAACTATACGTTAATAAGCACCGGCGTCGGCGGGATCAAAATCCGAAACTCTCACAACCATTTTGCCACTCTACCTCCCGCACATGTATACCTTCTGTAGGTTTGCTTGGCCACACTACCTGTCGAGAGCGTTTCGTCGCCGGCCCCCACTTATCCACAAAGCAGGACGCCGTAGCCCCCACTTCGGCAACGTTGTCAGCCACTCGAACATGTGGTGGTCTTCCGAGACTTGCTGGGAGGTGAGTTTTTACCCGTTTGGTGAATTGAAGCTTGTCGAGGCTGATAGCAAGACACTGTGTGGGAAGTTGAGACGAAGGTGACCAAGTATGGAATGCCCCATGCCAAGCCAATTGGCGCTAGCTAGTTTACGGTCTGGAACGAAACTTGAAGCGCAATGTGATCTGAAATAAGAGGTCCAAGAAGAAACGACCAACCCCGCGTGAGCTGTGCCTGTTCGGATGTGGCTCACGTGGAGCTCTTTGAAGTCAAGAACATACAATCAGGGGGATAGGGCTGGACAACTTATGCCCTCCACCTCCCACAGAGGACCCAGTCCAGTTCCACTCTCACCGACTATTGCTTCATTCGCCCAGTAGAAGAGGGAGGAGCGGGGCCAAAGCCTCACGATGTCTTCATTCTCCACATCATCTATGCAGTACGGAGTACGTGTAGGCGAGTTCCCTTATGACCCAATATTAACCAGGCCATACTTCCTAGCAGCTTGCATACGGAATACTTTCCACGTGAATACAATAGATGTACAACTAGTTCACATGATGTAAATTAACTGTGATGCTGCTGATTCTGATTCGGGTTCAAATCATCCCTAGAAGAACCGTGGGGTTCCTGACGCAGGCATTACCGAAACTCAGAAGACAACGTGGTCGGGAAAACGGAGGCCCTTCTTCTCAGATTAGCTTTTCCCAGAGTTCCGGAAGGTAAAGGACAACGTGGGCGGAGCATCACACAACGTGATGAGAAAAGGGCGGGCGAATCCGGACACTCGGGCGGATTGGCTTGGCTTAAGTTGGCCCACTGTATCCTGATGTCTTATATACTCTACTGATGTGTATTGGCCGGCATTCAGGTACCATTACGGAACACCATTGACCATTCTATTTCTCTCCGGCGAGAGCAAAAGAGAGGGGCGCCTGGGATATGACGGAAAAATAGGAGAAAATAGGAGAAAATAGGAAAAAAAATTCAAGACTGCGAAAATGTTGCCTCCGGGATTGGTTATAACCTCCTACGCATGACGTCATAGCTCTGCGGCCTGGGGCGAGCAAGCAAGTATAAACTATGTAAGGATCGGAGTTACAACATTGAGCTCGTGTATCAATGATCTTGCTCGAGCTGTAGTTTGCCTTGGCCACTAGCAGCCGGTACAATGTCGAAGTCACCCCAGAGTCTCTCTCGCTACAGACAACACAATAACATAGTAACAGTAACACTGCCAGTTCTTGCTGGTCACGATCTTTGTTGCCAAGCTGACCATTCTTGACCGCTCCCCAATATCTGCTTTCCCCTCTCTTCCCCCTCTCGGCCAAGGGGCAAGGATTCCCGACCCTCCATCTTCCTCTGGTGGCGTCGCGTGCATCACCGGCTGTGGACCCCCCTTTTCGGGTGCCCCGTTTCCGGACCTTTGCTTGGAGCTTCAGTTGGTGCCCGATTGCTGGAGAGCTGCCCTCTCTATGCCGATTTTTAATTGATTTTCAATTTTTGGAGATTTTTTAACTTTTTCACAGTCGTAATCCCTTTTCTTTTTCACACACTTTTTGCCGCTTCTTCCTCCTTTGGTTAGACCTACTGTCTCTTTACTGTGTACGCATAGCAGTACGTGGGGGATCCAGTACTATAAATTCGAGTCCCCTGATCAGCTCATGAGCAGAGCTTTCTGTACGCTACTCGTCCCTTTGTTATTACGACCCAATTCAACGATTTGTGCTCCTGGTTCCTTTTCCATTCGTTTTGTTTCTTCTGCTGCTTCATCCTCTACTTCGAGATATACCCAATCCCAATCTAATAATCTTTCAGCCACCGTCAATATGACACAAGCCACGGTCGCCGTGCCCATCGATATCGCAAGCACCACCAAGGAAGCCGTTGACGGGACCACTTGCATCGTCAAAAGAATTGATAATGTCATCGACGAAATCGACGGAATCGACGGAGTCGTCAGTGAGAGGAGAGACAGCGTGATTACCTCTCAGCCCACCGATCCCAATGTCGTCGCCATCACCATTCCCGACCGGAGGTGGTGGAAGGAAGCCATCATTTACCAGATTTACCCTTCGTCCTTTTGCGACACGGATGGCGATGGTCTCGGCAACATTAATGGCGTCACTTCCAAGCTCGACTACCTCAAGGAGCTGGGCGTCGACGTCGTCTGGTTGACCCCCATTTACGAGAGCCCGCAAATGGACATGGGCTATGACATTTCTAATTACCGCGCCATCCACAAGCCCTACGGCACTATGGAGGACGTCGAGAACCTTATTGCCGAGCTCAAGAAGCGCGACATGAAGCTCATCATGGATCTCGTCGTCAACCACACTTCCGACCAGCACCCCTTCTTTATCGAGTCCCGCTCCTCTACAAATAACCCCAAGAGGAACTGGTACATCTGGCGAAAGCCCAGATACGACGACCAGGGTAATCCACAACCCCCGAACAATTGGGCCTGTATCCTCGACGAGGAAAACTCGGCCTGGACCTACGATGAGAAGACCCAAGAGTACTACCTCTCGCTCTTCACGCCGTACCAGCCTGATCTGAACTGGGAGAACCCAGACGTGCGACACGGCGTGCACGAGATCCTCCGGTTCTGGATCAACAAGGGCGTCGGCGGTTTCCGCATGGACGTCATCAACCTCATTTCCAAGAACCAGGACTTCGCCGACGCCGAAGTCATCTACCCCAACAGGAAATACCAATGCGGAAGCAAGCATTTCGCCACGGGCCCCCGTCTATCGGAATATCTCCAGGAGATGAAGCGTGAGGTGCTGTCCCACTACGACCTCCTCACCGTCGGCGAAATGCCCTTCATCAAAGACGAGAACCAAATCCTCGAAATCGTCAAGGCCGAGGAAGGCTCGCTCAACATGATCTTCACCTTCGACCTCATGTCCCTCGATGACGTTCCCGGCGAGACAAAGTTCAGCTTCCGGCCCTGGAACGTGCGCGACCTGCGCCAGATCATCGAGAAGATGCGCCGCGTCATCACCCGCCGCGGCTGGAAGACCCTCTACCTGGAGAACCATGACCAGCCCCGCTCTGTCTCCCGTTTCTGCGACGACTCTGATGAGCACCGCCTAGCCGGCACGAAGCTGCTTTGCATCATGCAGACTACCCTTACTGGCACGCTCTACGTGTATCAGGGCGAGGAGCTCGGCATGCGCAATGTGCCTGTCTCGTGGGGTCCCGAGGAGTACAAGGACATAGAGTCCGTCAACTACTGGAAATACATATCCAACAAGTACCCCGAGGGAGCTCCCGAGCGCGAGCGCGCCCGCCTCTTCATGCGCCGCAAGGCCCGCGATAACTCGCGTACGCCCATGCAGTGGGATTCCTCCCCCAATGCTGGGTTCTGTCCCGCTGGAGTGAAGCCTTGGATGCGCGTCAACGACGACTATCCCGAGGTCAACGCCGAGGTGCAGCGGAGAGAGCACAAGGCCACGGGCCTTTGCACGCAGGTGTCGGCCTATAGGTTCTGGCAGCGTGCCCTGCAGCTCCGCAAGGAACACGTGGATCTGTTCTTCTACGGCGAGTTCGAGGTCGTCAAGGACACGCATCCGAACGTGTTTGCTTTTAAGAGGATGGGCGGGGACGAGGTCTCGATGACGATTTTGAACTTTAGTGGTGGTGAGGCGGAGTTTAAGTTCCCTGATGGCTTCGTGATTCAGAATTGGTTGTTGGGGAGCTACGATTCCGAGTCGACGGATAAACCGAGGAAAGGTACGATTACACTGAGGCCTTGGGAGGGTTTGCTTGGTGTTGGACGATGGAGTCAGCAGGGTGGAATCAAAGAATGCACGTTGCGGGAAAAACGTCTAACCTAGATTGATATCAATTTGTGTAAGGGTCGTTCAAACACGGGAGCATATAGACGGGCTGCATTTTTTTTTTTTTTTTTTTTTTTTTTAAGTTACAAATCGCTAGAACCGCAATCTTGACGAGTTAACATCCAGTTTTCAGTCCTTATCTATGTTACTTCAAAGAGTATATGCCTCTGCTGCTCCGAAATTCTCCGTGCCCTTGTCTGTACGATTTAATCCTCCCCTAGACTCTCCGTTCGTGCTACGAGATCCCCACTTATAAGCATGGCCGAGATATATCGAGCTCTCTGATGCCTAGTTAGGTACGACCAAGTTTGTCCCAGGGATCTCTTTCAATGCAAAATCCCACTCCGCTTTCAAGGATAAATTTTGGAAGCCCGCGCCCATGCAAACCAGGATATCACTTTAATTATCGGGTTCGCGGACTAGATACATTGTGCAACACTTCATTTTGTAAGGGAAAAAAATCCTTGGTTATATGCAGTAGTAACTTTCAAAACCGGAGACTGAACATTTCCAACGGCTCTACAACAGCCTCAAGCACCTCGTGGACAAACTCTGCTTTTCCCAAATCTGGGTCGACTGCAAAATTAAACGCCACGCAACGGGAGATGGCATCCGCTAGACCACTCCCGTACATTACCTCGACCTGCTCCTGCCACTTCATTGCAGCCTGCCGAAGAGTCCACTCCGTCACCTCTCCGCTAAAGCGGTACCTATCGAAGAAGGGCTGCTCTTCTATTGTCTGCTGAAATATGAGCTGGAGAAGGACAATGCCCACCGTCAGAACGGCCATCTCGGCGTGAGGTCTGGAGGGTGGCTTGGTCCGATGGAGAGCTTCGCGAATACAGTTGTGAGTGACAAAGGGAACGGATGGATGCTCGGACGAGACGAGGACAGTCTCTCCACTCCAGGGTTGTGGGAACCAAACCGACGTCCCGAGACTGAGGATGGTGTATGCCAGCTTTATACTAAGCCGAATTCTCTGGTCCAAGTAGGGAATGGCGTGCAAAAATTGGCCAAGTCCCTGAATTTGACCAAGGCATTTATCGGTGTCAATTCTCAAGGAAACTATCTTGTCCCCATCTTTAATATATCCACGCTCTCTTGACGGTAAGGGATCGCTGAAGAAGCCACATGTAATTTCCTCTGGCGCCGGTTGGGCGTCGGGCGTGGAGGATCGTGGTGTGACACTTCGCGTTGGTGAAGAAGCAAATTGAGCGTTGTGGCCAGGGGCATCCCCAACCGCCCCTGCTGAGGTTGTGTTGTTGATAGTTAGTTTGTTCGCCTTTCGGGGTTGCCATTTAGTTTCCGAAGATCGTTTGAAAGGCAGAAGGACAGTATTGAAGCACGGTGTGGCGAGCGCAGCGACCTTATGTTCTTTGCCCATTTTGATGCGTTTTTTGTAGTCAGGCTCGGACCGGAACTCCTCCTTGAGTTGAGATATTTGGCTGATATTAAACCGCCCTTCTATCTTTTCGGCGGTGGCTCCTTCACCCGGCCCTAAATCAGAGGCCTCTTTGAAACCCACTTTTAGTAGCCTTTCCTGTCCGGTGTTGCCCAGCAGGAGATTCAGAGATCCTTCCCTATGCCATGCAGTGTCATAACTCCAGAAGGTCGCGATGCCACAACGGTGCTGGTTGCCGCATGAACATGGCCACTTTAGCGGGTCGAGTATACTACATAGTCGCGAGGCTTGGGATTGGAGGTTTAGGAATGGGCGTGCCGTCTCAGCGCTGGCTGTTTTGCGCCCCTTTGACATGATAGCAGGCCCAATGAGCGTGGCCTGCGCACAGCGGAGGTCCCTCTCCAGGAACTTTGAGATGCTCTCATTTATCTTCTCGACCTCGACTAGAAGCTGCCGCTTCCCAGTAAAGCTGACAGCCAACCTGAGAAATGTAAAGTCGACAGTTTCCGACGATGGGAGGTCGACCTAGCAGATTTCCATGTCAGAGGCTTCGAGAATATGAACGGCTCAAATGCGATCATCGTACTTTTCCGTTGCGAATGGGCAATACACTCGACACTATCCGTATTATTTCGTCTAGTCGACGGAATTTGCCGATCAGCCAGGGGAAGTGTTCATGGCCAACCCTCATCCTCAGACTCGCCTGAATATGGGGGTCATGCCAATCGGGCGAAAGCGGCCCGTTGCTGAGTAGTCCTGACTCGGTCACGGCGTCGAGGTCGAGAGGCTGGAGAAGGAGTTCCATATTTTGCCGGTGTGCAATCATCCCATCTTCGATCGAACTAATCATTTGCTCGAACGTGTTTCGAAAATACCACCACCCACGGCACCTTTCAAAGTATGATTTGGAAAATTTAGCGCCTTCGAGGAGAAGCGGAAGAGCCCCCAGAACTACCCCCGCAATTTCAAATCCAGACATCTCGATCAGCAACCAGGGTGGGGAAGGCGGAGCACAGGGTGAGCTCTGGAATATGGTGATAAATCTCCAAAACAAAACGAGAGGAAGAAGCCTCTCCCTGCTGTGAGGCAAGGCCGGAAGATTGGGGAATGAAATATAATTCTCTCACTTGCAAATCTCAGGCTGCGCCAGAGCTGAAAGCCGCTGAAGCCAGGCGAGTTGGTCTCTTGGGCGCCGTGATTGGTCTGAAGCGCAGCCTCAAGTGCGGGGTATCAAGAGGATATTCTTAAAGAACGCGTCTACTCAGGGTATGTTCTCAGGAGGTTCATGCCAGCCGAATAATGATACCGCCTGCCTGTTCGGCCAGAGCGAACACTGCAGCCGATCATGTCATCGGGGCGAGAGCTACCAAAGCGGCCGAGTCGAAGGCTATCGGCGCTAATCCGCGTGTGTCTAGGTCTTCTCCGTGAGTTGACTAGCTCTTTTCGGGGAGATGAAAGAAAGGCGAAAATTTACAACTCCGAGGTACGATTCGATATTTGGACGACCGACTTGACATGGTCTCGGAATGGTCAGTCAAAGTATCCCCTGGATTGGCGTCTACAAAGAGCCCCGTTGACGGAGGCTGCTGTACGCGCGACCCTGGGCCAGATCGAGAGTGCCGGAAACCGAGGTGCGTAGGGCGACGAACCGGCTGGAGCGCATCACGCAGCACCAACTTCCAAGTATTGGTGCCACCAGCTGACTGCGGACACAATAGCGCTCTCTATTAAAGTGGGAGAACTCCCAAACAGGGGAAATGACGATTTAGCATCTCTTATGGAGAACGTGGATATAGACAACCCCGAGAACCGCGACCTAATCGAGTTCCTCTCCCGGCCTACCTCCGAGTTAGACGAGTTATTGCAGAGCATAGAATCATCCATTGACCGCCTCTTCAAGCTGGCTATCTTGATTCGACGTGATTCCCGAAATCGGGCACACCCTCAACTGCCCCTTTCACTTCCCGCCCCGGGAATAGACCCGAGCGTGGACAACCATCTCAACCACCTCAAAGACCTGTTGCCAAAGACAGAACAAATCCCTTGGCTTCAACAGAAGCTCCTCCGAGCATTCTACTACCGACGGCAATCCATACTAGGGCTTCGCAAGCGTTCGGAGGAGATGGATCGCAGCTTATCTTCTCAAGTCCCTTCGGCAAATAAACTATCCGTTCTGGCAACGACAATTGCGGATGGGTCGTCAATAGAAGGACACCCCGTCACGGATAACATACAAAGCGGGGCTACGTCCTTCGCGACAGCCTGTTCAACAGACAACAACGGAGACCTCGACGTTCCAGATCTAACGAGACTTAAACTCCATGGAGTCAAACTCCAGTACGACAAAGTCTTTGAGTGTCCTTATTGTAGAGCCCCTACCACAGTGTCGTCGAAATACGAATGGAAGTAGGTCTCGCCCACTGGATTGCCTTCCTAAACCCTTCGGACTAAACTGTCACTAGGCGCCATGTGTTCAGCGACCTTCATCCATATGTCTGCACCTTCGAAGGTTGCACGGCACCCCTATTTGCCAGGCGGCATGAGTGGGTTAGCCACGAACAGGAGTTCCATAGGCGGGAATGGTGCTGCAGCCGATGCGACGACAGGTTCACTTTTCAAGGGGCACTGAAGGATCACCTCGTCGGAGCTCACGCCGTCCAGATTCGGGACGATGATTTCCCTGATGTACTGAAGCTTAGCGAACGCCCGGCCAAGTACCATCCGTCGGGCTCGTGTCCCCTGTGTGACAAGTGGAGCCCAGAAGATGTCTATCAAGACAATACTGCGCCGTTTTATGGGCATCTCGGTCGACACTTGCAGTGCCTTGCACTGAGCGCTATCCCTATAGCTATCGACGGCCTCGAGGTTCTACCGCCCCTGCCACTGTCGACAGGTCCCAGGATATTTTAACAGGTGGTGCTCGGTTGCCTCAATTGAGCCGGTCTGACCGCGCTAATAAGCCAGGCATGCCTTAGATCCACGAACCTTACATCCATGGACGTCTTTCTGTAGATGAGATGTCGTGGGAAGAAAATGAAGACTAGGAGCGGGAATCTGGTGACAATTAATTTCTTGCAAATGTAGAATTAATACAAGGTCAATGCAGTGCGCCGACCTGCAGCTTCGGCTGCGGAGATTAGGAGGAGCGCCTTGAAATCAAAGCCTCTTCATTTTGCAACTACTCCTCATCACGCTTTGTAGCCAATAGCCAGAAATCATGCTGCATGAAAATACCAGCACAGGTAGACTTCCATACATTGGTAGGGTCCAGGACATTAATATCAAAATGACGAAGCAGCTACACGACGAATGCGCGGTTAGTGCAAGACGACAGAGAGGTTGTGGGGTGGAAGGATACTGACTTCGAAAAAGATCTTGTTCAACTCCATGTAGGCAATATTTTTACCGAGACACTGCCACCTTCCGTGTCCAAACACTAGATCTACGGCCGACTCCTTGGCTCGGAGCTCTTCTTTTGTTCCTTCCAACCATCTCTCGGGTCGGAATACGTCTGCGTCCTCACCCCAGACGTCCTTGTTACGGGAAAGGCCAAATGCAGAGTATCCAAGTACAGTACCACCCGGGATGAACGTGCCGTTGTAGTCTTCTCCCTCTGGGGGGACCACTTTGGACATTACGCCTGTAAGGGGCGGCCAGAACCGGAGGCCTTCCTTGATGACAGCCTGGAGATATGGGAGCTTGCGAGCTTCGGCATCGGGGATCGGCGAGGGGAGGTGTGTGGAGGCTCTGATCTCGGCGGCGAGCTTACTATAGACGCGAGGGTTTGTGATGATGTGGAGCAAGGTGGCGCGGATGGCAGTGGCAGTTGTCTCGGATCCAGCCAAGCTAGCGAGCGCGAAGAAGGCGCGTCAGTAAGCATGACTTTGACAGCTTAGGAGGTGGTGAAGAACGAGTTCTCACATTTGCAAGAGCGTCTCGGATTCGGCCTCCGGTTGAGTTAGGCCGTGGCGGACGAAGGATCCGAGCATATCCTGCTGGTCCTTCCGGTCAGGCCCGAACCTCTCTGCGGCCTTTTGCTTGCATATACTAATAGGAATTTGGTTCAGCAACCGGATTCAGTAATACATATCTTTTGCATCTCGCACGTCTGCGACATGAAGGCAGGCTCGGGGTAAGAAGAGGCACAGGGGAAGAAGCTACGCACCCCATTACACGGCCAAAGCCAAGTTGATCCTTATCTGACGGCATGAACATTCGTACGATACTTGACTTCAAGATCCAGTTTAGACGAGGTATCGCAGAGACGAACATAATGGCGGGCATATTCTCTTCGACGGCAGCGATGTAGCCAAAGGCATCCGAGTCGGTTGCGAGGCAGCCGAATGGCTCGCTATAGGCGATATCGGAGATGACATCGAGGGTAAAGTACTGGGCCTTGCGGCCAAAATCAAAGGGCTTGGGACCACCAGGGGCGGAGGCATATTTGGCGATGAGGTTCACGAGCGCGGCCACGTTGCGGTCCACCTTGTGTTCCAGTGCGTCGACTTCTTTACCAGAATACTAGCCATCTCCAAAATATCGCAACGGATTAGTCTTGGGGTAAATTTGGGTAACGGGCAATTTCTGCGGCGAATAATTGGGCGCTTGAGGGCAGCGCATATCGCGCTTTTAAGGGGAGTCATTTCATCGATGACCCTGCGCGATTCAACAACTTACACCGGCAGCCATCTTGGTGCGTAGGACATGATGTAGATCATTGTCCTGTTGGGAGAGGACATTGTCCCGGCGCGGGTCAAACCGCATGGCAATGTACCAGTCTGACCGCTTGTACTTGGACCGTACACCAAGCATACGACGGAGGAGAACGGGGTCGCTCGTTACCAGCTCGTTAGGACCAATGCGAGCGAGCGGACCTGGCGGGGCCTTAGTTGGAGTGGGCTCATCATGCAAGCAAATCTACGCGGGCGGGGCGAAGTGTGGTGCAGAAAGAGGGGGACATGATTCCAGCAACGTGGAGATGTGACAAGAAATTCCCGCAACATACCATATTGTCGATTCACATTCGCTAAGAGCCAGTTTGTGTTTCCACCGGTCACGGCACGGACTAGCCAGAGGTTCGAGAAACCGGCAAGCGGAGGGCCCTTGATATGCCGGAGCCGATGCCAGGAATGAAGAACACGTACGACGCAAACCAGAGAAAGACCCAGTGTGGCTGCGCCACCGATGAAGAGGTAATTTCCCATCAGCTTGCCTAAAAACACTCTGATTAGGGAAAACAGGCGAGCCTGTGATAGAGCTGCCATCGCTTCGATCTCGCAACGATTGGTATCTTGGAGGCACAGTTCTGGGAATCCTGAAGCAGAAATAGCAAGGAAAAAAGAAAAAAAAAAAAAAAACATGAATAATATCAGTATATATAACAGGGAAAGAAAAGAAGGAAAAGGACGGGCATGGCATTCCGGGGGCTAGTGGACAGGCTCGAAGAACACATTGCAATGGCTAACCTTCCATTTGAACCCCCACCCGCCCGCCCGCCGTACCGCGCCTCCGCATGGCATTAGGGTGGTGTCTCTGGTGCCCGGAAGTCTTTCCGGCGTTAGCGAGCGGGGTCAGCTAAACTAAGAGAGGGCTAGTTTGAACTGCAACCCTCAAGGGTCCCAAATGTCACCCTCTTAAAACCTTGCGAACATCCCCGTTTTCCTTTGAAGAGTTGTTGAGTGCAGATATGGAACAAGGTATCCTGCCCTTGACGCAAGTGCCTGCGGTAACTTTTGAGGGACATAGTGTATTGCAGTAGCTTCTTCACTGGGTTGGTATCCCAAAGGGGCATAGTAAGGTCACTTTGGCTGGACGAGATTCCTCGACATCGCCTGTTGCCTGCAGCCGTGCCCAGGTGAGTTCATCGAAGTAATTGGCGCTACAATTGAAATAGTGACATCAAGACTTGCAGAATTTTGCAAAGGGGGGGGGGGGGGGGGGTGTATCCTTGGCATTGGCCGTGCAAACACACCATTGACTATGTGCGTGCTGATATTTGCCGTCTAAAATCGAGCACTGGGCTCTCGCCGTGCTTTCTCATCTTCCCCGCTCCAATATTTGCTTCGCAATTAGACGGTCTCTTGCAACTTTCAGGATCCCCGAAGAAAATTTGTCGCATAACTGCCCTGGAAATTTAAGGCCATGGCTTCTCAGAGCCCTCATGTGTATCTTGAGGGGGCAAATATAGTCGCAGACGACGTAAGATCACGTTTCACCCTTTCGACCCCAATCCCCGGGACCCTGCCCAACGCATGCGTGCGGCGGCAAGACAGACCCCACCAAATTGGTTCCTCTCTCGCCGATCGGTGCTGGAGTCGTAACGCTAATATGATAGCTCAATTTTGTCTTAGCAACTTGGGGAGGATGAATCGCTTGGGCTTGTGGTACGAAGCTCCCCCGTATAGTCACCCGCTTGAACAGAGACCTTAACATACAACTAGGCGGACGATGCGAGCTCCTCAGCATCAATCACTTCGAGCATCCTGAAGTATCGCCACGAGAATGGGCGGAGATACCATGCCTATAAGGATGGATGTGGGTCAACCACTCTTCAACACTATCCTCAATCCTTGACATTTCTCCTTCTTCCCCTGCCGAAGGATGATTTCATATCGAATGCATCGATTGCTAACTATGTGTGCCCTATTAACGTAGCATATGTACTTCCTAATGACGATGCAAGTAGCTTATATGAATTGCCTTGTATCACTCGTGTCTTTATTTGATATCTCTTTCTGACATTTTTCATCCTCTTCTCCAGAAAGAAAATGACCGACTCGGTAGGTTTCAGAGAACACCCTCCTCTCTTGTCTAGTCACATTGTACCTGTGAGTGTCTGCCACGGAGATGACTACACGCTAATGTGTTCTGCGCCCTCTAGACCTGCAACATAACATGTTCAGAATGATGTATGATGGAGGCTTGTTCCTCTGCCCCGCGGAACCCGATAAACTGCAAAACGTTTTGGACGCAGGGACAGGAACTGGCGCCTGGGCAATGGACTTGGGTAAGTTGAACCCTCTCGTTAGTAGCCTTCTACGTTCTAACTGACAGTGTCGGATTCCACAGCCGACGAACAACCCCAGGCTCAGGTGCGCTCACTCCTCAATGACGCAATTACCCACCCCCAACTCGGAGTCAAGTTTGAGAAACAGAGGAGAAATTGGCAAGATAAAGCTATTTTCCATCCAGGCTAACTCTTTGAACAGATAGTTGGTGTCGATTTGAGCCCGATTCAACCTTCATTGTAAGCGTCTGCCTCTGTCCGCCACAACCCCGGTTCCGAACCATCGAAAATACCGAGTTTCATTAACACCAATTCCAGCGTCCCTCCCAACGTCAGGTTTTACGTTGATGACCTCGAAGACCAATGGACCTTTTCGACCAAGTTTGACCTCATATATGCGCGCATGTTGACTGGCTCCCTCTCTGACTGGCCCAAATTCTTCAAACAGAGTTATGAGTACGTCCATCAATTTTATCCCCTTCCCCTTTTGTTATCCGAATCTGAAAAGACCGCGGCGTTCCGATCACATGTACTAACTTGGTTGATCAGCGCTTTGCAACCCGGCGGATACATTGAGCTCTCAGACATCATCTTCCCGCTGGAGAGCGACGACGGCACTCTCCCGAAAGACTCTGCTCTCAACCAGTGGGGTGAACTTTGCAACAAGGCTGCTCATGTTTTGAATCGTCCTCTCGACTCTGCCAGGCTCTATTCCAAACAGCTCGCCGAGGCCGGATTCACAAACATCACCGAGAGGCACTTCAAGTGGCCTCAAAACCGCTGGCCTAAGGATCCCAAGTACAAGGAGCTCGGTATGTTCATCCCGTTAGCTTGCTCACGATCTTCTAGCCTCTTTTATGGTTCCCCATTTCTGCTAATTAGGGTGGATATTAACAAAATTAACTAGGCTTGTGGACTTACGAGGATATTGGCAAGAACGTTGATGGTTTGAGTGTAGCGCTGTTTACCCGCGGTCTTAAATGGAGCCCGGAGGAATTTGAAGCGTTCCTTGTCGACGTTAGGAAGCAGATGAAGGATCCCAGGATCCACGCCTACTTCAACATGTGAGTGTTCACAGTGACCCTCCTCCCTTGTTGCTTTCCAAACATATAATTAACACACCGTAGATGGATCGTATATGCCCAGAAGCCCACTACCGCAACCTGAGGTTCTGCATAACTATTTCTCAGTGTGAAGAATTACTCGTTGCGAAGATATGAGGAGACGGTTTTTAGGGGTTATTGCAAAATACATCCATGTTGTAACGTTTTGGTGCTGTGTTTTGACCCATATTCTGGTATATTGAACCTTTCTCCAGCTCATGCAGTGCTACAGCGACGTGGAATCTGAATATTTACCATTCATCTGGAACTGTCGCATCTCTCCTGATCGCGGATACATAAACAGAGCTGAACTCCACTCTTACTTGATTGCCCATATCTGAGGAGCCTTACCAGCGGATAAAATCTCACCTTTCACGAACCCATCGACGTATGCTTCCCCAACCAATTCGTACTCCCCATCCTCAAGACTATTCTTCCTCAGCAAAACCGGCACATTGCACCCTAACAACACGACAATCACATCGCCCTTTCGACTCTCCTTATCCACCATTGCAAGGTGTCCCTGTTTTGTCACGGCAAGCCTCTTCACCATGTGCATCGATCCTGTTGTATCCCTCACTCTGCTGAAAAAATTGAGCATGACGTCCCCGTCGGGCTTTCCCCCAAGTAGATACGGGAGCCCCTCAATCTCCCCAAGTATTTCTCCCAGCAACTTGCCTCGGACGACCAGGCGCGAATTCTCGTCAAGCCATGCCTCGAACTGCTGTACCGCAACGTGGTCACGATCTTTGCCTGCTCGGATAGTTCGGAGCCACCTAATGAAGCAGTCGCAAAGTGCATCGACTTTTGCAGGAACCTGCAGGTAGCGGTCATTCCGGTCGAGAACGGCCGTCCGCACGAGAGACTTCGAGAGCTCAACTGTAGCATTTCTGTCCCCGTCCGTTATAATCGGGGGCGATTCCACCATATTTTCGGGTCCGTGCAAAGTCTCGCGGTCCTGGAATCGAAACTCGAACCCAGTCTGCGCGGGGTCCTCCATCCAGAGCTCTCCCACATCCTCCACCACGTCAATAAAGTACCCTTCACATCGCAGGACCTTGCCATCTGCAGCTAACACATCGAACGTGCATGTTTTGCCCCCCGCGGTCACATACACCCCCCCCCCCGGCCCACCCGGCGGCAGCTCATCCCTTGGTGACCTAAAGTTCCCGATGTGCGAGAACCCGCTTTGACTCACCATCAGCGGCACCGTGGGCAGCGCTCTCAGCTCCCTCCAGTCGGGAACCCATGACAGCCCGAGCGCGGTGCTCGGTCGGAAGAGCGGCGCAAAGCATATGAGGTCGAGGTTCATCCTCATCTCAATAAACGAGACGACGAGCCGCCGATACACCTCCTCGACGGCGAGTGTGTACGTTGGGGTGCCGACGATCCATTGATCCACTTCTGATACGAGTCCCAGAAGTGCATAAATTCGATCTCGCGGGTCGGTGGAGAGGTTGGTTCCCCGTATAAGCGAGGAGCGCCGGCAATGGTAGCGGATTTCTCAGGGAATTGGGCGCAGTGCCGACGGCAACGCCACTGCTATCAGTGGTGCTCCGGTACACACCATTGAGTCGGCATCTTTAAGTAGCCGTCGCAAAGAGCTTCCAGGATTTGGTAGACGCTGTCCAGAACCAGAAATGGTTCGCCATTCAGGAAAATCGTGTTCTGGTTGGGTCTTGGTTGGCCCCAGACGTAAGAGAAGGCCGTGTAGGCGGGGCATCCCAGTGAGAACAGGCAGTGAGGGCTCCAGTGATACGTGAATGGACCCGTCGTCTGCGCGACATGAGTGCAGAAGTCTGATCCACCCTCTTCCATTGAGAGGTGTATAGGGAAGAGACCCAGTCGCCATTAGGAGGTTGGGGGTTAGAGACTAGAGCGCGGTAGCTCGGTTGAAGTATTTCCTGCATTGGGCACTTGATGACCTTCCAATTCAGCAAGTTTGAGGATTGCCTCTAATTATGTAATTTACGGGGATAGTTTGTTGCAGGCTATGCATCAATTAATGTCTGGTATTAGGCAGGGTTCCTGCCATAAGACTCGATTTATAGGTGAGGCATATCTGGGGGATGTGAGGAAATACGCCTGTGCCGCATAATAGATAAACCCTACCATACCAGCTAATACTCTGGCAATCAACCGCTACAAACCGGCACTCATCAGAGTGATATTTTATATTGATGCCTTTAGAGGAACATTGTCTTTGTCAAGGTCTCGAGAGCCAACTTCGGCCTGGAGCTGTCTTGTGGATACCTTCCCTTTGGCGCAGGGTACCCAGAACAAAGCATCTCTCTCAGGATCTTCCCGTTCCTTTCTCTGCCCTCTGTGTGCTTGGTTCCTCTATTCCACCTACTCGTATTTTGTTCAAGCAATCCTAATAGCTTCGGGGTATCTTGTCCCTACCAGCGAGCTACAGTTGCATTGGCAAAAACCTCCCCTCAGGCCGTGACGAGCCCTGTGTTGATTGCCTGCTGCAAATTTAAATATCGCCGCATGCCCAATGGGGCGAGAGAACAGGATCCGAGAGTTACCACATAGCACGCACCTGACGCTTCGTTCCGTGCCCATGGCCCCAAGATCCTGCGCAGCGTCAAGATGCCCCCTCGCCGGCGGGGAAGGAAGGAGCCTGGTCCGCCCCCTCTCCTTCCGCTCCTTCCTCGCTTCCGCCCTCCTAGAAATCCAGCTCGATTATACTTTATATAAGGGGTTCCGTTGACAAATTACCAGCCGAGCAGCTCAAGCACTTGCCAATGCGATGTGGTCTAGCCAACCCAAGCGCTCACAAAGCTAGAAAACCGCCCCGGACTGTTTTCGTAGGATGCGCGTGTTCAACACAAGCTACCCTCGCTTTTTGCCTTATTTTTTTTTCTCCCTCTTCTCACCATTGCTCCCAAAGCTCGATGGTGGGAATCAATGCATTTATCAATGTCGCGAGGATCGGCCCCAATTTCCAAGGATTACTGATAACATGCATAAACTTCCCAGGAACAGGGTGGTTTAATGAGTGATTCGAGAGTCGGCGGCATCTCTCCCACCTAGGGAGTTTCCGTCTTCCCAAAGCCCGTCCCATCCTCCTGTAGAACTCCGACGTAGTTGCCGGGATCTCCGTGTCAACCCTCGGCGTATTACGTGGTATATCAGGATTATTATCGCTAACGAGAATAAACAATGGAGAAATCCGACGTCGAATCGGCTGCTAGAGAAGTGGTGCTGGTCTTTTTATACCCAAGGGCTCCCCCAATAAATTTGCCGCGTTTGATTCTGCTACCAGGCGAGGGGTCGTTCTGTGTTTCTTAGATCATGTTACAGCGGTGACCCGGGAAGCTGATCAAGGCCTGAAACGGTTGGCCTACATCCCTCGATAACCCTGTCGGGTCCCGCTCGTCCAAGGAGACAGTCACCCCGGATGCAAATTCTTAACGATCCCTTTTAGTCTTCACACCCTCGAGATGAACGGTATGCACGTCTCGTTGGGCGCCCTAAACAGATTCGAAATAGCCAGGAGACATCTGCCAGAGATCAGGAACAGCCGAACTGCATCGGATACCCGGCAATAACCCCCCCCCTTGTTTGTTTTAATAATCTACACGAATAAACAAGGTTCTAATTGTAAGCCAGGGAATATCGGCATAACATCATATGACCGAAGGCAGTTCTCGAACGACTTCCTATGACTCCTTTCCTTAAATGGTCCTGCAGATCGACAGGGAAACACCAAGTGCATGTTCAAACTCAACTTTCCAGGAGCACACAGGGCGGGAGGATGGATATAAAAGTCCTCGCCTTCATTCGCAGTCGGCTCTGTCCCGCCAACCTCAACACTCTTCGTAGAATTTCCCCGAATTCTCAAGTCCATTCACCGCCTCGACTGCGCTCACTTCGAACTCCCTTGCCGCTTGTCAGCTCGTACGATCACGTCATACAAAAGCGGACAATGTGCTCCTATTCCAAGAATAATATTCCTCAGCCTGTCGAGGCCCTGCTCACTCAGTCGGCAACGTTTCTCGTCGTGTCCGTGACGGACAGCCCGGACTCGACTAAGGTCGTCCGCTCCACAATCTCAGGCATTGATGACCTTCTCAAGAACGTCTCTATGCGTGATCCCGGCGCAAATCTGACTTGCATCGTCGGTATCGGAAGTAAGGCATGGGACCGATTGACGGGGCTTCCACGACCAGCAGAACTCCATCCCTTCCGAGTCATCGAAGGCGATAAGCATAAAGCAATCTCGACGCCGGGAGATTTGCTTTTCCATATCCGCTCCGAACGGCGGGATATTTGCTTCGAGTTCGAAAGGCAGTTATTGAGTCGACTGGGCGATGCTATCAAAGTGGAAGACGAAACTACAGGATTTCGTTACTTTGACCTCCGAGACCTCTTAGGTTTCGTCGATGGCACGGCGAACCCCGTCGGTCCGGATGTGGACGACGCGGTTCTCATCGCAGAGGAAGATCCACCCTCTGTCGGAGGTAGCTACGTCGTCGTACAAAAGTACATCCATAATCTCAAGACATGGGGTGCCCTCTCGATCGAAGCCCAAGAAGCCATCATAGGCCGAACCAAACTCGAGAACATCGAACTAGATGACGCTACGTCCGGGCAAAAGGCCCACAAGACACTCACGACAATCGAAGACGAGAACGGCGAGGAGTACGAGATTCTGCGGGATAATATGCCGTTCGGATCGCCCGGCTCGGGAGAGTTCGGGACGTACTTTATCGGGTATTCGAGGCGGCTGTGGGTTATAGAGAAGATGCTGGAGCGCATGTTCGTGGGGGATCCCCCGGGGATGCATGATCGTATCTTGGATTATTCCGTTCCGAGGACGGGCACGACGTTCTTTGTGCCGTCGACGCGCGTGCTGAAGAGTCTTGAGGCGGACTGAGAGCGGCCTGATACGGATGTGCATCTAGATTGGTGAGAAGCGAATCGCAGAGGGAAAATCTGTTTGTTGGTGTCGTCTGATCGTACCGCGCTGCCAACTGCATGAAGAGAGAACATTTTAGACAGGCATCTCTCATATAGAGACATCATAGGATTAACTGTTCGTATCTTTCGTATTCATCGAAAAACGTAGAAATTACTCGGCTGTTGCCGCGTCGAGAGGGGTTTATGTCACAAGGAGGGAAGGATCTCGCAGTGACTAGTACAGTTTAAAATTCGATAATAGAACCAGAAGTCAATCTAATGAGGGACACAAGTTAATTAAGGATGGTTGCCAAGTACCTTGTACGTCCTCCGACGAGTCGGAAGTTATCTAGGTCCGACGCCGTAGACCATCACAGAGAACGATGAGTTCGTGAAGCAATTGACTCGGTAGTCGTTCGCTATATTATTGGACGGCTACTTCTTGAGTCGCATAGAATGCAGGTAGCGGATAGACTAGCCACGCCTTAGAAGAACACTCCATCCAGTCTTCGACCATCCGAGATGTTCCCCACAGCAGCCTAGCTTTTGTCCCCAGACTCAATCCCGAGTCCTCATTCCTAGTTCCAACTACACTCTCGGCAGCTAATGGCATCATTGTAAGGGCTGTACAGACGCGCGTATTCAGTCCGGCCCGCAAGGATGATTCCGCTGCCGTAGCATGCGCTGCCAGACCAGTCGGTCCACTACAAATGCCACATGACGTGTCAGTTAGCGGATGATCAGCGAGTCGGACGGAATTGAACCAGACTTACGTAGATGCACTTCTTATCATAGTCGAAGTTCTTGATGCTGGAAATCCGGTCATTCCACTAATGTTGTTATCACCCATCCAGTTAGCCCCCACAATTACATTCAAAGCAGTCTCTAGAAGACCTTGGAGAACTCACGTCGTTGCCAATGTAGTAACCCTTGCCATCAATGTTGGCACGGTGATAGTAGCTGGCGCCTTGGAAATCCCAGTCGGCCCAATATGCGCCGAAGGCCGGGATTTGTCGGCTCTCGAGACCAGCCGCCTCAGCGGGCTCGCTGCGCTTCAACTTTGCGGCCTGCACCGACTTGTTAGCCTTTTCTTCGACCTGCTGATGGGGTAATCCAAAGGCTTTCACGGAAAGCTCACCAAGGCCTGGGCTTCCTCCAGAGTACGGTAGGTGAAGGTCACGTTCCCCTGAGGCTCCTCTACAGCCGGCGCGCCAGTAACGGCTCCGAAGAAGGCCAACAGAGCGGCGGCGGAAGTGAGAATCCGAACCATTTTGTTCGGTGTTGCAGGTTCTTGGTTGTTTCGTCGATACGGCTGGGCTTTGATGGGATAAAGCTGTGGAGGAGAGGAGCCCGGTGGACGAGGTTACGGGAGAGGCAGACCTTGATTTATACCTGAGCCTCTCTCCACCTGGTATGAAAAGATGAAATAATAGTAATGACACAACGAGATCCAGCGCGAGTGCAATGTCGCAGAGAAGGAAGTCCAATCCTTGTGATGCATCCGTGTGGTTCACCTCTCACTCCTATCGTCCTCGCTCGCCTGCAGTAGCCAACTCCTTTGAGAATTTGGAATAACGGCTAGCGATGCTGTAAGCTGATAAGAATGTAAGCACGGAACCGAGATGAGGCACATCGTCGGTCAAACCAATGAATCAATACTCTCGTGGTTCCCCAGCAGTGAAAAAGATCCTCCTCCCGCCGAGAAGTCGCCGAATGGGCCGTTGCCCTCCCGCTCCGCATTCAGCCCAGGGGCGACACGCATGGATAGACACATCAATGAACTGGGAGAGGGCAAGTACGTTGTGGCGCTAGATAGATTAGATGGATGAGTGAGATTCGGGGTCTTAGGGCTGAATTTTCGAGTTGCATGAGACATGAGACGACATGTCACATAGTTTACTGATTGGCTCGCTGCATTTCGTATAATCATCAATCCTTGCGTCTAATTCCTCTCTCCACCGTAAGCTGCATGGTTGATCGCCCAAAGCAAACCTGCACACTTATTCTACAACGTATGTGGGCAGTCGTATTTCTAGGTGAGGGAACTTTGTTCATGTGCTTATTTGCATCGCCCCCAACGGTTTTCTCGCCACCCTCTCCCTTTCCATCCCCATCTCCTCGTCTCCTCGTGACAACCCACGACAGACCCCCGAGTCGATTGGCCCGCTCGTCTTGAGATGTTGCGATCTTCTCCGACCGCCGGCTATACTTTAGCATTTTACGTTATCGGAACGAAACTCGGACATGTAAAAACGGCGCATATCAGCTAGCCACTCGCTCACCCGGAGTGCCTGACCTGCAGGGGCCGTGGCATGAAGACCGCAAACCTAAAAGTCCACTTGCCTAAATCGCCCCACGGTCCGAAGCGCGTGATACCAACGTTCCCCCGCCCGCCTGCAACACGAAGGTGTGAGGTTAATCCTATGCTGACCCCTTTTAAACTTGACTTGGGCCAATAATGCTTTCAGGTTTCGCTTCGTGCTCGGGTATAGTTCCTCGATGTGCTTTTTCCTGTGAACTTGTCTAGACTCTGGCGACTACGACTCGTGACTACCTTGTTTCCACTCAGGGACAAGTGCTTATTCTGTGGAGCATCGGCTGCTTACGGGCCGGGTCTTAGTTCGGAATTGGAACGGAATCAGGAGATGGTCCAAAGGAATTTTCTGGATGGGCACAGACGAGGAGAGTGGACGGACATAAGTGGGTCGCATCCAACGGCCAACATGAAAATTAGTTTATTCAGAACCTCTCCATATCATTGGGCTGTTCGCGTTCGTTGGACGAAAGCCCTGGACCAAGATGCATTTCCTTCGTCCGTCTCGTTGGACCGACGCTCCTTCTTTGCTGGTCTCCTTTCGAGTTGGGACAAGACGACCCGGAAGTCTAGGTCTTTGGCATTCACCTCCTTCAACTACCGGGGACGTCCCACCTCGCCCCTGTTGGCTTTTTCGTCCCGGGGCGGATTCCCTCGGCGCAGGTTAGGCTCCTCAACGAGATATAGCTCAAAAGTTATTCCCTAGCTCGGTGGTGCCATTACCTTGCTCACAATACAAGCCGCATCTGGGTCTCGAACACCCAGATGAGCTATGCCATGAAGTAGTTTCTCTTGGCTAGATTACAGCCGGACGCCGTGAGCTTGTAAGGATGTGAGAACCATTCGAGTTCTCGGGTGGGCTACCTGACACCGTCATAGTCTTTTAGATGGGAGGTGGCGGCATCCGGGGGAGACGCGTCTTGTTTTCTCAGCACCTCGTTCGGCCACTCCAACCACCTCGCCCAGTATGTCCCAAGATGAGTTGTGATGGCGCATATAAAGAAGCTCCCCACATCCCCAACCGCCCAGTGACCCCGGTTGTAATGCAACAGCACTGCATAATAAGCCAAAATGACCAGAGCCTCCGGCTTCCGCTGGTTGAGTAAGTCAACATACTCGATAGATACCCTGACAGGCCACTCCTGGAACGCCGAGGCGCGCCGTTCAGGAGACAAGCCGTTGGGTAGGTGATAATCAAACATGTGCTGGAGACATTCGACAGCGTTGAGACACGCCTCCTTGCCGTCCTGGGAGAGGTCGCTCCGATCGATCATCTCAAGGAGACAGTTGCAGCAGTCATCGGGCATGAAAGCACTCGCCGGACGTAGGTCTACTCTCTCGACCTTGAGGACAGTCTGTATCCTAGGCCACGAATTCGCGGCAACGGTACGAACACCGCGATGGAGGCCAAGACAGTGGATGAACTTATCAAGAACGGTCGAGAAATCTCGTCGGGTTGAGAAGGCCTCGAAGAGGGCATGCCGGCCGAGGTAGGCTGAGAACATGAAGATGGCGAGATAGTTATCTTCGGAGACTTCAGGTTTCTCAGCGTTGAAGTGAGATATCGCGCGTGTCTGTAGCCGTGTCGCTTCGGTCATGTAGAACTTCTTCCTGTCGCCGACCGCCGTACTGCTCAAATGGACGGCGGCAAGGGCGAGGAGCTGATCCATGAGGTACGGCGTGCGGAAAGCCTCTTTCATGACCATTTTGGTGAGGTGCTCACGCGGGTCCGCGTACAAGATGGGGCCCATTTCACTGGTAAGGTGGTATAATAATTCCAGGTGCAACAGACTATAATTCTCTCCAAGGAGCAGGGGCAGGGTTTGGCCCTGCGCCCTTGGGCTGCTGCTGCTGCTGCTCCTGCCATGGTCATCATCAACCAGAGTAGCTGGGGCGACCGGGGCGACCGGCTGAGCAGCGGGACGGGATACGAGCACTTCGGGGAGGGTGGCAGGAGGACACGGAGAGGTGCCGCCGGAAGGGGAGGGTGAGGGAACAAGAGGAGACCGCGAATCTAGATAGGGGCATCTACGCTCGGCAGTTTGGCAATTGACGCATGACGGGCGCGTCTCATCGCACTTGAGATGGCGCAGCTTGCAAGTCTTGCAGCCGTGCCTTGACTTTTTATGAGATCGCCGCATTGGCCTCGTAGAGGCTTGATGGTGTAGAGGGTATAGTCCGCCTTGTATTCCGAGTTCGGGTTGTCTTGGGGCTGCTGAAGGATCTCAAGTTCAGCATTGGCGTGGGGGTCGTCAAGTTGGTTCATCGACACTGTGAAGTACATAACAAAAAGAGTGTCTGCACGTAAAGCTCTCATGACTAATCCTTATTTTATGTACTTGTTGGAAGTTTTAATCTAGGCTCGACACTGTAGAACACAATCTCGGGTACTTCGGTACTTCTAGTCACTCTTTGCGGGAACCGTTCAAGCTCTCGGAAGGTTGAAAAACTCCGAGGGAGCCGCTGCTCCATCCAGGTACTCCTTTCCAGGCTCTTTCCACGAACGGAAACTTCGGTGTATCAGCATCTAGTTTTTCGGGGACTCCACCTTTCTCTCGGTTGACCTCACCTATCAACATGGGTCCTCATGGAGCATTAAGAGAAGGACAATCGGTGAAACTGAGCCACTTTAGACATCACAGGACACACCGTATCTTGCCAAGCCCTTGGGTCGATGGGAATCTTTCGTCCCATCATATCTAGAGATATATAACAGAGATCTAGATATATAAAGTGTTCCCTTTCGAGTCTTCTCTGTAGGCTACGACAGCCCCCCGCCCACCGAACCGCTATGCTCCGGGTTCGAACCCTATTACCATCAAGGACGTCTCTCTCTGACTCGCGAAAGTGCCTCCACCACTAGCACCATCGGCTATCTTGGCGGCATCTCTGGAGACATGACACATGCCAGTCTCCGACCTAACAGCTTTCCTCAAAGAAGAGGAGAAAAAAAGGCAAAAAAGAAACATACAACACCAGGGATTCGCTGGTCGTCACCGACCCAACTACTAGTCTGGCGCTTCGCAGCTTGTGTACAGGGGAGCGGACGGGACCCTCAATTGTCTGCGAGCTATGGTCGTATGTATTAGCGATGGGAAGGAAATCACTCTATAAAGTTAGGCCGGCGTTTTGGAGTTTTGCGTGAAGGTATCGCGGGTCCAGTCAAAGTTTGGCAAGCATGAGCAAGCGGACACATCCCGATATGTAAAGGATGGTCTCGGTCCACTAAACAGGCCTTATAGGCTATGATTGAGATAATATTGGTATAGCAAAGCCTGGAATTGGAGAACGTCGCCCGCTGACCAAGGATCTAACAATCTACTCAAACTGTCTCGCAAAGATCCACCAGTCTGCGGCCTTACACAGAGAAAAGACAGAATAGATGCCGGGTCTAATGGGTGGGAGCGGGTGGAGCGGGGAGGCTAGTGGAGAAGTCAATTCCTCCGCATCCGACGTAAGATGAGGGGCAAGTGTGAGTGCATTTGGCATTGCGGTAACTGATAATAGTGCCCTTAACCCCACCTTTGCTAGCGGCTTGGTGCGTGTCGCCAAATGCTTAGAAGGTGAAGCTAAGAGTGGTGATGGTGGTCTTCCTTCTGGGGTCAAGAAAAGGACGTCACCGTCGCCTCTTGCGTCCTCAATCCTCATCAATATTCCATATTTCCAGATTGCTTTTCCAGGAAGCCAAGTGTGACACCCGGATGGTCCGCGTTGGTGTGAGACGGGGCAACTAAAAGGCCAATTCCTCCGAAGGAGTTTGAGAGTTTACGTCTCCTCTCTTGTATAAATATCGTGGTTCGTTGCTGGTCTGGTGGTGGCTTCTTTTCTCGCGGATGCAATTTCCCTTCATCAAAGGCACGTGCCATCACTATCGAACCAGACATCGCGCAGGCAATATATCTCAACACATCGCGATTGGAGTCTCCCACTTCCACCTGTCCTGTAATTCCTTCTGCATAAATTCCCACTCATAGCCATCATCGACATCAACATGTCTTCATCGGGCAACCAGCCGCCCAAGACTGCGGCGGAACACTTCAATTCAACTGCCGCGCAATACGAGCGGTCAACAGGCGGATGCACCCGAGAACTGGCCCGCGACCTGCTCGATCTCCCCGACCTAGAGAATATCTACTCTCCAGATTCCCTTGTCCTCGACAATGCGTGCGGCACAGGAATCGTGGTCGAGGAGATTATCAAGCGCTGCACCAACGACAACATCGCAATCCCGACAATAACCGCCGTCGACGCCGCCGAGAACATGGTCGGGCAAGCACGCGCCAAGTTCCAGAGCTCTCCACCAGAAACGGCAGGGAAACTTTCCTTCCAGACGATGCCTGGCGAGAAGCTGGATTTCCCGGACGACTCCTTCACTCACAATGTGACCAACCTTGGCATTCTCTTCTTCACCGACGGAGATGCGGGTGCGAGAGAAATCTACCGAACGCTGAAGCCCGGAGGCGTAGCCGTCGTCACGAGCTGGGCGGAGCTGGGCTATCTTTCCCGCGTCATCCATCCGGCGCAGAGACTTATCCGCCCTTGTGATCCGGTTTTTAAGCTCCCAATCCCGGAACTATGGCTCCAACCGAGCTACGTTGAGCAGTATTTGAAGAATGGGGGATTTAAAAACGTGAGGATGCAGGAAATTAGTGTCCACTACGGAGCGTCGACCGCAGAAGACGTGGCCGGGCTGCTTGTCACTTCGTTCCAGTCGCTGTACAAGGACTGGCCGGAACACGAGAAGAAGCAGTTTGTGAAGGCGGTGGGAGACCTGGTGCGAAAGACGGGTGTGGGTTATACGATGCCGGATGGCGAGGAGGGTGTGGGGATTCCGATGAAGGCGATTGTTGCTGTGTGTCGCAAGGAGTAATTAATGGAGCGAGAGTTAGGCTGTGTAGCAGTTGCAATATGCAAGATTCTATACTATAAACGATGAAAGTACAAGTGGATCGGGCAGAATAGTGACAATGCAGCTGGTTAGATTAAGTTGACTCCACCAAAAAAGGTCTACCCAATACTCTCATGAAATTCTCGGCGAGTCTGCTCATATATCGTACTTCCCAACACACGTCACGATCCTTGACTCGTTTACGAGTTATGCAACCCCATCCGCTGACGCTGGCCGAACCATTGTAACTTGATGCACCTTTCCTCCCCTGTACCGAAGTCCAGGCACCGCGGCGGGCTGTCCAATTGTTACAAACCCATATCGTCGGAAGAATCTCATCGCCCGTTCATTTCCCACCAAAGTCTGCAGGTAACAGCCCGGGGCGCCAGCCTCTTCAAGCTGAGAGAGCCACGCCCTCATCAGCGCGTCCGCAACGCCACGTCCCCGCCAAGCAGGAACGACATTGATGTGAAGATGCGCAGACCACCTCGGATCCGTAAAGTCCCCAGCCACGGGGTCCCGACGCAGCGACGCGACCGCCATATCCAAAGTCGCCCGCGCGAAAAAGGAGACGGCAGACCGACTCCGCCACAGATGATGTCTCCGCATCGCCCTATCGATTCGGTCTGACTCTTTAGGGAACGCAGCACTGTCTAGGCATCCGGCGAGATAACCAATGAGGTCGGCGCCGGATTCCGCGACTAGAAGCACCGCTGTGGGGTGGTCGGTATACGGGAATAAGTAAACATCGGCCTCGGACGCGGGGTCTCCCCAAAGACTTGCTGTTGGTGAGCCCTCCCCGGCTCGCGCGAAGAGATCTATGAGAGCCGCTTGATCATCTGTAGTTGACTTTCGGATCTCAAAAGAAGTTTCCATCATAACTGACGAGACCGCGTGGGTAAATGCTCGGCTCCGCGCACCACAGTTTACGAACTAAAATGAAAGGACCGGGTCAATAAATACCCTATAAAGGCCGAGGCGATTACCAACTATCGCAAAGATGCTAAGAATACTTTTGTCTCTGAAAATATTTTAGAAAATAAGAAGGCGATCAGCCAAGGAATAGCCCACAGAGAGCAAAGATGTTTACAGGCAAAGGTCGGAGGAAGATTAGATAAGCACCCCTTGCTACCTTGATCGTCTGATAATCTCTTACAAACGAGAACTGTATGGAAATGTGGAAGAAAACGAGAAGGCGTCAGTTCCACGGAATACGCGAGCATGGAAGCGATGATATTAAGGTTATGCATTACCAGTCAGTGAATCTCACGAGTACACCTTACTGCACTTATTTTGTTCGCGGAGGTTTGCGTTAAAAGTTTTGCCATCACCAATAAATTGATATTGTCACTAGAAAAACCCGAGCATATCAGTACACATTAGAGAAAGCCTTGTAAACATACATCCAACACTATCACCGCGCTGCTAGGAGTGCTCTTGTTGAATGGTCATCTGGCAGCTTGAAATAAAATAAACTCTCCACCGTACATTTTCCCACTCGCAGTCCGCCTTTCACTTTCGACCACTTCTCATTCCCCAGGCCACATCAATGTCACCTAGCCATGTCAGTAGGATAGCACTCCAGGGAAAGAAGCGGCATCGGTAGCGGACCCCGAGGGGAGGAAATGTTGGAATCAGGCCATAGTGCGGGTGATGCCGCCAGCTACAGCCTAAGCACAGGAGCACTGGGATATTCACAGAGCGCCAGGATGTAGTTACCCCACCATCAAACCTCCTCTAGAGGAACCAGAGCTTAAAAGAGAAACAAAGAAATCATATAAGTAACATATAAGGCTTCAAGAATTAGGTAAGAGCTTACAGGGAATCCATGGCCCAACTTTTAAAAGGAGATGGTAGTTCACATTCTTAAATATATCAGAAATATTCAAAGGACAGAAAAGATATTCGCAGCATGGAGGTCTTGACATGCTAACAAATCATACCCCATATCCTTGCCCCAGTATGAGTATTACGGTATATCTTGCAGCTCGATTTAGCCTCGAGTAATAACTAATATCAGCCTCACCACTAAGCATACCGGGACGATAATACTCCTCAAATTCATTTCTTCGCTAGTGTGCAGCAAGTCCGCTGAAAGTGCCAAAACGAGCATAAGCTAAACTACATCACTCCTGTAACGTCCTGTTCCATTAGGACTCGCCGAATCAGTATAGGCACCCCAAAATCTCAATAATGCTCAGTCTCGCGCCGCCATTGGGCTGGATCAAGGATCGAAATGTCACAAAGCAGCAGCCCAGTCCTCAGATAGGAAATAGTCGATCTCCTGACCGGAGTTGGGGTCGTATGCAGATCCTCTCCTATACTCCTCACCGACAAGATCTCCCAAACGAATTGTGCATTCTCCCTCGCGGCACCTTTTCGCGAATCGCTTGGATATGACGTCGCGGGCTCCACCCCAGCTTCCGCCTAAGAGCCGGATAGAGTTGAGGCTCAAGTACACCAAGTCGTCGTCTAGACTATCGCAGAATTTTCTGAGCGTATTGCCGTTCAGCACGAGGCCGCTCAACTCTGCCCGCCTTATCCTCGTCGATTGTAACCGGCTAATAGCGACGTCTGCAGTGTACTCCCCGAGGTGTGTCGGGATTGCTCTAGATGTGCACCGACTGAAGGCGTAGAGGGACAGGCAGACTTCTCGAAGACACGGGCTAGCGAGCATAGCGCCGATGTAGTTGTCGATGCACTTCCAGTCGCCTGGCCCGAAGGCTCCGGGAATGACACCGCATTGCGTCATATTGCCGCCTCCCTGGCCAAATTTGAGGACTTCAAGTCTGCTGAAGGCGTTTCTGAGAGTACCCCATCCCGGTACTTCCTGCGTACTGGGGCAGAGCATGGAATGACCACTTGCGATGGAGTAGCAGCAAACATTTATCCCCTTCAGTGGTCTGCCAGCTGCGGCGAGGGCGATGGGCAGGTCAGAAAGAAGTCGCACCGGCAAGAGCTCGCCGACCACTCCGCCAGGTGGCCTTTCAATCGAACGCCAGGTTTCGGGGCCCGTTAAAACTCGAGTGAGCTCTGCCTTGTCCGTCAAGATCGCTAATGCATGAGGCATGTCTTTACTGCTACGGTCGGTGAAAGTAACAGAGGTCGCCTGTGGCATTCGGGTCATTGCTTCCACCAAAGACTTGACGAAGACCTTTTCTTCGATGAGTCTACGCTGTTCCTCCTGCTTTTGCCGATAGGAGACGTAGCCATCTAAGACGAGGTTCCGAGCGCTGACGAATTTTTCCTCGTCGAAGTACTGCGGGCAACTCATCTCTGCCGCCCTAATATACTGCATAGCGATCATGATGATCATACCTCCGCTGACGGCATCTTCGCAACGACTTAGTTCGTCTAGTTTGTCAGGCGAGAGAGACTGTCCCGTATTATCCAGGCGATGGTAATTTTGACGAGTGTTCATGCAGCGTAGGGTTAATAAGTTTAATGTGTAGTGACGGAATCTCATAAAGGTCTCCAGATCCGTAGCAAGTTCTTTTGGCCTGTAGTCGAGTCGCAGGATAACTTCTCGAACCCCCGAGGCCAGCAGAGGATTTCGAGAAATTTCAAGAGCCGTCTGGAGCGATTCCATCCCGAGACTGACATATAGCGTTGAGAAGAGAAAAGGCGCCGCTAGTTGGTTGAATAGGCGACATGCACGCCGCGCATTCTGAGCGTCGCGGAGGCGGATGGCCTCATTCAGGCCATCCCCTTTTCCGAGGTAGGCGAAGATTTCATATAGCAAGTCTATCGGGAGGCTAGAAATGCTGAGTGGTCGGATTTTGTCGCGCGAAAGGTCCCAAGCCCTGGCGCGGAGGTCGATGCGGCGGGCTTCTATTTCCTGATGAACTGCACTATCGGACGGGGAGAGCCCGATGGCACAGGGGTTTTCCAGATCGCGGCTCTTTGGAATACCCACATCGTCGGGACCTTCCCGCCCAAGTTTGTCGGACGCGGGCCTCAGAGCCTGCTGAAGTCGATCAATTCGGGATAGCTCTTTGTATGTACCAGTGAGGTCAAGGGAACACTCATCGGGCGGATAACCCAGCTGGAATACAAGGAATTCAAAGAGCATGGGCGAGAATTCTGGTTGAGCCATGTTGGAAGTATATGGATCCCTATATTGGAACCGAAGTCACATTTAATGGGGGACATCGACGATGGGAGTGGGTGGGGACATGCTCGGTGTCCAGGAGGGGTGTCGGGGAGGTCCTGTGGCAGAGTTGAGGGGCATGGCCTTCAGGCTCCAGCCAATGATCAAGAGCCTCGAGACACGGGAAGAGAGGATCTTTCCAGCAAAATGTAACGACCTCCCACTCCCCATACAAACAATCATGAGCGTATGATGAGTTTCAGAGTATCGGCTTTTCAAGGCGGAATTAGAAATTGAAATTAGTTGAATCTTTGGCCAGCTCGACAACCTTCCTTTTCGTGCACATTGGTCAGTAATGTCCGTTCAATATTTATAATATTTCTATACGATAACTATCCCTCCAAGCTGTCGGTGTCAACTACTAATAAGATGTAGCTCGTAATAAAATGCCCTTCCCCTGATAGTCAACGCCGTCAAGGTCGAAGTGCATGCGACATCCAACTGGCACCGCCTGATGAGCACTTTATCGCGCAATACCTTCCTTTCTTGTCCAGTGGTTACACACGAGAGGGGTAGATTTTCCTGCCACCAAGATGCAAAAACGGATCTCAGCTCGCAAATCTGATACGCAGCCAGAGGCTGGTCAGCCTGTTGGGTATCGATCAGGCATCTTCTTGTCCTTCCTGTCTTTCCGGACATACACAAGAGAGGATCACTCTGATTCTCCACTATTTTGATAAACAGCATCCCCGACTTCCATCAGCTCCAAGTTGCTGTTTGCGGACTTCGTCCAGAAAACACCGACACTTCTGAAAGCCGTGAATGGAGGCAAGTGTCAGCCCATTACGACCGTTCTGAGACCTATCGAAGAAATTGCAAGGGAGTTCAACAGGAACTGGGACGGGAAATTACGATCTATTGGCTTGACGAGCAGTCTCTCCGTGGCTGCATGGATGCTGTCGATGAGCTAGAGGGAAAGGTCCGGCGGCTCAAGGCCTGTGAGGAACTTCTCGGCGAGAACTCATTCTGTGTTTCCAAGAAAGAGCTCAAACGAGCGCAGAAACAGACGATGGTGGCGGAGGGAAACCAGTCCACGTTCGCGCAATCATTGAAAGACGCCACTATGAATGTCCGACGAGGTTGTGGCGACGCGGGAAGCCTCCGAAGGCTTCTGCAGAGAAGATATCAGGAGGATGACCCTGGTAGCAATGTCTCGGATAGGGATGACGATCCGGAGATAGACGAGGCATACACCAAAAAGATTCAATTTGCAAACCACAGCAACGCAACGAGGGCCAAGTATCTTGGAAACGATAGCTCCCAACTCCAGTCTCTCGTCCGAGGAAACCCCTCCGCAGATATTTACATGCTTCATTATAACGAAGAACAGCATAGGCTTCCAACTTGGACTGAGCAACTAGAAGTACTTCAGGACCTTTTGGAGACTAAAGGCGAACCGTCTCGTTGCTGTCGTCGACTACAAGGTTGGGCGTTCCAAGACAACCTTGAAGAAAGCTTACGTCGATCAACGCCGAGGCGGCAACATTATTATTCGGAATCTCGTCAAAAAAGGGAGGAGATGAAGGGCATGTATCTCTTGAAGTGCAGTGATGATGCCACAATCGATCGCTCGCGGACGATCCTGGCCCCGCTTGGCAGTCGAGTTGTCAGACTCAAGTGCCCAGGACCTTACTGCTACGACCAACCTGTAACCTACTCATGGTCATGCCCCAGGTGCGCACAGCTGGTCTGCTACGCAGCCGAGGACGGCGTTTTGTATCGCGGGTGATCCCTATATCCTTTTTCCACGGGTACCTTTAAATGAGAAGGCATTAAGCATGGTCATGAATTCTACCAATGTGACAAAAAGATTTTGAATGGGTTTACCGAGCTCGATGAAAATGAAGTATTCCACATCCTCCTTCTTGGCGAGACGGACGCTGGGGAGTCAGCATTGACCAAGAAGGCGCTTTGGACCTACCTGACGCACAACTCGTTGGAAGAGGCAATAGATGATCCTATCCCAAATCGGTACTTTGCGCCGCCGTCCTTCACCCACACCGAGACCGTCAGCGGCGTAAAAAAGACATATGAGGTGAATCGGCCAGGTACAGCAGGGGCATTTTTCGTGCTGTCAAGCCCAGGCTACAGCCCTACAATACTACTTTCGGCCAGAGAAGCAACTTGATTCCTTTTTTGAGTCTCCCATCTGTCTGCTGCCCGATGTCATCTTCGTTCTTAAGTCTCTGGGAGTAGTGGCGACGAATGCGACTCGCTTGTTCATCTTCTTAGCCCCTGTAGACTGTGATGTTAATACAAATCACGCTCTCCAAATACCCCCACCCCTAAATATTCACTGATCCCTCAATGGAGAACCTCTGGGTGATTGTTATTATTATGTGTCGCGACCTGCAACATACAGTCAAGTTTTACTTGATTTTTGGCATTCCCGTTCCCCCGCGAGAACAACTAGAAAATTGTATTAGAAGTACATAGTAATTGACGCGTATTGATGACTCTCACGACCCATTTGACCCCTTTACATAGGCTGCCTGATAGTCGTACGGCTGATCATGTGTATCGTAATAGGCGTCATAAGTGAGAAGAGCAAAGCCCGGGTCATCCGCTGCGATCGCACTGGGCCAGCAAGGATTGTCTCGCAGTCCATCGTCTCCGGATGGTGGTTTTTTCTGCTCCCACTTGCCAATGGTGAACTCTGGGTGCTTATCGACACTAACCGCCGCATAGGTCTGCTGAAGATTGCGGAAATTGACCACCTGCTTCTTGTTGTTCGGCGCGAGAGTAACTTTACTCCGAATATCATCGTTTGACATCTCCTTAACCGGGGGGATAAAGCATGCGCCCCTCCACATCGATCCGGCTCCACGATTCTCCGAATCTGGAATGTAGCGCACCAGTTGGCCCTGCCTATTTTGACCACTGTTGAGGCGAGCGGGGTCATTAGGTCCTAAGAGGTACGCCGGTGGGTACTCGTCCCTATCGCATACTGCGTGCGCCCGGTTGGCTTTGTTTCTCCAACCTTTACCACGATGCTGAGAGGACCAGGTAGCCGTTGCCTGGGCATCAAGTCGGACCTTAGTTGTGGCAGCCTCCTGTGGGCAGGTCAGTGTGGCCCACTGGTTATTGACTGAGATGACTGAGCTATAGTGGAAGCAGGCCTGCGTCCACGCCTCCTTGCATGTCGCTACAACCTGCGTGGGCTTGGCGAAGGGTGCATATTCGATCGATGTAATGATCGACTCCCGCGTCGTCGTCTTATCCCCGAAACAGGACTGTACCCGAAGCGTATTCTTCGCCGGGCCAAGCCGCATGGTTGATATCGCCGGAGGCACTCTGCACTTCTGTCTAGAACCCACGGGGCGGACCACGCCCCGGTCTGTCGGGTTGCCATCATCACCCTTCTTACCACTCCCTTTCCTGATATTCTTTGGTGGTTTGAAGCTCGACACGCCTGAAGGCACCATATTGAGGATATCAAAGAGCGTCTTAATCTCCTCTGGAACAAGTTCCGTCCCTCCACATGGGCTTAGCCACCATGAGAACGCGCCTTCCGGATCTTCTTCTTCTGGGTAGATATACGCAGCCATCTGCGCAGCGGTAGCAGCCATGTCTGCGCGAAAGTGTTAGAATTATGTCTCGCTCATAAATGCAACAGGAATAACAACAACAGACGTACCCAAACCAGCATCCAGAGCTTTGCCTACTCCAGGAATAAATTGGGCACCGATTTCGAGCACGAGCCTCAGAGACGACATCAGGATATAGCAACCGATCTAGTAGAGTTAGCAATAGGGTTTCCTTGGCATGTGTTCCTTCGAGGACATACTGCAGCGATCATTGGCATGGCCTCCATGATGGTATCGGCGAGCTCATTTATCAAGAAGTTGTCGCAGACACACTGGCCAGGGGCAACCTCGACCATCGTTGACGGATAGAACATCCAGGGGATCTCATCCTGTCCTTCGTAGAACCCAATGCAGCCGTAATTCGATGTCCGACCCTCTTGGGCGGCTGCATCCAGCGCTGGTTTGCAGTAAGGGTAACATTGGTCATAACTCCGCTCTCGTTTACCTTGCTCCTTGTAAACAAAACAGTTCTTCTGGTTCTCGAGACGGGCCTTCTCATAATATGACTGTTCCTCAGCAGGAGCGTCATCTGGGGGCGGGACATACACTGTTGTGCACACATCGGGTGGGCAGTAGTCGTAATCACAGGCGAACTTGCAGAGACGATTTAGATCCACGTCAAACTCGTCCCAGGCGATAATGCTGCTCTTGGGCTTCCGAACTGGGGGATCCTGCACCGGTCCTGTGGTCGTGCATTCACACAGAGACTCTGGGCAGAATCCATAGGAACAGGTGAACTCGCACAAGTCGCCAGAGTTGACGGACAAGTCCACTCCAGATACGCAACCTTCCTCTCCTACCTCTGGCCTGTCAGGTGCGGCATTCATGTCGTCTGACAAGAACGCCTGCAGGTCTACCGCCCAGTCAATGGTGCCGGCGAAGTTTAGTTGCTGCCAGTCGTTCCGCCTAGTTTCCTTGGTCGTCGGGGTCATATAGCTGACGTAGTCGCCTATACACATCACCGCGACGTCAGTTCCTAATCAAGAGAGAGTTGGGGGCACCCATATCCGACGAACCGTTGTAGAGCAAGATATCCGAGTTGGAAGCGCCGTCATGGAATGTCTGAATATCGCCACGGGTCTTGATAATTTCCATGATCTCAGCATAGGCGAGGTAACCCCCTGTGCCCGTGCATCGACCCGGTGTTGCATCCGACTCTGTCCTAGTACCAGTGAAGTCACACATAGGCTCCCAGCAGCCGTCTTGGGCCATGTGGAACGATCGGCCGTAACTGGCCTCTCCGACGAAGATTTTGTTGTTGGCTGTACCAGCCTTCGTCACTATTCGTCCCAGTTAGTACCCTCAAAACTACCTGTGGCTACAAGATATGGCCAGTGGGGAGATAGACAAACCTATTGAAAGCGCATTTCGCGTCTCCGTGAGATTAACTAGTAGTGAGAACGAGGTGTATTAGCAATTAGATTCTCTGGATCGCTCTGGATCGCTCTGGATTATAATAAGTCTTACCGTGACTACGGATGCATTTCCCAGAGTCACACTGGTCAAATGCATTAGGGTTGCCATAGTCCCATTGGCCATGCAGATCGTAGGTCATGTAGACAATGTAGTCGATTACTGCAGAAATCTGGGCGATTGGGAAAGCCCTAAGGTACCAGAACGATGCTGGCGCGGCAATAGATACAGATTTCCCAGGGCCAACCTTTTGTTTCAAAACAGCAAGAAAGTAGAGGTAATCTTGACCATCAGTTTTCTTGCCAATTGGCTGGCCGTCAACATAAATATCGGGAGCCTGCCATATACAAAGACGCTTCGCGAACTGTCCTTTTTCGGGCATGAGGGGTGGCGGTGGGAGTTTCAGTTAGGGGACCGACTTACACCCGGATACTCCCAGTCAATATCCACGCCATCAAGACCCTCATCCTCAACGAATTGAGCGAGATTGGTAGCGAATGTATTCCGGTTATCAATAATTGCCTGCCGAATGATATTGTAGGTTGCAGGCTCAGTTGAGTAGGCCCAGCCACCGAATGAGACGATACGCTTAACATTCTTCAGGGCTTTAAAGTCTGCCCACTGGTCTTGACCATCAACAATAACTGGTTTCCAGGTAATTGGGTCGATAGAGGCGAAGGCCCAGTGGATGTGAGTGTAGGAATCTTCGATATTTGCGTTCTTCGCCTTCATCCACAGGCATGGACGCCCTTGGTTCCATGCCTCGTAGTAGCCAATCCGGGAGTAGATATCAGGGGGCCCAGAATTCTGCTTGATGTCCGTACCGCAGTTAGAGACACAAGTGCTACTGTAGCCGTCCTCCTTACTTCCCGGACCACCGTCTGGCGGCGCGTGAACCTCACAATGAGCTGGAAAGACCCCGCAAAATCCCCAGTTTGAGCAACAAGCCTTGAGTGGGCAGGGGTTGATATCAGCGAGAGAGATATCAGGGTTTGTTGGTCGGACTGAGCCAGGAACTAATGGACCGCACTGAGTTCCAGCCTGGGGCGGAGGCATTGGTGCTAAGCCAGAGCTCACACACATATTGTAGCCAACAAGCATTCTCTCGCACTTCGTCCAGGCCCAGGTTTTGCCCTTGTTCCAATTTTCGATGTTAGCGACAGTAATACCGTACTGTGTGGCTAGTGAGTCGCATGTGTCGCCGTTCGAAATGAGGTGAGTTGCACAGGTGCCGTCGGGGTTAGGCTTAGGAGGGTCTGGTTTAGGTTCTTCATATGGGTCACCAGCCGAGCAGCATACGTAGTTGCCTGGCTGAAGACCTTGACAAAGGTTTGGCTTTGGGTTAAATTTTTCAAAATCGGTGGTTGATATTCCACATCGCTGAGAAAGGCTCCAACAACCGTCACCAGCTTCAACTTGAATATATCGACAGGTAGCACGCTTGCCAAAGAGATTGAAGCTCCTCCCGCTCCTCCGTAGGAACTGAGAGGCTACAGAACTGCCATTGGTGGGAACAGAAGTATTGGAGCGGGCAATCTCAACCACACGAGCACCAGCAAGATCCTCGGCCAAGCCGAAGTCTCCATTGCCAGCGCACTTCCCCTTGCTCCACTCAAGGGCCGTCTTTTGGACTCCGGCCAAGTCTCCGGTGATGTCGATTGAGATGCCAAATACTCGTTCTGGCTGACGCCCACTGCTGCAAAGCTGGGCGACTGTGTGGTTGGAAGCAACATCCTGGGCTCTCATGTGTTCCGCCAAGGACATTAGAGCAGACGTTGCAGTGGTTTTGCCAAGACGCGCGCCAATATAGACGCTAGCGACGGTGTTCTTATGATAGGCAAATAGGAAATTCTCATCACAGTTGTCTTTAGTATCAAAGAACTTCTTCATGCCTTCGAGGAGGCCTGCAACCTGGTCGCCATCAGCCCCACAAGCGGTGGTTGTCATAACAGACAGCTTATCCGAGGTCTCTTGTCCAGAGGAAGTACATGCTAGTGCAGTGTTGAGACTTGGTTGGATGAGATCATCAGACTTCTTAGGATTCTCAACCGGAGACTGACCAGCTCGGAGGGGGGCAACGGAACCGGATGAGAGAGTGCAACTGCGGATGAGGATGTTGGAGTTGGGATTGTCAAGTGGCTGTGTGACGGAAAACTGGAGTAGCATAGGATCCCCACAACGGCGAAGACGGTCAACCGAGATGTACGGTATCCAGCTATGTGTATTTGCGTAGTCGACACAAGGAAGGGGGCAGTCATGCTGATCAGGATAATAGGTGTCGGGATCGCTAATTGGGGCCGGGGTATCTTCCTCCACGAGGGCGGGAGCTGCAGCCTGGCTACCATCAAGGTTGATAGCAGCGTTGGCTAGCTCAGCCCCCATCAAGAGGGCGAGGGAAATAGGGCCAAATATTCCAGCCGGCCACTTCATGATACAAACGAATAGACAAGGTGGTGAGTTTAGAGACTGAAACGATTCTCCAAGACGATTCAACGGGGGACAGGAAGCATGTCCGACCGTGGGGATATATGTAAGTCTCCTTATGACTCTGCGCCGAGAAGAATCAATCCTCCGCCCCGATGCCATCTCCGCCTGGGCTTTCCAGTCCTTCCTCTGTCCCCAATCTGCTTCTCCCTGGTTGCTCGCTTCAACCCCACCCCCACTCCCAACTCCCCCTCCTCTACAACAAAGGACGGTAGCGGGAAGTTTGCGGCACCAATCTGGTATCACTGCCAGGGGCTCTTTGTCAGTAAGGCGGAGATTAAACCTGCAGAATGTTCCCTGCCTCGGCTAGAATATGCGCCGAGCTTGCAGTAGAGGCGGATGGGCTCAAGTCTGTCGTGGGCCTTGCATGTCAGCCAACAGCAAAGGCACATGGATGGTGTGATAAAGCTAGGGGCATACATATTAGAAGATGCGACGCGGGATTCTTTCCGCCTTTCCTTCCTCTCCGCTACGTAACAGCCATTCTAGTATTTAAGTATCTTTGCGGACCGGTTGCTATCCGCTGTGGCTCTACGGTTAGAGAAAGGCGTACACTACGCTGATAGGACACTTAGGTCATCGATCCGCGATCTTAGTCCGGGGAGTAGCCGAGCCTCTTTGGACCGACATCATTCATCCCATGCGAAGAGGAGGCCATTTCTTCCGAATCCCATTGATAATTTCCGTTGCCTTTCTCCGTGGGTCTACGAAGTAATACGAAGTAGGCAGCAATATACAAATGTGGAGTCGAGCTGTGTTGCATCTTCGGCTGCCAGTTACGGTGAGCCATCCATGACTGAAAGTGCAAGTACACTAAGTAGACTTTAGTTAGGTTGTAACGTACGAGCAAGGTCCAATATCATGCGGGGCGGAGATTGCACGCCTTGCGGGCGGGCCGGATCGTCTCTCCGGTGACACAGACAACATGTGGGGTTACACCTGCTTGGACCCAAAAATAGCCCTTGATATCTTTGATTTCAGACGTGAGAGCAAAAGTCCCTTGCAGTTTAATTGGTCTCGGGCATTACCAACCATTGTGCCGAGGTGGTATCGTAAACAAATCATACTGTCACAAGGAGCAAAAGTCATCTTAGTGTCCCACTTCCATATGCAACTGCAAGAGCGGAGTCACAGGAAACGAACCATGGTCACCATTTTCAAGCAATCAGCTTTCTCCCACTCTTTGCCGCCAGGTACGGTGGCGTTAACCCCTGCATACTGTCGAGATGAGATGATGCATGTCAACCGGGCCTCATCCCGAAACGGGACGAGGCGAGCCCGTCTGTAAAACCCCTCAATTTTACTTCCTCATTCTCCCATGCTCTTCTTCCTCTTCTCCCCCCCACCGCCGCGAAACCGATAGAATCCGCAGAGACGAAAGAACCAACAGACCAGCAGACCGACAGAACCAACAGAAAATGCCTGACCTTTGTGACATTCGATACTCACGCCAGGCGTCCATCGCCGCCATCCGCGACTATTACCAATTCCTGACGAAAATGTACCTAGACGAGTCCGTCGTTGCCGAGGCTCCTCCCGGCGGCTGGCCTGCCATCGATGCCCTGCGGGATATGGATAAGACGAGCGAAGTTCTTGAACTTCTGCGCCACCTCCCCTACATACGCCGTGACTTCGACGACGCTGACCCTGAGGGTTCCCCGAGGACCCACTTCGCCGACTGGCCGGCCCTTGCAAGTCTTGTTGCTGATGGCGAAGAGGACTGCGACGATCTTCGGCTAGTCACAGAAGGCGACGAGCTCTGTGAAGTCCTACCCCCGCATGTTATCAGCCTAACGAACGGCGATGGCGCCGAGCTCTTCCTCGTCGATACGAAACTCGGCATTATCCTCTGGCATCAGTGCCCCGATGAGATCAAGTTCAACCCATCGCGAGAGCCAGTGTTTGATGATCCCTACGACTACCTAGAGGGTGATGAGGAGCAGGCTGGGTGGCGCGGGGATTCACGGGCTTGGTCCATCCCGGATTTCTTTGAGATTCTGAAGGACCAGTTTCGAGAGCTCAATTACGTCCCTATTAGTTCACAGACGGTAAAGGATGCAACCAAAGGCGATAATGAGATGCTTGAATTGGTTCAGGGCATCTACCGCGAACACGGCTGGCCGGACCTAGGCCGGTATCGGAAGCGAGAGTGCCTAAAGGCCGTGCACAAAGCATTGAAGGAGCGTTATCCAGGGGAAGAGGGTCCTGATGTCGAGTAGACAAGCTTCGTATACCTAGTCTGGTGTGGGAGAGACCGAGCAGGGTCACTCGAGTGTGGACTGATGGGTCACAGTGGGGGCGCCTATCTTCAAAATACAAACCGTGTACGTAATGGTTTAAACAGATTCTGCGGATGCAACCTCGCTTGGGATTGGGGGAGATTTGATCAATATAATTTGGTGATGCATCAAATTATCTCTGTACCCGTGAGGTAAACGTGCCTGGAGAAGTTAACCCCTGCCGGGGAGATTAGGGAGGTTATCAGGCAACATGAACTCGTTATTTGAAGCGCAAAATTCCTCCCGAGAATAGCGTCCGTTACCACCGCCCACCCAAAGCTCCCCCCTTCTCCCGCTGTCCTCCTCTCCCACGGGGTCTGTCTCTTGATCTTGTCTCTGTCTTTCGTTCTTTTTTATTTTGTTCTCCAAGTTATTCTGCATAACAACATATTTCTCTGCCCGGACCAACAGCCTACTATGAAGACAATATACATTCTTCTGTTCCTCCAGGGCGCCATTATGGCGCCTGCCCAAGATCTGTCAATCGATTTCGACGTCATCCTCCCAACCGAAGAGCCAACCGGTACACCCGATCCGTGGCAATGCGCAACGGAGAATGTCTACCAGTACTTTGACTTCCCAATGCCAACTGGGGCCCTGGAAGACGAGGTTCTCCGTTACGGCCAGCAGCTATTCTTAGAAACTTGCACAGTCACTGGGGATGCGGCACTGGACTGCCCTCCTGCTACTGAGTACGACCGCCAGTGTGGCATCTCCACCGCTGCACCACCCAGCCTGCTCCCAGAATACTCCGCCTGGGCCAGCGCGGCCCTGTCATGGTGGACAGAGCGCAGCTCCACTGCCCACGAGATAGCTACAGAGTGCCCGCACTACTGGTATAAGGCTATGACTGACAAGTTCCTCGCTGGGCCTTGGCTGAACACTACCCTCGCGCATGCCCAGTGCATTGCTAAGGCTGCGCATATTACCGGTGATTTTACGGCGCCGGACCCTACTGCGACAAGTGAATCTGGTGCGGGGGTCGGGGGCCCAGAGGAGACAGGTGAACCAAACGGTGTTGTTGGCCGCGCGGAGGGGTTAGGCGTATGGATGGTAGCGGCGACCGGGTTAGCCGCTGCCTCTATCACTAATTGGTGAAGTAAGGCGGAAGGCTGATGATGAGAGTGTCTACTTAGCAAGGAGGATGTTCATAATAACTAGCCAGATTTTTGTAGTTTAGAACTGGTGCCGTGACTTGGTTGAGGGTTAAGAGAGAAGACGCCTTTGTTTTATTTTTTCAGTCCTACTTGCAATTCTCACCTAGTCTATCTCACTTCGGCTCCACGGCCCTGGTGTTAGAAAGAGCGTCGGTCGCAGCGCCTTTTTGCTCACCGTGATCATTACGAGAGACATCGTTAATCAGTTTAGGGCTGGTGATGCTCTTAGAAGACATGATGCGATGAGAATTGATAGAAGAAGTAGTGAGCTTGGCAGAAACCGAAGAGTTGCAAAGTGAATTCCCGAAAGGAGAAGCATGAAGTAACGGGCAGAAAACCTAATAACTATTGCAGACTACGAAGGATTGATTACCCTTTTCTCTTGAACCACCCCCACGCCGAGGCGCCGGATATTCGGCCTCAAGGGACTAATATAATTTCCACAATCTCCGTTTGACAGCGAGGGTGTTCGGGCTCCACCATCTGGTACGTCGAGTTAGCTATGATTTAGAAATTACCCTAGATTCGATCGAGCTGCCTCCGCCACCCATGGAAGCATAATGATGTTTTTGCCACATTCGCCGTCAGCCCTCATACCAGCTGCTGGTCAAGAGCGAATTGAGACGTCAAATCTACCCCTGTGTCAATCCTTGCCACACAGGCAATCGCCGCCATACGTCAATCCACCCTAAAATTAACACATCGATGACGCGCCTTATCCTCCTGAAACAAGCGCCCTACGAACAAATTAGGATACGGACGTCAAAACAAATCGGCCATATTCCATCTTGCCTCCAACTGAGCTGCTGCTTACGGTACATTAAGCTTCTTATATGTTTGAAATCTACATCCTTGGCGGGGGAGGGCACTGAAGTGGCTCACATCGCCTCCTTCGGCTCGTAGACGTCAGAATCCCGACACGATCTTCATAAGGCCGCTGCTGGTGTCTAGAGGTTGCGTCATCGGCCTAGAGATATCGAACGGGTCTTGCTGTGTTATTTGTCTATGACGATGCACGATGCACTTCTGGATCAAGGAGCTGGCCTAGTCTCGACGGAGGGTTGACGTAAGGTATAGACGTATTGAATATCAAGGGATCTACTATAAGAAAGGACCCCGTCATCAGACAAAATTGGGAATTGCTCGCTGCTACGGAATTTTGTCATTTTCTGTCCAAGCGGCCAGTAACAGAAACCTACTCTGTGTCACAGAATGTCCAATATGTTGAATTCAAAACTGCGCCTCGACATCCCGGGTGGCTGGACCCAGGATGTAAGTGAGTCCCCAGGCGCGGCTGAAGGTGAGATCGCCCACATCTAATCCGATCCGACTCTGCGCTGATATTTCTCTACTTAGAAGCAAAAGACCACCAACTCGCCGTCGGCATCGTCGGTGAGAGTGGAAAAGTACTCGATGCATCTGGAAAGGCCATTGCTAAGGTGATTGAAGGTTCTTCGAACCTCGTTGGCAGTGTCGTGTCCGCTACAGGAGACATACTCAGTCCTGGTGGTAACGTTATCGGCAAGGCGAAGCCCGATCCGGAGAGGTTGCGGAAGGGTGAGAAGCCTGAAGATGGTGATGCGGCAGAATCGGTGACTGGGGAAGCGAGTGCCCCGGCGGCGAGGCGCGATGCTAAGGCAGAGGCTTCCGATGCCAAGGACAAAGTTTCACCAGATTCGAAGTGCGTAAAGTTTGCCGACAGCGAGCCGGAGACCTTTGGCAAGGGTAAAGAAGCCCAGGTAAAAGCATCAGGCGAGCCTACCAAGTTTGAGTCCGAGCCCTCGGAAGACAAGCGAGCCGGCGTGTATAATGAGTTTGACACCACGGTCTCTCCCACCACCGAGACTTTTGAGAAGTCTCCCACTCTCTCGGAAACGGCGAAGGAACCCGCCTCTGCGCTCGACCAAAAAAAGACTATGGGGGCGGAGGAGGGACCGGAGGTTGCCACGCTCACTGCCGCCGAGGATATGCCAGAGGCCAAGCCTGAGCCAGAGGCGAAGCTGGAGCCTGGACTTGAGCCTGAGGCCGACACCGAAGCCGATGCGGAAGCCCAACCTGAGGCTGAACCCCTCGATCTCACGGTCCTAAAGAATGGAAAGGTCAACAAGGCCGGCAATGTCGTCGACGAAAACGGGCACATCATCGGCCACGTCACCGAAGGTGCCATTAAGAAACTTTTCGGCCGAACAGTTGATGAGAACGGAGAGATTTGGAATGACTCAGGCAAAGTGATCGGAAAGGCCGAACCCGCTCTTCCCGATGAACTCCAAGAGCCTGCCCCATTCGAGGAGTTCCCCGATGCCGTTGTGGAGCCCGATGGCAATATTACCTTTGACGGCACCGTTATCGGTCGCGTGATTGAGGGGGATGTGAAGAAATTGAAGGGCAAGGTGGTTGATGAGGACGGGGATATCCTCGACCGAGCTGGAAACGTCATTGGAAAGGCCGAGAGGTGGGAAGAGGAAGAGCTGGAGGAAGTCGTCGATCGATCTATCCTCGCGGGAAAGCGAGTCAACAAGCTTGGAAATATTGTCGATACCAGTGGTGCCATCTTCGGCCGTCTTGTCGACGGTGAGGCCAAGAAGCTTGCGGGACGTATGTGCGACAAGGAAGGTAATGTCATGAGCGAGTCCGGCGAAGTTATCGGCAAAGCTGAGGTCATCGCTGAGAGCGAGCGCGAAGGACTGAAGGAGGGCCCCTTCGCTGAACTCGTTGGGTGCACCGTGGGCAAGGACGGAAAGATCGTCACCCCCGGTGGCGAGATTGTCGGCCGTCTCATCGATGGAGATCCAAAGGCTCTCTTTGGTCGACCTGTTGACGAGGACGGCGACATTCTGGACAAGAACGGCAACGCACTCGGCAAAGCCGAACACTGGGAGGAGTCCGAGAAGGCTAAAAACCCGCTCGAGGGCCGCAAGATCAACCGAGAGGGAAATGTCATTGACGCCGACGGGAATATAATCGGCAAGCTCACCTCTGGTGATCTGGGCATCTGCTTCGGTAAGGAAATCGACAGCGATGGAGACGTAATCGACAGCAAGGGTAACACAATCGGCCATGCGTTACTCCTCGCTGACATCCCCCCGGAGACCGAGACTGCAGAGGAAAAGGAGAAGCGTGAGCAGGCTGAAAAGGACAAAGAACTCGCAACGAAGATGGCGGCCTGCCTCACGCAGTGTCTGGACAGGATCCGACCCATCTGCAAAATGATTACGCAGAAGATTGAAAAGGCGGAGCGGACTCCAGAGGACGAGCGGGACGAGGAGGGCCTTGTGAGGGAGGTTAGGCCTTTGATCGAGGAGGGAAGCAACATACTACGGGAGGCCCATGGCATTGTCGTTGGATTGGATCCCGATGGCCATATTCAGGCCAATGCTAAGCACAAGACTGCCACGCGCGAGGCTACTCCTGAAGAGTTCCACCTTGCCGAGGTTCTCAAAGAGGTACGTGCTTCAACGAGTCAACGCAGAGTTAAGCGTTCTTTTGTATATTATACTAATCTGTATCGCAGCTTACGGGCACCGTCACTGAGTGCATCGACAGCGCAAAGCGCAAGATCGAAGACATGCCTCACGCTAAGAAGGAACTCAACCCGCTCTGGGGCCTCCTCACGGAACCTCTCTTCCAAATCATTGCTGGCGTCGGCTTGCTCCTCAACGGCGTCCTTGAGCTAGTGGGACGCCTTCTCGGCGGTATTGGCCTTGGCGGGCTGGTGAACAACATTCTTGGTGGTTTAGGCATCTCGAATGTGCTCAAGGGACTCGGTGTTGGGGGCGTTGTGGATGCTCTTACTGGGAAGAAACAGAGTGGCAAGAAATAGATAGCCGACGAGGATGGGATGGAGATGTAAGGGGTCGATAAGTATGTACAGTTATTGGAATTTTGCAACGTTCGTTGTTATCTAGTTCCGCTATTTCAGAAGACAAATGAGGGCCAAGTTGTCAGAGGAAGGCGGTCGAGTTTCCACCTCGGAGGAGAGGTTCACTTTGAAGAAGCGACCACCTTTTGGCTAATCTGGCTAAAACGCTTTTCGTTAATAAATAATGGTGGTTGTCTTCGCGGTAGGAATGGGATCAAGGAACCAAAAAGAGAATGCAAAAAGATCGCATGCCCTGCTCTGGTTGGACTTCGAACCGCGTGAGTCCGTAGGAAAAGATAAGACTCGAAGATATCCCTGCTGCCTGGTCAACATCTGGGCATCTACAAGGGCCGTGTTTACATACTGATGAGGCGAAATAGGTCCAAAATCCGATTTTCGGACAACATTTAAGGTCTATTGAAGAGTTTATTTACATGATTGGAGTCTTCTTGACACGTCTACCTCAGCACAAGTACCTAGCGGCTAAGACCTGGACCTTGAGAATCAATGACACTAGAGCCGGATATCTACGACGCCTCGATATCAGTAAGCAAGCCTAAGTTTCCCCGTGGGTACTTGGGGAGTGCGAGTTGGGCTATGCAAGTCTATGTCTGAGGACAATGACAAGTAAAGGGCCACGTCACTGCTCACCAGGCGGAAACGAAGGTAGCAGCGTCGATGACATCATCTCAGTAAACTTCCTCGTGCCTTGACGCAGATGTGAAGCAGTTGATTGACACAAGATTACAATGTCATGACGATACGTCCGATACATACTGATATAAGGCATCCGTGAGCAGGCAAGAACAAACTTAAGGCCATAATCACCTATTCTCACCTATCTAATTGACCAACATCTATCAATTCTACAAGCTCACTCAAGATTATGCCCGTTGACACCAGAGACAGAAACGAAATCCCAATTCATGAGGGTGACCGTGTTTGGACATGGTATCGCGGAGGATCCCGTGAAGGGATTGTGGAGAAGATTATCTATACCGAGGAGGAAGCCCGGCAAGAGGGTTTGAGGTTGCCGCCCAAGGTGACGTTGGCCATATTACGTCCTCCAGCAGCCTTTGGGAAGAAAGGGGTCTGACGCGGTTGATCGTGGTAGATTTTGTTTACCGACCAGCATGGACACAGAGTCGCGCACAGCCCCAGGACACTAGAACATGTCCAGAAGAGTGTTAAAGAGGATGATAGGAAGGATTGAGGAAGGAAGGAATGAAGAGACATAGATGTCACGCTAGATATGAAAAGAAAAAAAAAAAAACGACTACATCATCCGTCGGCTCCTTTGCTGGTCTTGAAAAAGTTGAGCTTAATATATCCTATTCTCCTATCTAATCCGAATTCCGAAGGGCTAGGCGAAAGATTCGACCGATGTCAGTCCGACTTCCGAGCCTGTCGTCTGGAAAGTCGAAACTTCGAAATTTATCTCACACCCATGATCATTTCCGTGGAGAGATGACTATTTTGCAGGTAAAATGCCATCGCCCACTATTGCAGCGTCTCGAAGCTCTGGAATAGAGTTTCAGCCAATTAAAGGTGAAGACCCACGCAGAGAGCACAACACGAAGGAATTCAAGGACGCTGAGTCCTTATCCGGGGGCTTGGCTGTGGGTGGCGGCGCTTCGCTGTAGCACAAGTTTCCGATTGTGCGTTTCTCGCCAACCTCCAATCGTTGATGCAGGACCTGCAGATTAGGCATCTCCGTTGAAACCAGGAGAAGGCTGCGCCCCCTTCCCCCTCACGACGTCAAGTTCTTTCTCATGCTTCCATCGCCACTCCCGCTGTGTAATACTTACGCTATTTCGAGCCTCGATGGTAAAGCGAAATGGCCGATCCATTCTCCATTGCTAATGGCGTCGCAGGCATCGTCAGCCTGGGCCTGACGATATGTTACGGTCTCAACCGATACCTCGACGACATCAAGGGTCAAGGGGCCGAGATCTCATCAGCCTCAAGTCAACTTGACTCTCTCCAACTGATACTCGTAAATATCCAGCAGTGTCAACAGAAGCTGGACGGTGAAAACGCGCAAACTGCGAAGGCCGCCGTAGAGTCGTGCGTTGGACTCTGCGGAGATCAACTAAAGGTGCTCAACGGCATTCTAAACCGACTCGGACGAAACAACTCCTCGCCTAATCATGCGAAAGGTAAATGGAGGGAGCTCAAATCGAGCATCGTCTCCCTTGTTTCGAGCCTAACATGCTTGTAGGAGCGTCGAGACAAGTGTCTCCGAAAATATAGAGAAGTTGAGCCTCTCTGCTCATGACGCGTCGCTCTCCACAAATCAATCCCTGCGGAACGTCGAGCGCGATGTCGGATCTCTCTCATCCGTCGCGTTACGGTTAGACAGGAGGCTGGATGGATTGCCCGCTCGTATTGAAGAGATAGTGAACTCCGCGCATAGCGCCATTTCTACTCGAAACGATAGGATGTTAGACGAGGTAAATTTTCGACTCATCGAGCAGTCAATGCAAATGGCCAAAGTGGTAAGAGGTGCTCTCCCATCATCACGCTGTTTCGGATTCCTGACCGGCATAAGCAGCTTTCGGCCGTTCAGAGTTTACAAACATCTACCGAGTTGATCGAGAATGCAGCCCCTGAGACTTCCCTAGTCGTTGGCCGACGGATATCCAGCAAGGTTGATGATCCGCTTACCACATACCAAGTTTCTGGCGCACATTTTCCGGGAAACGGCTCGGAGATCCGGGAATGTTCTTGCAGGAAATCCCAGAAGAAATCTTATGGAGTGATCCGGCAAGAGGCAAGGACTATTGGGCCATTTACATATGTTTGGCGTGAAGACATCTCGAGGCGACACCGTCCTGAGTGTGCGTTATATAGCCTGGGACCGCTGCAGCAGTCGACTACCCGAGAGCTCCAGCTCACGGGATTCACATCAGCTCTCTCTCGGCTTATTTGCTTGTCCTTAAACATTGTCTTGAGGCCAGCAAGCCACTATTCGATTGCACCGAATTTGCGCGTGTCCCGAACCGTTCGGACCGAAGATAGTCCAGCCTTTCAACTAGTAGAACGGGCCCTTCAGTCTCTAGACCGGTATTACGCCTTTCGCAACGATGAAATATTGAACAGTATGAGATGCAAGCTTCATAATATCTACCTGTCGCGGATGGCTTCCCCAACAGACATCGACGAGAACGGATACAATATCGCCCATAAGATTTATACAGGTAAATTTGGCTTGCCTGTTCAATACCTTATCGCTGATATTAACTAACATGACCAAGAATTTGTATCCCAATTACTTCGGCGAAGCGGGTTATAGCGGCAATACACTAATAGCCCTTCGCTCTCTTGTCCAATACTTGTACGAGGCAGGTGTGGATTTGAACGCCACAAGCTTCTCGTCTAGACACTCAGCGAGCCCATCTTCCCGGACGGTACATCGGAGCAGCACTGTCCTTGGCCAAGTCAGCCTAACCAACACCCAAGATGTCGCCCAGGTATATGGCTTACTGGACGATGTCAGCCCAGATACTCCGTATCTTATACCGCGCTATAGCGATCCACATGGAAGTGTTGTGCATGGAGGGGCTGTGTTTGTGGAATTTCTCTCAAGGCGACTTGATATCGCGGAAGGTATGGACATTACTGAGCCTCTGGTACGATTTACGAAAGACGGGTATTTACGGTGTAGGTTCCAGCTAGTTTCTTACCATCTTGTCCAACTCTCGGCATGGCAATACTACGGAAATCTGAACCCGAGGTGAGGGCGCTTCTTGGGAGCAGAGCCCTACCATCGCTCGTCTCGGAACGAGGCCCCAATGGCGAAACACCTCTCCATCTCTGCTGCACTTGGCCTCACGGGCTACGGCTTCTGCTGTCTTGCAAGGAGATGCATGCACTGCTAAACGTTCCGGATCACATCGGCTTTGAACCAACCATATACGCACTGTTTCTGAGCGGGAGACTTTGCAAGGCGAAAGACCCATGGACTTTATGCGACTGTTGCGACTGCTGTGCTTGCAGCCAACTATTCTTGACTGCTGATTGTGGAGTGCCAGTGAAGTGGGACATTCACAGCGTCCTGAAAAGTTGTTCCTTTAGGGCGAGAATTCTCTTTCTGGAACATCTGAAGAACAGGATTCAAAGACTTCAGGCTCTCGCAGAGGTTGTCCTCCCACGCGAGGACCTTGAATGGGTTCGATTTCCCGCCGGTGGATTTGTTGACCCATCTATTAGGGGCGTATTGGTGAGGATGGTGGGAAATCGAATACCGGTGCCAGATGCCCTCGTCGATACTGCCGTTAATGATGTATATAGTCTCCCATTTTATGACTCCCCTTGGAGCCATCGGATGGTTGACCTTGCCTGGAGCCATGGATTCCGTCAATTCGACGCTGAGAACTCAGCGGAAGTCATGTCCCCCACTCGCTACCGATGGGAGCGGCCGCCCTCGGAGGACAGGGCTTATTACCACCTACGGCGCGCTAGAGAAGGTCCCAAGGCAGATGTGTTCTCCCCGCTCGGCCTGCCTCCGGTTTATGACGCCGCGAGAGAACTTGGACTGTGGGCTACTCCTAGATATAGTGGGTGGGGACCCGAATATGCCTGGGTGAGGAAGACGCACTGGTGGCCGAACGCGATAGCCATCCAACTTTGCTCAGTCGTATTCAATAGCAAAGAAGTAGCTCGCGTTCCCTGCCCATGTAGCGTGAACGGAAACTACTCAACATTCAACGCTCTATTCGCGTCGCTCTGGAATTACACACTAATAGAGAGGACACATTCAAGTTTCATTCTCTATGCCGTGAAAATAGCTCAATGGCTCTCGACGACAGTGGATAATCTTTCATCATCGCAGGAGCTAAAGAGTAGTCTCTTTCGTTTTATTACAATGCAGGCACTGGACATACGCGATACTTGTCACATTTATTCTTCAACGGCATTAATTTCGCCCCTGGTGCCTCCTCAACTCGCACGCGCTCGCTCTGTATCTCTGAATCCTTGCCCTGGTCGCGCTTTCTCTTCAAGTCGATTAGTAAGTCTTGAATCCAGATCCTCCACGGCTGAAGCAGCGGAAGGTTCAACCCATCTTCGTAGTTTGTTTATAGCCCATTGTTCCTGCCGCAATCGATGCAGTCACATGGCCAGGGACTCAAGGCGCACCGGACTCGACAAAATCCAAACTCAGACTTTTCCTCTCCTCTCGTCTCCTTATGTTCGTCCCCATCTCCTTTGCACCGCCTTTTGCTCTGGGCTATCCAAGGACCGCGGCCATCATATCACCATGTCCTACGAAGATCCATTTCATGCCATTGTTTCCATCTCTCCCCATCCTTCTCCGGGTCCAGGAGAGGATGTAGGAGTGATGCCCACCGCCAGACACCCCGATTTGGCTCAAACCCGCAGCGAAGCGATCCTCGTGTTGCAACACTACACGCCTCTCAACCGCCACGATGATACAGCCCTTCTTCTCCGAACGTTCCTCAATAATCTCCCCGACGACGGCAAATTGGCCCTTGCCCTTGATGTCCTCAGTGTCGCAGGGGAGGACAACAAGCTCCGACAACTCCGAAATTTCCTTGTCGACGCGATCCTGAAGCCCAGTAGGCGCCAATCTCTGTCCTCTCTGTCTCCATCCACCTAACTAACGGTCGTATAGTGCAGATTGCAGGAGGAAAAACACCACGGGTCTACGTATCGGCACCAACAAATCCAAACGCCCCTGATGAAATCGAGGAAGCCATGACCGAGATCGAGTCCTCGCCCAGAAACGATCAGCAGAAGCTAAAAACCGACTGCTTGAGAAGAGATGGTTTTCGCTGTGTGATCTCAGGCCTTTATGACCGGCAGTCGATTCGGGACCACCTTGTGACGCCCCCTGCCGGTAACCCGTCCGGTGGCACCGAATGCGCGCACATTCTCCCCTTTGCTCTTAGAAAGTTTAACGAGAGAAATGCGCAACAGGTACTGATTTCGCTCCTTGCCCACTCTCCCACCGTTTTCATCCTGTCTCATTTCCCTGACACTTTTGGTAGACAGAGAATGCCGCCACCATTTGGTGGGGATTGCATCGCTATTTCCCATCTCTTAGAAATAAGATCGATGCTGGATCCATCAACCAGCCCCAGAACGCCATGACGCTTGCCGTTCAAGTGCACGACGACTTTGGATCCTATGACGTCGCACTCTCACCTATACAAGTAAGTTGCATCTCAATGAGCCCGGGTTGGCTGCCACACTAGATATTTAGCTTCTAACAAGTCCAGGGACCTGATAACAAGTACCACATCCAGTTGTTTGAGCTCTCCACCACGTTTCCCCCCTCCTATGCCCAGCGGCCAATGGTGACTTTGACGTCAAGGAACACATCAATCCCCGTGCCGGACCCTGTATACCTTGATACGCACGCGCGAATTGCACGGATCCTCGAGGTTAGTGGTATTGGTGCGAAGATAAAACAATCTCTGGCCCCGTTGAAGACCACCGACATCGCCCCAGACGGATCGACGGACTTGGGTACTTTAGTATCCCGCAGGTTACTAATAGATATCTAGGCGTTTCGCGAGAGTGGTACGCTGCACCTAGGGCTAGTCGATATCCAGGGACAACGAACAGCAGCCAGCAGCTAGGCGAAGAGGTGCAATCAGTATCAAAGCCGAACTGACCGTACTACTGCTCGTGGACGCAGTGAGCACGGCTGACGGGGGCACGAGCAAGCATTTGGGCAAGCTCGTACGTAATCTACAATCCCCCCTTCCGACAGAGTCACGGCCCCAAGAACTAATGAAGCCACCTAGTGATCCCTATCACGCGAGAAGATCGCAAAATTCCTCAAGGGGCTCTCGTAGTCCACTATGCCAACCCCACGATAGCCAGCATGTGCCCGACATGACTGGCCTCCGTCAACTGCCATGCGCCACAACACTTCAGCCAACACCGATTGCAACCTTATCAATTCGATGGAGAATAGTTCCCGACTGGCAGGGTAATGCGACCCCGCAAACTTGCAGTCAATGCGACGTTGATTGATCATTTTCTTCATGTTGGTCCGTCCTTGGCTTAAACTGAGGAAAAGGGACATGGCCAAGAGCGGATGTGCAAGGGTTGTGTTGGTCCCTCCCGCATGCACCTAGTTTTCTTGTTCCACACCACTATCCAGATCGAATACCGAATGCAGGGTTTGCTTAATGGCATCTCCATGATGGGTGGGGGGCTGGGCCACCATGAGCTCTGTTCGCATCTCGAAAAGAAACATTTTTTTCCTTGCCTTTCTTTTTTTTTTTCCCTCAATGTGGCCAGGAGTGACAAGAAAATGTAAAAAATGCCCCGGCGAATTCAGGTCGTAAGACAAATTACAACGTAGCTCCGAGGATTACCATCATAACCCATGCTTCGGACGAATCGAGTCGAGTTTCTCGAAATCCACGGGCTAACAAGGCGCCGCTGCTTATGCCGGCAATGCAACTACTTCATCCGAACAAGAGACACTTGATTGGTGGCGGACAACCCACTCAAGCCACGGTGAGTTGATATAAAGGCAGCGATTCCCGCCTCGGTGGCGGGATGCGGTCATCCATACGTGTGTCTTGTCAAGCCATCAAGATTAGACTTGGCTCTCTCCTTCAGATACAAAGGACAACTGTGCCCCTCCGTGATAACTGGAATCCTCTTAATACCACTCAGCCCACATAATATCCCGTTGAAGCTTGCCAAGATGAAATTCTCACATATCTTCACACTTCTCCTTTCCTCCACGCTCGCAGTAGCAGCCGACCCAGCCAACTGCAACACGCCCGACAAGAAGCGCACCGGTGCCGACTTCGTCCTCCGCGAAAAGCCCAACAACCCCAACGTAGCCTCCCTATCGAGCTACTTCTCCGGCAAGGGCAAAAAGGTCACCGTCGCCGACGTCTTCAATGATGGCAATCACAAGATGACGACCAACTCGGCAGGCCACAAGGTGTGGGAGAGCAAGGCCGACTTTGATGATCTCAACACGGCCAAGTGGGTGCCGCAGGGGATCTCTTCGACGGCTGATGCTCTCGACGTGGGCGTTTACCAGGGCAAGGATGGGTGGGTGGTGAGCTGGCATAATGAGGGGGATACGAGCGTGAGGGTTACGTTCGTCGACAAGGCGACGGACAAATATCGCCACGTGCTCTTGGTGTATCCTCATGCCTCCGACAACTTTAGGGAGGTGCCTGTCCATGCTGGCGGCATCATGTGGTACGGCAACACACTTTGGGTAGTCGACACGAAGAACGGAATTCGCGTGTTCGACCTCGATAACATCTGGCAGGTCGAGAGCGGAGACGGCGTCGGTAAGAAGAGCGGCGGCGGCTACTCGGCTCGCGGGTACAAGTACGTCCTGCCTCAACTCATGTGGTACGAGTGGACGCCCAGCTTCAATTTCCAGTTCTCGTACATCTCCCTCGACAGGAGCAGTACGCCCGACAGCATCCTCGTCGGGGAGTACCGCGACGATAGCGCGGCGTATCCCATCCGCATGGCGAAGTGGGATCTGGACTACACCACCCGGCGGCTCAAGACGGATAGCAGCGACCTGGCAAAGGCAACCTGGGCTTATTGTGTGGATATCGAGCGCATGCAGGGCGCGGCGTCGGTGGATGGCAAAATCTACATCTCGAGGAGCAATGGGAAGAATACTAATGGAGATGTTTGGGGATGGACGCCGGGATCCGCGGCACACTTGAATACTGGGATGTTGCCGCCGGGCCCTGAAGATCTCAGCTATGATAAGAGAACGAAAGAGATGTTTACGGCGACGGAGCATGCAGGGAAGCGATACATTGTCAAATTTAAGACAAGTCAGGTCAAGTTTTAACTTGCAGGATGGGCAAAGCTAGAATATAGGGATCTCCCCCGCTACGGATCGTGCACGTTGACCATCAGCATGTCGCGCGGAGTGTCAAGTTCCTTCGTAAAAGGTCTCGATACTTTAATATTTCATTCTATGCCCTTTCCATGTTCCCTGTACAGCGGCCCGCTTAGCCGGCAAAACGAAAAGAAGAATCTATACGGTTAAGGAGCTCCAAATCAAGCAGTCATTTATCCGCCTCAGATTCGGGCGAACATTCTCGACAACGCAATTCTCTAGACCCCACCATTAATCACGATGCGTCGAGATGATTTGCCAAGATGTAAATGCACCCCGGACAGCTACTCCGGGAGAGCCAGATCGAGCAAGACGCGGAACTCGGAACGGAATCAAGCTGACCCTTGCTCCAATTTGTCTTTTCCAGGAGCTCTTTTTCTTCTTCTCCAGCAAAAAAAAAAAAAAAAAAAAAAAAAAAAAACAATTGATTCCTTCACCTCTCTCTTCTCTCCCCCATATCCTCGAAAGGCTGCACCTCCAATCGCCTCAATCGATTCCGTCGCCGCGTTCCCTCTCTTCCCCTCTCGTCACCCGTCCCCGAAATGGCCGCCCGTGCTCTCCTCGCCGCGCTCTCTCTCACAGCCACCCTCGCCGTGGCCGAAGACCTCGAATGGTGTGGCGACAACGCCCGCTACTTCCCCTCGGAATACACCTGCTTCGACGACTCCTTCCTCTGCCCTGTTCTCTTCGGCCTGCCCAATCTCCCCTGCGGCGGTGGATGCTACGCCGACCAGATGTACACGTGCGACGGTGGTTCCCTGAAACTGCGTGGTGAGCAAAAGGAGCCGTTCATCCTCACGACGGCGTCGAGCAGCGAGCACGTTGACGGACTCGTGGTGAATGCTTGCGGAGGTTATTTGGCTATTGGGACGGGGGCGAGGGAGTGTGCGCAGTGTCCGGCGGATGCTGGGGTTGACTGTGCGGAGTATGGGGAGAAGTGTGTCTTTTTGCCAGATGGCGAGATGGTAGGAGACTGGTCTTTTCTAAGCCTTAAAGGAAAGCAGTGAGTCCTCTAACAACTAGACGTAGGCTGTTGACCTTCCTGGAGGTCAATACTGGTATATCAGCCCCGACGACGGCGCTCTCATGTATACCAAGGAAGGAAACGAGGACGGTCTCGGCGGGCAGGGTGTCTCCGGTAAGTTTTCTCTTGGATGGAAAAGGCGAAATGGTTCGAAACGTGGTCTAATGCCTTCTCTGATCCAGTCTTCGACGAGGGCTTCTTCTCCCCCGGCGAGCGTCCCTACTGGCTTGCTTGCCTGCGCACCCTTCCCGGCGGTAACCCCGGCACGACGAGGAGCTACAGGATCTACGCACCCACGGCAGAGAACCTCGCGAGGACGGACTGTGACCAGATCAAACTCGTTGCCAAGTCAGTCGATAGGAAGGAGGGTGCTTACCGATGGCAGTAACGGAACGAGAGTAGATAGCGCGATGTCATACTTGCATGTACATATTGTGAAGGTGATATAGATTTGATGTCAATTGTGACATAGCATCTGGCTTTGCGCGAAGGCCAGTATTCAATTTACGTACAATCCTAACCTGAGCAGATTTCCTGACTAGCGTTTCTGTCTTGACCGAGCCTGCGGTCTGCGGTCTCGGGGCTCCATGGCAACGGGGCATGTGGGACAGCCTGACTCAACCGTTCTACGCGGTCATTCGTCAGCATTACTATCATTTAGATATCCCAGTTTTTGAAATCATTGCCTTCCGCCTTCCTCGTAATCCTCCTGAGCCGTCCTCCATACCAGCCACTTTTCTCGCAAGCAACGTGCAACACCGCCTCAACAATTGTCGAGTTAACAACACACGTAAGATACCCCAGGCTCAAGGCGGTAACACGCAGAGCAACATGCCCCTGGGTTATCAAAGTCGCATGGAGCGAGAGCTGCCTGACAAGTGCATATTGTGGTAGTCACGAGGATAGTCGATATCTGCCACATGAACATTAGTTCGGATCACTCTATAGAATAGGATGAGGGGAGAGTAAGAAAGTGGGAGAAAGGGGGCAGGGGCGAATTCTACCTCAGCCGGGGCAGTAAAGCTTGTAGTAGTAGTCGTAGTGGTTGTTGTTGTAGCAGGTGCAGCAGTTAGGCCAAGAGAGAGACAGGCTCTCGAGACCATTTTTGACCTGTCCGGATATTGCCTTGGCTCCAGGTGTGGATCTTCTTGGCCTTCCACCGCCAGAGTTGGAAAAGCATCACGCCTTACTAGATTGTTGCATGTATACCAAAGCGGAGTCGATGTGGATGTCGTGGTGACCACCCTATGTAGACACTTCTGATTAATCGGGGTGTCTGGGTCACCAAAACGCAAAGCTTCGGCGACGTGAAAGGAGATGATACCTACGTAGTTGGAGTGGTAGCCGCTGTAATAGTGACAATAGCGGTAGCAGTGGCAGTTTGCGGGGTAGCGAGATGGCTTTTACAAAACGATATTACTTCATCTCCGAGATCATCAAGCAACGCGAGGGCGTAGGGAATCCCGTCAGCGTTTAGTTGTCGAATGGGCCCACGTGAAGCCTGGGCGATGCTAAGGGAGGAAAGAAGCCCAAGGATTGCCACAGAGAAGAGTCCGCCGGCCATGGTTTCTCGGTGAGTCCCATAGACCTGTATGCCAAAATTGCCGAGACCTCTGGGTGAGCCTGAAAGAATCGAGGATTCAGCCCTACTTTTTATACCTTCTTGGTTTCCCGAGAGGCAAAGACGCGCTCACCCTATATCATTGGGCTGGTACGGAGGATGTTGCTTAAAATACACTAAACACATCCCAACTTCGGGTATGGAGATAAGGTATGAGCCGCCACCTATACCACAGTGTTCCAGACTGAGAGAGGTGGACGAGATGAAACAGCCTGGCTCCCTGGTCCTGATCACTGTTCTTGAAACGATGTCTAAATTAAATATAATTTTGATGTTAGCTTTCCCGGCAAAACCTCAATCTTCAAAGAGCTATATCAAGCAGATTCCAAGACGAAAGGTCGGAATTGTTTCCTTTCCACATTATCGACCTGGAGTTGCATTGCTGTGGATACAAATTATCCATGTGGATGTTCACGGTTTCAGTGAGGCCAGTCCATGGGGGTGAAAGGATTTTTTTTCCTCTGTCTCGGCGGATCTTTACGATCGAGATGATCGGAGTCACTTGTCAATAGTGCCGTGGCCTGGACTGAGACCTTTTCGGCGCGGAACGGGAAGCCGGAAAGACTACTGAACGAGGGAGAGTGAAATGCACAGGAAACGCTGGTTGATTGACCTACCGGACGTGACACGGTGATGGTCCCATGACCCCCTCAGCTCAACATCTGACGGTCACCTACCAACTCCTACCACATGCCATGCCGATAATGGAGTCTCCTCCACTTAGCTAGACATAGAGAGGAGTAACTTTCATGGCTTGAGAGAAAATCACTGTCTTACCAACCCCAGGCCACTGACAAGACAAGTATTATTAGTATTGGTGTTCGACTGAAAGTAATCACTATCTCACCGACTCAGGTCTGAAGATGGTGCGTCCATACTTCTAGCCAGTGTCTGTCCATTATGCATATGTGTATCTGCGCCCATCATAGAAACAGACTTGCGATAACTACTAGCAGGTGAGACTCCCAGAGAGGAAGTGAGAGACTAACCTGATCCAATTCGGAAATGAGCGACTGGATGCGCCTGGGTTGACCAGACAGGTGAGATGTCATATCACTCGAGCGGTATGACACGTACTTGACACCACCAAGCCGATCCGAATCTGGGCTAAACATGGTAGGAACCCTGCAAGCTGAACCGCTGACCTCGAAGCTGGTCTGCTGCTAGCTGCCTGTATCTCATCATTTATGCCGATACAACCAGACACTTTAGAAACATGCATCAGTCCTTTCGCAGGGTGAGTTGAACTGTCTTGTCCAGATCAGTGATGGTGTCTTCTCACCCTCGGTGCTTTCGGGGCACGATGCTGACGGCACCGAGTGTTTAATGTTAGAAATTACTTAATATCTAAGCAAATATTACTCTTTTTATGGACATTGAGTCGACCTTCTTCACTAGCAGGATCACCTGGGAGGCTAGCATTCTCCATTAATTGAATCTGTGTCCATTCGCAGGCGCTGCCGGCAGATAATTAATCCGCTGAAATGTATAAATGTAAAACATGCCCCGTGTCCGGCGACTGGGATTCCACCCTCGCCCGCAGCCCGCGGCCACTGGCAGATAGCCGCCCACCTGGCTCAAGAGCGGGAGATGGTGTCATTGAGGCAACGTCGTAATGGTAAAGCTTCTTTAGCGAAGGTATCAACGGTGGGGGTGGCTTGGATTGCTGCGTCCGCACAGGGTAGATGCATTCGTGATTGGTTCCTCGATACTCCCCGGCGCTTAGAGATGGAGCGATGATGGCTTCCACCTCCCGAATTCCGACCTTCCGACCCCTCAAAATCCACATCGTCTGGGCCTTAGCTATAAAGAGGGTTCTTTTCTCCTTTCACCTTGTTTCATGAACACTGTCTTTCCAGCATCGCAGATACCGCATGATGGTTGCCCTGTCCTTTTTGCTCCTCTTGGTGACATCCACTGCGCCATGGGTCGTCATCGCCGAATGCTACCTGCCGAACGGTGTCGACAGAAATGAGACCAAGAACAACCCAAACCACGATTACCAGCCATGCAACACGAATTCTACCGCGGAAGTGAGCATGTGTTGCAATGTCGGCGTCGGTGACGTCTGTCGGGAAGACGGGCTTTGCTACAATCCGACCGCGAAACTTGTTTGGCGGGAGAGCTGCACCGACCCTACATGGGGGTCACCTAATTGTTTGAAGCTTTGCGCCGACGACGTCCCCAGTTAGTTCTTTTCTCTCCGTTTAGCTGGAATCTCTTCAGGAATGTGAGTTGGGGATGCCCTGCGCGCTAACCTTTCTTGTGCCAGATGCCAATGGTGTACCGATGAATTCAACGGACGTTGTTGTTACCATTTGCAGCGATGGGAGCCTCTGTTGTGGTGGGACGAAATTCTCGGAGGAGTGCTGCCGTGATAGAACTGGTTTCCAGATCGTGAATGGCCAGGTTGTCAAAGCCGCACAGACAAGCGAAACATCGTTGTCAACAAAAGTGTCGCCAAGTCCGACAACTGGAATCGCGTCCGCAGCGGAAGTGCCAAGCCCACCTCCCACGATCGCATCATCATCACCCTCCGATTCGCCCGAGCCCAATACTGATGTTGACGCGGCCTCTGGCGGTAATAAGGCCACGATCATCGGCTCAGTCCTCGGATCAGTCGCCGGCTTACTGCTCATCGCTGTGCTAGCTCTGCTATTCCAAAGGCGAAGACAGCGTAGCGGTGGAGGACAGGCAAAAGGCAGCTCTGACGAGAGTTGTGATGTTTCCACGACCGAAACCGCAAAGACCATGTATAGCCCTCCTGTCGAGCTAGAAGGTGGTCCTCCTAGTGAACTGGAAACGGATTATAATCGTGTATATACTCATGAGCTATATGGGACGAGAAGAATATAAAAGCTCCATGGATTCGTGATTCAAATTCAAATGAAAAGACGATTCTGCAGCGAAACGCATAACGCGAGTGAGTTTTCTAGAATGACCCAATTCGCCGCGGCTTCGGGGCCTCGGGCATCACAAACAAGGATGAGCTCGGTCAGTGGTATATCTTATGGTAAATCGGTACCGACCCCCTATCAGCAGGCCGCCATGTCCCGCCACGCCCTCCATCAAGCTCGCCTCTTCTTACGCAGTAACCTCTTAGACCAAGCCCAATGCTTCTTCGGATCCTCCACCATAGCCCTCATCCCAGGCAAATCACCACATGTCGGACCATACTCCCTCTCCAGCGCCTCAAGAGCCAAGCGCGCATACTCACGTGCCTCCTTCTCCCTACCAAACAGCGCAAAGTTCAGCGCCGCCCGCGTGTAAGCATGGCCAAGATAAATATCCAAGCGCTCCTCGTGGTAAAGCGCCACCATCTTGGCCCCAGTCTCAGCAGTGACGCTCGTGCTGTTGGGCGACTCGAGGTCCTTGAGAAGCTGGGAAATTTTGCGTAGACGCGCGTCGGAAGCCTCGCGGTCGGCGGTCGGTAGAGTGCATTGGTGACATGTACATTCGAAACCCCAACTTGTAGAGAGCCGTTGTTGGCGCTCGGCCTGTGAAATCGCCGAGTCGATATAGCTGATGGTGAGTTCTTCGCCGGGGGCGATGTCGCGGACGGCGATGGTGGTGTGTGTCATGTTTCGAACGTGGTATTGAACGCTGGCCTTCTTTAGCTTTTTTTTCTCCTCTTTCTATTTGTTATGTTTTGAGCTCACTTTGATCGGCAATCATGGTTGAAGAGCGAGACATCTGTCCACACGCCAAGATGGGAGCCGCTTTCACTCTTGCCAATGCCCATGTGGAAGGAGTTGGTGTCAAATTTGTCGCGGGGGTCGTTTCCAGCTAGCCTGTCAAACTCCCGCCTCTTCTCGGCTGGCAATTTGCCAACGGCGATGCCGTAGAGTTTGTCTAGAATTCCTGTGTCTATATCCTTGTGCAACTGCTCCTTGACCACCATCAGAGCAAGACGCACCATGATAGTCTCGCCTTTGAGAATAGTCCGGTTGGCAACGAGTCCCATGCCCTTCCCGAGGACCTCCGTCTTGTAGAACGGAGGGACTATAGGTGGTGTTCCTAGTGGCGGGGGAAAGGAGGACACGATGTCGGCGTTAGCTTTATCTGTAATGAGAATTGAGCCCCCGCCGAACCGAGCATTGTGGTATACGCAGTTCTCCCAGTGGCAGTCCCCGGTATTTTCCCATTCCGACTGCATCATCGCCCATTCTTTATCCGCGGCGAGCTCCGGTGCAATCGTCGACTGCGGCGAGCCATTGGGGACCTCGCAAGCGTCATCTCTCCAGAGAAGTGTGTTGGAACATACGTCGTCGGTAATGACAACCTGCTCCGCTACGGATGCAGCTGCGAACCACGCTGAGCTTACCACAGAGGCCAGCCGCATCGAATCAAGAGAAAGAGGGATGGAATGTTATGTGATGGTTATGGCGGAGCTAGACTCTCGGCTTGGTTCAACCTCATCCACGAACGACAAGGTCTTGGCTGATGAAGACTGAATTGAAGATATTACGAGATTCTCATGCTCGTCATTTCCGACCGAAAAAGCAGACAGGCTCGTCTGGGAGATGTGTTCATTTCCCCATGTGGTTATGCCGTGTTTCATCCCATAGCGAGCTGGCATTCTGGCTGAATAGCCGTGGAGCTCATTGCGGCGCCCTCTCAGAATGGATGGAATGGTGGGTGATTGGTTCCTCAACATTCAACCGGTTTTTTTTTACTTCTACTCTAGACGCCTGCGCGAAGCGGCACTCTTTGCTTTCAATCTGCGTAGGTCCCTCACTCAAGTCTTCCTAACATGGCCGTTTCCGAGAGGGTTTGACACCACCAGGCTTGCTAATAACCATTCTGTCATGTCCATTCACGGTAAAGTACTTGTCATGACTTCTAACAATTCATCTGTCATGGGGGCAAGATCAGTAGGGGCCTGTACATGTCTCTCCACGTCTCATTTCTTCTGATAAAGCTGTTTGCCATTTCTATCCAATAACTCTAGGTAGGAGGGTCTGCCTTATCAACCTCTACCTCACCTTCAGTGTCCGATTCGCCTCTACTCTAGACTCCGAGATTTAGCTTAGCTCCAGCATCGACCTAATTGACCGTCGCTTGAGAGAGATTTTGGATGATATTCGCGCCGTCAAAAAGCCCACCCCCAGGAGCTTTGGCACGGCACAGCGTATTTCCTCGTTCAACAACATTCGCATCGCACACGAGGTTCGACTGCTCGACGCAGCTCAGAGCACCGCCGCCTGCACGTTTTTTTTTAATCCATGTTAGCAAATAGAATACTCCTAGAGACCCATGATAACGAGCTGTCGTACAGTTATTTCCACCAGGCACGCAGCGACCGGCCTGGCCGGAGGCGCTGGTGCAGGCGTCCTGCTTCAGATTTGTGTTGGCGACACAGCATGTGCCGCTGGGCGCAGGGCGGTTGCCGTTCTGGCGACTCATCAGGACGGCCTCACGTGGGACGGTGCGGGCTCTCCCTGTGTTGACAACGCCGGCCGAGGCAGCGGCTACAAGGCCGAGAAGAAGGGTGAGGGACAATTGCATTTTGACAAGGATATCGATTTGTGTTTCTCAGATGTTCACGTGGAAGAAGAGTGCCAGACTCAAGTGAAATGGAATCGAATAACAGACCAGATGGAAGGAGTAAAACTGGCACATCCCACTCCATGGCCACTTGACGCGTTTTATACATTTCCACGATGCTTCTAGATCCAATCCTGCCCAGTGTCCCGGCACCCCGGCACTCCCAAATGCCCCTGCCAAGGCGCCATCTGAAGAGTGCTGTCGAGTACCAAGGACCAGGGCGAGACAACTGGCGCATCAAATCCAGGTCTCGAGTTCTGAAACGACCCCAGATTTTTTTCGACCAGTACATTGAGCCGTTGATCGTCCCCGTCCATGCGCAACAGTGATCCAGTAGAGCAGATCTCATACAAAAGAAAGGATTAGACGCGGAATTAATAATCTGCTTTGCCCATGACGTCTCGGGGCGCTGGCCAAAACGCGGTTTGACTTTGAGACGACACTTGATACTGCTCTATCCAGAACTCGACTGGCTTGTACCCCCTTTGTTGACAACTTCAGCCGAAACCACTTCAATGTTCGATTACTGGCCGCTAGGCCGCCCGGCTACAGGCGGGATATTACCCCGTCCGAGTGCCCCAGGCAAACTCCTTCGCTGGAGACTAAACTGTCGACGCGAAAGGATTCCGAGCTATTATATATGGATCAAAGAGGCACGTTTGCATCCAATCAGGTATACTAGTTTAATTCTAAGGGCCTAAGGAAGATGGACGGCTCAAGGCAATACTATATAAACGTCGGGGGTTTTGGAAGCGTGGGGGATGCATTTGATATGAAGGCATTCAGAAAGGTCTTGATCGGGCTGCCTTTGGCACTCGCGTTTACTCCGCCTACGTTCATCGGTCATGCGGTGAGTCGACTCATCGCTCCTAAATTGTATCAAGTAGTCTACTAGGAGTTTCGAAACGACAGGGCATTTCGTTGGCTTACGGTTAGAGGCCGCTGACACTACAGAACCTGTTTTGCAAGGAGGTGGTGGAGAGCAGAAGAGTCACTCCAACGCGCCACTCCCTTTGTGTAGGGTCCCCTTGGAACAGGAGCCATGACGCTAGCTTCTGCCGAGGATAATCGAAAGACTGTACTAGGAGATTTGCCGCATCTAGAAAGGAGAAATGCAGAGACAGACCATGTTGCTGATCGTAGTCATATGTGAGTTCTAAGCAGCGGGTGTAGTCGGCGATGGAGCTAAGGCATTGTATCGATTAAACCAAAAGATTAAACTTCAGTTGACTGAGGAAAGCGAAATGGCGGGGAAATGAACATACCAGAGTTTACTTCCCATGACGGCACAGTCAGGCCAGCGAGGGCGGCAAGGAGCAACTCTTTGAGGACGCGCCTTGGTGGCAAATCTGTTAGCTTGCCTGCTGAGCAACGGCAGAAGGTCGGCCCTACCGTCTGCATTGGAGCACGGCCGTTTGAGGATTTTGTCGCTGGATTGCTTGGGGCTCCTGAGTACCCTCACTTAGCTGGGAATCCGCCTTCGGAATCAGGTCACCAGGGAAGAGCTGGCAACTCGCTTCAGTGAGCCATACGGCCCAATGATGCGCGGGAGAGGGATAGCTCCTGGAGTGGATGTAATTGGGTTCAGGAAGACTCTGAACCGATGAAGAAGGAGTCGCATTCCTACTACTAGGGTGATCAGGGTGCAAAGAAGTAGTGCAACACCGAAAGTGAACAGAGAGCTTAGCCGGGCCTGAATTAGCTGAAATCGTCTGCAGTTGGTCAATTGTAAAAGACACGTTCAGATAAGGACCAGGGTTTTCCCCTGGAAGTAGGAGAGGATTATGGAAATGAATGAAGGAAGTGAGCTGCTGAGTTACAAATGCTCCCCGGAGAGTGGTGTAGCCATGGCTAGAATATTATGTTTACCTGGAAAAAAAAATGCATCAAGTCTTCGTCGATTGATTGCTTGTCGGCATCCTTGTCTAGGTGATGAAACAATCGGCATTCCCGGTCTAGATTCGCATGTGGGACAACACCGGAGCAAACAAGGAATCTTGCCAACGGTGGCGCGCCTTCCCAGGGCGCTAAAGTTTCTTCTTTTTCCTAAGAAAAAATATATATATATATAACACCGAATTTCAACTTCAAAGATTCAATGATTCTCAGTCCTCTTTGAACCATTACTATGCCACTCCCTTTCTTCAGGCTCCTACTGCGATGGGGATGCGCTTAAGGATAGGACCTCTCACAAGAAGAGCTTTCGCTCGCCACAACCCCTGATCCTGAAGACGTTCATCAACCTTACCGCCCCCAAGGATGCTCTCCCGGGGCCGAAAATGGTCGCACAGGCCCTCATTCGTTGGAAAAGGGCGAGATACCATCTACAAGAAGACTCTTTTCTGCTTCATCGCGACGGTTATGAGAAAGACCAAGGTCAAAACTAGAAAACTCGGTCAGCATGTCGATCTTTTCCCTGGAAGTATCCGTGTTAGCCCCAAGACGATTTCGCACGGAAAGTCCTTGATGCGGAAGGCAATCATCTTTTCGAGCATTGAAGATGAGCCACTCGATCGACATCATCGCAAAGCAACGTTATGTCGATCGATGCGTGAGACTTCCATCAAAAGGGCCTATCGAAGCCCATTATTCCTCGGCATAACGTTACGACCAATGCCAATTCTGATGCATGTCGACAGCTCAGGCAGGTGTCATAGGTCCCTAGTACTCCGTAGATTAGTACCCGCCTCGGCTGCTTCCCGTTCAAGAAGGTTAACTCAACTTAGCTGTCCTGTCCCAGGAAGGCCAGAAGAGAGAGGCAGGCATCGCAGTGCAATGTCGCCAGTACTACACTACGCTCTCATCTGGGTCAGCACGCTAATAAAGTGCCAAGATTTGGAGGGTGGACTTGACCTAGCATGGGGCTTGGCTCCTTTGGGGGCCGAGATGCTGTGCTTCCCCAAATCTGGTTCAAAGACGAATTGGTACCTGGCACTGACATTACGGCTCGATATTGGCTGAATTTCTTGCCAGAAATAAAGCATCGCCTCGCCGCGCCACCTCTCCAGCAGATCAATTTCTATTCTTGTGCCGCATCTTTTCTCTTTCCCTCGATTCCGGAAATCAATGCGAGAGATACGGCGGAACCGCTCAAGCAGGTTTCCAATAAACTCTACTGAGTGTTGTAATCTACGAAGGAGGGGAGAGCAGGCCTCGAAAAAAAGATCGACGCGGACCGAATACGGAGTACTTGATCGATGCTTCGCAGTTTACAAATCTACAATGGCATCCCATGCTGTGATCTCAGTGGCTTCGGTTTCCCAAGGGGGAACGTGTCAATGCCGATCAATTATTGGCTGACCGCACATTTGCATCCTTGACGCCACCATGTCTCCAGCTGACAGTCTGTGTCATTCATAGGGCTGGACTGAGTGGGCTGCCTGCCCGATATTTCTTTCGGAGATCCTACGAGGATCGATCGAATCCTGGATTTGATTTCCTTCCTCGCCGTGAATGGTGAGAAGCACCCTCGCTATGAACTAGGTAAACCCCTGAAGGCCTGGGACAACCAGCATCCATTCGAATCTGACCAAGGACGAGTCTCGTACCACGGAGTCGATGCACAAATTTGCATACAGGCCCCTCACCTTGCGCTGCAGGATAAATAGGTTCCAATATCCCGTCCATCCAATGGCGAAGCTCCGCACGGCGAGAGGTTCCACATTGAGCTCCCAGTGAAAAGGCGAAAAGTCCCTCCGTCTTATTCCTCGTTTCGTTTCGAGGCTTGGCCCATTTAGGGAAAGATGCTCCGACGTTCCATTTGCAGAGTTACAGTGCAGGTTTTTCAACGGTCTGTACTTCGTACTGAGGACGAGGTACGCATGAGGGGGCGCAGAAGGCGGCAGGAGTGACATGTTCGCTACGCGAAGGACAACGAAGTGGTACTGGTGCGAGGGATACGACAGGAGAGTCCTGCTGGGTCTGCTGTTGTGTCCTCGCCAGTTCCTCTGTCATTAGAAGTTTTCTAGGTTGCGTGTGTTCAGAGACAGAGAGAGGACAGGTTATTTACCTCTTCTTCCACCCGTCAAATTTCATAGATTATTACCTTAAATCTCCATCAATGCAAGGGTCGATGGGTGCGTGCGAACCAGAATAACCCCTGCCTGGCTGCTATTTTTGTTTCGTTTCACGGGTGGCATGTACAGCCCTCTGCCACTCCCGAAAAGGAGAGAACGCAGGCGAAAGAGCAATTGATCGCATTTCCCCTTCCGTCGTTGCAATGTGAAAAACAAACAAAACCCCTGGCAAGTTCAGAAAAAGAGAAAAGGGAAACACAATCCCAACACACACCCTGGATCATCGAATCTGCAATCGGAAGCCCTCCACACTTTAACTTACCGCATCGGGGCCTAGAGCAAAAAGCTCTGACGCCCAAGCTCCAGCGCCACTCGAAATCCCCTTGCCCTTGCTTACGATCCTAATTCTCTTGGCACGAAGGCATGGACAGGTCGAATCTGCCAGCCGACGAGAACCTCCCAGAGGTCGTCCCCGACCAGTCTCCGCAAGCGCTCCCGAAAGAAGCCGCTCTACAATACGAGACGCAACTCGGCGAAAAAGACCCCAAATACCCCGTCCTCGTCGACGATGCGCCCAAGCTACCGAGCGAGTATGCGCCTACACCCGCGGTGGCGGCTGCGACGATTCCGTCCAGCATGAGCCCCAACACGATACCGTGGGAGACGAGGTCGCCCGAGACCGCGGAGCAGGGACTCGCGGGGCGGTCGCCGACCGACCCGCCTGTGGCCGATGAGAAGAAGATCTTGGGGCTGAAGAAGAAGGTGTTTTTCATTGTTGTCGTCGTGGTTCTGGTGATTCTTGCTGCGGCGTTGGGAGGAGGGCTCGGTGGCGGCTTGTCGAAGAAGAACAAGAGCAATGCGGAGGGCGCGGAAGACGGTACTGGGTAAGTTTCTTGGAACACACACACACTTCCCACCAAGTGCCCCTCCGGATTACGCATTTCCCCCCATCATCGATTGATGCTAAGATGAGAGACTTTTCACAGCAACACACCTACGCCGACAACTTCGGACCCCTCCTCAACTGCCTCCCAAACCTCCAGCGCCCCGAGCCCCTCAGTGACCTTCCTCAACAACCAAACCGTCCCCGTCGAGCGCTTCGCTTTCCAGGCCTTCTCGGGCGTCAACTTCACGGGGAAAGTCGGCGAGATCTACCGCAGGGAGGGCTTCTACAACTTTGGCTTCGATGCCCTCAGCTACGTCTGGCTTCCCAACAACACGAACTGCTGCATCACCTTCTGCGCGAACACCACCACAGGGGTGGGGTACTGGTGTGAGCAGAGGTATCGGAACGTGTCGAGCGACTCGTTTCCTAGGCTTGCCATTAATTGTGGGAATGACGTAAGGAAGGTGATGCCTTGCTCTTAGGGGCATTTTTTGAAGTTTCTCTGTAAATATTATATTACTGTTTGGGAGTTTAATGGTCGGGGTATTTACGATTGGGATTCGTGAAGAATGCTTTATCCGCTTGGGGAGACGGCGACTTGCTGGGGGACTCTACCCGTACCTTTTCTTCTTCTCTGCTCCTTTTGTCTCCCCTCTCTTTTCTTGCTTTTCCCCCGAGGTTACCGAGACAACAAATACCCGTTCTGGAGGGTGGCAGGGCAGGACCGTACAACTCTTTGGAATAAATAAACACTCCCTGATACAATGGAAAGAGACTGGGGGACCAGGTGACCACACGACCCTATGATAAGAAATCGATTCTCTCGAGAGCGTGTTTAATGGAACGGTTAAACTAATTTCGCTTCAGCGCGGCATCGACCATCTCTGACTGCGAGTTCCTTCTTTACTGCCCATCGTCAGTCCAACTTCATTGAAATATAGATACCTCGCATATGAACTGGGCCGGGAAACAGCGTCTCAATACTGCCGCCATTTCTCACGCCTAATTCCGATTCCGATCACCACCCATCCCCAGACGCGAACGCGGACGCCTAGCTACTACTTCCCAGAACAACGAAGCTATCACGGAAAGCATCTTCCTCAGTCGTCGGTGGATCCCCCTCGATATCACAACTACCGGTGGCGAGGGAAGAAACCAGAGCAGGCATAAATGTTTGCGAACACCACACAGAATTGTCAGCATCTAGAAACACTAGGCTGGATCTGGCAGCTTGGTGCTCCCCTAGGATCATGGTGATTTTGGCAAAGGTCGGCCGGTATGCAAACTTCGACATACTCCCGCGGATGAGACCGGCATAGGTCTGGGGCTCGCACCATTCTTGACCCGTATTAAGGTATGATAGAAGAGTCCCCGGCTCTTGGGAAGATCTCCAAAGGGCTGGTTGAGCTCTCACTTAGTGTTTATTCTTTGTCTTCCACATTCATGATTCACTGGTTGGGCATTATTGGTGGTGAGCTTCCTAGGCGCGTGATTCTATTACATCTTGGTCCGAGCGTGGCCGCCAAAGTCGGTACCATGTACGAAGTAGTCTGCCTGTGCTATCCATTGTCCCGTGAACATATTTGCTGTATAAAGTGTGGCGGCTTCCATCGTGTCGGCAATCCAGCAACCAAAATAAGCTCATGGTACTACAAGCCGAGGGACCCTGAACTTGAAATGCGGCTCCGCCTCGGTCCCTACGGGAGCATAGACAAGCCGCCGACGCTAAAGTCAACAACCTAAACTCAACTGCGGCTTCTTAGCGCGGGAAGAAAAAAAGTTCATCGGTCCGGTTTCCATGGCCAAGGTGGCTTCCATCTACGCTCCCTCGGGGAAGCGGAGACCGGAGGGCCTTCACGTCAAGACCAGATTTCGTTATCTTATATCTCGCCTTAATATCCTTAGACGTGATCCGAGTCAATACAGTGTCTTGAACTTAGGCCCCTCCTGTACCAGTCGAAACTAGGTTTGCGAACGTCTAGTGCCGATCCTTGCCTCCCTTCTATTTCCAGAGCTGCCGACAAACTCAATCCGCAGTGGGCGAGAATGTGAGAATCTAGGTTCAACCTTGGCCCTTCTTTGCTTTCCCTATTGGGTCATTCCTCTCAATGCGGATTGGGACCGAGTTGGACCAAACAACACGCTTCTCTTTTCTTTTTCCATTGCGCTTTTATCCTTGTTTTCGTGACCATGGGAAACCCATTTTTGCTTTCATTCGGGTGATATTTCGTATCTATGCGTCATGTCCATCGGTGAGGGCGCGGTTATCAATGGTGGATGTCTACCTGTCCACCTCCCCCACACCCTTCTCTATCGGGCCGATAATTTTCTGTATTCTGAAGAGGTTCAGATGCGGACGAATTAAAGAGAGACGGCTGACTCGCGACAGACAATCAAGAGTAAGCCATGGCTTAGATGAGCGCGTACTGCTGTAAAAGATCTTCTCTTGCAAACTTCCTTTGAGATATGTACCCCTCTGTTGCTGATAGGCACCAGCGCCGACCGTTATGCAAGTTCCTGGCCTTTCCAGCTTGGTCACTTGAATATTTTCGCCGCTGTTACCCACCAGGACACGCTCATGGCGTCCGCCGTGTACCTGATCCAGGTGTTTAGACCGGCACTAAACCCTGACGGGGAAAAAGTTTCCTTCTCAAATCCCGAAACCGCCCCATAAAAGTGGCCAAATCCGGAGCGGCAAAGGCTCCCCTCTTGGTCAAGATACGTCGGCCCATGTGGCCAAGTTCTTGGGTTCCTCCTACTTTCCGGAGTATCGGAAAGTTATTCTCGTTGAACCTTTCCCGTGTGCGGGTATCCCCGTCAGTGGTAAGCGACGACTTTTGCATGAGGACACGCTTTGGGTTTACTCGTATGACGACGGTACTTGGTCCTCTCACGACAGGCAAAACAACGTAGTATTTTCAGTCCCCTTCTTTATTAGCAAAGGCTTCTACCTCCAGATGGAGGTATTTATATTCTGCCTCCTCATCATTCCTCACTTCGTCCCTTGATCTCAGCTGGGTGAATCTAACACGCAATCTCATTTGGCCTTACTCGATAAATCTATCGTTTGGCGACGAATTATGGCAAATTCATCACCATCAACAATAAATCGATCGCCACGGGATAACGGATACGAAGACGAGCATGTTGGCAGAACCGTAAAGCGTGAGCAAAAAGTCACCTTTCTCGCCTGCCTCCTCGGCGCAGTCGCGAGTATCGGTGGCTTTATGTTCGGTTATGTCAGGTACGACTCTCATTTTTTTTTCCTTAGTCTTTTGCTACAATGGGACCGTGGTAAATCTGACAACTCCTGCAGTGGTCAAATATCCGGCTTCTTCCTCATGAAAGACTACTCCCGCCGCTTCGGCCAGCTTCAGCCCGATGGCTCCTCCACCTTTAGCGCGGCCCGCCAGGGGACCATCGTTGGAATGCTCAGTGTTGGTTGTCTTATCGGCGCTGATATCCGGAAAGCTCGCCGACGTCATAGGTCGCAAGTATGCTATTTCGGCTGCTGCCCTCTGGGCCTGGATCGGGACAATCATCGAGATCTCATCTTCTAGCCACTGGGTACAGTTCGCCATGGGTCGCTTCACCACGGGTATTAGCATCGGGGCTCTTTCAGTTTTGGTCCCCATGTACCAGTCTGAGAGCAGTCCGGCCATCCTCCGAGGCGTCATCGTGGCTTGCTACCAGCTCTTCGTCACTCTGGGTATCTGGACCGCAGAGATGGTCGACTGGGGCACCGAATCTCGGTCTAACTCTGCCTCGTGGAGGATTCCGAACGGTCTCACTTTTCTTTGGGCTCTTTTTCTAGCTTCTGGAATACTCTTCCTCCCGGAGAGTCCCCGGTACGCTTACCGCAAGGGCCGTGTCGAAGAAGCGCGTTACACCATTGCAGGCCTTGCCGGCGCAGATCCACACTCCATTACCGTCACCAAGGAGATGCAGGACATCCAAGCCAAGCTCGACGAGGAAAACGCGGCAACAAAAACGGACTGGTACGAGATCTTTACCGGCCCGCGTATGTTCTACCGCACGATTCTTGGTATTGTCCTGCAGGCAGGTCAGCAACTTTGTGGTGTCAACTATTTCTTCTACTACGGTACAACGGCATTTCAGTCCACAGGGATCAGTAACAGTTACACTACTCAACTGATTCTAGGCTCGGTCAACGTCATCTGCACCATTGCTGGGCTTTATATTGTCGCCAATGTGGGGAGGAGGAAGGCTCTCATGGCAGGTGCTGCCTGGATGATGATGTGTTTCCTGTGAGCGAGTCACGTCTCTTACACTAGCGAGCTGATCCCCCGTTAACTAACATGATGCTGGCAGCGTATATGCGTTTGTTGGGCATTTTGCGTTGGATTTAAATAATCCGATGAATACGCCTGGACCCGGCGGCGTCATGATTGCCTTTTCTTGTCTCGCCATTGCCGCTTTTGCTTCTACATGGGGACCTCTGGTCTGGGCTGTCGTTGCAGAGCTGTACCCATCGCAATATCGCGGGCCCTGCATGGCTTTGGCGACGGCTTCTAACTGGTTCTGGAATTTCATGATTTCCTTTTTGTAAGCCGTTCATATCCCTAGGGCTATAGAAAACTTGAGTCAATTTCTAACAATAGCGCAGTACCCGTTTCATCACGGATGCCATCGATTATCTCTACGGCCTCGTCTTCGCGGGCTGCTGCGCGGCTCTCGTTGTCATTGTCTTTTTCTTCCTCATAGAGTCGAAGAACCGGAGCCTCGAGGAGATTGATACTATGTACCTCCTGCACGTCAACCCTATCAAATCGCGCAAATGGGAACGCGGCGACGAAAAAGAGAGTCCTAGGACTGGAGACATGAATTAGGAACTGAAGGGATGGTTGTATGTTAGGTGGGGAGAGTTGTGTACATGCAGATATCAATGATGCTCCTCCTCCATATTGTATTATTGCGTCTTTGGATGAGACAAACTAAGAGTCTCAAGAACCACTTGTACCATTAGTTTCCAGGACTTTTTATCGTCGTCCAAAAAACGCGATCAATAGAGATCGCTTGAACGTGCGCATTTTCTAAACGAGGCTAATATGGGAAAAGCTAGGGCGGTCACTCTTGTGCCATAGTCGGAGGCGAATGTCTAGATGTTCTATATAACAAACGCTGGCAGCGTGAACTCGTCCCAGCAATTGCTCCAGATTGATGAAACGATCCCGTTCTCTGTCTCTTATAGAAACCAGAACGAAAGAGGGCCAAAAATATGTAAAGAAATAAATGCGAAATACGCCCGCAAATTATATTCCTTATTCTGCACCCAACAAAAGACAAAAAAAAAAAAAAAAAAGGAGAAAAAAAAACCCAACATAGAGAAAAGAGGCAAAGGAAAAGCTGGACGCACCCGGAATCGAACCGGGGACCGCCTCTATGCTAAAGAGGAATTATACCACTAAACCATGCGCCCTTGCTGCGTTGTATTCCATCAGCGCTAAGTGCGCTTGTAAAGCTGTGACCAAGCCCCTCCGGCGTTAACTAATGCGCTGAAATCGCCAAACCCCTGGCGGAAGACTAGGAACAGCTGCTCTATGAATAGCGACGAGTTAAACAATAGCAGGCGGTTCAGGTACGTGTTGAAGTGCGCGTGTTTGTGGGCCGTTGTGGGCGAAAAGAATCTACCGAGCTGCCTCATTGAATCAGTACTTCTGCATCGGGCAGCCGAATCAATTTGTCCGAATCGGTGAGCCACGTCACACGCCGCATGGAGCAAATGTTGGAACTTGGCCCTCGGTTTCCTGCGGGACTTGCGAATTCCATCATCACACTCTCGCGTCCAAGCTATAAGTTGGGTCGCGTGCTCATGGCCGAAGTTCAACTCTTCCATCACCACCACCAGTCAACATTTCTAGCCGCTTTAATATATCTGTCGACATGAGCTTCTCTCGCGAATCTATAACAACACCCACGCGGTTGACTGGCCCGTTTTACACCAAATCCACTCTCGCTGACGACCTCCGAGAGCTCGGTGTCCGCGCCGGTGATACTCTCCTCGTGCATTCATCCCTTAAAGCCCACGGCTGGGTTTGCGGCGGCGCCGAAGCAGTCGTGCTCGCCCTTTTGGACGTCCTGGGTGACACGGGTACCCTCGTCGTGCCAACCTTTACAGCTGGAAATTCGGAACCGTCAGAATGGAGCAGACCGCCTATCTCGGAGGATTGGTGGCCCGTGATCAGGAGTGACCTGCCTGCGTACGACCCTCGAACTAGCCGCACGCGAGCTATGGGTGTTATTGCCGAGACGGTGCGGACTTGGCCGGGAGCGCTTCGAAGCGCACACCCTCAGACCTCGTTCGCAGCAGTTGGACCAAATGCGAAACACATCACGGACGGCCATGCGTGGGAGTGTCGTCTGGGTGAGCAGAGTCCCCTAGCGCGGTTGGAGGAGCTTAAAGCAAAGGTCCTTCTATTAGGAGTTGGATTCGCTCGTTGTACATCATTTCATCTCGCGCAATATCGCATTCCGATGCCGATGGAATCCAACTCCTTTGCTGTCATGACCGAGAAGGGCCGCGAGTGGAAAACGGTTCAGGATACTGATATTCCGGATGACGCATTTACCGAACTTGGGGCCGACTTCGAACAAGCAAATACGGTGCTCAGGGGCAAAGTCGGATCTGCCGAGACGCGTCTCTTTGAAATCTCTGACGCCGTGGCCTACGCACAGAAGTGGTTGCTGGAACACAGAGCCTCGGCGAATTGACTGGGATTGGGACAAAATAGTAACTGTCGAAGAGTGGATTAATATTCTCCGCGGTGATGGAACGTGTATATAATATCATTCAACCAGTTATCATATAAACAAGTTAAAAGCAGATGGATCTTTTGACCTCTCTTTTTCCGTGGTTTCTTTTTGATTTCTTTTGTTAGGCAATAAGTACGGGATTCTACTTCATAGGCGCCGCAAGATTAGTTCCCGTACATAAATAGAACAGTTTTGCATGGGTTTTCCGCGCCCAAAGTCGCGAATGGCTCTTGCGCGTCGCCCTCATACCCGTGCCTGCTATCCCCGTGCCACTATTCCGATAAAAGGAACAAGGAACCGCGTGCCCGCGGCTATTCAACGCCCAGTCGTATATTCTCATGGTTGACTCACTTCGAGCAGCCGTTTGATAAGTGAAGAATCAAACGATGACGGCCTGAAAGTACCATTTGTCGTTTGGAACACAACACTCCGTTCTATTGTGCGACTAGCGGAGATGCCGGCGCGAATCCCGTCCATTGATCAGTTCACGCTTCTTTAAAGTTTGTTTTTCTGTGAGTCAGGTCATCGAAACTAGTTCCCGGTCGACAGCGGCGATAGTGCCAAGGCCTGAATCGCAAGATTTGGGCTGCAACAGGCTTGCATGTCTGCTTTAAGACGAACAAAGCCCAGCAGAGAAGGGCACATTTACAACGGCTTAACTTTTGGTAGTCTGGCTGCATACGACGGTTACCATGGCAATATTGAGAGCCTTTGCAAGCGACGGTTAGCACAGGGATTCAACAAGCCAATTAGAATGTACTCGGGCCCTCGCCGGGAAGTCACAAGCCGTTCAATAAAGCAAGTCTATCAGAAGTCCGTATTCGCCACTCCCAAGTCATGAACTCCATACATATAAACCAGGTCTCCCAGAATGAGATCCCCGTATCAATCTCTTATTCTATAAGCGCAACTCATTGCCGACTATATTGACAGAGCAATTCAACAACCACTGGCGTTATTATAAGTAGCGATGTTCTTCACCTCGAAAAGGTATTGGGATTAGAATAAGGGTGTTTCTTATCTTGTCCCGTCTTATTCATCACAAGATTTATATCCCATCTACTTTACACCTCTATATTCAACTATTCCTTCTCACATCCAACGATAGCAAGCGATATAAATACCCGTATATTCTAGTGACCTCTCCCAAACATCATCTCCTTCTCGCCAGAAACACGCAGATATACAAAACACTTTTACGCCTCATTCAAAAACACAAAAACTCCAAGTACATCTCACCATCAAGAAGCAAAGCTTCAGTTCCCACCAGGATCGCAATATCGAACTTCTGAATTCCTTCTAACACCTCCTAACTAGACTTCAAATCCCACCCAACAAGCAAATTATCAACAAATTCTATTAACAGTCGTCGGTTAGTACGTTGGTCTACACAACCACTCCATTTCACCAAGCTACATACCACCAACTAACACCTCAGAGCAGACCTTCGGTATATGCAATCAGTCCACCTCCGGAACTAGACTACTGCTACTAAAGAAAATCCAACCTCAAGCGCACTACACCACCATATCAAGGCATGCATTGAGCCCCCACACCACAAGCTAGAAGATTAAATACTAACATAACTACAGATGTGCGATTACCAAAGATTCCTCTGGGAATGCGGGCACTATGTCCAAACTCTGAAAAGCTATTGCCACCACGCTCGCAACGACCCCATCCACCAGTGTTTTAACGCTCCATATGTAAAGGTCATCTGGCCGCAGGACGGTATCTGCAAAAAATGCGCCGACGAACAGCGACGATAAAGGAGGGTGGTTGGCGGTTGTGAGCTTTCACGCGTCTTCATTTTGGAGACCCGAGGAAGACTGGACCATTACAGGCCAGGCATAGCGTGATAATATTAATCATTCGAAATTCCTAACCTGAAGTGGCCTCTTATCTCTTGGAGATGGCAGTCGATTCCCTCTCACCACTGATCACTGGATGAAATATCAAATAATGGACTCGCGTCTAATCTCTCACGCAGGGCACTACTCCAGCTGACAGACTCCTCAAATACCCCTTGTTCCCACCAACGAGACGTATCTACTCTGCCCCAGTCCTCGTTGTCCCCGTGATTGAGCTTGTCCTGGGGTCATATTTCCTATCCATTTCCCATCCTCCAGCTTTTTGGACAGCTCCCAGGTGGAAACCCCAATCCGCTATCCCGATCTACTGCAGTATGCACCGGAGATCCATAGGGTCCGGGCAGAGATGAATTCACGTATCCTAACTTCCTAAGTAATTTCCCATGAGTGTTAAACCCTCCCGATTTTTGACGTGCTATCCAGAAGGAGTGCGTGAGGACACAAGAGGAGTCTCCAATAACTCCACGGACGGCGAACTTGGAAAGTGTCAGGCACAACAATCGACGAGTGAGCGAGTTGGCTGCGGCGTGGGGGCGCATTCTTCAGGGACCTGCCGAGTCTGGACTCTGGAGAACGGGTGGGGCCGTCTCTCCCGCTTTCCGCTCCTCGCAAAGTCGCAATGACTACCTGGATGGATCTAACCATGAAAGGTGGCTGCCAGCATCCATGTCTCCCCCACCTTCATGTGAAGAATTGAGAGAAAAAAAGCTTGACCGAATGGCAGGACACCTGCATGTCAACTATTTCTAGGCACGCAAAATATCCAGGGCAACGTTCGTTGGCTCGGTATCCAAGTTGGAAAAGGCTCGCAGACTATCGCGGTGTCCACCCTATAGAATTCGAGAGATTGCAGCATGTGGTCCAGGCTTGACAGCTCGGCATTGATTGCAAGCCACAGGCGGGGAATTCGCGCATTTGACGGACGGCTTGGCCATGGGGTAATTGAATAAACCTAGGGTGCTTTTCGTCGATGCTACGATCGGAGGAGAAAACATCTTGACTTGGAAAGATCGAAACTCTCAATGCAACCCATTGTTCTAGTTGCCTTCCGTGCACTGCAAGGGCAGTATGAGACCTCTGTCTAGATGGAAGGGTAAACCATGTCATCCTCAGACGACAGAGTGCTCGGCACAGCATCAAGCCCAATGATTTACAAACGTGTTGCTTTTCGCAGTTGAATCGTCATGAAATTTAGCTCATGATCGGGAGGGGGGATGGACACATGGCTGCGGACCTGAGTTCTCTTTTAGGTAGGTCTGTGAGGCTTCCTTGGTTGCTGGTAACTCCGTCGGTGATGTTGGTGGCTCGATGTAGACCTTGCCTTTGGCTCACTTGCGGGAGTAGACTATGTGGATGTGGGATTGTGGTCTATAAGTAGGCTCTGGAATCCCCGATTTGCATCCAAGGAGATACAGAGCATCGCGACAAACCCCAGTTGATAGCCCATAACATTTGACGAGTTACATAGCTTTGCTTATAGGCCACCTCATCCACAATGAAGCTCAGCCCTCTTCTCCTCTGCATTGCCCAGGCCGCTGCCCTCGCCCTCCCCGGGGACAGTGAAGCCGGTGTTGCCCTTCCCAAGCGCCAGAGCGCCAACACTGTCACCGACCAGCTCCTCTTCAGCTTCTCCCTCCCTTCGTTCATCTCCCGCAGGAATGCTCGCAACCCTTCGAACCTCGACTGGAGCTCTGACGGCTGCTCGTCGTCGCCCGATAACCCTTTCGGATTCCCCTTCGTCCCTGCCTGCTACCGCCACGACTTTGGCTACAGGAACTATAAGATCCAGAGCCGCTTCACCAGTGACAACAGGCTGAGGATCGACAACAACTTCAAGTCTGAGTGCGTATATAGTTCTTCATTTGTCCCACCCGTTTTTAAATACTTGATAAAATTACTAACTCTATTACCGTTCCCAAGTCTCTACTACCAATGCTCCATTGTGTCCTCTGCGCTGCAAGGAATTTGCCGAGCTCTTGCGGATGTCTACTACGCCGCCGTCCGCGCCTTCGGTGGCAGCGGTGCGTCCAAGAGGGACGACGAGGACCTTGTCCGGGAGTACGAGGAGAAGTTTGCAATTTACAACCAGCTCGTCCAGGAAGCCCAGGCCCGCGGAGATCTGCCTCTTCTCGAGTAAGGGCTGTGACAGACATGGGGTGGAACGACAATCGGGAAAGATCAACGGTTTTGGATGTGATTATTCACTATCAATTTTTGGATACAATTTGCAGGTAATTAACGTACGCCGAGGGTTCCTGTAACTCGTCAACGTCTTGCGAATACTCAGTAAACTACATCAATGCACCCATTCTCCCCTCTCCAGTTGCCCATTATCCTTAATGAGAAGAAAACAACGTAACTGGACTAGATGCTCGGTGGAATTTGACCGAGCTCGGCTCATACTTGTTCGGACGTGAAGCCCCTGTAAGAGGAATTAAGCGGGGAATAGGAAAATATATAATCTACTATAATTTATCCTTTTCTACTATACCTGACCGCCTTGGGTCTTCAAAACGGTCAGCTTCTGACAATGAGTCCTAAGCTCGCATTGACTTGTCGGGTCGAATCGAAAGTACTAGGCTTTTCAAGGTCCGTGTGATGCGCCAGATGAATTTTCACGTGATCTCAGCTGATATTTGAGACACGCAGGGCCCCTCAGTGTTCCTTATGCAGGCTATTGAGAGGCGTTCCTTTTTAATACAAACGACAAGTTCTATATCTAATGTACAGCACCAACGCCCTGCGTGATGTGATTCAGTGCACGAGAACCCTTGCCCTAATACTCAACCCTCACTCGATATCCTCACAGCCAGACGTTAAATCATTTCCCCAATATCCACCTCCTCTCCCACACTTTCACGGATCGACGAATATTTACTGACGCTGTTCATCGAAAATCTCAGCGACTCTAGGAATCTATCACTGAGATCGCTCAAGCCAGCGAGAGAAAATCTGCCCGATGAGTTTTCAGCTGTACTTTCTGCAGATGTGTCTGGTGCTGTGCCGTTTGGTTCTCGCAGGCGCCTTTCGACCGCGAGCTTTGTCTTGCGAAAACTGTTGAACGATGTCGTCGTAGACGCCTGAGAACTGAGCAAAGTGGCGGCATCAAGATCCCTAGCAGCAACAGCGGTATCAGTCGGAGAGTAAATGATTGATGGGATCCGCGAGGACCGCGCTTGACCAAGTCTCGCAAAGCTGATCCCAAGCGCCTTTTTGAGGTGTGAAAAGGTGTCCGATTTTGCTCCCCTCTGAGCCTCGAGTAGAAAATCTGGCAAGGTAACGATGGTATGCCTGGACACGTACTGCTTCAGTACCCTAAGAGCTAGGAGGCGATCAGGTTCGATGGACAGGCTGGTCACCGCGTCCCTGAAGAGTTTGAGCTCGCCGAAGAACACCCAAGCGTGGTCAGCGACCTGGTGGATGCACCGAGATATCAAGAGGAGCAGTTCGCAGGGGCTAATGCCCATTCTTCTTTCGGTCTGCGTCATCCAAACATGCGTCTTATCCGCGGAGGTTATCCAGTGATCCCAGAGGGCGGCGAAGAGCCCGTTGGCCGTCGCCCAAGACCTAGCAACGTCTTCCTTCGCGGACCCATAACGCCCTTCAACCACCGTGCTGGTATTGAGTCGAGCTCGTAGAGTTGTGTCGTGCACCAACTCAGGCAAGATCTTACGCAAGGATTGTGCATGATATCATCTGGCCCGACCTCAAATGGGCCGGGGCAGCGACGGATGAAAATTTCCTCGAGTGTAACTTGTCCCCTCGGCTTGTTGGCTGGATACAACGACGCATCAAAAGTTGGGAGCGAGAATTTCTTCACGTTTTTGAGGTCGCAGCTTATGGCAATCCTGAGGACCTGCCGAAAGAATGGCAGATCCAACGACCGATCCCCCTTTGGAAGTCCCTGCTCCCCAATACTGGGATTCTCGCGCAGACACGCGGTTGCACGGGCGAGGTAATCCTTCATCTCCGACGGTGACCTAGTTCGGTTGCAGACGGCGAGGAACATATCGATCATGAACTGATAGAGATCGGCTAATTTGGCAGGTTGAGAGCTCCGAATCCCATCCAGCTGAGAGAGAAGAAAAGTGTGAATAATCTCGACGTGTGCGGGTTTCTTAGCTACCCTGACGCTCTGGGTCACAAGATACCAATAGCTCGTATCCCTATAAGTTGAATCTGACAGGTAGCGCTTTAGTAGTAATGTGTAGAGTTCAAAAGCCTCTTCTCCGAAGCCAAGCACTGCGAGGTAATCAGCAGCGCGCTTGATGCTCTCAAGGTCCTTCCTGGAGAACGTGTCGACTGGAAGGTTGAAGTCTAGCTCGCGCACTGGACCTACAGTCAATAGGTTTTGCATGAACTTCAGGCCGTAAGGCGACATTAAGTTGGCCTCAAGGAACAGCGCCTCTTCTTGTATTCTCGGGACTGGGATGGCCGGGGCATTCAAAGCTTCTGCGGATTCGAGAAATTTTTGGAATTTTTCCGATTCGGCCTTCAAGAAGACAATTTCTGAGGGTAGTGCGGTGATCGGAGTGGAATTTAACTCGACTCCCGGCAGTGGTAGGGCTGTCTCGCTGTCAAGGGGTGAAAGGCTCGCCAGCGTTTTCTGGTGTGAAGCAGGAAGTTGGTCCGAGATGTCGGAGAAGACTTCATCTCTCACCCGCAGGCGGCATGTGCTGGACGGTGTCCCAGGTCGTGGGGGCTCGGTGCCTTCTGCGGTTGGAGCAAGACCCATAGCGATATGATCAGGGCTTGTATCCATCTTCCCTCTCTTTGCCAACGGACGTGTCTGATTATCCCCGGCACTGGACATACTCTGGAAACTAACTGCACTCCTTCGTCGTTTTGAAGTGTCTTCGGCCCCGCGATCTGAGGGCAGGTTGTGGCTGTTGTCAACCTCACCCGAGGAAGTGGCGTCAGTCGGCTCAAGTGTATGGTTCCCCGTGGGTGTTGTAACGGCAGTATTGGTGTTGTACTTCTTGACACCCCAATTCCTCAATCGGTAATGGTATTGTCGATGGCTGTTCCGCCAGTTAGAACGCTCTGTAGAGGTGGTTCAAGTGACTGTTCCACTCACGTTGCTTGAAAATTATGCCGTGTTCTCATGGTAGCGACCACAGATTCTATGAGCATTCTTTCGTATAGGTCGCAGATTTCGGCGCGATGCTCCGCCCATTTCGCTTCTGAAGTCCGCTCCGCCCGAGCGGCCTGGCCATTGACACTGATGAAGCGGGTCGGAGTGGACATGCTTGGTTCATTTGCTGGCGTGCTCTGGCTCGTCTCGCCGCGCTGCACCACGGGCTCGCGTTAAAAGATTTAGAGAATATTGTTTGGACTCTGTAGATGTCGTGATCACAGTCATAGCGTATCGACTACGGAACACTTTGGATTCTGAAGTGAAATCCATCGTGGAGGAAACTGGACCCTGGGACTCGGTCTTCCCACTGCAACTTGAGAAGGCTGCGGGAAATGTCTGTGCATTGTCAATTTCCCTTTCGGTCATCAATCCCTGTAGTTATCTTCAGTTTCAGTCATGATTGACGTGGCCGGCTCTGAAGCGCCAATCCGGGAAAGGCAAAACGAATCCCAATTAGCGGGCTAAACCAAAACGGGGAATTGACAATCCAGCCACGCCGCCTGGGCTTCGTTAGCTAATATCCGATACATGGCGGGTCTGCTAAAGCCGGTCGAAAGGGCCTGCATGGGCATTTCTTGAATCCGATGATAGTCTCTTCTCGGAGGTCGGTATTGGACACGGTCTTTCTCCATATGAATTGATGAGGCTGTCTACTGGTCCTTACCCCCATGAACCCTGCCCGCGGTTACCAAGCCATCTTCTGATCATCAAATTATAGAGCCGCAAGGGAAACAGGAGGGGATGCTTCCCAATCCAGGAATTGACATTCTCGAAGCTGCAGACGTCTACGGTCTGCTTGGTTCCAGAACCCTTTTGTGAAGTTATATATGTACTTCCTCATCCCTCTGAGTAGAGCCCTTCTCTGGGCCATGACGAGCTATACAGTTGGATCACCGCATCTTCCAGTCTTATTCACTCCTCCACTTATTTAAAAAAAAAAAAAAAAAAAAAAAAAAAAAAAAAGATTCTTGATTAGTCTCCCGCTTCTGTACAGTTCTCTCCCTCTGTGCTTCAACCCGCCTGACAAAGTCCGGTAAACCATGGCCTCGCAATCTAGTACAGATCTCGCTCATATTGGAGCTTGGTGTGACATGGGGAGGCATATTTCCAGTACAGGTTCATCGGGGAGGAATTCTACTGGCGTAGGTTCGCTTCTACTTTCTTCCGAACCCTAGCTAAACTGATAATGTTCAGGTCGAGACGATATCCCTTGATACCGGCAGATCGGCTGCAACTAATCAGGCCAGCAATCCTGGCGAAGCCGGAGAGAGAGCTTTCATCAATGGAGAAAGCAGTATTTATACACCATTGGCAAGATGGCTACACGAACCAGCACGGGACGCGGTGTGGTCTGGCGTGGGGCCGAGACGAGAGACATCATGAAGAGAAAGGAGCCATAGGCAGCAGATGCCTTGCGCTAGCAGCTCTGCCCTTTACCAAGCTTCTAGTGCCTGGCCACTCTCCGATGTTTCTTGATGATATTTGTATTTACGGTTAGGGTTATCGTCAAGTTAGCCGAAAGCTGACTGGAAAACCGGGGGTGGGACTAGTCGGATTTTAGAGAAATAGCTCCCAACTTGCAATCCTCAAAATCATTGGTCTCAGCGTCAAACTTCGAGCGCGGAAACAGGGCCAATACCTCCGGAGACAGCATGCTCCGCAGAGAAAGACCCCGTCACCCAAATTTCAAATCGGTAATTTGGGCTGAGAGGTTCAGCTCCCGCTTGTTGAAGGTTTCTAGCGAGAATTACTCTCCGTTGTTTTGACATACACCTAGATCGAGCGGTTCTTTGAATGTCTGTATAGACCAAGAGCTAGCCTGAGCAAGAAAGCGAGGTGACGGCAAGTATTTAATGCCAGGGGATGAACTTCCCAGAGGTAAGGTTATTCGTCCGTGGCGTTGGGCTTATAAAAATGGCCGGAGGCGTGACATTTCCGGTCTACCTGGAGTGAGAATCGAGGATACTCGATGAGCAGTGATCCCCCTTCGACCTTCTTAGCCACACTAAATTTGATTGCGGAATTGAGCTTATGGAGACAAGGGCGAATCAACTTGAGGCTGCCAGGATTCAAATCGTTCTTGCTACTCGGAAATACCAAACGAGACTCTCAGAAACGGTGCCAAATTTTGATACCGATACTAATACCAACAGACATATGTAAACGGGAGCATGAGAAAGCAACACACTTCTATGCTACAGGAAGAAAAAAAATACCGTGGAAAATGTGGTTATTCAATATCAGGAACGGGATCAACCGTCTTTACCACCTTAGCTGGAGAACCAATGGCTACTGAGAAATCAGGAATGTCCCTTGTGACTACACTCCCTGCTCCAATCGTACATCCCTTTCCGATCGTCACGCCAGGCATGATGGTTGTATTACCGCCAATCCAGCAGTCATCGCCGATAGTAACGGGCTTGGCGTACTCGATGTTGTCCCGACGTGATTGGACACCCGTCTCATGGGTGGCAGCAAAGATGGAGACGAAAGGACCAAACATGACGCGGTTTCCGATTGTGACCATGCCGCAGTCGAGGATTACGAGGCTAGAGGCGTGTTAGAGCTCATGAAACGAACGGAGGCGGATCGTTGGAGAGCGTACTTGAAGTTGGAGTAAAATCTATCTCCAATAGAGATGTTGCACCCGTAGTCGATATTGATGGGAGGCTCAATAAAGCAATCCTCACCGATTTTGCCTAGGATTCCCCGAAGCATTCTTTCCCTATCATCCACGAGTGATTCGGGGGTAGCGTCATCGGGGAAATGGTGGTTGTATTGGTGCATGAAACGTCTTGCTCGGAAGCGGCTGTCCACAAGTTCTTTTGCCTGGGCGTTGTATCTAGACCTGAGTTAGAAATATTATACGCGACTCAGTTCTTCTTGGCGGAAGAAGAGGCGAGGAGTTGCATGCAATTGGCCTGATATCATTTTCTTATAGTCCTCGCACCAAGGTATATTGGAAAGCCCCTCCGCCTTTGCTATAGCGTTGGGGTCATTTTCGGTGGCCGCCATGGTTGGAATTGAGAAGCAGAAGGTGAGATCAAAACAGCGGAGTTCGATAGATACTTCCACTGTCTTTACAGGAATGACGGGACTGTTCAGCGAGCCAGGATACGCAACGGGCTAGAAAGACGGGGCTGAGATGAAATTAGAATCCAGGGACCCGACGATGGCTTTATAATAGTTTGTTCTCACACCGAAGTCCCATACGACACGTTGTCCTTCGTAAACACCATAGTCGGCCCGCATAACCGGGTGCGCGTGTTGGATGAAAAGGGACTAGGCTAGCGGGGTAATACGAAACACAAAGTGGCGCCCTTTCCATGACTCTTGCAGGAACTTGAACCCCGTCTCTTCTGATACGAAGAGGGTCATCCTCCTCCGTGCATCACCCTCTGGTTGGCTCACTGCCCATGTCAGCGTCGGTGCTGGGGACTCCGCCTCCGATTCCAACTGTCAAGCCAAAGCGAACGGAGGAGTGATGGAAACCTCTCTAGATCTGAACGGTGACGTGAGTAGCTGACTTGATAAATTTGAGGTTACTTCTCATCGTATTTGGATTAATAATAATACGATTCAGCACTGAGTTTATTCACCTGCCTTTTCCGACATCAAAGAGAGAGGTGAATATATATCAATGCTTATCCTGTTCTGTTCGCATCCTCCAGTCCATTTGCCCAATTCATTTCTCCCACCCCAACTTGCTGTCACACCCCGCGTAGTAAAACTCAATGATGTCGGTGATTTCACGATTCGTCGCCTCTCCAATGGATCCGAACAACGTCCCATACGAGTGCTACTGCCACTGCGGCGCAACAGCATTCAAAATCCACCATCCCGCCCTAAAATCAACCACTTCGAAACCCCCGGCCCCGGTCCTCTCGTGCGACTGCTCCATCTGCGCGATCAATGGCTACTTGTTGATCTACGTCTTCAGAGATCAGGTCGAGTTTATCCGCGGATGGGACGACTTGAAGAACTATGAATTTGCGTCCAAGACTCGCGACCACAAGTTTTGCGGCGTCTGCGGGACCAGCGTCGCCATCGATTATCGGGGTCTCCTCAAGGCGGGTGATGTCATTGGAGTGAACGTATGTGTTCCTCCCATTCTAGAAAAGATCCAACTCGCTACTGGTTGGGAATGCTAATATCGAGTGTAGGCTCGAGTGATCCAGGGCGTAGATATCAAGACACTGAATTTGGAGGTTTTTGATGGAAAGGCTTATCAAGCCCAGTATAATCGGCAACACAAGTGAAGGATCTCGGCCACGGAAATGCAGATTCGTCGTGTCAGTGCATTGGGCATGATTTTTATTAAAACACACGTTGGGGTTAGCGGCAAACGGGTAGAATTTGTTCGCTACATTGCTGGCTTTCGAACTCTCCCATTCGCGCTCGTCGTAGTTGATACTTTGTCGGGTCCGGCCATTGGCATATACCATGACTGCAGGTATGAAGACTGTTCGATTGCGATTTGGTTCATATCGACGCCTTGACGGATTTGAGTCGAGAGATGGTTTTAGGAGATAGGTCTACATAGAACAAAAAGCCGAGGGAACCTTCACCTTGAGCGCAAGCCAAGTGTTATTCAGCAAGTAAGGGTGAACCGTGTTGTCCATCTGCAGGCCGCCGCTCAGGTGATGCATGTTCTCCTATTGCTCCCGGTGCGGTGACCAGGAGGACGAGGCTCCTCTGAAATGCTGCGATGTTGGGCGGCTACACAGCATAACCGCAGGAAGGCTCCAGCTAAAATGCAGTAATTGGCGCCTCTCCGCTCCTAAAAATAAACTTGAATGGTATAGCTGATGTTGCATCGTACCCGTTTGAACACATTACCAACCACATATTTAATTAGTACTGATGCTCTGTTTCCTGGTATTGGCATTAAGAGATTGACATAATTCTGAGAAATGAAGGCGAGGAAAGAAAACAAACAACCCAATAACACAAGGATAGCAGCAGCCCTTGACAATCTACATTGGTTCATTTGCGCTGCGAACTCTCTCACAAGCGCAGGAATCGCGTGCGCGATCTATGGCCGGCTTAGTGCACGTAGCGTTCCAGTGATGTAAAATGCGGTCTAAATCGGCCAACTCTCCCCGAACGTCTGTGTACTTCAAGAGACGAACGGGAGTTGGATAAATAGGGTGAAGATGAAGCCCAACAGCGGACTGCCTCATCCGTCTGCATGATCTCATTCGGGAGGGGAAGCAGCGCACCCAGGAGGAATTAGATTATTACCGTGCTCACAACAATGGGCGAAGGAGAGAACGTCAGCTAGGCGTGGACCAAGTTCGTGGAACCTGGTATATATCGGGGGAAGAGCCTTCCTCCTTTTTCATGTTTAAAACGGCTTTGTGGGGGAGGGGAAGAGGGCTTTTTAGTGAAATGTCTGCTAGGTTGAGGGGCTTGGCGTGGTTGGGGCCGTCGCATAAAACTCATCTCCAAAGTTACCCGGTATCCGATGCCGACCGCCCCAGTGCCGATGGGCGGAAAGTGCCATCAACCTAGTAATAGCGGGGATTTACTTCGTACTCAAAGTACAACTGTGCCCTGCCCTTGCAGCCATTCGCTACGTCACTCATCCATCCTCCTATCAACCCTCTATCCTAAAGCAACACAAACACAATGACCCATTCATATTCTTTTGAGAAGCCCGCCCTCGAGGTGAATGGCGAGATTGTGCAGTTTCTAGAGGATTTCTACCGCATCTCCGATACCCCGGGAGACCATGATAATTATGTCAACCAGTTTGCCGATGATGCCACCTTCATCGTTGCTGGCAAGAAGAACCAGGGTCGGGAAGGTATGTCGACGACTTGCTTTGTCCAACTATGCATAAGTTGCACACTCTAGGACGGACAAAAAGCTTATATTTTTCTTCCAGAGATCATGAGACAGAGGCTTTCCATGTGGGAACATGTCAAGGCGAGGAAGCACACGATTCATCGGGTATATCCCTATGGCAATGACGCGACGGAATTTATGATTATCGGCCTCGTGGAGTATCAGCTTAAGACTGGCGAAGCGAAGGACGTGGAATGGGCTGGCAGAGCTCGGTTCGTTAAGTCGGCGTCCGGGAGGTGGCAATTCAGCTTCTACCGGATTTGGCTGTAGACGATGGAGGTCCAAGATTTATATAAGTATTTTCAGTTTCAACGGAAACACCCCGTGTCGGATCGCAAAAGCACAGGTCACCTCAGAGAGACTTTTCTTTATCCATTGTGAAGGAGATGGGAAAAGCAACTGACTGAATTCGAGGCTGCCCTGATTCGGTAGCACATATGATCAGGAATAGAATTACTTATCGAGTCCTGCCAAGTTAAAATGTTTTTTGATGACTATCGGCCCGCTATCTAATAGATATTTTTGATCATTGCTTCGATATAGATTTGGCAAATCCGACGAGAAGATCCCCTACTTCATCACCCGCCTCGATGCAATGCCAGTGACCAACTCCATCAAGAACCTGAATTGCTTTTTTGGATTTGTCGGTGCCGATGCTGAGAGAATTGGATTGTTAGTCCGCAGAGTTCCACCAAGAATAAGCATATGCATAGTCACTTACCTGTTCAAGATCGTCTCGGAGGAGCTCAGGGGGCAGGTCTTGTCGTCCGCTCCAGCGACAATGAGTACGGGGCATTGTATGGCAGAGTAGTCTGGTGCCTTGGCATTTGAAATGACGGAGCAGAGGGACGCATAGCCTTCGGGTTCTTGTGACAGGATGAGTGCCCTGATAAAGGCTCTCTGCGTTGCAGTAGCTTTGGAACCAGGCGCAGCATTCGGGATGGCGTCGGCTAGAGCCTCCACGCCATCTAATTCATCTATCAGCACAAATCCAACAATTTGCCAGTATGCGGTTAGGGGCGAGCGACTAACTTTGCATAACGGTCTTGATTCTCTGTGTGAATACGTCGCCGAGCGCAGGCGAGGGATGAACTGGCCCAAGCAAGGCGATACCACCAAGGTCGGTGAGTCTGGACGCGACTTTGCAAGCAACCATTCCGCCCATGGAATGGCCGACAAGTACGGTGCGGGAATGATTGAGCTTGAAATGCTTGATCAAGCCCTCGACATCCGCAGCCATCGATTCAAGGGTTTGCTCCTCGCCCTTAAATTTGGACTGACCGCTCCCTAGTACAGGTATCATCAGCAGTTGCTTGACCCATGTTGAATCAGGGGATAAACGAACCGTATGTGTCGTATAGAACACATGAATTGCCGGAGTCGGCTATCTTAGACGCCAAAGTTGCGTAAAAGGCATGCGATGACCCGAGGCCATGGATACAGACGAAAGTGACGCCGTTCTCTGATGGAGACTGGGCCCCGAAGCCAGCCGCCACGAACAGCTCCTTGCCATTGATCGTTACGAATGGCATTTTGTGAGTCTGAGTTGTGAGATTAACGGCAATAGTTGATGGCAATGGCTCTTCTTCTCTTTTTTTCAGTCACTCACGCCCCTTACTAGTCAAGTGAGGTCTTCTTGAGGTCTCTGGTCTCGTTGCAACGCACTAATGTTGGAAGTCGCTATCCCGATTACTAATTCCCTCGGGACAATGAAACTTCCTTTGAAGTTTCGGGTATGGGACGATTGTTTTCTCCAATCTTCCGAGCTTCCGATGAGGTCGGATAACCTGACGGCGTCGGGTCGGGAACGCACTAACATATGCTGTCTTTTAGCGGATGCCCCCCCTCACAGCCCCACTAAGTTGGACAAGCACTGCACGCCAATCCGATGTAGGAGCTTACGCAGAGTGAAAGACCGATTCGACTGGCGATAAATGCGGGGTTGCAGAAGCTCCGTGTCTTCAGTCGACGTTAAAGATGCATCTACTGGCCATGTGACTACGTTCTCATTCTCATCTGCGCAAAATCCAAACTATTCGTTTTGGCTATTATCTCACAAGTCACGACCTCATCCAGAGTTCCAGACGCAACAGCTGATATTCGCTGGTGCATCTATGTACAGAAAGTTACCATAACTTCGTCTTATTGCACATTCATTCCTGGTGTAGGGCCGGATTTCCAACGCTCTTCGGTCTTGGAACAAGCAACCAAGCAATGCCCGTCGCAGCGATCAGTCCAACCAACATAGGCTGCAAAACGGCGACTCCCTTGGACGCGGCGATCACACCCGTGATGATGGGGAAGAAAGACCCGCCCATTTGAGCAAAGACAAAGACGAATGCGAGGGCCGTGGAGTGATAATCTGGCGGGAATATTTTGGTTCCAAGGGCCATACCCTAGAATCCAATTAGACGCGTTGTGCCATTTTCATATGAGCTACTTACCGCTGCGAAGAGGGGCCCGGAAAAGAAGCCGAAGAAGGTGATGGCAATGGATGCGGAGATGATGTTCGGAATTCTGTTAACGTGTGAGAAAAAAATGTCTGGGGGAAATGAACTGGGAAGATACCGTACAGCCAGAAGCAAAGCTGGAATGCGAGGCAGAGCACGCAGTAGAGAAACACCATGCGCCTTTCTCCCCATCGGTGGGTGAGTTCGGGCAATAGGACTCGACCTAGGAACGAACCACCACTCCAGCCCGCGGGCACATATCCCATCTGAGAAAGATCACCATGGCGCACGACTACCAAATATTCCACAACCTTGAAAGTAAGAAGAAAAAAGAGTTTGAATTAGCAGGAGCGAGTTGGCAGAAAGGAGGAAAAGGAGAAAAAAAAAAAAAAAACTCTTAGGGGCAACACAGCGCAAAGGACCTACCCAGCCACCAGCAGTGAGGACGGCACCGATGTAGAAAAAGTAAAAAAGGCTGAGGATCCACACCCCGGGGATGCTGAGCGCCTTCTTCACCATCTTCGTCGCCCCGACAGCGCTCTTATTCTCCTCTCCCGCCTGTCGAGACTCCTCACTCCTCTTCTTCAGACCTACGGTGTCCCAGAAGGCGTACAAAGCAAGCCCCAAGTTGGCAACGCTGATCCCGAGGGGAACGGTATAAAATAGATTCCATCGAGAGGGCGTATTCGCCGATGCCACGGCGTTCGAGGCAAACGGACTCACGAGGCACCCAAGCATGTACATGGCATGGATGAAGCCCAGCCAGCGATGAGGGGATTTGGCGGTGGCTACGAACGTGTTGCAGTGCGTGTCTTGGTAGGCCTGCCCGAGACTCACTAGGAAGAAGGTGAAGGCCCAGAAGGGGAAGGGAGTCATCCACGTCCTGAAGGCGGAGCCGAGGATTTGCATGATTGCGCCCAGGGCGAGCATGGCTCCGAGGTCGAAGTATGCTGCGAGGTATGCGTTGGTGATGGCTGCTGCGAGCCAGCCGAAGAAGTTGGCCCCGAATCTGTCATTTATTTCGTCAGTAGTTTAATTTTCCGAGGCTTTTATCTGCCTTTTTGCTTCCTCGCCGCCACGGGTGAGAGACAACCTACACGCTCGATACAATTGTGGTGGTGATACCGTAGTCTCGAATGGCGTAGGGGATGATGGTGCCGATGCTACCATCGCTGACGCCGCTGACGAAGAATGCGAGACCGGCACTCAGGATCTTGATCATTGTCCCCGGGGACATTTTTTCCTTGGGGGTCGATGGAGCCGTCTCTAGCTGCCTGTCAGGCCCGGCATTGGGAACTGACTGGAGCTCCAAGGTCTCCGTCGCGGTCTGCGTCACAGTCGTCGTAGCCATTTCGACAAAAAGCTGCGCAGTTCAGAAAATGTAGAAGAAATGCAGGATTCACTCTCCGAGAGAATCAGTGGGTAAATAAACAAGAGAGGGAGGAATCTCGGGGAGGTTACCTTTCATCACCGCCTCCAAAGCCGGACCTGTCGGTAAATCCGCGGGACATCAATTCTGTGTGGCGGCAACGTTCCCGAGATTCCGCTGAGGAGAGGATACCTTCGTATTCACTGATCATTTGACTTTGACTGGGGGAGGGTCTGCGGGGCAGCAGGCACTCAATCCCCGCTCCAAAGGGACTCGCAAGGGCAGATGCGTGCCGAGAGCTTGGGCGTGGATTGTCAGTTGCTTCACCGCGAGGTGAGTATCGGGTGTGACAACAGAGCTTGCCGAGAGACGATGGGTTAATCACTTGGTTTTCAATGTCTTTTGAGGGTACGGGAGCCTTTCGCTATGTAGTAGAGGCCGCTGCCAAAGGTAGATGTAGATAAGCCGCCTTCAAGGCAGTGAAGGGAAGAGAGCATATCTCCTCCAGGAGAACTCTTCGCATCCACCCATCCAACAAATCGTTCACGACGTTTTCTAAACATTGCCGAATTTCAAACAATTCGATAATAATAAAAGAAAAAGAAAAAAAAAAGAATTAGGGCCAGAGGACTGCGTCCCGACACGCTATCCCGCTTTCAACCCCGGCGGCTGTGCTCGAACTAAAATGGTTGTTCACCCTCTCGGATTCGAACCGATTAGTCTCCGGCGAACCGGGGCCCGAAGGCGAGCTCAGCCGCTAGGAGAAGACCGGCCCAGAAGCTTCCGCTCATGTTTTTGGTTATATGATGTCGTGTGTGGGGGTTCCTTCTAATTTGGTTCGGGGGAGGGAGAGGGGAAGGAGGCTCCATCGCGACTTCTCTGGTTGAGCCTGGGTGATATTTGGAGGCAAATGGAGGCCAACATGGCTTGAAAGCATAACTCCACTTGCGGATTCGAATAAGGCACATCCAATGGGGAGACCTTATCCAATAATCATTGTTGTGCGTCTCAAAACTCAGCCGTGCCCACTATCAAATGCTCTCGTCCAATGTCGGTCCGCGGCTTCAGGACATGTCCTCGCTTGTTCCTCGAGGTCTTCTCTCTCCCACGGAGGTGCGTGCACGTTTGCGAGTCTCTACCCGCTCGTCAGCGACCGCCAGTTCAAGAGGAAACATGAACATGCCCATACCATTCTCAGCCTCTGTCTTTCTCTTCGGCCAAATTGAGGATGCTCCCCTGCCAGGATCTCGCAGCTGTTTCTGGCTTCCATTCTTCGCCTCACTTCCGACCAGCCTCTATTATAAATCAGTCGAGCATGCGTCTACAAAAGTCTGTCACAGGAATCCCGCTCGACTTCCCCACCATGATTCGCGGCGAGAATCCTCCTTTGCAGCGGTAATAAGATAAACACCGACAGAATCCGTCCTGCCCTTGGGCCGTGATCAGTGGATTAGCCGAGTGAGTCCCGCCAAACCTCAGGCAAAAATCCATATTCTTCATATGTCCGCGGGTTCAAGCGAAGCTCCTCGTACCGGAGCGCTGGAGGCGAATACGTAACGAGATACTCGGTGCCGTTTGTGCAATCCGGCCAGCGTCTATGAGAGACCATCTCAAATCCGTTGGAGAAAAGCGTAGCGCGTGCCTTGAACTCTCTATAAGCTTGATAAAAATCCCGGTCGGACACGTCCCACATTTCAGGCGTAAACCGGAGGTTAAAATACTTCTGAAGAAGAAACGTGAAAAACTGAAGCGGTGGCGGAGGCGTGGGAAAGTCTCCGTCATGATTTGGGATGCCGCTCCAAAGGTAGAGTGTCTCCCAGATCAGAGGAAAATCAAGGCTGGGGATCGATCTTAAGATGTGGCGGCCTTCGTCCTGTCCGGGAAGAGCGCTGGGGGAGATGGGCCGGGCGAGCAACGAGTACTCTACCGCATCTTCGATCCGGTCTGGCAACGTGATCTCTTCAACCTGGAAAATCCCAAACAACACAACGATGACTGTGCGCTTCTTTGCCCTCATGGACAATGCTTCGGCAGACTCCTCTCCCCTTGAGAATCCCTCGCGACCATCATGGTTTACGAAGCAAAGCTGGAGAAATTCGAAAATGTGGATTATCTGCATTATCAGCCACAAGACATTCTCGGCCTCTGCTTCAGTCCCTTCTACGTGGTCACTGAACGTGAAGGGCTGGTCTCCGCGTGTCGCCTGTGCATGCGAGAGGTATCTTCGGTGTCCTTTGATGGAGCGGGAGGCGCATCGAGTTAGCCGAGGCGACGAACGGCGCAAATCAGTTAGCGTCGAAACAACCAGCCAGCTCGCAACTGTCCCAAAAGCCTCTTCCTTTTTCTCTACAGAGCCATTGAAGTCATAGGCAGGAAAGTGGCGCAGATACTCAATGTCCCTGGCCGAGAGTTCGAAACCTCGTACTGTGTAGTCGTTCTGGAACCTGAGGATTTTTCGGAGGAGTTTCTTGCGGCGCTGGAAGAGTGCTTGCGATTCTGCGGCGGCCATCTCTGGGCCTCCTCCCTGGCCGTCATCTTCGGCATCCAGGAAAGGCTTGTGATATGCGCCGGCCAACAGCGCGCCTAGAAGAAGGGTCGTGTATACCGCCTTATGGAAGCGTAACTTCCATACCTCCATGCCCTCCGGATCTTCGGGAGGAGCTTCCGGGGGACAGGGCGTTCGGTCAAAGGGCCATCTGCCGTTCGCGGAAAAGTAGGGGAAATACTCTGGGACATCGTGATGGCAGTATTTGACCTCCACGCATTGAACCAAGTAATTCAAATCGACTACCTCCTGGAACTCAACCAAGTCCGGCTTCCGCGACTGAGAGTCCAAGTCCGCAGGCTGAATGCCGGCCGGAGGGAATTTTCCGCTTTTCTGGGCCGCCTCCACCATGGCAGTGGCTCGCACCTAGAGAGCAACATTCCAGTCAGGGCCATATGAACGGGAAACCAGACCCGTAGGACACTATACCGCGATGAGTGCATCCTCAAAGGCAGGGATGGCACTAGGGCCAACCTCGACGATTATACGATGAGCATGAGCGCACCAAACATCTCGAAAGGATCGACATGTGAGGAGCAAAGCCTTCACGTCCGCCAAATCGTCGCATTCGACAAAGATGCGGATGATGAGCTCGGGCGGGAGCGATGGCATGGTTTAGTAAGGCCGGCTTAATTGTTGAAGAAATGTGTGTTCGGAGGAGATGGAAGAGCTTGAGGAGAATGGCGGAAGGATTGTCTTTTTTTTTTAAAAAAAAAAAATGATGTCCATTTTCCTGGGGAAGATCACGCGGCGCGACGCAACCCTCCGAAATCTAGCAGGCAGCAGTTGTCATCTACATATATCTGCTGCTTAATATAGAGCAGAATTGCCGCTTGTTTAAGCCCAAAGACCATTCTCCAGTTTCGTTGTATGCTCCAGCTTAACTATGTAGATTAATATTTTAAACTTGCGCTAGAATAGCTGAGAAATACGGATAGGCCGAGATATACGGATAGGCCAATGGTTGTAGAAGTCCAAGGAAGCCGCTGCAAGCTCCATAACAAAATTGACAGAACAGGCAAGCGTCAGCACTGTTGATCAGTGAGACTACCGACACAAATGGCGAGAACGTGAATGCCGCGCTTCCAATTGAATAGAAATGCCAAATGAAACAATGATGAGAAACCAAAACACACAGGGAAACTGGTAAACGAATGGATTCCACTCCCAGAAATGAGAACTGACAATAAAATACTGTAGTCGAAAAGACTAAAAGCCCCAATACTCAACTTTAAGACCTCCACTGAGTTACCATAATACACACCGTGGATGTAGTCTGCCTTGTAACCCCTCAACTGGCACTTGACGAAGCCGTTTCAAGAGGGCCAAAGCAATCCTTCATGTCACCTTCGGTATCGGCTCCAGGGACCTGTACCTCCTAGTTAGTGTACCGAGAGCTCCAATGTACATATATTATACATATATCCACGAAGGTAGCGAAAGAGAGATTGAAACTCACATTGTGAACAACCGAGAAAGGGTCCCAATGTGGGTCAGTATGCGGAGCGAACTCCATATTGTTCATGTTGGCGTTTATCTGTTGCTCGCCATACAAGTGCTTCAAAAATGCATACATCATATCGATGCCGGCAGCAACGCCCGAACTCGTCCAGACGTTACCGTCCTCGACCCACCGGGCCGTCGGTACCCAGTCGACCTCAGGACGCGAGCCAACCACGGATTTCCAGGCGGCCTTGTTCGTGGTGGCTTTGCGCCCGTCGAGGATGCCGGCCGAAGCTAGGACTTGGGAGCCGGTGCATACGCTGAGGATGTACTGGGCCTGAGAGTAACGCAGGTTGATGAAATCCTGGATGGCGGTGTCGTTGGTGTCGAAGAGGTGGTTGAGCCCAAGTCCGCCGGGAACCATGATGATGTCCAACGCAGGCGCGTTGGCGAAGTCGTGTGTTGCTTGGACTGCGGGGGAAATCACCCAGCCCATGTCCATCAAAGGCACCGTGGGATCCTCACTCATGCGATGGGGAGGGGGTCGGAGGGAGACAGGTCCGACTGAGTGGGCGATTATGGACAGGGTGATCTTGTAATAATATGACGTCTGTAGCGAAAGCGGGAGCAGCAGTTAGATCTACATGAAAGAGAGACATCAACAGCCACGTATGCACGCTGGCCAGAAAAAAAAAAGGCGGGGAGGCGTCCGACATACGGTGAAGAGCAGATCCATCGGGCCCCAGACGTCCAGGGGCTGGTATCCCGGGTACAAAATCTGCAGTTTAAGCACAAAAACGGTTAAAAATCCGATACCAAATACGATGGAGTGAACTGGGGCGTAGAGGCGAGATGTTTTACCAGTCCAAAGGATATCGTGCGGTTTTGGTTTCGCAGCTGCTCTTCAGTCGGAGGCGTGAGTTCTCCGTTAACCATGACATAGAGCCATGATAGCAGGGCCAGAAAGGATTGAGACCGATAGAACCTCATCTTTTAGAGAATACTTTTCTGGGTCATAAAGAGGCCCGTTTTGAGTTCAACCTGACTGAACGATCCTCCCATCAGCAGGGTCGCAAGAGGCACGGTTTATGTATCGATCGAATCTTGCCAGAGCCTCTCTATACACGAATGCGAAACCGCGCCGATTGCCATTATGATAATGTCCCTGGAGGGCCTCTTTTGCTTACGGGCGTAAATAGACGGACCTATCCTCGTGATGCCTGGAGTGTGCGGGACGGCACAGAATGCGGAGTAACTGCTCAAACTTGCTCATCACCCGGATTGGGACCACCAGGTCGAAATGCCCTCGCGGTTCTCCAATATCTAGGGGCGGTAGCACTCTATCCAACTAATGGCGAAGCTGGAAAAATATCCCAAGCCATTACAAAAGTCCTTGTCATCTCGTGAACGAAGGCGAATATCCTTTTAAAAAGCCTCACTCCAGCGATAAAACCTCACTAGCCCTCTCTTATTTAGAGACGTGCCACATGATTCCGTAAATTTTTTTTTCCCGTCAAGCCTGAACCAACGCCTCCTTCGTAGCCCTCATCCTATCATGTTAGACCTTCCGATTTTCTTGTTTATCAAGTTTGGCATGCTCTCTCGAACGACGACCACGAGCGAATCCTGCTCCTCCCTTGGTCGTGCTATTACGACATGCTAGAAGCGTAGTCTGTCAGTTCCGGCAGCAGTTATTATTCACAATAATCATCAGAAGTCATCACTAGGAAAGCCGTTTGTTGCTGTCAGAACTAATAGGTGTGTCAGATGAAGCCTTTCGTATTACGAAGCACAGTCCATTCGGCAGGGTTGGCCTGGCGTGTTCCGACCACAGGTGCAGGTGGTGGCCTGTTGTTGCTTCCCTCGTGTCATAGGTAATCTTAGCGGTCATAGGGGCCTAGCTGTAAACTCGATGTAGTATTACGATATGTTAGAGACAATCTACAAATGAGTTGAAAGTGTCTCAAACTGCTCCATTGAATATTATAACTCCAGTAGCTCGTGTCCTGCAAAGTTTCGGGTTGATATTGAATTTCAGAACACTTCTAGATAAGGCTATTGATATAAAGAAGCGAATACAGGTGCTAATCCGGTCTCCAGCAGTGCTAACTTTGAGGTCCCATTGACGCGTCCCTGGAGCTTTCTATATTTAGCTATTTTGTCGAAGTTGGTGTCATTGCGCCTGTTAGTTGACGCCCTCCACCTTCTTCTCTACCCACGATCCACACCAAATCCTCCGTACATTAATAGGGTGGAACGCAATGCTGATCATCACGGGCATCAGGGAGATGATATGTGCTTGGAACATGACCTAGAGTTGGTCAGGCAAGATGCCAAGGACTGTCGTCCAAATATAGAGGCTTACACTCCACTCCGCCGCTCAGAGAGGCATCGACGAAGAAGGCCTGTGCCAGTGACGGCGTTTGAAATAGCGTCGTGGAAGCATAGATAAGGTCATGAATAGACCCCTAGGCTTTGACATGCACTGAGCGTCGACCTTCTGGCCCGATTTATGCCGGCTTTAATCGGAAGAGCCCCTCGCAAGGTATTCTTGAGCAATGGCTCCATTATTGCAAAGTTCGGGGAAGCAACCAGTCAAAGGAACTCACGAAGTATGCAAACTAAAGGGGGAAGGTTTACCTCGCTCATCGCCGGGCAGAAGGGTGCTCAACCAGTATCGTTTCCTATGGGGGCAGAGCATGTTGTGGGGCGGCGCAAGAGGCTATTTTTCTTTGTTTTGGGGATTGGAGTCATTGGGCGGGAGTTAAACATAGTAAGACGGAATAAATATCACTACTGAGAAGCTTGTCCAATCGACGAAATTTGGGAGAGAGAAGCGCAAGGGAGGGGGCGAGGGAGAGTAAGCACAATTTCCGCACGAACCGTCTCTGCCGAATCATGGTAATACGAATAAGCCTCCTTTTAGAGGAGTGTAGAAGGAAAAAGCGTGGAAAGATCCCATCGCTACATAAGACCTACAGGTCTGACCGGGTTATTCCTTCGAGTGGTGGGGGCTGCTGCTCCAAGGTGGCGAGATTTATGCACCCCCAGCATCATCTAATTTTACTATTTTTCTTTACCATAATGCTTAAGGTCCTTGATCCCCAGTTAACCAGCCGGACTCGGCAAGGACTGCGGTAGACCCCTGATCTTGCTCCGACTCTAAGGTAATTTTCCGCTGTGCGGTGGGAAGACATTGATCCGAGTCTGAGGATTGCCGCTGGTATATCAGTTGAACACTCCCACGACATTGCACATCCTAAGTACACGTCTTAAGTCAGTTTCGGCATCTTCAGTACTATTACCCCTTACCGACGAGCTTCCACTTGTCTTACACTCCTTCAAACTCGACAATGAAGTTGCTCTCCGTCCTCGCCGTCGCCCTCGTGGCATGCGCCGACGTTACCGCTGCGTGGAGCGTTACCGTCTACAGCAAACCACATTTCAAAGGCTCCCACTCCACGAAGTCCGGCAAAGGCGGCACCGGCTCCGCGTGCCACAAGATCAGCGGATTCAAAGGCCCGAACCTGAGCGGGAAGGTCACCTCCATCAAATACACGTCGTTCAACAAGAAGTACAAGTCGGTGTGCGCGGCCAAGTTTTACAAGACCTCCAATTGCAAGGGTGCATCCGGTGATGGTTTCGACGGCTATGGTCATTTTAGCACCGATGGATCCTCACCCAATCGTTACTACTCGATGCGCACGACCTGCCGCCGCAGCAACTTTAAGAGGTCTGACATCGAGGGCGACGGGGAGTTCAACGCTACGGCTTCGGCGCTGGAGGATATTGACCTGGCAGACTCGGAGGATTGGGAGTACGAAGAAGAGCTGGACGACCTCAACGGCCTGGAGAACCCGGAGGAGTGGGATGAGGAGGATGATGTGGACACGGATGAGGAATAATGTGAAAGAATGAATGCCCCTTTCCAGGGCTGTGTCTGGGTGTAACTGGGGAACGGAGAGAGAGAAACGGGAGGGTCACACAACTCTCTATTAGAGGGCCCTTACACCGAATGGGGCAGAAGGATGGAGAAGGGGGGAAAGAACATTGATGACCACGGCCAACCACTCGGCCAAGCTCATTTGTACCATTATTTGTACGAAGGGTCTAGCTTTGTTGGATTCCAAAGTACAAACTACCCCTTTAATCATGACATTATCGGCCTAAAACAGACTTAGATTCCTCAACTAATATCGAACAATAATTTGACAGTGGTCAAGCCGTCGTCTGTCAGAAGCAGTCTTTGTTCATCCCGGAGTTCTTCACTACCCTTCTCCTCCCACAGAAGGTGACAGGGAGCCACAGTGGGTATCCTGTCTGGTACTAGACTTGGAGCAGCAGGCAGTTGCGTACGAGCCGGAAGCAGCCTCCGCGATACCGCAAGAGACTTCCAAGCCAACGCAGCTCTCCTAAGCCTAGCTCCAGACGGGGGGATAAAAAGAAACAATCGTAATAATCTTGGGTGGTCTTCGAACCCGTGACCCGCTTTGCCCCGATAACCCCCTTCGGCGACAGTTATGGCATCCAAGAACTCAATTCTCACTCTTCACTACCCTGAATTTTTTGAACTTCTAGTCTCTTTTCCCATGGCGTCATCCCTTTCTTAATAGCAATAGCCTCGTCGAATGTTCCATAGATATCGGCGTCGTCTTGTAGCCCGGCACCCTTCGGTTTGAACAAGAAGCAGAGCATCGTATACAAAAGCGCTGCTTCACAGAATCCGAACAGGTAGTTCCCTCGGTAGTAGTTGAGTATCCCCGTCGAGACTGTCACATTTGGATTCACATTTGCAATCATCCCTGGCATCGCGGGGGCGAAGCAGACGACCCAAGAGACGAGAGCGCGCCAATTAAACCCGTAGGTGTACCAGTAAGAGCCCTCGGGATCACCTGTGTATAGCTGGCTGATCTGGATCTTCTGGCGGCGGACAATCCAGTAATCAGCCATCATGATTCCCGTCATCGGACCGAGGAAGACCGAGAATGATGCGGCGACAGATACGAATACGCTTGCTGTGTTGTAGAACTCCCATGGGTGCACCAACCACGACAGTGCTGCTGCTACTAATGCACCACGCTTGATCGTGATCCAGTTTGGGGACAGACCCGCGAGATCCATTCCAGCTGCATAGCCATTACCGACGACGTTTTCGGCGATTTGACCAAAGACAAATCCGGCGCTGCAGAAGAAGGCTGCAGCGCGGGCCCCGGGGTTATAATCGTCGGTCATCCACTGGAAGACTATTATGATCGGGTTCCATATCGGGGCCTCAAGGTCCGGCCAGATCTCAAGAGACGCCGAGGCGGACAACATGGCGAATATGGGAACGATCATGCCGAACACTAGGAGCGATAAAGTCATGCCAGGGACCTGCACGCCTTGCTTGGTCGCGAAGCGCGTGAAGTCGCTCTGGTTAATGATGCCGGCGGCGATGCTGCCCAAACTCGCGACGATTCCGTAAAGCCACGCCCAACCCGTGGAGAGCGTGCTCGGCTGTCGGGCACCAGCCTCAAACATTGGGCCCGTACCCTCAGCTTTAGTACAGGACCAGATCGTGATGCCCATCATGACGAAGAACACGACGATGTTTGCAGAGATGAGGTATCCTTGGGCTCTCTCTGGGCGGATAAGCTAGAGAATTTCCATGGTCAGTTGATGTATTAATGGGTTAGTTTGCGACTTGATAAGGCCATATAAGCACATACGAGAAAAGGGACGGAGATGGCATGAAAGATAGTGAAGCCGACCAAGTCCCTTGTTACCATGTGGGCACTCTCTGGGAGAGTATTCTCCATGTGTAGAAAATCGTAACTCCAACTGCTTATCATGGCGGACACGCAAAGACCACCGAGCCAGGCCTGGGAGCCATACCAAACAATGGATAACATGATACGCATTGCTTGGATTATGTAGGACCCATACATGCCAGCGACGATCCTTGCCGAACCCCGTCAGCAAACTCGGAGAAAAAAAAAGGATGATCGAAGGCGGAGAAGGTCGGAGCATACCTCTGGGCGACGGAAAAGCCGATGTGCCACTCAGCTCCCATCCATCCATTGCCAACCACGAGGACACACATGAGAACACGAGCGACAATCAGAAGGCCAATGGTTTGAGGGACGGTAAGGCCGAGAGATAGTAATGATGCCGAGGCGGTCCAGGCGGATATACAGAGACTGGAGAAAAGAAAGGCATGAGAAAGCGTTAATGGCCACCACACCAAAATCTCCCCCCACACTGTCGACTGAAAATGAAGGAATGGAGGAAAGGTTCTGCTTTACCTCGCGATTGATCCCCATCCAAGGAAAGCCCAGACACCCCAGGTACGCCTATTCGGAGGGAGAGGTGCGATATCGGGGTTAATCCATCTATCTGTCGCAAACCCGTGCTCCTTGTCATCCTCAACTTGAATTTTCGCAAGAATTTTCTTCAGCATATTGTTGGGGCATGAAGATGATTTTTTCAAATCTGCGTGACAATTGAGAGACGGTGAAGAAACAGAAGGAGAGGAGAGAAGAAGATTCGGAGGGGCAAGGACAAACACCTGGGCCGATGGCCGTTTAAAATGCGATTGGATATCTCCTCAGGAGTGGTGTCACAACATGACTTCCTCACTGATAGATGGTCATGTTTGCCTGAGCAATGCGACCTAGTGCTCCATACAACAGGCGAGATTACTCCTCTCAATGGAAAAACGGCGATAAGATCTGCAGCCCCATGGCTAATGTGACAGGTTCTGGATGGGGAAGGGAGACATTTGGGAGATGGGAGACAGCAGAAACTATGCTTTCCGCATGAATACACTCGACGGACTTGGTCCCCAATGCTACCCTGTATGCAAGTCTCGTCACGGTGGGATCGTGTGATGCAATATTGCCATGAAGTAGATACTGATTGATAACTTTACAAGGTCCTCGTCAAAGCCGGCGACATCGGCTTACCGAACACATTTTTTCGCGAGATCGAGATCAGCGTTGGGCAGCAGCATCACAATGCGAGATATCTTGAACCCCTCTAAAATGGCCTCTTCTTGGCAGGGTTGTGATTTAGTTATAAATGTTATAGATAGGGCAAAAATATATCTATTATTGAGTATCACTTTTATATATAATACTATAACGGATGTGCCCACTACTAGCAAAACTTCTCGTCAATGGGATCAGGGACGGCATAGCTGTATTACGCTTCATAGAGGCATCTCCGGTAGGATCAAATGAAAAGTAAATTTAAACAGTCCCCTCGGCATACGTGATCGGACTATTCCTACTTGGCCTTCCTGCACTTTCCCCTCTCCTCTTCCACTGGAGGCTCCTCTTCCACTGGAGCCTCTTCTTCCACTGGAGCTTCTTCTTCCACTGGAGCTTCTTCTTCCACTGGAGCTGCCTTCTCCTCACGAACATCTTGAGCTTCGGCACTAATGATGATAGGCGGCCCATTGGCATTATAAAGGGCATCCATGGGCCTGCATTCAGTTGGAGTAAGGTCATCCAAGAGCTCCACACACTCAAAATCCAGCTTCTGGACAGCGGCGGCATAGTACACGTCCTTCTCCCCATCGCAAGACCAGAACTGCTCAACCGACAGCTCTTGAGACTTGGTGTCGAAGGTGACGTTAGCCGTAGTGGACCACAGCCACTGCTCAGCCCTAGGTTGAAACGGCCGAAGCCCTTGCCCCGGCCTCCGTATCGGGGGTCGGACGCCGGTATTCTTGGCGAGCTCAATATGTCCGGTGTCGCAGCCATAGCGCCCGTTATCTGTGAGTACGAAGGCCTCTCCTTCTTCGATGGTTTTGTTGGTCTCGAAATAGCAATCTGTAATGGAGCCGTCTCCCAGGTTCTGGATCTCGAGGGAGATGTAGCTGGTAGGATACAAACTGGAGTTTCGCGCTGTGGGGGGGAGATATTCCATCCTCAGAATCTGCCATCCGGTGAAGTCCTTGGCCGTGGACTCGCAGCTATCATCCCTGACCGGTTCAAATGCAATGTCGGTGTCGTCCGAAGACCCATGTCCCGTCACATTAGCGGGCCCCACGTAGAGAGGCTCGTTGGGCGGAGTGGCCGTTTGGATCTGGCATATTATCTGACGTACGTCTAAGAGTGCGCAGGCTAGCGCAAACTGGGTTTCTGCCTTCCCAGTGTATTGTCTCCTACAAAACAAAAGGACATGGTTTTAGCGTACCTCAGATCTATACCCAGGGAAAATGTGGTACACGTGAAATCGGATTTGGAATTCATAACATACGCTTCGATTCCATCAGCCTCGTCGCATTGCCATGTCTGCTCGATACTCCAAACTCCAAGCACCCAGTCAAGCTTAATCTTGACTCCCGGAGCCTCCTCGGCCGTCTTCTCGTCGTCCGTCCAGGACGTGAAGCAGTTGCCATCGTTCTCGGTAATGTAGATGTCGTCATCGGTGACCGTTTTACTGAGGATGCAGGTGCTGATAGACCTATCTGCGATGTTCCTGAGAGAAAAGTAGACGGTCGGGTCGTCGAGCTCGATGCTGGTGGACTCCACGTAGAAATACAGCACTTCGAAGCCGGGGTGGAGAGTCGTCGAAGTCTTTGCGCACCCGGGAAAGCTTGGTCCGGGAGTCTGGGCGGTCGCCGTCAGAACGAAAGAGGCCCAGAGGAGCCCGGGTTGGAACAAACGCATGACGGCCGTTTGATGTTGGCTGGATAACTCAGACGAACATGACCCTTCTAGCTCCTCCTCGCCCTGCCCGCCACGGCACTGGGCTCCCTCGCTCTTATATCTCCTCCCACTCCACGACCTGACGCCATTCATCTACATGAGAACGGGTTCGGTATCTTTATTGACCAGTCGAAGGTATAAGGCGGGGTCGGCTTAAAAGATCGGGCGCAGATTGCCGGGAAAATATGCTTTGTGCGGGTAAAGAGGACTCGGCCCCAACTGCCGTGAGATGATAAGGGCGGATCAAATGCCCAATCAAGTATGGCTACAGGAAGACCCGTGCCAGGAATGGAATTACATAGTATCTAGGTGGAGCTGGCAGTATACAGCAAATTACGGCGTCGTATGCTAGAGATTATGGCATAGTATGTCCATACGAGGCTGAATCCTCCAAAGAGGCCCAGAGATGTAACTTGGCAGAGGGACCTGAAATAATATCTCCTAGACACTGTCCCACGAGGCCAATATCGGCACAAGCGGCAAGGTTGGTAAATGCAGCCACGCCGTGTGCCTGCATCCGCGGTACGTCGTAAAATCGCAGGATTCGCCCGCGTGGTTTTCGGGGTCAATCTCCGTTGCCGGAGACCATTTCTCTGCTAAGACCAGTGGCGTTTCAATGCTCTTCCTGCCTCCTAGCGCCATACTCAATACAAATGGGTTCATTCGATACCGGGATCCGGGTCGTCCTCATATCCCCAATGACACCCGCAATCCCGCTAGTTTTATAGCTGCCTCAACAAAAGATGATGCAGAGTAGTGGCTTTCGCCGAAGACAGGGAGGATGAGGAAGATGTTTCCAATTGGCGCTGTGGAAACGGCTGGGGCGCTGCCCCCTAGCCATAGGCAACTCCCGGGGTAATTGGCATACGAAAAGACAATCAAATTTTCATTGTATAACATATTCGCAGGAGCTCAGTGTCATCGAATCTGAGGAATTTTATGGAACTCACTCGCCGCAAGACCATTCCAGTTACGACGCCACGACGCTCAGGTAATGTCGCCAAGGACAGCCTTCCAGCCCACTCCCGCCGGTTTCAAAGAAGCCGAAGAGATCAGTTGATAGCAGCATACCAGACACTCAGTAGTCGATATGCCCGGGACTTGGAAAGCCGACCCAGGCACCTCCCGCCTTACTTCTCTAGGCTGAGCAAGTCGACGGTGAGAATGGAAACTGGCGGGCTGATTCTCCCACCGTTGATTTCTTCGAGATCGCGTAACGTGTACAGCAAGGGAGAGGTCTGAGAGAATCCACCGAGGCTATAGGCGATGGTGGAGGTGGCGGGGGCTTGGGGGATGGCTTACGGCCTGTTGGTTTAGAACGAGATTAGCCGCGGTCTGTAGGCGGTTCTGGCCCAGGCGACTCACTCCCATACCGGCATTGCTGGAAGTGGAGATGGTGAGTAGGGCTGTCGCGACAGTAATCACGTCGAAATGGGATGTGACATAGAAGATATGTACGCAGAGCCAGTGGCCGTTTGTCTCGGGCATGAGAGACATAAAGTGGACGAAGCCACTGCAGCCTCTGATTCTGGTATTCTCACTTGCTTGTAACCAGCTTTTGTCCCGATAGCATTCATTGAAGAACTTAGCATTTGTGACTTGTCGGACATGTTCTCGGTTGAATGCCTGCCAGGACTCATTCGTTCAGAGCATCAGTGGAACCAAGACTAAATTTCAAGGCTGTGACTCTAATAAGTCCGGTCAAGTCGAGAGACAAGAAACCCTGACCTACGAGAAGATTTTAGGTTATATACACGTGGGATCTCCGGAGGAAGCATCCGCCTCTTGCCGCCTAAAAAACCAGCTTTGTGCCATTGAAGGAGGACCATTCGGTATATCAATTTAACAGGTGGGAATTTCAAATGCCAAGTTTCCATCAACCACCCTTCCCTCAACATGTACCACCGCCTCACTTCCCCGGCGCCGTCAAGAAATCCGGCAGCACCCCCTTGACAATAACAGGTGCTCCCGTCGCGCTAAACAACGCACCCGTCGGCTGGCAAACGCTCGGCGCCATTGAGTTCCCAGTACTCCCGCAATCCAGGTCAAGCTTCTGCAAAACATACGCCTCAAACGCATCGTCGACTCCGCCACACGGCCAAGTCTGGGAAATCTCGAGCTCATGGGTCTTGGTGTTGAAGGCAACGTTTGCAGGGGCATACCACTTCCACTCCTGGGTGACAACCTGATCACCGCCTGTGCCGCCACTCGCGAGATCGAACCATCCAGTCACGCAGCCATTATCGTAATTTTCGTCGCCTAAACTTACCCCCTTGTTCGTAAGGGTGATCCCATCGTCCGCATCGCTGACGTCGTCACTCGCCAGGTAACAAACGGTCCGCGACCCGTCGTTCAAATTCCGCAGATCAACCCTCAAGCTGACAGGCTCGTAGGGGGATCCCTCGGGCTGCTCGGCGGGCGGCCAGTAGTTCATGCTGAGGATCTGCCAACCCGCGAACTCGGTCGGAAGGGCGTCGCAGTTTTCCTGCTTGTCGATCGGGTAGGACGTGCTGCTGCTTCCGGAGGAGACTTCCGTGACTTTGGCTGGGCCGATGAAGATGGGAGCTTCTCCGATTATGAAGAGGGTTTGGGGGCGACAGGTGGTTTGCTCGCCTTCGCGGCCGACCGCGCATTCGTAGTCGAAGCCCTGAGTAGCTTTACCGGTATAGCGCATCCTAAGCCCAGACTTTAGTATCCCTTTTCCTCTTTATTTTTTTTTCTCTTCCATTTATTTTCTCCGGGGAAAGCTAGTTCGTGTTTCATACCTATTGGTGCCTTCAGCATCATCGCACGACCACGTCTGTTCAACCGTCAACTCCCCCGACGAGACATCAAATGAGACCTTGGCAGTCTCTGCAACGGCCGCTCCTTCAAAGTCATCGTCGGCTGACCAGAACGTAAGACATATCCCGTCATCGTTATCCAGGATGATCGAATCCAGCGCCGTTTCGGCCTCTGTTACATCCCTGGAGAGATCACACGTGGTGCGTGCGCCGTCAGCGGCGTTCTGTATTTCGAAGCGGACGGCGATGGACTGATGGCGTCCATCGGGAGGGAGAAAGTCGAGACCGAGGACCTCCCAGCCTGGGTGGTAAGAGGTGGATGTTTTCGAGCATCGAGGCCAATCCGGCCCAGGACTCTGGGCTGAGACATAGGTGGCCACCAGGACGACGCAGACGAGGACAGAGCTGAAGAACTTCATGGCGATGTTTTGAGTTGAGTCGGAAGTGTGAGTAGGACGGCGATATGCGAAATTAAGAAGAGGAATGAAATTGTCTTCATCAAAACAATCAAAACCGCTGGAACTGGAGCATGTGCGCATCAAACAACGGGGAAAGTGCGACCCTCGAGCATTTTATCGGCGTTTCCTCGATCGTGGTTCATGACATTGAGCTCACTCACGCCTTGGCAATCACATCCTTCATTTCCACCGATGCACTTCATCTATCGAGCTGATGACGATTTCCCCGCAGATGCAGATATTGTGGTGTAAGCTCTGCATCGACAGGATCCTCATGACACCAGTCATCGAGCCAATATGTCTGCCGGCAAAATGAGAGCATGCAGTAGCGCCACACCGACCGAGCCGTGCGTCTGGTGGCTTCTCATTCATTCAGGATTTCTAAAGATGATACGATACGCATCTTCTTGATGACTGCTTTTTGCTTTAATATTTTTAACTTTTTTCATTTATTTGTGCCACCTTCGGGCTTACGGTCCTAGCGCGGCGATGACCAGAGCCGAGGAAGCGATGGGTGGAGAAAGAGGAAGATATTGTTACACAGCTGAGGAGCCTAGAGGACACTAGAGGATGAGGAAAAAAGAGATTATCACAGGGCCTTGATCCATTCTAACTAAGAGTAAACACAGCCATACAAAAACCTACACTTTTTTTAATCAAACACATCCATGACATACCGGACATTCCGTAACGAATCGAACCACTTCCTCGCATCCTTCTCACCCTCAAACTCCTTCTCCTTCTCAACCTCAGCAACATACTCCTCCCTCATCCTCACGCAAACCTCCCTAACCTCATCCGACACGCCTCTCGACCCGCAAACAAATACCTTCGCCCCCTTGACCCAAACGGGAATCACGTCCTCCCTATCCGCCCACAACCTATCCTGCACATGCTTCGCCCCTCCACTCTCCCCACTCGCCCGACTATACGCCCTCCTCACCTCAACGGCGCCTAACGCCTCCCACTCGTCCAGCTCCTCTCGGTACAGGTCATCCTGATCGGGCGCGTGACATCCGAAGAAGAGGACGGCGGGCGCGAGTTTTCTGCCGCTGCGGATCATGGTGGCGCGCTCCTGCATGAAGGCGCGGAAGGGCGCGAGGCCGGTTCCCGCGCAGACGCAGATGATGGGGGTTTCTTCCGGGTTGGGGGGGAGGCAGAAGGCTGGCGGGGAGGGGCGGACGGAGACGGCGAGGCGGTCGCCGGTGGAGAGGGTGGAGAGGTAGGAGGAGGCTACGCCGAAGAAGGAGCCTTGGCCGGAGAGAGAGGGGGCGTTCACGACGGAATAGGTGAGGGTTACGTGGTCGGGGTTCCAGAGGGGGGAAGAGGAGATGGAGCTGTAGCGAGTTAGAAATGGATCTTAGGTGGTGTGGGAGGCCTTTACGTACTATTGACGGATGCGCATCGGTGGCATCATAGAAAGGAATGTACCGATATCAAGATCGATGTCGGGGAAGCGCTCGAGTAGGTCGAGGACGGAAACTCGCTTTTCGGTGATATCCTGCTCGTATCCGTCATTCGCGAGGCGAGTCAGTTCGTTCTTGGTCTTTTCATCACCAGCCGCCTCTGCAAGGCCAAGGATATTCTACGTTGCATGTTAGTAAGATTTTCGAGTCAAAGGAGGAAAATAGACAAGTAGTCACCCACCCTCTTAGTCGCCGGCTGCGCTAGCTCAATATAAGAACCAAAGATGTGATGTGCAGGAACCGAAGCGTTCACGGGCAACGACGTGAGAATATCCGCCTTGATGCAAAGATGCGCATCCCACGGAAGCTTGAACCGCCTCATGGCCCTACGAACGGTCTCGTCGGGATTAATGGGAAGGATGGCAAGGTAGTCGCCCGCCGCATAGGTCATGCCGGCGGGTAGCTTAATCTCGATATGTTTCTTGACTTCCTTGCCGGTCGTCAGCACCTTGGTGTCCACAACGACTGCCTCGCTGACGTCCTGGCGGAGGGCAGCAGTCCTCGGGTTCAAGACCTCGACCTTCATGCCCAAGCTAGGAATCGCGCCATCAGACGAGGAAGTCTTGAACTTCTCTTCCAGTGCGGGCCAGAGACACCCGTCCTCCCACGATTCAAAGTCCGTAAACGTCGCCGCGTTGGAAACGTCTGATAATCCAATGTTCACCAGGCGGGTAGCTCCAGACTTTTCGAGACTCGAGTCTACGAGCTTGGGGATGCGATGGAAGGTCTGCGCCCAGTCCCTGTGGCCGCAGCCGAACACGGCGTAGGAGACGTTCTTCAGGGCCGCGTCGTTCTTCATTCCTTCGAGCCAGGCGACGAAATGGCCCGCATTATCGGGCGGTTGGCCCTCGTAGGATGAAGTGACGATGACGACGGGTTGGCCCGTCGGGAGCTTGCCTTTGGCGCTGTCAAGGCAGTCGAGCTTGGCGACGCTGAAACCGTGGGACGGCGCGTCGGTCGCGACACGTTGGGCCAGGGCTTCGCAGGTACCGCTGTTGGACCCATAAAGAATCGTGATCGGTACACCGTCGCCACCACCGCTCTTGGCCTCGGCAGCAGATCCGTTCGCCTGATGTCCGTCCCCCTTGGTCGCCTCACCCTTTCCAGCTAGCCTCTGCTCGAGTAATGTGGGAGTCAGACCATCCCTCAGAATAGCCCGGAAATGCAGATCCTTGGGCTTAATCGTCAACGTCTGCTTCAATCCCAAAGTATAATGAGGATCCAGCACAAAGTTGAAGTTCTGCAGCAGCATGGCCATGACCAGCAAGGCCTCTTGCCAAGCAAACGGCCGTCCGATGCAAGCCCTCATACCATTGCCAAAGGGCTTCCAGCAATTGGGGAACTCCTCGTTGAGGCGGTTGAAATTCTCATCGAGCATGCGCTCGGGCTTGAATTCATTGGCGTCGTCTCCGAAGACGACGGGGTCGAGGTGCGCCTTGGCAAGCAAGTTGGCGATGGGCTCTCCCTTCTTGACAGGGTACTTGCCGGCCAACAGGGTATCCTCTTTCGCCTCGACGCCGAAGATGGGAATGGGCGAGTTCAACCTCAGAGTCTCGCGGAGGATGGCGCTGAGGTAGGAGAGTTTGGAGAGGTGATCGACGGTGATGGGTCCCGTGCCGACAACGCGGTCGACCTCCTGCTGGGCCTTTTCGTAGGTCTCGGGGTTCTTGAGGAGCTGGTAGAAGGAAAAGGAGAGCAAGCCCGAGGTGGTCTCGTGGCCGGCGATGAGGAAAGTGATGAGGTTATCCATGATGAGGTCGTCGCTCATGCGCTGGCCCGTCTTGGGATCAACGCCATTAAGCATAGCCGTCAACAGATCCTTTCGATCAGTCTTCTCGGCCTTGCGTGCATCGAGGACATCCTGGGCCGTCTTCCGAAGGACCTCGATGTCCGCGTTGAACTTTTGATCCTGTGCGTGGTATAGAAGCGAAGGGAGAGGCAGCCTCTGGGCCCTCGCGCCACACTCGGTCAAAAAGTTACCCATAGCCTCGATAAAAGGGTGCAACGTGGGAGAGTAGTAGCTGTTGAAGCGGAAATCCATGGAGCACAACGCGATGGTGTCGAGGGTGAGGCGGGTGAAGTCATCGGTGACGGCGATGGAGTTGTTGGGGCCGTAGCGGGCCCATTTCATAGCGAGCTGGGTGGCGATGTCGTGCATCTCGGGAAACATGTTGCGGATGGCGAGGGGCCCGAAGGCGGGCATGAGGATGCGGTGGGCGATGCCCCAGTCGACGTTGCCGGCGTGGGCGGTGAAGAGGCCATCGTGGACTCCGTTTCGGACTTGCTGCGGTCGCGTTTGTTAGTGGGTGTCGCTGGAGCAATTGATCCCTGTATCTTCTCCCGTCTCTTATTTGTAGGATTGGGCGTTTATTTACATTTAAAGCAGCGCTAATGGTCTTTTGGAACCGCGACTCGTCGCAGGTCTCGTTGATGAGCTTGTTGGTGGATACGGCGACAAGAGTCCTGCCGGGTAGACGCAGTCGATAAATCTCTCCTGTATATTGCGTCAGTCGAATTCTCGCGGGCCGCGACCACAGGCACGGAAGTAGACTAGGGTGGGGGAGAGCAGGGGACTCCAGCTGTGATTCCAGCTGTGATTGACTAGGTCTTACCGAATTGTTGCGCCAGAGAGAGCATCGACCCAAGAGGAAAGATGGGATCAATTGAGCCAATGTTCCCTAAGAAGGGAAGCCCTTGGGGCTCGGGAATGGGAACTATTCCTTCTGCGCTTTCAGACATGGTGATGGTGTTGACGGGCAAAAAATGCAGAGAGACAACAACATCGAAGCTTTCGCAATTGGGGGATTGAGAAAAAACAAAGTCGCAAGCTTGTCGATCGACGTCACGGAATCCACGTTCCTTTTATAGAATCCCCACATCAGATCAAACTGGCAGCTTCGTCCGTCCTCCGTCTTGTCATGTCTTGTCTTGTATTGTCTCCCCCATGTTCCCCGTCCCCTATTCCCGACGCAGTCTCTCAAGTCCCCGTTGCCATGTGCCAGACTCATCGGATCCATTCCCAATTCCCTCGAATCCCTCAACATATGCCCTCCTCTCATGATGGATGCACACAACTCGCATACGCATACGCATTAGAGTCCACTGTCCGCTCCACAGTTCCAGGTCCAGCTGGACATGACAAGATCTCCCCACATGCGCCATTGCGGCATTGTGGATGGGAGCTGCGTCATATTCCCGATGCAAGCAAACGTTGAAAGAAACCGACTAAGCCCGAAACCCGTCGCCGCCCAGCGAATGGTGTCCTCCATCAATGCTTATCTCCGCTGTACGTGGTACTCGGAATCAGCCCATGACGGGCAAAGCGTTTATGCTAGACCACGGAGGGGGGGTGAGTGTGGACCTGAACAATCTAGATTGGGGCAAGATCGGAGGTTAAGACTTCCGCCGTGCCGATGTTGGTTTTGCTTGGGATCGGCGCTATGCCCTGCGGATGTCCTACGGAGTCGGGCTAATTATTTATTTTTACTTCTTTTTTCTTCCGTTTTGGAGGTGCGGCAGGACTCGAGGACGGAAGTACGCGGCACTATTGCTTCGTGGTTGTCCCAAGCTCCACGCAGAGAGTTTACTAGATCCAATTAGAACGGCGAGAATGACCTCTTGGTGGACTCGGAGTGGGCAGTGACCGACTAGTTTTACACTACGAAGCTGCAGCACGAAAGCCAGTCTGCAATGCGGAATCGGGGATAGGCTGGTCGGCCCTAGTTTCAGGACTCCATCATGCTGAGGAGAAAAGGAAAGCCCAGAAATCAATCAGCTCCCAAATCGAGCTACACAGCCGTGATGGGCGAAAGGGGGACAGAAACTTCAAGCTAACGCTCCACAGACGCAATGCAGTCGGCGGTCTCCAAGAACCACATGCAAAGCATCAATCGATCAATCCCGAGGGAACAGACACCCGAACGCCGATTTAATTTACTCTGACACACTCCAGGACTCGTCGGGAATTTGAAATTGAAAAAATTGTTGAAATCCGATCGAGATGAACGAGCGAGGGGGCAAAGAGTGGCCAAAGACAGCATTTTGGGGATTAGTGAACCTGTCCTCATCGGGAAAGTGCCGAGGTTCATCGGGCTTAAGCGAAGCTTCTGTGGCTTCTGGAACTCTGGAACACAGCACCATCCTTGGCGGACATGGATGCCCATTAAATTGCTTCGCTTCCGCATCAATCTGTTGAACAAAAAAAAGAAAATCTTGAACGAACGAGACAGGGTGGACGGACTTGCCACACTAATCTGAGACCGAGACTCCATTCGCCAATTTACGACATTAATAAAAATATAATAATAGAGGCATAAAAGGGCTTGCGCAAGGGATAATGTCCGCCGCCGAAGCTCCCGTCGCACTCGTCGTGGGGGCCTCCCGCGGAATCGGCCGACAGATTGCTATCGACCTGGCCAAGCACGGCTATCGAGGTTAGCTCAAGTGTTCTCCACCATTTTTTTTTTTTTTTTAATATTATCGTCCCTCGTATCAGGAGCAAACATGCTGATGATGCATGTGATGCGGTTCACGATGCTTAGTCGCCGTCGCTGCAAAAAGCACGTCCGACGCGTCCGCGACGGTCCCATTTCCTCCGGACCCGAATTCGTCGCAATCCACGATAAACACCGTCGAGCGCGAGATTCGAGAAAACGGCGGAGATGCCCTGGCCATCCAAGTGGATACCCGGAGCTATGAGAGCATCCAATCGATGCTTGCGACCGTGGCGGAGACGTATGGACGCGTCGACGTGATTGTGTATAATTCTGGCGCCATCTGGTGGGCTTCCGTCGAGAAGACGCCGATGAAGAGGTTCCAGCTGATGCAAAAGGTTAACGTCGAGGGTTTGTATGCGACCGTGCAGGCTTCGCTACCGTATTTCGAGAAGAACGACTGGAAGGGGAGGATTATTGTCGTGAGCCCGCCGATATACTCGAGGTTCTTTAGGGGGAAGACGGCGTATGCTATGGGTAAGGTCGGTATGTCGGTCCTAACGAAGGGATTGGCTATGGATTGGAAGCGAGAGGGGAAGAATGAGATGGCGATCACGAGCATCTGGCCGGCCGTGGTATGAGATCTTCTTGTTTTTGCTCCTCAGGTGAGTGCATGGTCAGATGGCTGATGCAAGGGAGCACTAGGCTATTCAGTCAGCAGCGACGCCTGATCCGGAGATTCAGAACGACTTGAGGAAACCGGTTTGTATCCCTTGCTTTCCTTACTTTTTACCGTCTTTGAGTTGGCCCGATTTATGCGGTGGATGCTTGTACATGCAACGTTCTGACGCCTGGGCAGACCATCTTCTCTGACGCCATCCTCGAGATGCTGCGGACCCCAGCCATCGAAATAAGCGGTCGTCTTGAGCTCGACGAGGACTTCCTCAGGTCGAGGGGCGTAAGGGATTTTGCAAAGTACAGCCTAATCCCCGGGACTAATCCGCGGAGGATCATGCCGGCACAGTTACCCGACTTGACGGTGCCCGAGGAGGACGATGAGGGTGTGCGGATGGATAGCACGAAGCGCGGAAAGGCCAAGATTTAAAGGACGCACTCTGGGGAGTTTACATGCCTTTTTAAGCTTAAATGACGTGCACCCGGGTTCGGAGTGCCTTGTCTGCTTAACTGTGGTACTCTCTATGTTATCATGATCGGCCATGATCAGCTGTGGCGATGGGAACTGGGTCTACTTGTACACTATACACGTACTCGACGCCACGTGGGTTAGCGGATCTTCCTGGAAACCCTTGTAGTCGGAACCCCCACCGATTGAGTCGAAAGGAGTAAGGGTCGAGAGTGCATGTCTCGAGCGAAGTGAGGAATAGTTATAGTTACTTTTATGAGGCACTGGTTTTGGAGTCAACGCCCGCAGCAAAGGAACATAACTGAAACCTGCGATCCGGGGAATTGATTCCCTTCCTTCAAAAAGAATAGCAAAGTATCATTAAAGAATTATTTCTCCAAGATGCGTACGAAACAGTACCGGATGTAAGCGAGGAAGTCGCGATTAAGGAGGAATGGAAGAGCGACATGATCGTCACCCATCAACAACCTTGATGTCCCGATGCCAAGCCCCCCCGGCCAGATGGCGAATCATATTTCGTACATTTGCACCTCCGCAAGTGTTCTTCTACCTTCTCCTCCCTTGGAGCTGTTTAAGCTTGACAAATGCTGGGATGAGGTAATATCTTGCTCAACCCTGACGGCAGTCTCTTGCGGGGACGATGCGAGCACCTCCTCCCCGAAGCTGCCCAATTGGCTATTGCGTGATAATGTCGACATCAGCGAGTTATCCGTCCAAACCGGGGTAGACGGCTCTGGCCTGCACTAGACCAGGACCAGGACTACCTTATACTCCCCGGGTTTCACTTCTCTACCTCTTCGTGCCCCTCAATCCTGCGTAGACCCCGCGACAGCCTTAACTTCCCAAGCAAGCCTCAATCTATCTCACAACCATCTCTATCGAAACCAACATCACCTGAAGCCGCCATCATGTCTGTTGAACAGTACTCTCTTCCAAAGCTCCCCTACGCCTACGATGTAAGTCCAACCAACCCCTCTCCCTCACACTTCACCACGCCCACTCCCCACTAATGACAACTCCCCTCTACAGGCCCTCGAGCCCAGCATCTCGGCCCAAATCATGGAACTCCACCACTCCAAACACCACCAAGCCTACGTAACCAACCTCAACGCCGCCCTGCAAACCTACTCAACCGCCACCGCCTCCGCCGACGTCCCCGCCCGCATCGCCCTGCAAGCCGCCATCCGCTTCAACGGCGGCGGCCACATCAACCACTCCCTCTTCTGGGAGAACCTCACGCCCCAGTCCTCCCCCGATTCCAAGCCCGAGGCCGCCCCGCGTCTCGTGGCCGAGATCGCCAAGGTCTGGGGAAGCCTCGAGGCCTTCAAGAAGGAGTTTTCGGCGGCGTTGCTGGGGCTCCAGGGGAGCGGGTGGGGGTGGCTCGTGAAGGATAAGCTGGGGAGGTTGGCTATCGTGACGACTAAGGATCAGGATCCCGTTGTGGGTGGGGAGGTGCCAATTTTTGGGGTGGATATGTGGGAGCATGCGTATTATCTACAGTACTTGAACGGAAAGGCGGCCTATGTTGAGAATATCTGGAAGGTTATTAACTGGGCTACGAGCGAGAAGCGGTTCAATGGCTCTCGGGAAGACGTCTTTCAGGTTCTAAAGGCTGCTCTCTAAGCTGAATGTCTATGTAGTCGAGAGCCATTCAATGCAATTGCTGCATTGGCCATCAGGGTAAAAACGAATAAATTTCTCTAAGGAATGTTTGACCATCCGGGTAGGCAGCCATCCAGGTGGTGGTGTAATATCTGCAGAGATTGGATATCTCTAGACGAACTGTATCTGCTCGAATAAATCCAGGCGCAATCCACCTCTAACATCATCACGACTTAACATAAATAATCTTGACTGCCCATCTCATCTCGACTCCCACGGCCGAAACACGCGTTTCTGGATTCGAGCGCAAACTTGCTCATTGCTCCTATTTCAAAAGCCCCAAGTAAACTTGCTCAAACACCAAGCCCATCCTGGCGACTTACCGATTTTGGTAATTTCTGGGGCACCCCATTTCGTCTCATTGGCTCCGAAGATAGCTCTGAACGCCACAGCTTTCAGACCTGTGTTAACATCAGGATTCAGGATATCTGGAACAGGGGATTGTGGCTGCTGAGTTTGTAGCAGCTGTATAGAGAACGGGCTCTAATGTTCTCATGCTAGAGAAGATTCCATTTGCTCAAAAGGAGGTCTGGATTCTACATCACTGGCACCTTGTCTTCTATCACAGGTGGTCTTCATTCTGCGAATTTTCCTCTCCTTAATCCGGTCATTCATTCTCTCCCGAAGCATTACTACTACTATGTGTGGCCACGAGATTACCCCAAAGCCTCGAGGAGGTGCCCTCGCCGCCCTCATCCGGCCAATGCAGCATGAAGGACTTGCCGTTCAGGGAGATCTCGTCTTTCACTGCCCAGGAAGCCCGAAGAGCATGACGGCGACGCATATGCGGCTGACACCATCCGGAGACATTGCATCTCACGATTATTGCCAGAACTATATCGTGGTAATACAGTACGTTAGGCATCCTTTTACTCATCCTTGAGATGATTCGTCTTGGGGACTAATTGTTGAACAATAGCGAAATGGGTGATCTCTCGCGAGATGTCGGAGAGTGCGGGCACTTTTGCGAATTTCCTCTTCAACAGCCGTCCCTTGGGACGACGGCTCCCGAGATAGATATCGCCCTTTCGAGACCCGTGGCCCTCGAGGTTAGCAACGAGGGCATCATTGGCCGACGCGTGTCTCTCTACTCGACTTCTACTCTTTCAGATCGGCGACTGGTCGCTGAGGGCATCATCGGGTTCAACATTTAGAACTGGTTTACTTCGGGTTGGGCGTTTCGCTTTCGACATTGGGAAGGGAGTTTGGAGTATCTCGCTTGACGCTGGTATCTTGGAACTTGGAGGTTTTAAGGTTAGGGTTTACAGCATTCATCATTCACGTTGCTAGGGAATAATTAGAGCTGCAAATCGAAGCAATTCGGCTGAAGTCACCGATTCCTGATTGGTCAATTGCAGAACATGATCAGTCGAGCATGACAAGGATTCCCAATTCGATGTGACACTGAGCCTGCTGGACTGATCAAAGTACCGTGAATCCTTGCACTTCCTCTTCAGCAGGTAATTGAACGTTCATTCAAACAACCTCATCAATTCGATTAGAATCTTCAGTGGACATGACATCTCCCCCCAAAGTAGTTCTACTACTACTCGATGATGGCTAGTGCAAGTAGCCAATATTCATGTATCGAAGTTAATGCACATCTGAAATCCGTACTCTCACCACACGTGATTAACCACGCCCTTCAGTCTTAGTTTGACTCATCCATGCATGATTTCCTGCAGGTGCCCCTCCTTCCCGATAACGATAAGATCAATTGGGAAGGAAAGAAAAAAAACTGCCCCGCGTGCAAAACACCGCAAAATTTTCCCCAGCTGATGGCAAACACCTCAGTTCATCAGACTTGATATCTTCTGATTTCTTCTCTGAAGAAGTTGCTTTTCTTCTTCCTCTTCAGAGCCCAAAAGGTTCCACGCCCCCTCGTCCTCATCCCCCACAATGGGCCACGAGGTTCTGATCGGCGGCTCGTGCTACACGGTCTCCGCCGCCCAGAAGCTCATCGACCGCATCAACGACAAGAGCAGCCCCGCCGTGGTCTCGCGCATCTCGGGCCAATGGGTCTATTTCGTCGAGTTCGAGAGCAACGTCGAGGCCGTTAAGGAACTCGTCCAGGCCACGAGTCTGTCTGCCCAGACTTCCTCTTCCCACGCGAGCGGGGGCGACGCCCAGTCGATCAAGATCTACATTACCCCGCGCACGACGCCGTCGCCATGGAGCTCGCAGGCTACCAACATTGCCCAGGTCTGCGGCGTCAAGGCACGCATCGAGAGGGGACGATTCGTGACGATTGAGTTCGAGGGAGCCGCTCCCGCCGATATCGCCACCTTTAGGGACGTTCTTCACGATCGGATGACCGAGTCCATTACCGAGGCGTTGCCCGAGCCCGCTACTATTTTCGCCGAGGGAGCCCGCCAGCCGCTTGTCGTTGTCGATATCTTCGCGGATGAGAGGGGCCCGTTGGCCGCTTTGCAGGATTATAATAAGAAGATGGGGTTGGGGCTGGATCAGCCCAACATGGAATATCTGGTAGATCAATACAAGTCTCTCGGGAGATCGCCTGTAAGGATCGCCGTTCGCCTTTCTCTCTCCATTCATGTCTTTCTCTTGCCTATTCTCTTGTCTCTTCTCCCTCTCTTCCGTCGTCGCGTCTCGTGCCCGCTTGCTGAGAAATTCTTTTGGTGATAGAATGATGTCGAGCTATTCATGTTTGCCCAAGTAAATTCGGAGCACTGCCGCCACCACGTCTTCAATGCCACCTGGACCATCGACGGCGCGTCCAAGGACAAGAGCTTGTTCGAGATGATTAAGAATACCCACAAATCGACTCCCGATTTCGTAATCAGCGCATACTCAGACAATGCTGCCGTGTAAGCGGGAAACTCCATATCTCCGCCCCTTCACACGGCTTGGATAAAGGATAAACGAACTAATATCTTCGTTAGGATGGACGGTGACGAAGGAAACCACTGGGCCCCCGACTACTCCACCGGCTCCTGGAAGCTCACCAAGGAAGTCGTCCAGCCTCTCATCAAGGTCGAAACCCACAACCACCCCACCGCTATCAGCCCCTTCCCCGGCGCCGCCACCGGCAGCGGAGGCGAGATTCGAGACGAAGGTGCCGTCGGTAGGGGATCGACGCCCAAGGCTGGGCTTTCCGGTTTCTGGGTCTCCGATATGTTGATCCCCGGCAAGAAGCAGCCGTGGGAGCGCGACATCGGAAAGCCGGCGCACTATGCTTCCAGCTTGGAGATTATGGTCGAGGCTCCTATTGGTGCGGCGAGGTTCAATAACGAATTCGGCCGCCCGGCGCTTGCGGGTACTTTCAGGACGCTACTTACGAATGATACCGAGACGGAAGCGTCCGAGTTTAGGGGTTACCACAAGCCCATCATGGTAGGCCGTCTTGGACATTCGTCCCCTGCCATATTTGCCCGGTTGCTAATGCATTTCTACGTTCTTTTAGATTGCTGGTGGTATTGGTAGCGTGCGACCTCAGCACGCTATCAAGGATCCCGCGTATGTACAGGATGGTGCCCATGTAAGGATTGTTGAAATACCATCATCATAAGCACACTACTAACCAACCTCCAGGTCATCGTTCTTGGTGGCCCTGCCATGTTGATCGGTCTCGGTAAGTCTCCTACGCCTCAGCTATCTTGGAAAATTCCACGTTCGTTCTAACTTCCTCCTTCCAGGTGGCGGTGCTGCCTCCTCCAACACCGGTACCGAAGCCACGGCCGACCTCGACTTCGATAGCGTCCAGCGCGGAAACCCTGAAATGGAACGCCGTGCCCAGATGGTCATCAACACCTGCGTCGCCCTCGGCCAGGAGAGCCCCATCGCCTTCATCCACGACGTCGGCGCCGGTGGCCTCTCCAACGCCCTCCCCGAGCTCGTCAAGGACGCTGGATTCGGAGGAAAGTTCGAGCTGCGACAGGTCGAGAGCGCCGACAACTCCATGTCGCCGCTGCAGATCTGGTGTAACGAGGCCCAGGAGCGATATGTGCTCTTGGTGAACAGGGATGGTTTGAACCGATTCACGAGCATTTGCAGGAGGGAGCGCTGCGGCTTCTCCGTCGTCGGAAACGTCGTCTCCAAGGATGAAGCCGGGAAGACTACTCTGGTTTTGACGGACCGCGAGCCCACCGTTCAGCCTCCCATTGACCCCATCAACTTGCCCATGGAGGTCCTCTTCCCTCCCGGCCGACGCATCGCGAAGAACGTGCAGACCACCAAGAAGAATCTCAAGCCCTTCAACGCCAACGCGAGCCTCCAGGAGAAGTTTGGCGTCTCCACCCTCAAGGACAAGGTGTCCAAGGCTACCGAGCTCGTCTTCCAGCTCCCTTCTGTCGGTTCGAAGAATTTCCTGATTACCATCGGTGACCGCACCGTTGGTGGATTGGCTGTGCGAGACCAGCTCGTCGGCCCTTGGCAGACCCCCGTGGCCGATGTGGCCGTCACCTTGAACAGCTTCAGCCTCGAGAGCAACGCGCATAGCGGAGAGGCGATGGCCATGTAAGATCCTCCCCTTCCCTCCCCCTCCCCAACCACTTACGTTTTGATGCTAGAGACTAACTACCCTTTTCAGGGGCGAGAAACCCACCCTCGCTCTCATCTCCGCGGCAGCCTCCGCCCGCATGGCTGTCGCCGAATCCCTCATGAACCTCGGCGCCTCCGACATCAAGGCCGGCTCCATCAACGGCGACCTTAAGCGGGTCAAGCTCTCGGCCAACTGGATGGCGGCCGTCAGCCACGCCGGCGAAGGTGCCGAGCTCTACGAGGCCGTCTACGCCATCGGCATGGAACTCTGCCCTCAGCTCGGCGTGTCGATCCCTGTCGGCAAGGACTCGACCTCCATGAAGGCCTCGTGGAAGGATCGCGAAACCAACGAGACCAAGAGCGTGACGGCCCCCGTTTCCCTCGTCATCTCCGCCTTCAGTCTTGTCGAGGACGTGCGCAAGACCTGGACGCCGCAGCTCAGGCGCGTCGAGGAAGTTGGCGAGAGCGTGCTCATCTTCGTCGATCTCTCGCAAGGAAAGAAGGCCATGGGCGGCTCGGCGCTGGCGCAGTGCTTGGGACAGGTGGGCGACGAGGCGCCCGACGTGCGGGACGTCGAGCTGATGCGCGACTTCTTCGATGCGCTGTGGCAGCTGCACCAGGAGGATATCGTCCTCGCCTACCACGATAGGTCCGATGGCGGTCTTCTCACCACCGTCGCCGAGATGATGTTCGCCGGCCGTTGCGGCGTGGAACTTTCCCTGTCGGACCTCGCCGCGTCCGAATCCGAGATTCTCGACGCCCTGTTCAACGAGGAGCTTGGCGCCGTTTTCCAGGTCCGCACGGCTGATGAGGGACGCTTCTCCAAGGCCTTTTCTACCTGCGGCCCACCTGCTGGCCTGGTCAAGACGATCGGCTACGTCCGACACGCGCCAAGGCAGTCCCTGACCATCCAGTACCACGCCGAGACTATTATTGAGCTTGGCCGTGCCGAGATGCAGCGCTGGTGGTCGAGCACATCGTATGAGATGCAGAAGCTGAGGGATAATCCTGCTTGTGCCCAGGCGGAGTACGATACCGTGTTGGACGATGAGGATCCTGGAATGGATTATAAGCTTACGTTTGACCCGGCGGATGTTGGATTGCCTACCTTGATTACGCTCAAGGGATTGGTATCGAGGCCGAGAGGTACGTTCTTCTCCAAGCTTGATTTACGTTGTGCTACGTGCTAATGTTATCGTGTACAGTCGCTATCCTACGAGAGCAGGGCGTTAACGGCTACGCCGAGATGGCCTTTGCCTTCCGCGCCGCAGGCTTCGACGCCGTCGACGTGCACATGTCGGACATCCTCGATGGCCTCACCCTCGACGGGTTCCGCGGTCTGGCCGCATGCGGCGGTTTCTCGTATGGTGACGTCCTCGGCGCCGGTATCGGCTGGGCGCAGTCCGTTCTCATGCACGACGGCGCTCGTCGCATTTTCGAGGCGTTCTTCAACCGTCCTGATACTTTCACCCTGGGTGTCTGCAATGGTTGTCAGATGATTGCTAGGTTGAAGGAGCTTATCCCCGGCGCCGAGAACTGGCCCAACTTTGGTATGTGTCTCTATGCCTCTTTTCTTCAGTACTCTAACAATTATGTTTTCCTTTCCTCAGTTGAAAACGCCAGCGCCCAATTCGAAGGCCGCGTCTCCATGGTCAAGATCGAGGAAACCTCCTCCACATCCGTCTTCTTCTCCGACATGACCGGCTCCTCCTTCCCCATCGTCGTCTCCCACGGCGAGGGCCGTGCCGAGTTCGCCAACCAGGGCGACCTGCACTCCGTCACGGAGCAAGGGCTCGTCCCCATGCGCTACGTCGATAACTACGGTGCCGTAACGGAGCGGTACCCCTTCAACCCCAACGGTTCCCCGGCGGGTATCGCAGGTGTTAGGAGTAGGGATGGCAGGGTGGTGGCGATGATGCCGCATCCGGAGCGGACAATTATGGGGAGTGTGGGGTCGTGGATTAAGGATGAGTTGAAGGGGAATCAGTATGGGCCTTGGTTTAGGATGTTTTTGAATGCGAGAAAGTGGGTGGGTTAGATGGTAGAAGCATTAATAGAAAAGGATGGGAGGGACGATGGGTATAGGGGTTGAGAAGTGAAATCGGTTTGGGTTAGGCATCGAGCATTTGATTTTTCCTGGGTTGGTATCTATCCTCGAAGTAAAAAATATAGGAACATTTGAGGATTTTCGTTGACCAAGGGTGACGACATCTCATGAAGGTCATGCTTGCAAAGGATGGCCTCAGACAAACAATTCAAAGTAACCCAGATCCCCGGTTCCATCATCAACGGTCGTTTCAATTCTCGTTACAATACAGTGTCTAAATTTATTTACATCCAGCAAATCAGTCTCTACACCTCGAAATCCGGCGGCGTCTCAAAATACTCCTCCATCGGAAAATCAAACTGCGAGGGCAACGCAACATCCCAAGTCATATACTGCCCAATCTCCTCCGCCATCCTCAAATACTGCTGTTGATCCAACTGCGCCGCGGCAGCCGTTCCTGGCACCGCTCCCACCACACCACCCGCAGCAGGATCCTGCCCTGTCATCAAAACGTGCGCGGCGGATGGAGCAGCAGCCGCCTCCGTCGCCACAAACTGCTCCAGGTTCGCATCTTGGTACTGATCGTGCACGAACTGCGACGGCTGGTGGTCGGAGAGTCCGGCTGCAGCAGCCTGATCGGTGCGCGGACTCGAAGGCACAGAGGGGAAGAGGGTCCAGGGCGTGCGGGCTTTGACTTTGCAGTTGTTGGCATCTTCGTTGTTGGCGGCTACTTCGCGGCGGGCGAGGCGGAAGGTGGCGATTTGGTTGAGGTAGGCTGTTTCGACGGGGCCGATGACTTCGGTGGATTGGGATGAGGGGTGAAGGGTGGTGTTTTGGAAGGGTTCCCATTTGGCTGCGATGTCGGAGAAGCCGAATCTTTTTAGGAGAGGGATTAGGGCAGATAACTATAGGACGTTAGTTTTCACTAGATTCGTTCGATCGAGCCAAGGTGATGGGAGGGTTGTGTGTTCATGAGAAGAGAAGGAGACTCACGTAGACATTCGGCATATCGGAGTAAGGGTGCGTCGCGCTTAGCACCTTCAAGTTCGTCTTAATATGTTCCACGCAGCGACTATGCGAACTCGAATCCCCACTGCCCACCGTCGTCAAGCAAATAACGTGAATCTTCGTCGACTCATATGCCGCCGTCGACGTATAATGGTCGTCCAGGGCTTCAGGTCCGCACTCGAGCGCAGCGGCCAGCAAAGTCGAGACGCAGCAGGCATGATGCCAGGCCTTTTGCCGGGACTCGATGACGAAATCGGCGGGTGCATCGGCGAGGGCCGTAGCTAAGGGGAAGTTGTACCCGGGGAGCGCGACTCTTGTGAGGTCAAACACGGAGGCGTGGTAGGTGAGATGAAGGAAGAAGAATGAGCCGGGGGTGTGCTGCTCTTTGTGGATGTAGATGTTGATGTCGTTGAAGATGAGGAAATCGGGGAGTTCCTTGTACCAGCATTCGAGTTGGTTGAGGAGCTGCATGAACGTAGAATTTTCGTCCCATGGCGGGGGTCTCGCGGGGTTGGCTGCATTGTGATCTCGTATATGTCTGTTGGGTAAGGGTTAGTGAGCGGATACACATCAAACTGTCAAACCGTCGTCTTTCCTCATGCACCTTACCGGAGAACCTGTGTCCTGAGGTACACGATTCTGGGAATGTTACCTCTGAGACCAGTCGATGTGAAAGAATGAAGTCGCTGGTCGACTTCGGGGTATACGGGGGGGGTTTTCGTTTGGTGCAAAAAGTTTCGTTCCGGGCATGGAAGGGGAATATGTGGAAGGTCCGTCGTCCAGCTCAAATTTCCATCGACACCGGCGCCGACGAACGAGTCCAGGATGTAGCATGACCACATCAGTCTGCGTTTCGACTCTCTGCGCGTTAGGGCTTCTCCTGAGATATCGGGAGACTCGAACCGCGAGTCTTCCTCGTCCATACGTAGGAGGCGGCTCATCCTCGTGCAGCACCCGACTAGCATGTAGACAAATGCGTTGTCACCGATTCTAAGCCCGTATTCTGCGTAGAGCACCATGGCCTGTTCCCTTCGTCAGCCCGATCTCATCTTCTACCTTAGGAAAGTTCAGTTTGAGTGTGATCCTGATTCATTACCATGAGATTCTGCACCGTGGAGATGCAAGTAATCGACCGCACCAGTTTTCTAGCTCTCCGCCCCCACAGCTTTCCGGGAATGTCCGTCGCAGACGGGCTTCCGTGAGGGTTACCGGGCGTTGTACTACATGGTATAGGCAATTAGCCAGGATCTCTAGAGGGGCAGCAGGCGGGGTGAAAACAAAACGCACAGATATCGCGCTCCAAGAGCACATACTAAATAAAGAACAGCTTCGCCAAACTCGAGTGCGGTAGTTCCCTGGTCAATGGATCTTATAAATGCCGGCTTGTGGATGAATCCCAGGTTCCGGAGGCAGTGAATATGCTTAAAGTAGGACTCGGCCAGGACTTTTAGACCTGCTTTGTCCGGCAGCGTCGACTGGTAGAGCCTAAGAACTGTTAGATCCCAAGGTTGATGAAGAAGCAAACAAAAGGAGAACAGAAGAGATGAAATAAGAAAAGGGAAAAGAAAAATGAATATAGAAACGCTTCAGGACGACATGCCATCGAGAACTCGAGTCACTGAGTTCGCCAGCAGAGTCCGGGGCCGCATACGCAACACCCAGCCTCTGCACATCCATAGGCTCTAATGCATCCCTCAACGAAGGACTTCGCGCATGTCTCTGCTGGCCATTGGTAGAACTAGGGTAATTACACGGCGTATCTCTCGCCTCGCACCGGCGACACCGCGGCTTCGTCTGCGAGCACTTGGCCTTAGCGGCCCTGCATTCCTGGCAGGCACCGGCTCTACGGCGCTCGAGGCCCGCCCGACGGTAGATGTTGTCGATCTCTTCCCTCTCGATGCTTTGTGACCTGTAGCCGGGGCACTGGACGCCCACGCTGCGGCATCGGGTGCAGCCGGAAGGGGCCTTGTCACATTTCACCTACGAAAAGCCAAGTCGGTTAATCAGAAAAGCCGTGGTGTGAGGCGGCCGTGAGAGAGCAGCGGCCCTTACCTTTCGAGCACGACATATTATACAAGCTATCGAAGAGTTAGCATGATGTATCGTGAAGAGCATGAAGACGCGGTGAGCGACGGGGCGTGTGGAGAAAAACAAAAACTAACCAAAGAGGGGGCGTTCAGATTGTGACGCAGCTGACTCCATTTGCTCTCCACGAACCGAGGCTGGCTTTCGCCCATGAACTGAACCTCGTTTACAGCACACATAAAAGCCTTCCTCTGGGGTCCTTCTCTCGTTAGGGGTGGTCGGCGATCGGGGCGATTTGGCGGGCTTCGGGCAGATGGGGGGGCAACTTTTTCTTTGAAATCCTTCTGGGCGTATCGGTTATCATGTAACGTCAATGAAATCAATCAAATCTTGCACCGGCGTATTTTTCCCATTCCGATTTGCTGGAAAAAAGACGTCGGATTGGGCGTTGGCCGATGGAACCGCCACATTCAACCAGAAACCATAGCTTGCGCCACATTTGTGGCACCTTTTTAGTATCCGAGCTTCGCACTTGTCGCCAGCAGATGGCAATTGCCCTTGTATTATGGTGGTTAGAGGATTGTGCATCTAGCAACGCCAAGAGACTGGGCAAAGAGCGGAGAGCTGTATCGAGCCAGTGGCACGTCATTGACCAGATGAGGACCTTGGTGGTCTAATCTGCGTTTTACTAGTCCTTTTTTCCTCCGGGGTTGTCACAGACATACATGGGACAGTAAGAGCCTTCTGGCCAAAGGACCGCGCCGTGCGAGACGAAGAATCACCGCTACCCCATCACTCTAGTAGTCTTTTGGCGTTGTGAGATCTGGGATAGCAAGGACTGGCTTCATCTGTAGGTCCTTCAGGCCGTAAGCTCTGCCGAGAAAACCACGGACCATAAAAACGCAGAAGGCTCGTCAATGCACCGTAGCAGGCACCAGGTCCTGGAGCAGTGGCACTTGTTTACTGCCTTTTGAACTGGGTGACTAGCGTTGGACGAGTAGGCTGTCACCTGCTATGTTGTATTCGAAACTGCTGGAATCACTGGAGGTCATCTTTTCCTCCGCCAGGACGCTGTAGAGTGCGGACCCATTCCTTTCGTTGCATGGAGTTCATCTCGAATGGAGCAATGGATACAAACTATACCTCGGCACAGGCAATTGAGATGGGGATCCAGAGCTGGGAATAGGGAAACAATTCATCAATCAGTCATCGACGCGTGCATCGCGTTAACTGGTCAATGTTTGAGAGAGTTCATAATCGCATACCTACGATCATTGCCAGCCTAATTTTTAGCATTATTATGAATTTTCAAAATCTGGAATAAAAGGGTAAATTGCTCTGGAGTGGCCGGAGAGCATAACCACCTATAGCCTCGTCCCCAAGCTTTAAATAGGCTCTTGATACATGGCCAGCTATCCGTTCCAGGTTCGAACTAAAGATCCTGCCTCGCCTCATCTCTAGCCCCAAGATAAAGTCATCGCACAGTACGCTCCGTACTCGCTTGAATACGCCTCATACTTCCATCTCAGCTTTCTCGTCGGAAAATTCTTGCTCACCACCGGTTCATACATCTCAATACACGCCCTTTCCGAGGCACTCACCTCTTCTAGCTGTCCATCGTCATCTATCTTCCGTTCCCGATTCAAACCCGCCGTCCTCACCTGCCAGGGAATCTCTAACCGTATCGTGAGTTTCTGTATCCCTGGCAGTACCTCTGTTGACCGCTCAATAAACTCCTCCCACTTTGGAGTTTCCATGTTATGCACAGAAATCTTTCCGACCCTTAAGCGAGGAAATGTTTGACACAGCTTGCTGACCGTTATCCCGCAAAAGTTCGTTGTCGGGGTTGCCCAAAGACCCAAATGCACTCTTCTAATGCGATCGAGGTTCCTTTGCGCCAAAGGCCACGAGTTAACTATGAGCCAGGATCTGGCGTTACTTCCGCCACACGCGGTATCGAACATGTTTTCGCCGTACAAGACATCTGAGCCCTCGTCGTTGATGAGGCGGCAACACTCCAAGATGGCTGGGAACAGATTGTGACGTATATACGGGCGATTCCTAAGGAAATAGGAATCGGTGCGTGTGAGGCGACTCGTGAAGAGACAGAGCTTGTACCGGACCGTTTCGCAGTAGAGCAGCTCGTGGTAGATGGCAGCTCGGATCTCATACGGGAATCGGAGGAACGAGGTTAGGCTTCGATCGTCTGTGGAGAAGTACGGTGTGTGGGTGGTCCGCCTAACTCGATTGGATGCCGGGGACCGAGGTGGTGGAGGTGGTGGGACGCGCTTGGGGCTAAAGGTGAGGCTAGTTGGTGTGAGGGTAAGCGTCGTTTGGATGCGGACCCTTTTCTCGGGAGGCTTTGCGAAACATCCCTTGTGGAGTCGAGAGTGAGGCATTATGGTAGGTCGGAGGCTGTTCTCTTGTAATAGATACTGGAGCCTCGACGGAAAATGGGTGCGTTGTCGTGTGTTTTGGACAGACTTAGGCAGCATCCCTTCTGGTCGCATGCCAGTCGCCAACCCCGCATTTTGGGTGGTCATCCAAGAATTAGTATTGGTAGTTCTTGCTTTGAAGTAGACGTCTATTCGGCTGGAAAGGGGGAAGAGACTAGCTAGAATAAGTATGGAAGTCAAACGCCATTGTTAGCAGTATTAGAGTCTATAAAAAGAAGATAAAAAGACTAAATAGGCTTTTAATCTCTAATAGACTCAGCCCTATGGCAGCACTGAGAACAATACTCTTTGCAGGTACAACGGGCGAGGGGACAGCAATAATAACGACGAGCAACGGGGTTCGACAGCTGGACTCGTAAATCCGGGAAGCCAACAACTTACCAGCTTATACAGTTTTTGTTTCGCTCAAGAGGCATCGCTCGCAATGTAGGGCCATAGAATCAATGTGCATGGACTAAATACTTCTCTTGTTCACAATGTAAATTAAGATCTACTATTAGGAACTCGCCACAGGCGGTTCGTAGCGAGAGTTGCCTCTTGCCACCCCAGCAGGTTATGCCAGCTAAACCCGCTTTACTTCGAAAGAACTGTGGACCAATCGTTCTTCTTCGCCCACTCCTCCCAGGTCGTCATGGGGCACTCAATGCCAGCCTGTTTCGCGTCACCAAGGTTAGTTTCTTCTCCTTAGATTTGACTCGGTATTGCTATAGTCTAGGAAACCCACCTCTTCGATATCCTTTGCTGTTAGCAGATCGTAGCCACCGTCGTAACCGGGTTCGGAGGTATAGTTAAACATGTGCGTTATTTCGATGCCGAGATCCTCATCCTCCACGGACGCAATCAGCTCCTCCGGGGTGACCTGTTTGTAGCTCGTCTTCACTCCGACCACTTTGCCCCAAGTTTCGATCCATTCACTCCACGAGCAAGTCGTGCCGGCTGCCATGTATGCCTTACCCGGCGGCATCTGATATACGGCGTAGGTGAAGTTTCCCATGTCGTCGACCGGCGTGAAGTGCGGGACTAGTTTATCGGGGTCAGTGGTGAAGGCCATTTGGAAGCTGCCATCCTCGAGCTAGAGTTCTAATTAGCCCTGTTAAAAAGTAATAAAAGAAAAGATAAAAAAAAAAGATAGAGACACTCACTTTGCTGAAGTAGGCGCTGGGAAGGATATTATAACTCGTGTAGAAATAACCCGTATGGATACAGGACAACTTCGCTGCCAGCTCAGGATATTTTTCCTCGACGTACGTGGGGAAAATGTCGGCTTTGGCATCGAAGTGATACAGCTCCGTAATCTTCCCACCACTCGCCTTTCCCGCATGGCTCAACGTCGAGGCGAGAAACGATTCCAGCGTATCAAGCGTGGTGGCTGCAGCATCAACAATATTCTTCCCGTGCAGGTATTCCACATCGTACGCGATGCGACGGCATGTGATGCCCTGCTCCCGCGCCTTCTCGCGGTAGTCCGGGCGCATAAACGGCTCCCAGTACTGCGTGACGCTGAAGATGACGTTGGCGCCCTTGAAGGCCGGGATGAGGGTAGAGACGTCGTTGAGATCGACGGCAACGACCTCGATGCCCGGGGCGTCCTCCTTGAGCTTCAGGGCGGCGGGAGACTCGGGGTTGCGACAAAGGGCGCGGACGCGGAATCCGGCTTTGTGGAAACGGCGGGCGACGGAGCCGCCTTGGTTCCCGGTGGCTCCTACGACGCAGATGAGCTTGGACATGATGTGTGTGGGTATGTATGTGAGGCTGGGTGTCCGTCCGTTAACGGCGAGGATCGTCAATACGGAAATGGTGATAATTTTCTCTCATCTTTTGGGGGAGGCAACAGAGGAACGAACTAAGGCATTCTGTTCCTCCTAATCTAGTAGTGTAAACCCCGCAGCTTGAGCGGGGTCTCGCAAATTCCCAGGGATCCTAATCTAACTGCTCAGTCTCTTTCTCTGTTTTTTGCTGCCATTAGTGCAGCGGCTTGCAGCGTCTTTCTTGGGACTAGTGGATATATGAGGTAACAAGTCATGAGGTGTCAGGGGTCTCCTCGCCCGATCCAGCCCCCAATATTCCACGCTTGGGGGCGCGCCAAGTCAATACAACCCTAGTGTAATCTAGTGTACTTCGTCGTGAGCGGATATTGGAAGAATTAACGTCCAGAGACAAAGGAGTTGCTTGCCTCATGCGGTCTAGGTCCGTCCACTATTGCCCAATCATGGAACACTGCCCGCTGACGTGGCAGTCCTGCATTCTTCATTCAACTGCATGGTTGGACCCGGGAACCGGGGCCTACATCTACTTGTAGATTAGACTGGGTCAAAGCGAGCCTATGACGGAGTCCAATCGGATGAGGTGACCGAAAGTGGTGAGAGATAGTGAAGAGAAACCAAGCCGTCTGAGATTTAAAAGCCTGCGCGCATTTTTTTTTTTTTTTTTTTTTTTTTTTTTTCTCTTCGTGTACGGCGACTTTCTGGTAGAGTCTCACACAAGAAAAAAAAGAGAGAAAAATAATAAAAAAAGGAAGAGAGGGGGAAAATCGCCTCCAATTCTACGAGTCGCCGTACAGAACGATCACCGCTTGTAGCAGCCGGGAAAAAAGCAACCATCCTCAAATAATAACAGCTAGTGTCCGCGGACACAATGGCCGGCTCACCCGGAGAAGCGGGGTCGAGTCCTCCCAAGCACTCATCTCCTCCACACTCATCTCCTCCGCGATCATCTCCTCCACGCGCCGGTTCGGCTCGCGACTCGTCACCAGAGGGAGCCGGAGACGCGCCGAATCCTCTCCAGATTGATGTGTGTTGTGTCTCTCCCCGCGCCCCATGAGTTTTGCTGCCAAGATCTCTCCCATGTTAACATGATGTTGCTTCTCTCGGCTCTAAGCATGAGGCATACGACGCCCAGGAAGATGCCGACTCGTCCTACGGGTCGGATACCGAGTCCAGGGCCACTGCATCCGTGACATCGTCCATCTTCCACTACCAGTATGAGAATGGGCGGCGCTACCACGCTTTCAGGGAAGGACAGTACGTGCTCCCAAACGACGACCGAGAGCAGGAGCGCCTCAACCTCCAGCACCACATCTGGCGCTTATTACTAGGCGGGTCCCTACACACGGTACCGCTACCCGATCCTTCCTCCGACGAGGAGCTGCGCATTCTCGATCTCGGCACGGGCACAGGCGTCTGGGCCATAGACATGGCCGATGAGTACCCCTCCTCGCAGGTCTTCGGCGTTGACCTCTCCCCGATCCAGCCGGAATGGGTCCCCATCAACTGCCGATTTCACGTCGACGACTACGAATCCGAGTGGACGTACCGAGAGAACGAGAAGTTCGACTACATCCACGGGCGCGCTCTCTGCGGGACGTCCTCGGACTGGCCGGCGCTGTACGGGCGCATAAAAGAGAACCTCAAGCCCGGCGGCTGGGTTGAAATGCAGGAGTACGATGCCTGGGTTTTCAGCGATGACGACAGCTTTGAGCGTGCGCCCTGGACGCGGGAGTGGGTCGAGAAGCTGGACGAGGCGAGCTTAAAGTTTGGTAGGCAGATTAACATTGCTCAGTATCACAAGCAGTGGATGATTGATGCCGGATTCGAGGACGTGGTGGAAGAAGTGAAGCGGGTATGTGTCTTCTTAAGTCCCCTATTTGATATCCCCCCCCCCCCCCCCCCCCGTGTTGGCTGGAGTGGGTTGCCCGTTTGCTAAGCATGAGAACTTTTTTTCGTCGCCCTAGATACCTATCGGCATTTGGGCCAAAGATCCCGTGTTGAAGGAGCTGGGCCGATTCGAGCAGATCCACATGCAGATGTCTGTGGAGTCTCATACTCCCGCGCTTTTCACTCGGGTTTGGGGGTACACGAACGAGCAGGTCCAGGTTTTGATAGAGGGCGTGAAGCGGGAATTCCGGAGCCGCGATCATCATCTGATTACTGTCTATCGGTTCGTACGGGGGCGCAGGCCACAAGAGTAGGCCAGAGCATCTCAAACTTTGGGTTGGGTTCTTTCATGGGAAGGAGGGGAGGATAGAATGGGGCGGCAAAATTTTCCAAGTTGTAACTACGGTAGTCGAAGCGTGGCTAGATTCGATGCTGTGTCAGGGATGGTTGTTCCGACACTTACACCAGCGTCAGGAGGAATATATAATATATACCCGCCCGCTGCGGTCGACCTGGCACCTGAGAATACCGACTGAAACTTTTCACCGACAAGGAGGTCACTGATATTGCTATCATTTCCGTTTTGTCAAAGGGGGCTGCCTAATGTGCACGACCTCTACGAGATTGCCAGTGCCCTAGGCGTTCCATGAACGATATCGCCGTCCATGCCTACACAAAGTCCTTGTTTGGGGTGGCATTTCGGCTGACGACTACCGCACCTGGGCGATGTTTCACGGTGTGCGGCGGCCCGGGCCCGCCGTGCCTTCTCTCAACGCCATTTGTAAAGGTCCCCCTCCCGCCAGATTTGTTTCTGGAACGGTAGGGGAGAGCGAGATTGCTATGAACCCCGTCCACCAGATGACGTTATTACGAACCAGCATTGAGAGGAGGCCTAAGAGTTCATGGGCATAGAGAGATGATAGAAAGCCCTATAAATTGACCCTCTCCATTGATAACGCCGAGTATACATGCGAATACGATGGCATACACACGGGGCATTCGATGGCGCATTTATTCTCCCTTTCCGTGTCTTCCCGAAGGCGGCCAACGCGGAGGTAGCAGCGGCGTTTAGGGGAAAGTCAGTATGGTCGACGACGAAGACATGGGGACAGAAGGCATGTGAGCCATTTTCTGAGAAGTCATCTCGCCGTGCCGCCATAGGGTGCAAATGAGGAGCCGGGGATGGAGGCGGGATGTAAGAGACAAGGGACAGAGGACACTGAAAGTGCAAGAAACGTGGTGGGAACGTTATGTAAAACGATCTGCTCTGTCGCGCATTTTTCCGCGTCTCCTTGCCCTTTCTAGCCCTTATATACGCTCCTGTGGTACTTGTTATTATCTATAGAAGTCCGGAAGTGGGCAACCGTTGAAATGGCAAGGGTTTCTATTAATTTAAGACGGCACTACCTGCCCCATCACCGCCCCTTTTAACGTTTTAGAGTACCTCGTATCGACGTATGGAGGGCCGCCCCGTCAGGCTAGGATGTCCACTTTCGGTTTGGGGAATACGGGACGAACATCTTTGTTCTTTAGAAGCTAGGAATCCGCGGATCCCGGGCTCATCGACGCCGCACCGTTCCTTTTCCTCGTGTTACGACCACGTTCTGGCCCAATTAGCTGACGTCTCAAAGACTTTGATACACTGTCCCATGGATACCTACGTTGACGGAGAGCGATACACACTTATTTTTCCCCGCTACTTTTTTCTGGCGAACTAGTTTATTACACCGTAGCTAGATACACCGATCTGAGCACCTCTCAGCAGCAGCAGCAGTGGCCCTCTTTGCCCTACTGCGATTCTGTACTACCTACCGAAGTGGAATATATTAGTGTCTTCAATGCCCCAACTCCATCGAAAACCTGGGCTCCCGCATGGATCCGAGTTAGGCACTGCGTCTCCGGCAGCTCGCCTTTGCTCTCCAAGATACGGAGGAAAACCCTTAGGTCCCCAGAATACTCGTCCAGATTACCAGACGCAACAAATGTAAACACAGTCAGGCCTCGCTCTGTCCCCTTGTATAAACGGTACGATACACCTCTCGAACAGATGACGTAGGCCGGTTTCGGGCTCCCCTCGTCGCCCAGGGAGGAAACGATAGGTGGCTCGCCGTATGACGCCAGTCGGATCTGAATCTCGAAAGCCGGAGGACCGTTGCAGGTGGCACCGGCGAAGAGATAGTAGGCGATGGAGGCCACACTATCCGGATCGATTTGAGACCTGAAAACTGCTTGTCAGTCTGGATTCACTAATAGTGGAGAATGAGTTTGCCTCCACGGGGCCCCGCGAGCTTCGAACTTACGTGAAGTACCAGTTGCTACGTATGCTGGCGATTGACGAGAGCGGAGTCGCAGCGAAATTAAGCTGGGCATTCGCGAAGGATGTCGCGGATTCCGAGTGGCTCGCCGCCCAATTCCAATGCGTCGGCCATGCGAGAGATGGCGCCTCTACCGGGGAGAGATCGCTGATGCATTGATTCCCAATGGCCTGGGGGTTGAATTGAGCGTTGCGGAGAGTATAGCCATTCGCCTGAATAGTGCCGTTCGCTATGCAGTTCTCAATTGGGTCGACCGCAGCCACCAGGCCGGCCAAGAAGAACCCAAGGATAGTGGAAGCCTTCATGGTGAAGTCGGTTGATTTTGCTTTCCTCACCCTGCTTGCTGTTTCTCGGTCAGGAATTCAGCCTCATAAAGCGAGGCGAATGGCAAAAAAAAAAAAAAAAAAAATAAAATAAAATAAAATAAAATAAAATAAAATAAAAAAATAAAAAGACCCATTATATAGTCTACGAGCATCGAAGACGTGCTAGGCAATTTGCTGTCTTTGTCTCATATCAGTGATTGAAGTTTGGATGGCGCGAAGACAAGCCAAGGTAGGGTCTTATTTGATGATTCGTGGCGGATGGTACCAGAAACCGCTCGGTTGACAATAGATACAGAATGATGAGACCTTCATCCCTCACTGCCACCGCATTCCTTGTTTCCTTTCCTTATTCCAACAATCGTATAAAAAAAGGAGCCAACGCTTGAGCGCTGTGTGATTGAGAACCCAGAGAGCAAAGAGCGTGGCGGAGTCAATACGCTCTGGCACGCTGACCCTGGACTCAAATAGGAGCTAAACTCAATGTGACTGCTTTCATTCCCTAATTCCACGCGTTCCGCGTTTCCCGCTTCGCCCTTTTTCGGCCCTTTCCTGTGTGCTTCGAACCAGATAGAGAAAACAGTGCGTGGGGCCGCGGCGTGTGAGGAATACGACGGAGACCCGACGGCCACGTTGACGCTGGGCGCAGATCAAGATTGACCCCGATGAGACCACCCCAGTTGGGTTCGAGTCAGCTTCAGCGAGTTTGGGCAAAGACAAGACATGGAAGCAACCGTCCCACTGCCGCTTCACTTGGCTTTAGGTATCGAGCTGGGCTGGGACACGATTCATGGCACCGCTCTTCAGTGTCTTACATGTCTGCATCTAAAGTTCTAAACAGAAAAGAAAAAAAGCAATCACCGACACCCAGACAGTAAACGATCCGAATGATCGGCGGTCCCCCGAACAGGCCAATACTAAAAAGCAAGACATTCATTTGATTCTTCCTTCTTGGGGCCCTTCGTAATATCCGTGTTCTCTTCATCCTCGTGGAGTGCTCCTGTCCGCCGCCCGTCAAACTGCATCAACTAGGGATCGACTGTCCATGGTATATACTACTAGCGGAGCCCTGCACAGTGACCGGGGAGCAGGTTCGCATCCCCGGCTTAAACACCCGCGGTCCAACGACGCCAACGATTACTGTATGCTCGACACTGTCCTGTCCACCACCACCTTGTGAAACGGCAGTGCCAAATGGTGGCTGGACTATTATCGATGTTGCGCTCAAGTGCATCATCAGTGGAGTGCCTTCAACCGAACCGTAGGAAATAATACAGTGCATGAATGAGTCACATTGGCAGGTTGTCAAGGGAGAAAACCGAGGTAGGAACAATGGATTTGTTTTATCAATTTTATCCCCCGATCTCGATGGCTGTAGGTAAGAACTACGAGGTATGACCTCTTTGGCCCAGAGAGTAAAAGACCATCAACCTATGACTCTGAAATTACTGGACATAAAGTCGTGGTACGAGGCTGAGAGACAACAACCGCAAACTGGTCTACTGCCAGGGAAATACCCCAATCCATCTCATCGACGCCGTGGCAAGTCCTCGACTCAACTAACTAATATGGAAGTCAACGGGAACAACACAACGGCCGCATTCTTTGTCACATAATTTAGTACATCGCTGGTGACGTATAGATCAAAGCTAGAGTTTGCCTCAGAGGGCAATGCAGCCCAAGATGGTAGGTATCAGGGCGGCGAGTACTGGTAAAGCGCTATTCTCACAACGCTCGACGTACACGTTGGTTCGTGGGTATATAGGAAAGCCGCATTTTTTTTTTTTCGAACATGCCACTCTAAAGTTCGCGCCATGGACTTAAGGTAAAACTGGGATGCTAACTATGTTTCCTCGACTATTTAAATTTTGATTTTGCCATCTAGCCGCGTGGTATAGCGACCACAGTAACAGTGGTGAAAGAAGGTCCCTTAGCTCTTAGAGACGAGGACAGACACTCTGAGTGCTAGATTTACAGATCGAAAACCCACACTTTCGTAGGCGCGTAACTAACAGCAAACGTTGAACCTGAAACGGCCCAAGTTTTGGCAGCCCCGCCTATATTATCAGGCAGCCGCACAATCTTCTCCGAGCCTCGCACAATCCATCCTCCGTCGCTGAGCAGCCCCGGGCCCATGTAGACCGGATCGCGATATGGTTCACGTTTTATGGGACCCGAAACCCGCGGAGATAGATCGAGGTCGATGACACCGACCTCGGTGGTGAGATAGCGGCCCGTCTGGTCAAATGACAGGATCTGCAATGTCTCTTGATGCCTTGAGAGACGTGCGCCAACTCTCAACTTGTGCGTCCAGCCTGTTTCAATGTCATCGACCATGAGAGTCATGTCGCTGCAAGCTATTGCTAATAGCCGGGAATCGGACGAGAACGCGGCTGCTTTGAATGACTGGCATGCATGGAGAGTGTATTGGAGTCGAACAGTCTGAGCATTAACCACAGCGATGATATCTCCATTAAATGCCGCGATATATCTCGAGTCGGGCGAATATACCAAGGATGTGATGCCATTCCTGGGGAGATCTACAGATCGCCTTTCATCGGTTTGAAAATCCCACAACACAAGAGAATCAGGTCTAGGGTGATAGGCTTCTATCTTGAGGGCAAGGTGTCGTCCATCTGGGGAGAAGTAAGCTAGAGAGTAGGGATAAAAACTGCTGGCAACAATTGGGATTCTGACTGGATCCTTAAGGGTCCAGATGTAGACTTTACCGCACTGATCGACAGCTGCGATTTTTTGAGAGTCCGGCGAAAACTGGATCGAAACCGGCGAGAAGAACCTAGTCGGAGGTGCCGGTAGATGCCGCTGAGAGCTTGTGGTTGCATCCCAGAGACAAATCTGTTTACTTCGTCGCTCGTAGAAAGCTATTAGCGCAGAGTCGGGGGATAGGGCAACAAGCCCGCTCTCGACATCGAACATGCCATGACAATTCCCGGTTTCGGCCTCCGAGATCATAGTTCTAGTTCCGCATGACGATATTACGAATTTCGAGTTGGGAGAAAAGATGACCTCCTTGACGGGTTTCGCATGCGCAGCTAACGCGTGACGGCAAACCCCAGTTGCGGCATCCCAGACCCGAACGATGGCGTCGTAAGCACCTACCGATGCGATAAAAGCGCCGTTAGGTGAGAAAACGACAGCGTAGCCAAAATTTCCGTAGGTTCCGTCAAAATTTTCGACCCACCCGTCATCCATGGTGAATTTGGTCATGACGCCCTTTGGAGTATTGTCGTCGAAGAGATTCTTGACTACGCTGCTATTCGGACTAAATAGTAGGGCCGAAACGTAGAGTTGCAGGGGCCACCTCCGTATAAGGAACTCGTGGCGATGCAAAAAGCGCTGGGCATCGCAAACGAATGAGTGAAGAGACGATCCCGTCTGGAGGTAGGTCGAAATAGCAGTTAGTGAGATATCAAGACGAAGGCGTTGTTGGGTGGAGAGCTTACACGAAGCAGCGTCTCAAGTTTCTCCATTGCCGTCTTTCCGGCTGCTAGATGTCCGAGGAAGGAAAGAGCTTCCAGCCAGTAAAGATACTTGCTTCTGAGGAAGCCATCGACGCTCCCACCGTCCTCAAGCTCGGAGACAGATTGAGAATCTTGGGTAGACAGCCACTGTGTGAGGTGGTCAACCCAGTAGATGCAGGAGTATCCGAGTGAAACCAACCGGTTCGTGTCTGGTTTCTCGTCTTCGTCGATATCAAAGGCGGGGTCTTCTAGATCATACATATTGCGATGCAGAGTCTCGAGCATCACCGCGAGTGATCTCCGAAAGATAATGCCGTGAGGATTTGGCCCCTGGTTTATCACTTCCCGGGCGCTCGGTGAAGAGAAATATGACTTGGAAAATCGATTAGCAAAGTTTACCGTGCCGTCCGTGACAGAGAGAAACGATCCGCAGCGACGGACGGCGGCTGCAATTGATTCCGTTGAACTCAGCCCCGCCAGGACCCCGAGTTCCTCCAAAAGAAGCGGTTTATGTGCAATTAGGACTATCGACAAGAGTCGTAGACAGTATTGTGATTCTTCGCTGTTAAAAGACAGGATACCCTGGATAGTTTCCCGATGCCGTCGCTCCAAGTCTTCGTAGGTCACATCAAGTTCTAGATCGAGCACTGTCCGTAACGGATCGAGCTGCAACTGTTTGCCGATTTCTTCGCCTGCGTTACTTGACACAATCCACCTGACGCGTGGCGAAGAAGACCGGATGATTAGTTTCAAGAGGCTTGCCTGGCCCCTCTTGCAGTGCTCGAGGGCGTCGACAACCAGGAACACCCTTGGGGAGTTTATATCCATTAGCATATTTGTGAAGATTTCGCAAATAGCCACCCAGGCGCTCCTGTCCGCGAAAAGATTCTGGCCGGCAACGTCGAATTTGGCTTGCACATGGGATACTAGCGACGTTTGTTGTACTATGAGAAGGTAGACAAGGCTACGTAGGATGGCGAGGGCGTTGTCTCCCCTGGGGTCGTTCTCTTGACAGAAGAAATAAGCAATGCGGTTTGGGCTCTGGCCTTCCACTTCGTCAATAATGTCGCAGAGCAGTGCAGTCCTCTCTTGTTCGACACCGCTCGTGACCCAGAGCAGACCTCCCTGCTCGCGTTCGCGCCAGTGACGACAATACTCTTTTCTGATAGATAGCCGAGATGGGTGGCACTGGAGAGCTCTGGAAGCTGCCCTGCTGCGGGCCCTGTCATGAGCGGGGTCCGTCACCCAAAGGTTTGCGAGACATATACGGTTCCTTTCACTCAGGTTATCTATGCCTACGCAATCAGTTAACGAATATCTGTTACTCTATTCACGGGCAACCTAACCACTAGAGTCATCTTCCAGCTCCAATGCTGACTCGAGTTCATCAACAATCGTCCCCATAACTAATCTGCATGTTAGGTTACTGGCCGATTCGAATTTGCAAGTGTCGCTATGGTCCGCCTGTATAGCGACCTGCGTCTCGAGGTCACCGGGCAAATTCAAGGTCGCAGACTTCTTATCCACAATCTACCAATATCTGGTCAGCGTCATAGCTCGTCCAAGTGAGATGAGGTCTGATGTGTACATACAATCCCGGCCACCCCGTAGCTCATTCCCTCGTAAAAGTTGATAGCGGGACATTTGCCAAATAAGTGGCGGGCCTGTTCGTATCGCCGTGTAGCCTCGTTGGAGTTTTCCTTGAGCGCGTCGACAAGGTCATTGCTCGGATTCCTGAGACCCTTGCCGACTATCTTCGCAACGATGTCGCCGACGCTCGCGAAATTTCCACCCTGATGCGGTGTGGCGAAGAAAACAAGGAGACGAGTCGACGTGAGGATGGATGCGTATTTTGTGTTCAGCTTGGCTTCGACAAGCGCCTATATTATCGCGCGGAGGTTAGGGGCATGGCTCCTCGCGCAATGAATGAGCAGCCGAAACTCACCGATTTGACCACGATGCCGCCCAGGCTATGGCAAATGAAAACAAGCGGCCTCTGGGGATCACTCTATGTGACGCGTTCTGTTAGGATATCGCGCTCAAAACGGTGACGGAGTTGCAAAACCCAGCTATTACCCTTCTCTCCACACGAAGCCACTGAAGCAGGGTCCTCGCGTGGTCGTCAACTTTGATTGCTGATGAGCCTAGGGCGGGGCTCGAGTTGTATTCGAACAGCATCACCCGGGGGGGCTTCGGAAGCTGGTCGGGGAGGAAATCGCGCAGCCATAATTTGTCGCCCTTCGTCCAGGTGCCCTGCGCATGGTTGGCGCTGTTTAGAAAGTTGAGTCCGTGGACGGCGATGACGCTAAAATGGTACACGCAAAGTTAGCTCGAGGGGCCCAGTTGGGGTAGTGAGGGACTGGACGTACTCAATCTCTGCTTTCCTGGGAGGCTGGCTATCCTGTGCACTATCAAAGATGACATGAATACCCGCATCCGACATTTTCTCGGGCGAGTAGCAAAAGGAAAACGAGGAATAAGAAAAACAGTCGCCGCTGGACAGGAATTACAGGTCGCAATTAGGCAAAGCCGATGGAAGATACCCCGCAATACAGAAGAAGCGATGCGAGAATAGGGCTGGCGACGAACGAGGGGGAATCTCGGAACTAGACTTGGGCTGCTATGGAGGCATGCACTGCCTCCCCAAAATGTACAATGGCAACCAACGCATGAGGTGATTGGATGCGCTTTTGGAGTAGTCCAGGCTCGTTGGTGCCAAGATTCGGATGTACAGCTCCCTAGTGGACAGGGGGAGATGATGAGTCGAAGAATGAGGGTTCGCTCTCGAGCTGAATCTACTCGTGCATGCATAGGTTTGATTGGCTCGAATTACGGGGTCTGAGAGATGCGTCGCTGGTGGTGACATACGCGAAGCGGCACTGAGATGACTATTCGGCCGTGTTCTGGCTGAATGCTACAGACGAGACAACGCTCAAACAGTTTGCAACGATGGCAGGGCGGATCTTGCGCGAACACCCATCAGTCGTCTATATCGTCTATGTCACCAATGCGGCCCAAGGCCGCAACCTCGACGAGTCCGCAGGGCCGTCAAGCGATGCCATCGCCCTTCTGCTTACCGGGTGTCTTGGGATGTCCCCTAAGCCCAGTCTCCTCAGTAACGAGACTGCGAGATTTCTCTTGTATATAAAAACATAAGGGACCTAGTAAATCCTAAATTTCTTTATACTCCAGTGGAGTATTATTGAACTATCACAATTAGGGAACATCTATTAATACGATTAGGTATTTCGGGGCGTCTCTGTCTGATCATGTCTTATTTGGTGCCGCCTTCGGGGAAATTCTGTGCCGCCGGGTTCGAGCATGATAGGCAGACACAGCATCAATTCATGCCTACGACAATATGGCAGGTTGGATCCGTTCGGGGTTTCTAGCCGGGCCAGGGACGAACGAATATTAAGGCCGGTTGTGCAGGTTGACTCAAATGCGCTATCCGTACAACCCATCCAGGACAATTTTATGGCGGGCTTTGAATTTTAAAAGAGCTACCTTGGTAGATATCTTGGTGTCGATGAGGTCGCTCAACAAGGCGTATATATTGATACTCTACCTTCCATGAAGTCCGCTGCCAACTAATACCAGTTATCAGGTTGTTGGTCTGAGCCCAAGCAAGTTCGTGGAGTCCTTCGCTTTGACCTCACGGAGCTGTTTTCGTCGCCGACCACGTCTCAGGACTCTCGTCTCTAATAGCGCAGTTGACACAAATGTGCGGCTCGTTAAACCCGTGGATGGCATGTAGTTTCCTTCGCTGGTCGGCCGACCATGTTGCAATCTTAGGCTCCAGCGACGGGTCCAAAAAAAAATGTCCTCCAGAAACCTATTTCTCCCTGTCAGATATCGAAAGGGGAATAAAATAAATGGGAGTTGAGGGTAGGAACTCCCGAGTACGTCTGAACATCCCTCCAAGGATATATGCTCTTCGAGACTTTTTACCCCCGTGTTGCTATATCGCAGCACAATCGAAACACCAGCATGGGCCGTAATCGCGTGGCCCATATCACACACGTCGCGAGTTATGGACGAGTGACACACCTCGGCTATGTCAGAGGGAAGGTTTCTGTTATTATGGACCCAAGTGTTGAGGTACTACGACCCTTCTTCCTTGGGACCCTTGTGCCACATCCATGTCCACAACACGACCCGGGACGTGGCCTGGTTGCACAGCATGCCGATTTGTTCATGGCCCCCTACCTCACGTAGCTCGACTGAACGCCAGATTTTCCCAACTACGACCTCAGTCACCTGGCTTCACAGCCTCCGAGCCAGATGCTGTATCGTAACCTCGGGGGGGAAGTGATGGTGCGTAATTGAATATTAGTCAGCGAAGACTGCAAAAAAAGAGACAACTAGGCAGAACATTGCGCAGACATTGTGTCTCTTTGTTTCGCTAGGATATTCTCCACAGCGTCTTCAGCCTTATGGGGCTTCGAGATTGCACTCAGCTAGTATTCCTTTAGTACGTTTGTTGCCGATCCTGCATTCTTTCGGTGCAGTGCAGTATCAAGCAGCTTGGTGGATACGTCTTCCTCGTGTTGGCAGGTGTCACAGCCACCTAGACAAGAAGAGGCAATATATCCGGGACCTTTTGCTCTGATTGCACTGGCCAACGTCAGCCACCCCGCGCTCGTATTTATCTTTCCCGCATGAGAATGTGGGTCTTAAGACCTGGGCGGTTTGCAATTATACGATATCGCCTTTATCCATGGACTCGCTTGACTGGGCTCAACGCTGTGGTTCCTGTGAGTTTGACCGGAGACTCATCGGCTCTATTTCCAAACTATTACTGGCGAGTCACAGAAAAATTAATCCATCGTGTCACCGGTTGAGGGGCTTGGGGTAGCTGAACACGCCGACGATGTTTCACCAATATCAAGACTGCTTCCCGCCCCACCACTTCGAGCCCCCATCATACTAGTCCCAACTACAAATTTCAAACCTCGAATTCTTAGCCTCTCACCTTTCCATCGGCCATCCAATCGAAATATCGAAATGCGTCCCCGAGCAGTCCTTCCCGCTCTGGCTAGCCTTGCCGCGGCTGGCAGCATCCCCGACGGATCCCCGTTCAACCTCATGGCCCTCCGATCCGCGAGCGACGTCCACTTTGCCCCGTTCAACGCCGCTCTGAGCAGCATCTTCCTTCACCTACCTGAACAAAACGCGACTTGCGATGCCGAGTCGGATGGCACGGCTACTTTCTACCTCGAGGACGGCAGTCTTTTCCTCTACGGCGACGACGATGATGCGCGTCAACAACTTTTCGCGGACCGTTCTGGAATGGGCAGGTCATGGATGTTAAAAATAAGGAAGAAAGACACAAAAGCTAATAGAAGGATGGAATGATAGGCCAAGGCAAGCTCGGCTACACCACCGGCTCCCAGCCAGGGCCTCGAAACGGCGAACGAGTTAACTTCCAGCTGGACGACGCCAACGACCTGGACTTTAACGGCGCTGGCTTTATTGCGTGCCCGAATAGCATCGATGGGGCTTGGAGTGTCTGGGTTAGCGCTGGAGTGAGCAACCCCGGGTGGAACGAGGACTGTCTTGGGATCTCGGTCCGGGCGATTGAAACCGACGCGCCCAACAGCTGTGTTTACACGCAATAGGGGAAAGGGCTAATTAACGAGCAGTTATCTGTGTGAGCCCTAGGTCCGCGGCTGAGAGTGGATTATGATTCATGGCGTCATTGCAATTTTGTGGCCCGACCTGGCTACCCCGGGAGACTCATTCTATCGCTTGCACCTTTGTATGAGGAGAAAGGGGTTATGACTACTCTAAACGCGGGTGCTTCCCTCAAGATAAGAACAGCACCGTCGCTCTCTTCTTTACATTCTCGCCCATCAGCTATCGGTCTTTTGGCCATTGTCCATCGTGGCATGTGCGTACTATATCCTCTCACGACATCCTACTTTCCTTTGTTATCTTATTTTATTGTCTCTCTATAACGTGTTCTTATGATACCTCGACCTTTCCCCGTTGACCAACAGTTTCGAGGCCCTTTCGAGCCCTTTTGGAGCTTTCGGTAGCCTACCAAAGAGGTTCGACTTGGCCATTGAACCACTTGAGCGATTACACAGCCCGGCTGGTTCCTATTCCTTGCTCTTTTTGCCCAGTTTGGCTCTCAGGAGAACCCTGGTCTTGTTTTGGTGTGTTACGAGTGATCGGTCTCCAGACTTTAATCTGGACTGCCCCATGGCTTCGGTAGGCCTTTATGAACAACGGTGAAAACATGGGGCCATTAAAGGTAAACACCCCCGAAATATTTAGATACATTGTCAACAAGAGATACAATCTCGCCCGATTTCTTTAGTTTTTTCCTTCCTTCCTTCCTTCCTTCTATCAGACGAGGAATTCTCCTATGCGTTAGAGTCCGCACGCGCAGCATTCCTCAAGCGCTCTGCTCGTCGCCTCGCTTTCAAAGCAATCGTCTCCCTACTCAGAAGACCGGGCAGGCGGTTAGAGGACGAGCCATCGCGGTCCGCCAGACTCGGGTCGGCTTCTACAACGGCGCGGAGTAATTTGGCCACATCTGGGTTTCGTGCGTAGCGCAAAGGTGTGATCGAGTCGTCGTCTTGAAGATTCACGTTAACACCGGCCCCGGCATCGAGGAGCATCCGGATGTTTTTGACGTTGCCGCTCTCTGCTGCCCAGTGCAGCGCGCACTTCCCGTCATCGTCGACAGCGCCGATTTTGACACGTGGATCGGCCAGTAGCAGCTTAAGAATGTTCTCGTTATCCTCGGAGGTCCTCACGGCCCACATCAACGGGGTAGTCTCGGCCTTGTCCTTGATTATCGGATTCACCCGATGGTCTTGGATCAGGAGTCTAAAGCATTCTTCTCGGCGGAGCACAGCCGCCCTGGACAGCGCCGTCGTTCTATGTACGCCGCATCTGTCAGGGTCGAGTCCAGGTTGGGCGAGGAGCAGTTTGAGGATCTCGGGTTTGTCGCTCGCGACGGCTGAAGTAACAGCCGTGGAATAATTACCCTCGGACGCCAGGTTAGGGTCAGCGCCGTCCGTTTCCAAAATCAGCTTCATGACGGCGACCGATCCGCAGGCTGCGGCCAGGACGATGAGCGGGGTCGCAAGCCAGCCGATTTCGCGTACGAGGATATCCCCGCCGGCGTCGAAGAGCTTTCGCATAGTAGCAGTGTCGTCATGTTTAACAGCCCATACGAAGGCCTGCACGTGTTGGCGTTTGATGTGGAGGCTGTAGAGATGAGGATGGAGAAAGCGGTGGAAGCGGATATTCGTGAGCATGAGAGAATAGATGTCCGTGTCCTCCAAGTATTCGATCACGTCGAGGACGACATCGTCCGGCAAACTGTCAAATTGCGCCATGGTATCTACAGCTGAGGGCCCAGCTGGAGATGACCTAGAATCTTAATAGCTGGGCTCGCGAGCGTCTCCTTTGGATTCTTGAGAGCCGGAAAGGGGGCTGTTGCCTACTCTTGACGCTCTCATCCCAAAAGGGAAATATGGTGCCACAAGTAAATGAGCTCACTGCCAAGCTTTCCTTCCATAGGACACTCTTATTTCCAAGCCTGAGGCACCTGTAAACGTCGAATCGTTCCCGTGATTGCTTTGATCTGTTTGTAGGGGTGGGTGATAAAGCAATGCCTCTATTTTAACAGGAAGAAGAAGTGATACTTCATCCATGGTAAATCGATACTGCCGAACGAGGAGATCTGCATTAGGCATCCCCTGAATATGACTAAGCCACTTATTTAATGATGCTTCAACGAATTGGTGAAGGCGCTGTCGCGGACTGGCAGCACTATGTTCTATTCTCGAAATCCAATCCCCAATTCATCATCAACTTCCAAGGCATCGGTTGATATCACGGCCACATTCTTTGGTCACTGCGTCCTCATGACCTTCTCTTTGAAGGTCGCCGCTCGTTCGTTCGCCATGTCGACTCTGAACAGGACCCTGTCTTTATTGTCCCTCCTTTCCTACAACCCCTTCATTGTCGAGGCCTCAATTGCTGCCCAAAGGACCTTCGAAGAGCGCCCCGAGTTAGCACCGTGGCAGACATGGGGACCATACCGACCAAACCTCTACTTCGGCGTCCGCCCGCTGGTCCCTGAAACATTCCTGATGGGGTTGATGTGGGCGAGTGGCGAGACCCGTGATGCTATGTTAAAGAGTACACGCCTTATCTTTTGATTTCGTTGGAGTAGGTTCGAGTCTAACAAAGTGCCTTCATAGCTCTCCGTGATACCTGTGAGCAAAATGATGGGATGCAGGGCTATGGGTGGACAGCCTATGACACCCGCATCGGGGGTTCCCAGACAATCCATGATCAAGAGCTCCATGTCGACTTAACTACAGACTTTTTCAAATCAGAAGGTGGAGATGCTTGGGCAGTCCGCGTCACGGGCACTCCGAGATCGGGTGCTCCGAGCGATGTGAAGACGACAATTGTCATGCACGTCGCTACGGAGAAAGCCGCTGGTAATAATGGGACCGACAGGTCCCTCGCCTGCAAGCATAAAGACCAGAGGTCCAAAAGAAATGGGAATAATACCGAGGCGACATGCCATGGAGAAGCTCCAGGTCTTGGGGCGTTCCGATTGTCCATCGTCGGGGATGCCACCAACAAGGTCACACATGGAACTTCTGTCAAAAGCGCCTAGGTGCCCGAGGAGAAGATATGGCAGGCCAAACGTGAGCGAAGATATCCCCAAGGCTTCAGTCTTACCGTGACATGGCAAAAACCAAATCTCAGTGCTAACACGAGAACAGCCGTATTCACTGATCAGGTGAAGGCAAGCGACTGGGATGGCGTTGCAGTGGACGATGAGCCTGGTGTTGGCAATATGCACTTTGTCCAGTCTACCTTTCAAGGGCCTTTTACCGTCACCTTTGCCTATCACTCCTCGGAAGCCACTCCCTTGACGCGTAAGAAAGACCTAGTCGTATCTTGTCGAGCTCCACATCGTACGCTAACACGGCATCTTTTTGATTGTAGCCGATGATATAGTGACTGGCCTCGATGGTTTCTTTTCTGGCTTCCCAGCCGCCGTGGAGAGAGTATTCCCAAGTGCCGCTCCTTTCGAGAGCAAAGAATACGGCGAATTCTCGCAGGCCTTGATTTCTAACCTGCTGGGCGGGTTAGGCTTCTTTCACGGCGATAGTAAAGTTGACTACACCCGGGCTCCCGAATACGAAGAGGTGGGCCCCAACTTCTGGGAAAAGGCGGCCGCGGCCCGGGCTCGCACCACCATCACAACGACGCCGCCTACCTCCTTGCTAAGCCACACCCCCTCGCGGCCCTTCTTTCCCCGCGGATTCCTCTGGGATGAGGGGTTTCACCTTTTGCCAGTCGTCGAATGGGACCTCGATCTTGCTGTCTCCGTGCTTCGGAGCTGGCTCAACCTCATGGATGAAGATGGTTGGATCGGCCGCGAGCAGATCCTGGGTCCTGAAGCTCGCAGTAGGGTGCCGGAGGAATTCCAGGCCCAGTATCCTCATTACGCCAACCCTCCGACGCTCCTATTGCTTTCCCCATCTTAATCTCCAAAGTTACTGGGAACTCGGCCCATAGTGGCCACCCGTCAGAACCCATCTCGTCTCCGGATGCCGGCTCGAACATGTTGAGAGAACTTTACCCTTTAATCTCTCGTCACTCCGCGTGGTTCCGCCGCATCCGGGCCGGAAACTTCAGTAGCCCTTGTCCAAGGCCCGAAGGGGCCATTGAAGGCGAGGGGTATCGATGGCATGGCAGGTCTCCTATGCATACGCTAACCAGTGGGCTTGACGACTATCCCAGGGAAAACCCACCCCATCCGGGAAAGCTCCACGTTGACGCCCTAGGATGGGTTGGCGCCTCGGCTCGTGCATTGCAACTGGTTGCTGAGCATCTTGGCGAGGATGATGACGCCGCAACCTACGAAAAACATGTCGACGCAGTCAAGTAAAACCTAGATCTACTGCATTGGGATGACGATGCGCCGGCGTACTGCGACACTGCCATAAATAGCGACAATGGCTTCAAGCGGGTCTGCCACCACGGATATATCTCTCTATTCTCCCTCTTGCTCGGCCCCATGGACGCCAAGCACCCTAACCTTCCGCCTCTGCTCGATCTACTGACCAATTCGATCCTGGGCGATCTGTCCCAGGGTGTCTTGTACAATATCTTAGCCTACCCCAGCCTGGCAAACCCTGATATCCCGGATATCCTCTACGCAGAATTTGGCGTTACTTTCGTGACTGCGACAGCCATGATCTTGGCTGGTACCATGATGGAACGTGGGCGGCTGCTGCCTAGTACACTCTTCATCCTCATCCTCCGCTGGACAACATTTGCCTACTACCTGTAAGCTCATCTGGCCCTAGGAGACTAAAATGCGTCCATTTTTGAACTAACCCATAGCCTAGCCTGGCCTACTGGTCCAAGGACCCTGCGTGTGATCAAACTACTACATCAATACGGGGCTGATATTGATGCTGCGGATGTCAATGGGGACCCACTAATCGTGCACGCCATTACCAAGAAAGATCGAGATGTAGTCCAATTGTTGGAGTCGCTTGGAGCATGTGTAGATGCTTCAAGTGGAACACAGGCGAGGGCAAAGACGACGCCCAGGAAGAGGCCGACTTCGAGCTTCTAGACTTCCTTACCATAATTACTTCGAGATGGCGCTTAGAAGGCCCTCGAGCTCGGTCCCAACCGCAACGAGCTGGACCTCAATGTGTTCATCGTTCCATCTACCAACAGGCCTCCCTTTCTCATAAGATTCAGGTGTTATGTAATAGATTAATGCAGATCCCCAATCTGATCTTCAACTATTTCCTTCTCCTTTTTCGAACCTAAGCAATTTCCCGCAGTAGCCTGAGTAGGGGTGAGCAGGGTGAGCGAGGAGGTCACTATTTGAAGAATCTATACGAAGTAGTTGGGATTATCTCTGAGCTGTACGGCCTTATCGGTTTTTTGTAAGAACAAACGACCCTCTTTGTAAGGAAATGCGTGCAAACGGTCTTCTCGACCCCCAAGCCAGTAGGCCGTTAATTAGGTATAGCAGCAAGGAAACGACCATGGTTTTACGTGAATCTGTAACACCAGCATGGAGCAAATCTCGACGATCACCGAGCTAGTGTACCTTGGCTATCTTTACTACTACATTATGGGACAGGAGCCCTCAATTGCCCCAATACAACTAGATGTTAAAAATTTAATAGAAGATACTTAGCAGCGTGACTGCGGGTCTATTGCCATGACAAAAGCGCTATATGTTCCTCGAATACACGTACACACTCATATCCCTGAACTGATTCGTCTTTCAAAGGCATTTTCAAGGCTCTTTGTATTGATCCATCTCCGAAACTCTCAAGACAGGTAGGAGAGTGTTGCCCTCAATGACCCCCTATGATGTTCAGTCCCTCATGGAGCCGCCTCGCAATATAGTCGGCTTTGGGAATCTCAACTGATAAAATTTCCTCCGACATCCGTTTATAGCCGTGGCCTTCATTAACAGGGAGGCGTAGTAACACGGTGACTCGGAGGAGTTGGTCACGGATCCAGTCGTGCTGTCCCGGCCGTATCGCTTCGGTAATTACCCAGCCATGTTCACCCGAGAACAAATTTAAGACGCGACTTAGCGGTCCCATAATGTGCCACGGCCCTTGCGCAATCGCATGACGCTTGTGCTCGTCCCGAGGCATGAAAGGACCATGTTCAAGTCCTAGGCGTCTAGGATTACCTAGCGAAACAGAGTGATGGCTTAGTAGTGTGATTGTGGGATCAGAGAAATCTCCAATGCTCGATGGTCTACTTCGATTCCCAAGATAGAATGGTATTGTGTAACATATAGTGTCAACAGCTTCTTGTAAGTCCTGTTGCCAATACAGGGGATTGGCCACGTCGGAAAAGTCGGGATATCCTTTTAGACATGGATATTTGCGTAGGAGCACCAGAAACATCTGTGCCAATAGCAGGCGGTAGCATCGCCACAAGTTCCATATCGATGCTATTTGGCAGGAGGGATAGATCTCACATACATCTTGATAGCTGATGAGTGACGAGTCGAAATCGTGGCCGCTGGTCAGCCTTACTGGACACCAGTGTTCTGGCACATTTTGAGCCCAAGCCAGAAGGCGTTGATGCACATGTAGCCCTTCTCGATACCAAGTCAAGATGCCTTCGTCAAAAGCGAACAGAAGATTGCCTTCTTTCAGCAGTTTCTTAAATTTGCACTGCAGATTGGCAAGGTCCACACCAATCTCATCCAGTTTGGAACTTGGGTTGGGCGGCACATCATGACACTTCACCCTTATATGGACCAGTGTATGGTCTGATACTGGGCGACCCTCGCGAAGCGCAAGTGAGACCTCGACATGAAGGAAGAATCTGGCCATGTAACTCTTGAACATCGAGCCGGGTTGGTCATTCAGGGAGTCTCTAAAGAGAAGTAGAGAAAGTGCCCCATTGTAATGATGACGCAAGACTTTCTGAGCGAGGTAAACACTGGCTACGTTCTCGTACCAGTGTAGTACCAAGGCAGCAAGCATTGTACTGGGCTTGCTCCTCTCAACAGGATCTTGAATTGCAGCCCGAAGTCGAACCAGGGACTGATTGAGGAGCTGGTGTGGCGATGAGAAAGCTGTGGGCCCATCTGTCCATAGAGACAGGTGCCTTTCAGCTACGCTCAAGACGGCTGTTGCAATGGCGGAGTTTTTGGGCTCTGTGCTGAGTATTGGTATTATGGTTTCAAAGAATCCGTGGGTGGATTCCAGACCACGGCCCCTGGCAGAATTTTCCAGGAAAAATTGTATCGCAGTACCCCATGTATTTGATGGGAATGTTGAAGGTGGAGGTGAATATGTTGGTTGTCGCTTGCGGGAGGCTTTTTCAGTCGCGTGACTGTCTGTTCGTTGAGACGATGGCTTGGGGAATTTGTCGCTTTCATCCTTGAATCTCAACTTTGTAGGCCGTTTGTGGTAGCCACCACATTGGCGACCGAGTTTGAGACAGCGCCGACAGGCAGGCTTCATCTCATCACACTTGACGCGTCGCTGTCGGCAAGTGGCGCACCCTCCGGAACGTCCGAGGTTGACCATACTCGTGTGAGGAAGTGGTCATCATTGACATCGAAAAGAGTAATTTCTTTGCGAGCATGAGGATATGTTTATATTACCCTCGTCATATCCGACAATCTCAGCATCAGGGGTAGGGGGTAGGGGAAAGTTGAAAAGAACTCGTCACCATCTCGTATGAGTCGTACCTCGTCTCACCGCTCAGTTTATTTCCCCACACTCGACATGAAGCTCGTTGAGCCAAGACCGAGTCTCGCAAAATTCTTGCTACTTTCGGTATAGCGAAAATGAGAAGTTGAAGCCCACTAATACGAACGCGAGACAACTTCACGTGAATAGCTCATCAACGCGACATAAAAAGAAAAATGCATTGTGAATTTTGACTCGGATCTGTCGGAAGGAGTGAGCTATTAAAATCCCGTTTCCCTCCGAGTTAAAGTCTCCGATTACTTACTTACAGGCTATTTGGAGGCTCAGGTCGCCGCTCGCCTGCCACTGCCCATTATCACAAACGACACCATATGAGACACAGCATCATGGATCATAATGTCAATTCCTCAACTTTTCAACCGTCTCTACCATCTCGATGGCTTCCTCTATCTGTCCGGATTTGGATTTTTCAGCAACTCGCCTTCCATCTGATCGCCCTGGTGTTTGAGTGGTGCGATCGCACAGGCGCTATTTGCCGTTTCAAAGTTCGCAGCCTCGAGCGAAAGCCATATACCAAAATGCTTTCAAGAGTGCTTTTCAACCAGGCTTTCGTCCTACTGCCGAGCATGGTCATTATGCAGGTTTTTAGATTGTCATACGTCGGTGAAACTCGGCTGACCATGGGTCGATTTCTGATCTCGCTGCCGGTTATGGCGCTTGGGCATGATATCGTCCAATACGTGACCCATCGTTTTCTACTACATCAGTCGAACTCTTTCTTGATGCGGACACTGCGCCACTCAATCCACCACTCCACAGGTGCCAACAGTGGCATCACCGCCTGCTACATGTCCGCTCCGGACTTCTTTCTTGAGATTGTGCTGCCCTACCTCATCCCACTCGCCGTCATCGGCGGCGGCGGCTCCGACATTCTTTTTCACGCTTTAACTGTCAGTCTCGGCGCTTTCGGAGGTGTCTACGAGCATTCGGGATATGACTTTGCAGTCCACCTTCGGAATCCCCCTCCCGGGGGCAACCACACGACACTCAGGGCCAGCCTGTCCAAAGTCCTTGCCTATTTCCTGGATAACCGTGCGCACAGCGCACATCATACTCGCGCAAACGTGTCTTTCTCCGACGGATTTGGTAGTCCTGGCTTTTCCGATACTGTGCTCGGTACCCGCTGGGACTTAGTCCCAAAGCATCGACCAGGTGCGGAGTAAAAAAAGCCCCCGCACTTCACTTTGTCTACGAGTACTGGTCGGATTCACCTTTCACCTGAAGTCGTTAAATGAGGCTAAGTGATTCGCGAGACACAGCCTCGAGTCGGTCAGACGAACATGGCTGGCATGACAGCGGCTCGTGCCGCGGACCACTGGAAGCCGGATTCCCGTCGTGAGCCAGATCACTGAGACCTATGTTCGGGCATTGTCCTGAGCTGTATATTACTAGTAAATTTTAATTTATATATATCTCCTATAAAGCTAAAGTTAGGAAGAGCTGCGAATAAAGATGTCCGATGGCATCCAGGTTTTAAACTCTCTCCACCTAGTTTAAGGCAGGCTTATTCACCGGACCGACCTCGATAGCCAAGTCATTCTCCAAGTCACACACTCGATGGAGGACTCAAGGACCTGGCGTCTCCGCCTCTTACTCATTCTCGTGTCTACCAAATATCTCACGGTACTCCTATGCTGCTAGCTTTTAGTTTCCCGTTATACTATCATTATATCTACGAGCACTTAGAAAGTCTTATCCCCCGAATACAAGCCGAAATTTCAAAGGTCTATTAAGGAGTATATAAAATAATATTATTAGTAGTACTATTTCCTACCTATCATAAACACTCTTAGATTATATATAAAATAGAATATAGAATCTATAATCTTAGTACTAGTAGTAGTAGTAAGTTCCTTTATAATATAGATATAGACTAGTTTCTAATATATATAACTATTACTTATAGAGAACTAAAGGTCTTATCTACTCTTCTATATATATAAACTATAAAGCCCTAAACTAGTAATTAGATTAGTAATAATTAGTAAACTACTAAAACAGAGCAGTACAGCCTACCCTCTTATCAAAAGAAAAAAAAAGGAAAAGAAAAGCAGTAGTTAAATAGTCTAAAATAGTTCCTACAAAAAGCTACTACAATTCTCCCTATAGGAATAGGAATAGAATGTCGGAGCTGCTAATTAATAAAAATATAGCCAGATCATAAAGAAAGGAGACTTTCTAAATAGGGAGCAGTCAAGAAGTATATCATAACATAGCCGCGACCAGGTTATAGGAAGCAGTGTAGCACTACAGAATAAGGGATTACATGACAAAGAAGTCGGATAGGACTAAGTCTAACTAATTAATTAAATAAAGGATTAATAGAATAATTATACCTATAACTAACCAACTAGTTAATCAAGAGCAC